GACTAAAAATCATGCTATATATCCAACACTATGTAATTTGGAGGTAAGTAGTTAGCAACTAGTTATATACTAGCCTAAAACTAGTATATAGCCTACCTTATCCTATAGTAGCAAGGTGACCTTGCCATCCTTTATGTTAGTCTGGTAGGCATGGTATTCAGGCTAACTAGTGGATAATTAGGTTCTAACTAGTTACAAACTAGTTAGGGACTTATTCTCACAATATTATATCCAGCCATGTCGAAGGACAGCAGGGCAACGGAGTGGAAGGAGAAAGAGATAAAGAGAGTTGTATTGTATTAAAACAGAAAGGTCGTGTCAGGTGGAGAATATGTCGTGTCAGCTAGGCAATCACATGATCTCGCCTAAATCGGGCTAGTGACCTGACACGACCTTTGCCCCACCTACGCGTGACCTGTGCACTCGTGGCCGGGTGGGTGGTTGCAGCTACTAAGAGCTAGCTTACATAAATGATGACTAAGCGAGGTCGAAACCGGGGGCAGGCGCCCATGCTTGGCGATATGCTCCAACATCCACCAACGGCCATATTATTTGACAGGACCTTAAGCTGGCCCAAGTAAATTGAAGCGTGCAATTTTGAGCCAAAAACAGAATTATACCTCCAATCCAAAGAACACGGGGTGGGAGTATAACCATCAACACTAGATATGCCACCATCGCGACACCTTCGGTGACACTCCACACACCGCGAAAGCCAGCTTCTCGCGCATTTCTATTTCCTAATTTTCGGTGCAGTAAAATTTTTCAATATCCACGATGTTATATCCACCTAGACTAGTGTTAAGCTAATCATTGCAGCTGGGAGTGGGATTCGGATTACCACTTGTACCTTGCAAGCAAAACAAGAAACTGGAGATCCATCACCAACAGCATTCTTATTGACGGAAAAGCGAAGTATTCCATTTCTCGTCGTGGACTGTTATGTAAGCCGATATCTAGATATGGGAACCAAGAGGTTAAATCTTTGCCTAGGAGTAATATTCGCAGTAGCTCGGAGGGGATTGGGAGGACAATCAGAAACAGAATCCCACATAATGCTGCAGATATAGCAAAGGCCGAACGCTGGTCGCTCCAAAAGTCCAAATGGTAAATGTCATAATAATGATTGATTTCTTGAAATGGGCATTGGTTTTCGAAGATTTTCTGACAGAGACTACGTATACCATCTCAACTTAATTCGAATAGCTATATCGCCGATTTGATGACCCAAGAAGTGGGGTAATCTGAAGAGAACGTAAAGTGACTAGAGAGAAACGAAGGAAATTCTAAGATGGCTTTCACAACGACCACATGAAGGTAGATTTATGTCAAGTTTTCATAAATTAAACTTTGTAGCCATGGAAGAATTGGCCCAGTTAACGTAAGGGATACATAACATCGGGGATAGTATGGCCGGCAATATAAGTATAGTGGGATTAGCTGGATAGAACTAACTACAAGAACACCGATCAAAGCGATATATATGAAGACGGTGAAGTGTATACCTAAAATTTCACCATAGGCAAAATTTTATAGTCACAGAAATATGTCCAAGTTATACAATATTTCATAGAACTATTTATAAAAAACAACTAAATCAATATACATGCTCTAATTTGGTTTGTTGAGATTGTAATGGTGAACATATTATACCCCGATTGAACCTGCACTGTAATAGACTGTACGGTAATACAAACACGCAATCATTATGCGAGTAGGGAATTTTATATATTCATATTCACATTCCTTATGTCATGGGAAAACGTAATTGTTGTGGAATTCAGGGGAAGTGATGCGCAGAGACCTATTCTATCAGCTACAGGCCAACTGGCCTAACTAGGAAGTAGATGTCATTCAGGGGAAACACCAGGAATCACAGTATCTCAACCAACTGAGTCTCTTGCATTCCTATCTGGGTGCTCCACTAACTAAAGGATTGAGGGGAAGAATGGATCGTTAGATATTTCCGCACCACAAAGTCGGGCGGATTATAGTGTTTCCGTAACAGTAATTGATCCAATTAAATGGGTAAATATGCATATGAACAATGAGCCGCAGAAAGAAAGAAGAAAAGAAAATCTGACCAGAAGAAAAGGGGGTTCATTCCGAGCCTGCGGGCTCGGAATGATACATCACATTTGTATAAGGAAGGTGAGAGACTCAGGTGTCAAATGTTTACTCTCTGGGGCCAACCCCTAACTTGCTCCTTTTGCAGCACTATCCGGGGCCCTAGAGACTCATAGCATCTCTATCTGTAAAATAGAGACACTAGGGCTGTTCACGATCTCGCAATCCTGAATTATCGCCAGTTCGCTGATGGGATCGCGAATCATCAGGTTTTCCTAATCAAGACTAGCTAATTACTCTAGGTTGCTTCCAGCAGCGGTGACTCTACTAGAGCTTTGTGTTTCTTCTTTTTCTCCTCCTATTGATAAAGACTATATCTAATATTGTTAGAGAGATACCTCAATGCCACCAACAGGCGTTAGGGTCTGCTAAAGGAGATAATATTGCCCTTTTTGTATTATTCACTTAAATCACTGGAGTTGTTAAATAGTATAAAGGCCCGATCGCATCAACTTGTCTGTGCTATAGCCCCTACCTAGTTTCTATGTATATTTGCTAACTGCTTCCCACACCTTTTCTTGGCCCTGCATAAGAACTAAATTCGTATTAGGAGCAGGCTATAGGTTCTTTGCGTGACTCTTTTCCCACGGATGCTCTTTTTTAACTAACTGTATAAGGTCTTTATATGCTGTACTACGCGGGCTGATGTTAAAGTCAAATGGAGCAGGGTGGAGAATAATACCAGGGCGGAATTCTAGCCAAATATCTACCTGTTAGCCGTTTTAAATCGCGTTACTAATATTAAACACGGCCACGGACTGAGCAATACTGATATAAAGGTTTAAGTCGGCCAAGGTGCGACCTAGACAGCTGTAATATCCAAAGCCAAAGGCAAACTCATGCGGATCTTGTTTAGGGGTATAGCCGTCGCGGGGTAGAAAACATTCTGGTTTAAAGGTTATTAGGTCGTGGTATATATCAGGGTCATGCAGGAAGGCCCTTGGAAAGTTAGAGACTAAGGAATATTGCTATATTAGAGAATACTTAGATATACCAGATAATTGGGATTACTTGTGCTCCTCTTAGAATACGGTAGCCTTCACAGATATTATCCTCTGTGGCCAGGTGGACAAAGCCCATCGCTCTGATAGGAGAGACTCCTTGAAATGTCACTAGAGGAAGGAAGCGACAGGAGTTGCACTAACTCCATGCCTTAAGCTATAGTTGCCAATAGAGTAGAGATACTGACGGGCCGTCGGGCATTCTAAAGGCTAGGAGCTGGAGCGACAGCTTAGCGCCACTTTTATCCACAGTTGGAAATGCGGGTTTCATTGGCCCAAAGATCCATCATCTGCAGAAGTGGATCACCGCTGCGGAGAGTGGGGCACGGCAGGAAAACTGTGTTCTTACCACAATGTAGAAGGGAGGTGAATCAATATAATGACAATTCATGGGCTGACTGGAGTTTGATTGGTGGGGACCTGTGGGCAAATTTGCATGTTTCATGCTTCATGTCCCTACGGTAGCTCACAGGTCAAGCCACCCTTATCCCCAATAGCGGCGGGCATCGGATCCATTGCGAGATTTCTCCCACCCTTCCTCTATCAAGACACGCTGATGCCTTAGTAGGTAGCTCTGTACTCTGGAGGGTGTTCCAATGATAAAGCCAAGATCCTGGGATCACTACATTCAGAATACCTCTGGACTTCCGGTGAAGACCCGACGGATGATGATGGCTCCTAAACGAATTGCTATCTTGGGCTGGCCAAAAACCCCCAGTAATTAATTCCCTGTATACCCGTCTCCTGCGCGGCTCACCGCTCACCGCTTCGGCGGACCCTCTCCTGGGGGTCTGCTACAGCTCAATTATAATTGCAGCTCAATTATAAAAAATTCATTATACTAAGTATATCTAATTTTTGAAGTTATTCCCACCACACAAATGTCTAAATCAACCTACAAAGCCGAGGAGGAGATTATTCAGAAAGCTCTATACCTATACAATAAAGAAAAACACGAAAATACGCGCGTGAATATTTCAAAACTTGCACGGGAATATGGGGTCAACTACCAACGCCTTCGTTTAAGATCCAAGGAAAAAACACAAATCTACCGGAAACGTACTAATCTACGCCTGGATCCTGCTCAGTATGATGCTTTATTTGATTATATTGATCGATATGATGATGCAGGCGCTCCACCAAGTATTAGTGCTATCCGAAAAGCTGCAAATGCAATTCTACGGAACAGTCATACAGATTCTTCAATACACCACCAGAAGTCTAATAAATTGGCCATACCGATTTTTGAAGCAGCATGATCAATATTTTAAAGGAAAAAGACGAGTAATTGATATGGATCGTCACAATGCAGAGGATACTGCATTGATTTCACAGTGGTATAACTATTTAAAGCTTCAAATTGAAGCAAAAACTCTGCAGGATGAAGATATATGGAATTTCGATGAAACAGGTTTTCGAATTGGACAGGGACGGGTTGAGACAATTGTGACTCAATATCCTACAAGAAATAATAATATTGCAAGCGCGTCAACACGGATAACTGTAACCTCAATTGAATGCGCAAATTCAATGGGTTATACTATACCACCAGTGTTGATCATGCCAGGCAAGGTTCAGTTGGAGGCTTGGTATGGCTCTACAAGTCTTCCAGATTACTATATTCTGGAGGTATCAGATTCAGGCTATATAAATGATGTAATAGCGTACAGCTGGCTACTTCATTTTGATTACTTTCCTGCTAAGCGGCAGCGAGGCGGGTATCGGTTACTTTTAATGGACAATCATGAGTCTCATCTAACTGTTGAATTTGTCCAATACTGCCAGAATCATAAGATTTTATTGCTTACATTTCCACCTCACCTAACCCACCGGCTTCAACCACTTGATTCAGTTCCTTTTCAGCAGCTTAAAATGGCTCATGGCCAGGCAGTCAACGCAGTATCACGATTCCGCGGAGAAAAATATGATAAACTGGAGTTTTTATATGATATAGATGGTATCCGTAAGCGTGCGCTTACTGAGCGTACAATCAAGGCAGGGTGGCGGGAGGTAGGAATCCGGCCGTGGAATCCTTCTCTTGTACGAGCCTTTAAAAATATATGATGGAGATCATATAATTGAGAATTTTGAAGATATTACTGTGTCCACAACTACTGCTACCACTACCACCACCACTACTACCACCACCACCACCACCACCACTGCTACAGTGCAGAAAACACCGTCGCCACCACGAGAGGAAGAGAACAAAACCCCTACAACACTACGCTCGTTTAGGAAGGAGGTGATGATTTATCGGAGGTCAAAAATAGAGCTATCTCCTTCGGTTGATCGTCTGCTCCGTGGTGGGTTAACCCAGGCAGAAAAGTATGCAATGTCATCTGTTGCACTTGATGAAGCTTTAGCTTCAAAGAATAGACCTTCCAATTCCACAACCCGAACACGCCGCTGGGTGCATATGGACGGTCTCATATATGCAAAAGACGTTAATCGTCATATTGAGGAGAAAAAAATCAAGGAAGCACAGAAGCGTTGGAAATCTACGCTTAAAAGACATCAACGTGAGGCAAAAGCATTAATGGAGCGGATTGCTAAAGATGTTGATGAAGCCCCAACGCCGGCTCCAGCAAGCGCTGAAAGGGACAAATCTGAAGATTTATGGTTTGTAGATTTAGAAGGCGATCATAATATGCCTTCGTCTTTTCTTGAATAGGCAATTTTTGAGGTTTATTTTCAATATAATGAATTTTTTATAATTGAGCTGTAGCAGACCCCCTCCTGGGGGTCTGCCGAAGCGGTGAGCGGCGAGCTGCGCAGGAGACGGGTATACTGGAGCTGAATAACGCTAACTGCCCCAATGTAACATAGGAACGACACCTTCAGAGAGTCTAAACCATTCTAAGGAAGTGATAAACACTGACTATTTGTGATGAGTGTGAGCTAGTAGCTACTTGGGTTATATTAATCTTCCGATATCGAGGATTGAGTAAGTGGCAAATGTGCATATTATTCCACTCTAACTAGAGCCCTGTGAGGTCCTAGTGGGTGAAAAGTCCCATCAGCGCTGACTACTTGCGGTAATGATCTCGGCGTTTTGATTATTGGGAACATCTCTGATCTACATTACCAAGCATGAAGACTGCTCGATCAGCCTATCTGTCACTAGAGGCGGCGAGAGGCCGTCAGACTCCGACTAACACTAAAGCCGCGATGAGCACTGACTATTTGTGATGAGATGTGATACACCTGAAATCTTCAGCATCCAAAAAAGCAAATTATGAATGACTTCAGCCTCAGCTGAGTTTAGCCTTCCAGGTCAGATTTGTCTTGTTATGAAGAAAGTTATATAAAGGGCGCAAGGGAGTGGCGCCACTTCCGTCAATGTTGGACAACAACAATGTTTGTCATCAGCTATGTGGCTTTCCTAGCCCTGCTAGGCAGTAGCGTGTCTGCATTCGGCTCTCATGCAGCCAAGAATGGTCTCCTGCAGGTGCCTCCATCATTCGCTCGGGATGGCATCTTCTTATACCCTGCTCTTCACCCAGAACATGATCCCAATGACCTCAACCATTTGGTCCCCGAGAATTCTAAACAGTTGTACTACAGCCAGGAGGGCCACCGGCGTGAGTACTGCCTTGTACCTACAAAATTGCGTTGTTGTCTAACTGGCTTCTAGCTGCCTTGCACGGTTCCAAGCATGCTCAATTGCAGCCAACCTTTTCATATCCCACGGCTGTGTTAGAGCATTCGAGCCATATCAAAGATGTTACGTGTCATGATGGCCACATCAAGGTCTGCTTCAAAACCCACGAGGCATTGCAGACTGTGGAAAAATCTTGGAAGCACGATATGGACTCAGAGATATTCCACCTGATAACCTACCATGTCGGGTGTGGACACCTGACAGGGGAACAGCGTTCTATTTTCCGTGCAACACAGCCTGTCTTTAATGAAAAATGTGTGACTGTTGCTGCGGAGCTCCTTGATCCGAAGGAAGCGTTCAAGGCAGGCGAGCTGTCATGGGGAACATATGTCAACCCGCACATTGCCAAGCGCCAGCCTGTTAAAGGGCACATACGTGCTGCTGCACCTGAGGGGACAGGTGGAAATGATACTGTCAATCTGACTGAGGATGCAAAGGCGGTTAAATACTTCTTCGGAACGGACCAGATTAACACTGACATACCGAGCACCTACATGACGGGACTCGATTCCCTCTCTGACGACGAGTATGAGGACCATGTAAGGCGGGGTCTGTTTTCTTGGATTGTTGAAGGGATAAAATCAGTTGTCAAGGTAAGCAGCCTATGGAACTAGACATTACTATGAGTATGGCTGAAAAGAGCAGGCAATTAGCAACTTCTTTAAGGGCGTCGTGGATAGGGTGGAGGCTGCCGTCAATATTGTAATAAAAATTGCGGCAGTTACTGTTAAACTGTTACTGGTGCCCTTTGGGGTTCCCTTTAATGAGGCCTACCATGCGGACATGGACTTTGACCACCGAGCGGGTGGAGGAAGGCTATCAACCGACTTAGGCAGTGCACTTTCTATGATATCGGACAATTTTGTGGTCTCGCAACATGGAGCCGGCGCGAGCATTAAATGTGTAAGTTGTGGAGCTAAGGGGAAGTTCACTTTTGATGGGAAATTAGCGTTTGATGTCTCCCATGGTATCTCCAGAGCAGAGGTTTCCTTCATTAATCATGATCCATTTTTGATTGATGCTATATTTGCGCTCACTGTTGATGCCAGAGCATTCAAGACCAAACCCAACAACGAAAACGGATTTAGTATGACGGCGGAGAAGCAGATAGCTGCAGTACCATTATCACCATTTACTATTCCAACAATCATCACCCTTGGGCCAGAAGTCTCTGTTAATGTCGCAGCAAGCATCTACTTTGATGCACATGGGGAGTTCACGGCTGGCGCAAGGTTTTCTATCTCTGAGGGCCGTCTGGTACTGAATGTGACGGACAAAGACAGAAATGAGGCATCAGGCTTTAAACCATCCCTTGAGCCGGTATTTAACATGACGAAGGGAAACATTGTCGCTACTGCAGACCTAGCCTTGCCAGTTGGTCTTGAGCTCGGGGTGGATGTTCTCATGGGTACATGGAAGAAGACTATTGGAGTGTTTGATGCCCCTTCGGTCTATCTTACAGCAGGTCACTCCAAAGGCGAAGGGCATGCCTGTGATGGGGTCGAGTTCCGCGCCGGAGCCAAGGAACGAGTCTATTCCTCAGCCCTGGGCATCTGGGAGTATGAGTTTAAAGAACTAGGGAGGACGTTTTATGAGACTGGAATTGGCTGTCTCTCGTAATGAATCCTTCGCGATCCTTTTCGGATGGAGCGAGCTAATGACTTGAACAGAGCCAATGGGTGGGACGCACAGAAAGTGGAACCTTCTTCTGGATTTTTCGCCGAAGTTGCGGAGTCGCTTGGTGGCGTGCACAGCCTGCCTTCTAGTAAAACACTCAACCTTACTCGGCCTGGCCCTATTATTCACGAGGACGAGCATTTCGAGGAAGAGAATGAAAAGAAAAAACACAAGTTGAGGAAGTTGCCGAAGACCAACGGGTTCCGACTGATCCAGGATGCCCAACAGACAGCAATCCTGGTCTCTGGAACAGATGGCAAGATGTATATGGTCGACAACTCGGTGGATTACGATGTCAGCGCTCCCTGGGGTGCTATGGATCTCAAGAAGGACATTTTTAGTTATGATGTCTTTGGCCGCCTAATCTACTACAATGCCTCTCAAGATTTTTCTGTCATTCCCGGCTTTAATGCAACAGTGAACTCTATAGACTCTATGTTGAAAGAGTTACCTGCTGAAGCAAGAAAACTTTATTCCGGTCTATTTGACCCCAATGTCCTAAAAGGTGGGATGGTCGAATTGGGCGTCGCCCGTGCGGAGGAGATGCCTAAAGCTGTCCGAGTTGCGTAGGTTGAGCGCCTCCTTGACATTTTGGTTCAATGTTAACCCCCCAGAATAGGACTCTGTCGGTTCTGAAAGGTTCTCAGGACACTAGTATCTATGGAGTGGCATTCAATGGCACATTTGTCAAAACAGTCCTTGGTGTCCCTGTTTCCGGACCAGAAGAAATAGAGGTGATCTGGTTTCCCACAGTGTGCCAAGATCCTGGCCAAGGACTTCGACTTTATGCGTCGAAGTACCTAGTTGACGAAAATGGAAATGCAAAATCAGAACACAACTACAACGCAAACTTACAATACGACATGGACCGACTAATCTTGAATTTGGATAGCAAGCGAAAGGTGTGCCGCACCGTGAGATTGACTTCAGACGCGAAAAGCACTGTCTAGGGAGAGGATGACCCTTAAATATTTGGGGAAGATATGACCGTTGCAATGTCACAGAGGACAAGCCTTTTACAAGCCACTGAGTGTTTTATCGATGCTTACCGGTGGACCTTGTATTTTTTGTCATATTAGGTATACATAATTATTAGTGATTAACAGATAGCATCATTCTCATGTTTTCCTATTCAGATGTAGAAGGATTAATAACTCACAGACCCTTGACAAAATATAGATAAGGATTTGTCCTAATATACTAGATAAGTTATGGGTTGCTCTTTCAACAAGAGCTAAATAGCTAAAGAAGAGATGTTGATCCTGAAGACAAATTGAAACTCAACAGCATTTGCATTCTTCCGTATATAAGAAGTACTTTTAGATTACAGTACCGATGCCCTTTTGTTTTTATAGAAAGAATAAATTTAATCATTTTAGGTATAGGACCGTGACAGTAGGAGGACTTAGCGAGAAAATTGATTTCTGGGGAGTGGCCTTAATGGCTTGCCGTACCACGCCGAGGTAACTTCGAACCACGCTCAGCTGGAACCCGACTAAGGTGTATGGTTAGACTAAAAAGGTACCCCTGCATATTCTAAAATTTCCGCGGATAGTCTCCCTCTCCCCTTATTTCTTAGCATTAACAGAATATATTACACCATATACTAGTTAGCTAATTCATAAATCAGAGCCTTCTAGTTTTAGTTTTTCTATTACACCATTAGATGACAACAAAAAAGAAGTCAGGGGCTGAACCCTTTGAACCTATAATAGACTATGTACAAAAAGGAATCGTTGAAAGGAAGAGGAAAAGAGCAGGTAAAGGACATAGGGGGCGAACAAGGTCCGCAGGGAAAATAGGGACAATAGGGGCGGGTATAATAGTTATACTCCTGGGGACAGTAAGGACAGTAGGGATAATAGGGATAATAGGGTAAACGTAGTCAATTGGCCAATTTGGCCGAGAGGTCAAACGGGCTCTATTTAGCCATTTACACCCGGACCTGCACAGTTATTCCAAGAAACTATTGCATTGTAGTGCTATCATACAAGAAATCGAGTCTAAAGAAGGAAAGAGAAGAAGACGGAGTGGGTATACTGTTCCAGGGATTCAATTTCAGGAAGGTATTTTCGATTGAGCTGAAGCAGAATATCTGCAAATTGCCCATATAACGTCTCCAGTCTCCTGATATCAATATTTGGATCGAGCCACGGTCGGTTTTAATGCCAAATCCAGGCGTGTTCAGGGCCTTGGTCATGTTCGTTTCGTGCTCAATGTGATCCATGATGAAATACCACCGACTGAATTATCCCCCTCAAACTCCATTTGCGCACCATTGCTCGCGATACCATACCATAGATAAATCACTCCATGCTTCGTTACTCAATAGTGAACTAACCGATTCAGTAACCAACACGACGACTCATGCGGATTTTTCCGATCAAACTGGCAAAGCTTCGATTGCTGAGTATGAAAAGTACGATATGGCTTTATTTGGTACTTCCGACATGGTTAAGTGCTAACTTGACACAGCCGCGGTCATAACAGAAACCATTTGTATAAGGTCAGCTGATCCGTATACGCCCTCTGCTAATGGTCTACACCAGTGTATTCTCCAATATACACATATCTTTTGCACTTCATGACTACTCTGTCCAGGAATTCCCTTCTGCGCTCATTCCTTCATCAGTGGGCATTACCAAACCTATGCTGGCAGATCCCTGGACGTCAAATCCTCACTCCTGCTCGCCACCAACGCACCAAACTCGTTCAGCGACGCGCTCTGGAGGATGTCAAATACAGTGACTTTAGCCTTTGCGCCGCTGCTCAGCCAGTTGCGTAGTTCCACAGCGACGAGCGAATCGACGCCGTAGCGCGACATCGGCAACTCGGCGTCAATATCCGAGAGGGGAATATTAAAAATTTCTGCAATCTTAGCCAAGATCGCCTGGACCAGCAGTGCCACGGCCTCGGTGAGAGTCGAGGCCTTCGAGAGTGCTTGCGCGAGCGCGGCCGTAGAGGTCTTGCTGGTGGATGTGGTGGCTGTCTCGATTCCACGCTGGCTGGCAATGCGGAGCGTACCGAAGCGTCTGTCATGGCTCATGAATGACTCGGTGACGAGGGTGTGGAAGTTGGGCCCAACAACGACCTGGCTCTTCGACGGCGACTGGCGCAGAGACTCACTGATTCCATGTCCAACCATCCGCAATACATGATCCAGATCGACAGAGCCAAAACCGACATTCTCGACTCGTGCCCGCAGACGGTCGTCACCACTGGCTTCTCTATCTGCCACGTACCCAACCGACTTGACAGCACCGAGGTCGATGGTCACGGCCGGTAGACCGCGTGCCGTTCGGTACCGAGCAAGGGCATCCTCAAAGGCGTTGCCAGCGGAATAGTTGGCCTGGGACATGTGGCCGGCCACACCAGCCACGGATGACAACATGACAAAGAACGCCAGGTCAGGAAGATGTGTATGGAGATTCCAGCTGCTGTTGATCTTCGGCCGGACAGCATTACTCCATTGTTCGAATGTCATGCGCTCCAGGACAGTGTCGTCGAGTACCATGGCTCCGTTGATCACTCCGCGGAACGGGGGCAATGTCTCCGAGCAGTCACGGATCAGTTGGAGCAGACTCGTCTCATTTGAAACGTCGCAATCGTGGATCTGGAGCCGGCATCCTGCCGTCTCGGCCATCTTGGCAAGCTGAGGGGCTTCAGGATGGGATGTGGCACGGCGTGAGACGAGCACCAAGTTCTTCGCACCGCTTTCAATCATCCACGGCGCAATGGCACGGCCAATGCCACCTAGTCCGCCGACAATCAAATAGGTCTCATCAGGGCTATCCAATGAGACGGGCGATGGGCGGCGGATGAACTGTTGAACACTGATCAGCTCAAATCCAGAAAGGAGAGAAAAAGAAATCATCACGTACCTTGATTCTATCCTCATCATGCGGTACGAGGACCAGCTTGCCCATGTGCATTCCTCCTTGCATTTGACGCATGGCCGTGGCCATCTCAGACATTGGGTACGGCGTAACGGGTTGCACAGGAGAGATTCCACGCTCGTGGATGATGTTGAGACTCTCCGACAGCGCCGCGTGCGTCAGTCTGCCACGATAGTAAGTTGCAACAGGTCGAAACTCGAAAACATGGAACAGCGGGTGAATGGGGCTGTCTGTAACCAGCGGTTGGCCTCCATGTCCACCTTCGTGATATCAACAAAGCGGCCGAAACGAGCCATGCAATCCCAAGATGCCTTCAACAGCGGCCCAGACAGAGAGTTAAGAATTACATCAACTCCCTTGCCATTTGTTTTAGCCATGATACCCGCAGCAAAGCTTTCAGAACGGCTGGCGAAGATATGATCGGGCTTGATGCCGTAGTGTTCGACGAGAAGGCCTCGCTTCCCTTCAGTGCTGCAGGTAGCGAAGACCTCTGCTCCAACATGCTGCGCAATGACAATCGCGGCTTGGCCAGTTGCACCGGATGCAGCATGGATGAGCACTGATTCGCCCTTCTGGAGTCCTGCAACTTGAATTAAACTGCCATAAGCCGTGGTGTAAGCCGCTGGGAATGAGGCTGCCATTTCCCAAGGCATTTCGTCCGGCAACTTCACAACCGAAGTCCAGTAAGTTCGCCCCTTGCTCGCGATACGGCCCTTGCACAATGCTGCAACGCGGTCGCCAACCTTCAAACCGCTTTGCTCCGTATTGGGACCTAGACGGGTGATGATGCCGGAGCACTCGTAGCCCGTCAGAGGCTCTTCCAGTTGGCCGAGCGCAACCATCACCTCACGGAAATTCAGGCCAAAAGCTTTTGCCTCCACTTCCACCATCTCACTTGGCACATCCGTAGATAGGATCACTGGATTCTCCACGAAGTATGAGTCCAGGCCCGTACTCGGCGACGTCTCCCATACCAGAGGCTTGTCAGGCTGATGAAATGCTTCAAGCGTAGGTTTAAGAGGAAGTTTGAGGTTCCTGGCAATGGCATCTTGAGTTTTCTCAGGGAAGATCCTGGGCACATGAAGCTGGGAATCTGCTACCGAGTACTCCCATTCAATGTTGCCTGTCTCAGCGTCCTTGTCGAATGACCGCTCCAACACATGAATAACGTGTCCAATCTTGTCGCTTGTCCACGGATTTTCGTCGTTTTCAAAGTCCAATCGGATCCATCGTGTGTGAGAATCCTCTTGTCTCATCGTTCGCAGAAGACTCTCCGAAGCCGAGAAGACTGAGTTCTAGGAATGAACAAGGCCACCACAGCTGAGCCAGAGCATGCCACTAGAGAGAAGGAGAAGGCTCTTGAGCTTTTGGAAGGCGTCTGCATCCATGCCGTGTACAAATGGATTTCCCATTTCAAGCGCAACGGTGCAGACTGTGTCTTTGAATGAATCAACGTCACTCAAGTCCACGAGCATTGGCAAAACACCTGTCTTCTCTCGAATTGCCTCGGATAGCTCTGCCAACCACTCCTGGGGCTCCTGCGCCGTCTTGTCCTCAACCACAATGGAGATGGGCGCTTGCACCGTTGCGGAAGTCCTCGATAGCATGACACGCGCTGACTGGAACTCAGGTTCCTCATAGTCGCTGATTTCAAAGTCAACGCCGGTGAATCCAGTATCCCGCAGGACGCGATCCCACATCTCGAGTGGAGCATTGGGACTCTTCTGCCGCTCAGGCTCTTCTCCAAGCCACCACCCCGGCAAGGTCCCGAAGATGAGCTGCCCTTCAAGACGATCGGCAGTAGTCTCGATGAGCAACAGCGTGCCACCCGGCTTGAGCATCTTCCGCACATGCTTCATGGTCGTATGGAGGTTCTTGGTCGCATGAAGCACAGAGGCCGCCACAATGAGATCGAAGCTGCCAGAAGTAAAGGATTGTGCGAGCGGGTCAATTTCAATGTCGAGTTTCTTGAAATCCATCATCCTTGCCCACGGAGCAAACTTCTCTCTTGCGGCCTCAAAGAAGCCTGGCGAAATGTCTGTGAAGGTATAATGACCGAGGATAGTACCGTTGTCAACACCTCTCTTGCCGAAAGCCTCAAGGATCGTACTCGTCGCTCCTCCTGTACCGCCTCCAATCTCCAAAATATTAGCGCCAGGATTCTTCACTGCGTATAGCTCCACAACGCGAGCGAGATGCGAGTAGCATCGGGTCTTGAGAGCCTCGTGCTGCATGTAAAATTGATTCAGGAGATCACCTTCCATCATCAGCTCGAGCGGCATAATGTCTCCGCGGATGATGCTCGCGAGCTTTTCCCCAATCCGAACAGTGAGTCGACCAGCCGCATTCCCTGCGCTGAGCTCGTCCGCCAGGATCCTCTTCGCACCTGGGCTTAGCTTAGACCATGCCTGACTGTTGGGTCCGTGTTGTCCGGCTTCACCAAGTGTCACAACCTCTCTCATCCAAGCGTACAATCGCTTGTGTGCCATTCCCAGGATTCGGACTCTTGGGATTCAAGTTCCGCGGCGGCATCATGGATGAAGATGTAGGATATCCGGGTCAGTTTCTTCTCTTGCTCAATCTCATGTCCTTTCACTGGAATGACCATGGATTCTCTGAAAGAGGCGGGAGGGTTGTGAAGGATATCCAATTCCCAGCAGTTGATGGAGCAGATGCCCGCCTCCTCGTCTGAATCTTGGACACGACGAGGAATTGCCGAGCCAAAGAAATCCTTGATCTCAAGGAAAGAGCGGGTTGTATCAGAATTATCAAACATGACCGTTATGTCTGATGAATAGCCACGCGGATCTCCTGTGACCATCTCAGTGAAAGCTCTCAATCTTTCACCACCTTGTCTCTTGAAATTCTTCGGAACATCGATTGTGCGAATCGAACGAGGAAGAACCATGGAGTCCTCCCCAATATCATCTGGCAGGCTGCTAAACGACGATTGCAGAATAGAGTCCAGCGTAGTGGGATGCAGAACATACTCATGCTCCTGGCAAGCGATGTCTGAGATTGCGAAATTCGTAATTGCTCCGTTACGAGCTGCGTGACTGTCAATGATATTCTGGAAGAGTGGACCGTGGTAGGTTCCGCGCTGACGCAAACCAGCGAAAAGTGAATCAATGTCGATAGGGCATGGATCAACACCGTCGGCAAAAAAGGCATCTTCTCGTGAAAATTCGCGCTCATCATTGAGCGCGGTGATTCGGACCTCGCTCTCAGTTTCAACGGCGACATACCCTCTGCAGTGCTCAATCCACGGTGCATCGGCACTCGCCAGAGAGCAGAGTTCGAATTGATACCAGCCTTCGTGGTCAAGCTCTCTGTTGCTGCAACGACGCAGCTGGAGTTGCACTTCCACTCCCATTTCGGAGTCGGGAAGCACCAATGCATTCATAATGTCGATGTCTCGCAGCCGGTACTTCCGAATTGTGCTCTCGGAACGATCAGTGATAAGCCGTATGGCCTCAATAGCCATGGCAATGTACCCGGCGCCAGGGAAAACAACTGTACCATCGATCTGATGATCCTGGAGCCATTCAATCTCCGAAAGACGGAGGAAGTTTCTCCAAGTGGGAGTGAGAGCATTCGATCCATTCAGAGGGGTGCCTAGTAGCTCGTGAGGAGGGAATTTCTTGAACCGCTGTTCTTTGGCAATCCTTGGCTCCACCCAAAAGCGAGTTGAATGATTCCACGGATAAGAAGGCAGATTGGCCAAAAAGGTATGGTGAGCATCCTCAGTAGGAGAGTTGACCGACTTGAGATCCACTGGATAGCCCTGAGACAAAAGCTCACATGCGAGGTCTTGCATTGTCTCCACGGCATTCATTGGCCGCCTGAGACAAGACACATAGGGCATTTTGACATCCTTTTCCTTCTGGATCTGGCGAATTGGGCCGGCCAAGGTGCTGTGAGGCCCGATCTCTAAAATAAGATCAACATTAGCAGAGTGAGCTGAAGAGTCCGATGAGCTGAAGCACATGTTCTCAAATTCCCGACGGAATTGAACCGGCTTGGTCAAATTTTGAACCCAGTGTTCGGCCCTGAATGTCTTGACTGCTGTCACAGCCTCACCCGTTACCGGCGATGCAAACAGGGGGCCATTCCATTCCGGCGTCACAGGAAGGTCAAGCAATTCCTCAAGTCGTTCGGTATATTCAGCCACCATGGGCATCATGTAGTGGGAGTGATAGGCCATGGGGACCTTGAGCTTCCTGGTGAATACTCCCTCTTTTTCGAACCTAGCAGCAATCTCGTCGAGAGTGTCCAAGTCCCCGGAGAGGGTAACGCTGCTGGGGCTGTTGACACAGGCCACGACGACACCGCCGGTAGGGGCGATTTCAGCAATGTGTCGCTCAGCACTCTGTTGGTCAATGCCTACGGCAAGCATTCCACCCGTAAGGGAGGACACTTTGAGTTGCTTGCGGGCTAGCTCGCCACGGTAATAAGCCACACCGAGTGCCTGTTCGAAAGGCAGCGCTCCGACTGCATAGGCCGCGGCAATCTCACCACTGAAATGGCTGGTGATGGCAGAAGGGGTGATGCCCCAGGACTTGAGCAGATCGACGAGGCCGAGTTGAATGGCAACGCTAATCGGCTGACTCAAATGGATTTCGGATACTCGTGTCGAGTTTTCATCACGATTGAGTTCATCTGCCAATGTATTGTGAGCAAGCTTTATATGTTGGTTAGATTAAGCTCATACCGATCAATGACCAAGAGGCCCCGTATTCCTTCAGGATCTTTCCAGCATTAGAGATGGCATGGCCAAAAACAGGGTACACAGTAAGAAGCTCTCTAGCCATTGCATGCCATTGGGCACCCTGGCCATTGAACACAAACCCTAAACGTGGCTTTTTATACGCAAATGAGGGCTTGCGTTCCGACTCACGGAGTCGTTCAGCCAGGTCTTCAATTGACGTGGCCCGGACAGCAGCAACCCAGGGGTGTAGTGATCGACGCTCATTGAGCGTATAAGCAAGGCTGTCTGGCGATGGTGACGTCTCAATAATATGAGAAGCAAGACGGTCCATCACGGACCGACAGGCAGCAGAGTCCCTCGCGCTGACCACGAAAACGCGCGAGTTATCACCCGATCGACTTCCTTCATGTGTCGACTGTCCATTCAGGTGATAAATTGCTGTTAGGGATGGCGCAGGCTCCAAGATAACGTGAGCGTTCGTTCCACCGTAACCAAAGTTGTTGATTGAAGCACGAAGGACATTGTCTTCCGGCCATGGCGTCAACCGTGTCGGCACCTCCAAATAGCCCTTATCAAGGTCAATGTTTGAATTCGGAGTCTCATAGTTGAGGTTCGGAGGGATCGACGCTGTTTTCAACGCAAATGTAGTCTTGATGACGGCTGCAAGGCCACTGACGGCTCGGTGTGGCCAACATTTGTCTTCACAGAGCCAACCCGTACCTTGTCATTTGCCTGGCGAGCTTTTCCAAAGGTTCTCGCAATTGCCTCGGCCTCAACGGGATCCCCAGCTGCTGTGTCGGTCATGTGAGCCTCCACGTAGCCCAGTCTGAGAGATATCAAGCCCTGCACGACGGTAGCATTGTTCAATCAAGTTGACCTGGGCGTCGGCAGATGGGGAGGTAATTGTGGTCGTCTTCCCGTCATGGTTGACTCCGCTGTCCTTGATGACGGCATATATTTGGTCACCAGCGAGCAGCGCGTCATCCAGAGGTTTGAGGATGAGTGCTGCTACACCCTCGCCACGGCCGTAGCCGGCAGCACGATTGTCCCAAGCGAAGCATTTGCCTTCGGAACCGATGGCACTATCAAGACTTCCTGTCAGTTATGTTCTGGTGGAAGAGATGCATGCAATCCTGCAAACTCGCACTTACCCAATAGTGGATGCTGAAATGAAGGCATCTTGACTAAGCAGTGTACTAGAAGCACCGACAATTGAAATGTTGCTCTCCCCAGTGCGAATGCTTTGGCACGCTTGGCGGACTGCCACCAGGCCCGACGAACAGCCCGTGTCGATGGAAAGACTTGGTCCTTGCAAATCAAAGAAGTGCGAGATGCGGTTGGAGAGAATTGCAGTGCCTGTGCCAGCGAGAAAAGAGCGGGTCAAAACTACAGCATCCTTGGTCTGGATTTCATGGTAATCTTTGTTGAATGTTCCGGTATAGACCGATGTATTGGTGCCAGCGAGCTTGTCCAGAGGGATGCCAGCTAAGTGGGTCAGCTTATCCGACAATTCTTCACAGAAGCACAAGGGGCAGGAGCTTACCATCTTCTGTTGCTTCGTAGACAGTCTCGAGCAACAATCTGGCTTGAGGGTCAAGCCCCTGTTTCTCGACGTCAGCTTCTTCAACGCTCGGGGTGTAAATGGGCCCCAACTTACACTGGCGATATCTGAGGCCATATTGAAAAAGGCGGCGTCAAAAGAAGCGACATCATCGTCCAGGAAGTAGCCATCAATAACATGGCTCTGCATATACGTCAGCCCTCATTGTGGTTGACTCAGCGAGGTACACAATGACCCTTCCCGCTTTGCGGGCATGCCATAGAATGGGAAACTTACTCTGCCAGCTTTTGAATTATCAGGATGGTACAGCGACTTCACATCAAAGCGCGAATCGGGGATAGGAGACCAGCCATTCTTCCCATTCGCGCAGAGTTCCCACAGCTGGGTAGGATTCCTGACGTTCCCACTGAAGCGGCAAGCCATGCCAACAATCGCAATGGGGATCGAGGGGCTCGTGGAATTGTCGTGGGAGGGTGCCTGTTGCCGTGGCAATTCGCTGCCATTCATGGTGGCTCCGTTGGTTCTGGGGGAGTCGCCTGGCTGAGTCGTGTCAGGGTTGGGAATAGGAGCCATGTTCAGTAGCTTAAAATAACACCGTGTATTTCACTACTTGTTCACTTGGGAATCTAGACAGTCCCGGGTTTGGCAAGACTCGAACACACAGTCAATATCGCATTATATATACACTAGTGATAATTATGAGACTTGGGGACGAAGCTTAGAACCATCGTTCTATTCCGATTCGTTTGTCCAAGCCTTGTCACCTTCTCTCTCATATTCAGTGTTCGTGGTGGAGCCTTGTCCGTTAGCACTGTGCGTGGACCTCCCAACACGGATGGTGTGTTACTTAGCTTCAGATTTCCCAAAGAGGAAACGTCCGATGAGTTCCAACATGCCGGTACAGCCCATCCAGCAGCGTTTTTCAACCGTTGAGCAGCAATAATGGAATAATGGCGGCTCTCGTTCTCCTCATACCACTTGCTCGGATATTTCCATATCTGAGGCTGAACAGATGGCAATAGTCGGCGGAATGAACCCAAAGATATCTGATGCCGTTTGGGGCACGTCGGTCACCCGTCAACCGCGATTGGAGAATGCCAGCAAAATGTACAATTGTTAATCCAGATATTCAAAGTCCACGAAACCTGGCATCTATTACATTTTCTTAGTTTCCTACACTGTGCGGGACCGCTAGAAAAAAATATGGATATACTATCACTGAACCATCTACCTTTGATTGCAATCGTCCTTCTCGCATTCATCCTCTGCTATGTTTTCAAGTGAGCATATCCAAGCCCATATCCAGGCATCCCATACAATGCTGCCTCGGCAAGAAAGTTCTGGGGAGACTCGTCGGGGCTGCTCGACGCTGTCAAGATAACCCCGGACCCAGCGAAATTCATCTTCTAGCAGAGCAGGAAGCTCAACTCTCCCGTGATTCAGCTCTTTCTCGCGCCCTTTTCAAATCCCACAATCATTACTGATGATGTTCGCGAGGTCAAAGATATTCTCAGCAACCGCACGCACGAATTCGATCGCTCTCCCAGAACACCAGATGCTTATCGCTCTCTTCTTCCGCATTGCAGTTTGGTCAAAGCAACGGGGCCTGCATTCAAACAACAGAGACGCTTTTGGGAGGGCGTTACCGGCACGCCTTTCCTACGACGCGTCGCTGAGCCCAAGATGTACCGATGCGCCCTTGGTCTAATCGACCTACTCAGAGCTCAGGCCAAAATGGCCGGTGGTCGACCATTTTACTGCTTCGACGACTTTGATGTAGCAGCGTTCGAGCTAATATGGGAACTGGTATTCGGGACCAATGTCGACGCCATCAAAAATGCACGCAACAAGGTCCTCTGTGCAACCTCAGACACGGTCCAACCGCCATCACTGGACTCGCCGGCTAGAATTCCAGTCATTCAGAAGCCTGATATGTGCGAGGCCGTGTCGTTCTTTATAAGCACAGTGGCAAAGTCGCTGAAGTCAGTCTCCCAGACGTGGCACCTTTGGTATCTCAGACAGCAACCCGTCTACAAGCGGAAATTAGCTTTCAAAAACAGTACCATTGACGGGCTTATTGAAAGCACCCGCTCGGAGCTAGCAGGGCTCTCCGAGGGTCAACTGATGGAGCTTAAAGAGAGCTCTGCCCTGGTCACTGGTGTACGGCGCCAGCTCTTGGCTCACATACGTCAGGGGCAGCCCGTCGACGTCCCATTTCCGGCATCAGTTCGAGCTGAAATTCATGATGAGCTGTTCATGATTCTCGTCGCTGTAAGTACAAGGCCCAATTTGCCAATTACCCCAATTGCTAGGCAGATAGCTGATGTCCAGGAAATCACAGGGACACGAGACAAAGGCTGTACTCCTCTCTTGGTCTGTAAAGTTTCTGATCGCCAATCCCGATAAGCAGGAAAAGCTACGAAAAGCCCTTATCGATGTTTTGCCTAAAGGTTCGAATGGAGAGCAGCCTTCAGTGAAAGCTATCCTTAGCACGTCTATTCCGTATCTAGAAGCATACATGGAGGAATCCATGCGCGCGGCGAACACGTCTCCTCGTCTCGTTCGGAGAACTACCACTGATACCCAGGTGCTCGGATACTCAATCCCAAAGGGCGTTAGTGTACTTCTCAACCCTTATATCGGTACACAGCCCCTCGATATCCCTGAACATTTGAGATCCGAGACTTCCCGTAACTCCAAGGGTAACTTCGAATCATACTGGGATGTCAGCGGCATGGATGATTTTCAACCAGAGCGGTGGCTTGCAGAAGACGGTTCCTTTAATCCTCGTCAATTTCCATGTCTGACATTCTCTGCGGGTCCGCGGATGTGCTATGGTATGTGAACTTTACTATCATACTCACAGTTGACCCTTCGTTCGGACGTTCCATAAGTAGGACAGGAACCTTGGCTGACACCGATGCGTGTATCTAGGCAGAAATCTCGCGTTGATGGAATTTCGCGTAAACCTCGTGCTCCTGGTCTTGAACTTCAAGTTCGACTCTCTTCCCAAAGACTTGGCCAGCATGGAGTCTCAACAGCGACGTTTCCGAATGCCACGGCAGTGCTACGTCAGGCTCAGCCCTCTTTGAACTCGGACTGACTTTCTCAAGGGGGCTCGATTTTGGTACTCAAAGAGACAATCTCAATAGAACACCAACAAGCTCATTCGTTGGTTTGGTGTTTTGCGGGAGATTTCCAAGTTTGAGGTGCCAAGGCAAATTCTAGATTTACATGAAGTCAGAGGCCTCTACTTCGTGGCTACTACCGATATGAAATGATTTCAAAGGCAGCAATATCAGCTCATCAGTCATAGTGATACAGGCGGTGCTTCCACCTCGATAACAGTCTCTATAGTTGCCCACACGAAGCGCGGGCCTTTGAGTTTATGAATCTTAATAGTAGTTTATATGTATGAGTATGTATTCTACCGCGGCGAGCCCTTGCAGAACAAAATGCCACTTTTTTGTGCCAGTGAGAATTAGGCGAAATATAAACTATGTCTGAATATACTAGTAGCACATCCTGTAGAGGGTCTAAGAATCAGCAAGCCTGCGACTTTCTCACTTCGCCGCCTTTCCCCTGGGCAAGACTATCCCTTTTTGGACGTCAAGGATCGACTTTCCTGAATACTTGTCCCTAGTGACTGCGTGTCTTTCTCTCCTAGACGCCAATATCTCCTCTCGCCAAATCCACCCCAGCGCCACTGAAACCACAGGGCCTGCAAGTGCGCCAGACACAAAGCCTATTGTGAGTATCTTCGCCCAACTTTCTTTAGCCATCCCGGCGCTCCTGATGTCATGGATCAAGAGGCCGACCCAGAAGAGACTCGCGAGGAGGGTCCCGTGTCGGTTCAACCTGGACACGTCTCCACCTGCACTGGGCAAGAGAGCGGGCGAAAAAGCGTCCAAGAGTATGTTCTGCCGTGTAGCTATGCAACTCGCTGCAGATACGGCACTGAGGACACATAAGCACCATCGGATGTAAGGGAGATCCGCAGCTGGTTGCTCATTGCGTCCTCGTGCATGCTGACTTTGCTCATCCGAGCTTTGAGCATTATCCACTGCGTGATCACAATTAAAACCTGTGGCTGGAGCATCCATCGCCAGTGCCACCTCGCTGTATCGACCTTGATGGAGTAGCCGCTCAGGGTGAGGAAAACCGGTGCACCCATAAAGAGCACTACTGAGGGCAAGATCAACCGGGTGTAGGCCACATTGGTGAGCCTTGCATCAGCTGCCGCGAATTTCTCGATGCCCGAGAATAAAAAGTGCAGGGCATAGTAACAAGGACTAACAAATCCTGGTCCGTACCTAAGGCCAAGGAGCCAGAAGATGGTTGGAAACTGCGCGAACGTCATCACATTGGCACGACGGTTCGACTCAATGAGCCATATGGCATAAATGACACTCTCCTCAGCAAGAGCGCGTAAATTTTGAAGCAATTGCGCTCGTTCACCGAATTCCGTGAGTGGTCTTGGCTGCAGGAATTGGCGTATCGAACCATCCACACTGTCAATGGGCGTCATTGTCGCCACCCATAAAGAGAGAACGAGCAATGGCAACGCAAGGGCCGTACGTTTAAGCAATCTTTCGTGTTTGCCGATACCTTGGCTTGGGTTGAAGGGACAGGAGCCTTCGAAAGACTGGTCTGGTACTGGTAGGTACTCAATGATTTCAGCGCCGATGAGCGTACCAGTGACCAATCTCAGAAGCGACTCGGTGGCATTTGGCACAACATAGTTCATGACGAATGGGGCCATGCGACTATCCAGCGCCTGCAATCGGCAAACCATCGCCGCTTCTTTCACTGTCGCGTTGACTCGGGCCTGGCGCTTCTCCTGCCACTTGCACAACGCTGACTTGATTGTCTGAGAGGTGATCGGCCCCTCATCATGGAGCCTTTGGAGTTGATTTGCTAGCGCAGCAGCAGACTCGATTGCATTGTTCCCAGCTTGGCCAGTATTAGGGGTCATCTTATGGGAGTTATCCCCAACAGTCGCTATACGTCCCCAGCTCCACATGTTAAAAAGAGCCTCCTCCAACGGCACCAGCGTGTAGGTCACACGATTTTCCCAGAGATCTCCCAGCGTCACAGTCTCGGTGATAGGCCGCCAGGCATTTTTGGGCGCGAGATTCTCCGCGTCTGCTTGAGAGTATCGTGGGAAGTCTTTGGCATCGGTATAATAGACCTTGCGCAACTTCTCATGGTAAAACCAGAACACTCGTACATGTTTCCCAGTGATCACGAGCATGGACCTGCCGTCGTCAAAAACGGTGTCGACGGTTCCCTCGATGAGACCATCTACGGGGTCAGATATGCCGAACAGACATTTGAATTCAGCACTCATTCCTGGAGAAAGTCATTAGTCACAGTCCTTGACCCGCAGCTTTGCGCACATACTTGTCTCCTTCAGCGCTCGGAAGTGGTCTGGATCCTCCTCGTTAGCAAGACGGCACATCTCGCTACGAGTCGATGCTTTGCTGTTGACGCCATCACAGCCAACGACCACGTCACCATGGTAGGAAGAGCCGTCTTCACAATTCACACTGACGCCAGAATCTGGTCGATCCGCAACACGGTTTTGTTGGGCAGCATTTTGTCTTTTAGTGTTATTGAGTCTATCAACGCCTTGAGAGCGCGTTGTCGGTCCAGAAAGCATACTCCGTAGCCAAACCTAGAATGTTCTTCAATGAAACTGCTTCAAAACTAACTCGACATCCAATTATCCCATACCTGGCTTTCAAGATCGGGAAAGTGAACGCTGGTGGCATGACCAGTGTACCGTCGCTGCGATGAACTTTGGACATTTTGATTGGTGCTGTATGATTCATGATCTCTTTGGCCGCCCCTAGCTGATCCAGGATGCGCATTGCGGCGGCATTTAGCCCAATCGATGCTCTGACTTGGGGGTCAAATCGACCTCGGGCCTCTAGCAATACAAAATCAACATTCGCTTTTTCCAATGCGCTTGCAAGCGTGAGACCCGCCAAGCCCCCGCCAACAATGATTACCCGCATTGATGTGGTGAGGTCCGGGTTTGGAAATCGAAGAATTCAGAGTAGTAGCCGCCGAACAAACACGAGATCCGGGGGAGGGGGATAAATTCGGAATATGGATAGCTACATAGCTTCTTTGTCGCGACAACCAGACTAGCTGTTATTAACGAGCCCGTGCAGGGTCTACAGTCCGCAGCCTGAAGGGAGGAATCAGGAATTTCCCGATTCAGTAAGTTCCGAGCCTCCACGTTTATTCGCCGGCTAGGGCTGCGATCTGCGACTTGTAAGTCTTGGAAGTCTTGTCTAGGCCCCTGTAAGGATGGTACTGTTCTGTCGCCCTAATACAGAGTCTACCTAATACACGCCACTCATGCATTAGGCTTACAGCACCTAGACCTGTATTTATAAGACTGGGTCGTGACCCACATAGTATACAGACAACCTTGTAATACAACAATTCCATATCCTTGTCGCTCCCACTGATCCCAAACAAGAAAACGCGTCGGGAGGTGCACTTAGGGGCACTTAGGGGCACTAGGGGCGTAAACAAAACGCCAGCATTCAGCTCAGCCTCGCCTCACAAAAGGCAGCTGCACACTCCAACAATCCTCTCGCTTCATCATCACTCCATTCCTGGCAGACTTGACCAACATAACTGACTGTCACTGCCCCCTTCGATGATTGCTGGACTACCTCACCATGCCCAGCCGCGACCTTGGAGACCGGCAAGCGCCTGTCCAGGCAGGCCAAGACGCCACGCCCGCCAACCCTCCTTTGAACCCAGTCGGCTCAGCACCGGCAGATGCAGACAGAAAGGAGGAAGATGGTGATCCGTTCAAGCATCTGCCTGAGCACGAGATGGCCATCCTCAAGAGACAGTTGGATCTGCCGGCTACCAAGGTCAATTACATGACGCTGTATCGTTATGCGACACGGAATGACAAGATCATCCTGGTCATCGCCTCGCTCGCAGCAATCATCGGCGGTGCACTCATGCCTCTGATGACCGTCCTGTTTGGAGGTCTTGCAGGCACCTTCCGCAGCTTCCTACTGGGCGACATATCTGACAGCCAATTCACCAGCGAGCTTGCCAGATTCTCTCTGTACTTCCTCTACCTCGCTATTGGCGAGTTTGTGATGGTGTACTTGGCCACGGTCGGTTTCGTGTACGCTGGAGAACACATCACAGCGAAGATCAGAGAGCGGTTCTTGGCCGCCATTCTGAGGCAGAATATTGCTTTTTTCGACGAGCTCGGCGCGGGTGAGATCACCACACGCATCACAGCAGACACCAATCTTGTCCAGGAAGGTATCTCGGAGAAAGTGGGATTGACCTTGACAGCCGTCGCCACCTTTGTGGCCGCGTTCGTGATTGGTTTCGTCAGATACTGGAAGCTCACGCTGATTCTGTGTTCCACTGTCGCTGCCATTGTTGTTACACTGGGCGCCGTGGGCTCGTTCGTCGCCAAGCTCAGCAAGAAATACCTCGGCCATTTTGCTGAAGGAGGAACGGTTGCGGAAGAGGTCATCAGCTCGATCCGAAATGCGGCTGCGTTCAATACCCAAGAGAAGCTGGCTCGACGATACGATGGGTATCTCGTCGAAGCAGAGAAGTCCGGGTTCAAGCTCAAGTCCACCACCAGCTCAATGATTGGTTTTCTCTTTCTGTAAGTACAGCGAGAGGCACATCTCGGTCCAAATGGCGGTCTCTTGAATTACCTCAAACAGCCCAGTGTTCTGACCTTGCCTTTTTTTTAGGTACATTTACCTCAACTACGGACTGTCTTTCTGGATGGGCTCTCGCTTCCTGGTGGATGGGTCTGTTGGATTAGCGCAAATCCTCACTATTCAAATGGCCATCATGATGGGGGCTTTTGCCCTCGGGAATATTACACCGAATATCCAGGCCATCACCTCAGCGGTCGCCGCAGCCAACAAGATATATGCAACCATTGATCGTGTCTCTCCTCTCGACCCTTTATCGATCGAGGGGCAGAAGCTGGAGGAACTGCAAGGAAATGTGGAACTCAAGAATATCAGACACATATACCCTTCCCGCCCCGAAGTTGTTGTGATGGATGATGTGAGCTTACTGATCCCCGCGGGCAAGTCTACTGCGCTTGTTGGGGCTTCAGGCTCTGGGAAAAGCACTATCATCGGGCTGGTTGAGCGTTTCTACGATCCTGTCGGTGGATGCGTACACATCGACGGCCATGATATCAAAGACCTGAATCTACGCTGGTTGCGACAACAAATTTCTCTGGTGAGCCAAGAGCCTACCTTATTTGCTACTACGATATTTGGCAATATCAAGCACGGTTTGATCGGAACAGCGCACGAGCATGAGTCCGAAAAAGCAATTTGTGAGCTGGTCGAACGTGCTGCTCGGATGGCAAACGTAAGTAAGGCAAATGCCATGATGCCCTGCCCCAGACACACCCTCTCTGCTAGTACCATATACGATACGATGTTCTGATTTCGTTGCTTTTCAGGCCCACGACTTCATCACCTCCCTTCCCGAGGGCTACGAAACCGACATTGGAGAACGAGGGTTCCTTCTCTCCGGAGGTCAGAAACAACGCATTGCCATTGCTAGGGCCATGGTTAGCGATCCTAAGATCCTGCTACTTGATGAAGCAACATCCGCACTCGACACGAAGAGCGAGGGAGTTGTGCAAGCCGCACTCGACAAAGCTGCCCAGGGACGAACCACCGTGATGGTTGCTCACCGACTGTCTACTATCAAGAATGCGGACAATATTGTTGTTATGTCCCACGGACGTATTGTCGAACAGGGCACCCACGATGACCTTCTCCAGAAGAAAGGGACTTACTACAACTTGGCCGAGGCTCAGCGAATCGCTACGAAGCAAGAGTCTAGAAACCAAGATGAAGATCTCATACTGCCTGGAACCGATTACGATTTATGGCGACCCGAATTCAATGGGAATCGCTACAGCTCAAACAAAGAGGATCAAGGAGAAGACCCTGACTTTCAGGTGGACAAGACACGATCAGACAGGACCGCATTGAGAACGGCAGTTGCGAAGAAGGGACAAGAGGACGTTGCCGACAACTATACCTTGTTCACGCTGATACGGTTTGTCGCTGGTTTGAACAAAAAAGAATGGAAATATATGGTCTTTGGACTTTTACTCTCGGCCGTTTGCGGTGGAGGTAATCCAACACAAGCTGTCTTCTTTGCCAAGTGCATTACAGCCCTTTCGCTTCCTCTTTCAGAGAGCTCTGAGATACGGCGACAAGCCAACTTCTGGTCGCTGATGTATTTGATGCTCGCCTTTGTACAGCTGCTCGCTCTCATCTCTCAGGGTATTGCGTTCTCTTACTGCGCAGAGCGACTTACTCATCGGGTTCGCGACCGAGCATTTCGATATATCCTCCGGCAAGACATTGCCTTTTTCGACAAACGTTCTTCGGGTGCTCTCACTTCTTTCCTGTCCACTGAGACCTCCCACCTGGCTGGGCTGTCTGGGATTACTCTTATGACGATTCTCTTGCTGGTCACCACCTTAGTTGCCTCCTGCGCCATTGGTCTGGCCGTAGGGTGGAAGCTTAGTCTGGTGTGCATGTCCACCATCCCCCTCCTTCTCGCTTGTGGGTACTTCCGCTTGGCCATGCTGGTCCGACTTGAGAAGGAGAAGAAGAAAGCCTACGAACATTCTGCAAGCTATGCCTGCGAGGCCACTTCAGCCATCCGAACCGTGGCTTCCTTGACCCGCGAGGACGACGTTTGCAATCACTACCACAAACAGCTTCTCTCGCAAGGCCGTAGGTTAGTGTTGTCGGTTCTCAGGTCGTCCGTTCTTTACGCGGCGTCTCAATCACTTCAATTTCTTTGCATGGCTCTCGGCTTTTGGTATGGAGGTACCTTGTTCGGCAGACACGAATATTCCATGTGGGTAGATGACAATTCCCCGAACAGACGCCATATTAGCTCTAACCTTTATATTCAGGTTCCAATTCTTCCTGTGTTTCAGCGCAGTCATCTTTGGGGCGCAGTCTGCAGGGACCATCTTCAGCTTTGCACCGGATATTGCCAAAGCCAGGCACGCTGCTGCTAGTCTCAAGGCTCTCTTCGACCAGATGCCGGAAATCGATAGCTGGAGCCATGATGGCGAGATGGTCCAGAGTATAGAAGGCCATGTCGAGTTCAGAGATGTGCACTTCAGGTACCCGACGCGACCAAATCAGCTCGTTCTGCGAGGTCTCAATCTGCACGTCAAGCCCGGGCAGTACGTTGCGTTCGTCGGAGCTAGTGGATGTGGCAAGTCCACTGCAATTGCCCTCCTGGAGAGATTCTACGATCCAGTCCTAGGCGGTGTCTATGTCGACGGCAAGAAAATCTCGTCATTCAACATCAACAATTACCGCTCCCATCTCTCCCTTGTCAGCCAAGAGCCAACGCTCTACCAAGGTACCATCCGCGAGAATATTATGCTGGGTACGGACCGAGATGACGTTTCGGAAGACGAAATAGTGCTATGCTGCAAGAACGCAAACATCTACGATTTCATCATCAGTCTGCCAAACGGTTTTGATACCCTCGTTGGTAGTAAGGGCAGCATGCTCTCAGGGGGCCAGAAGCAACGACTTGCAATAGCTAGAGCATTGATCCGCAACCCCAGGATCCTTTTGCTGGATGAGGCCACTTCCGCTCTCGATTCAGAGTCTGAAAAGCTCGTGCAAGCTGCTCTGGATACCGCAGCTAAAGGCCGCACGACGATCGCCGTGGCGCATCGTCTCAGTACGGTGCAAAAGGCAGACATGATCTATGTCTTCAACCAAGGCCGCATCATCGAGTGTGGAACTCATTCTGAGCTGATGCAGAAGCGGTCGGCATACTTTGAGCTTGTCGGCTTGCAGAATTTGGGCGAAATGTGAATCTTCTACCTGGGGCCCCGAATCTTTGGCAGTTCTGGAACCTGTCACATGCTTTTAATGATAGCTGCAACTCACATGGTGGAAGTTAATTAGCCTAATTTACTTCCTGTCGCAAAGAAAGAGGGAATGAGGATCGCTTGAGTAAAGATACGGAATATTACTTCTGGAGCTTACCACCAGTGACAAAGTACACAGAAATTTCTGATAACTAGGTTTGACCAAGCACAGTCACAAAAAAGCAAACTACAACCAGAGCAATAAGCTCAAGTTGCGTCTACCTACTATCAGGATGGCTTCAGCAGTAAAAAGAATTGGAAAAGAAGGCATCGTTTTACTCACCTCCGGCCGAAATTATATATGCAAAATCCACCTATATTAAATACTCAGATGAGCGTTTATGGAGTAAATTTAGACATCTGCACTTCGATGGAAATAAGGCTTTAATTTCCTCTAACCCGGATCTTCTCGCTCATGCAAAAATATACGTATTTGCGACGATATCTTGTTAATGTATTAAAAGAACGATGCTTGAAATTATTTCACTCTGAGCTGGTACCTGAGACACCCTCGTAATATTTTCCGTCAGTGCACATGTACCATAGAACATCAGCAGAAGTTCGAATAAAAAAAATCCGACCCTTCTGATATTTAATTTTTTTTTTCTTTTATAATCTTCCCCTGCCACCACTTTTCTATATTAATCAACAATCACCCTTACTTACAGTCTCATAAACGAATGGTTCCTCTCGGCATATCATACGATCCCAGCGCTAAAAATCAAGCGCCGATCAAATCTTTGGATCCTCGATTTCGACCCTCAAAATAACTACAGGATAGGTTCCTTTCAGCTCCCTCCAACACCCATGGAAAAGACAGTCTCTCTGCCAGCTAAAGTGGTGCAGCTGATTATTACTCTGATAAGAGATGCTCCGCTGCTACAGAAACCACGCAGTCCATTCGGGAATCGCGCAACAAAGCCCGCAAAACTCGCCCCGTACGCGGTCGTCTCTCGACAATGGCAGGCAATCGTGGAGCGCCTGATCTGGCAGCATATCACCGTCAGCGGAAAAGGCTCGCTGGATCAGCTGAAGGTATTCACCTCCGGTGGTGACTCTTGGCGGCGCGCACGAGCGGGTTATATTCGACGCATTCTCTGGTCGCCCGAGATCACTAATAGGCGGGACCTTCTTCTGCATGCAGAGAAGACTCAGGGTTTGATTGTGATGATGATGGCGGCTGTTTAGGGCTTCTTCCCTATTGGTATCTTCGGCGATGTCGGAGCTCTATCCTTGAGCTGTTTGAGTTACTGGATGCATGGAAAGATCGTCGGGCCAGTAGTATTGAATTGTCGCTTTGGTTGAGTAATAGCGATTACCTCGATGTTGGCGATAACGATGGGGATATCAAGCAGGAGGAATGGAAGTCTCTAAGTATCAGCCGGCTGTGGCAAAAGGGCCAAGTCCCTAATTTGTTGCATCTGGCTGAAGATGACATGCAGAATATACCCGCTTCGCCGTATATTACATGCTTTAGGCTGCACGAGGCTAGAGACAGCACTGTTCGACCGTCAGCTTTTTTTCGCCTTCTTAGCTGCTTTCCTTACGTTAAGCATGTTTCTGGTGGAGAGGGCCGATTTGTCCCACGAGGAGCGTTACAGGCTTTGGCAGACCAGCGGCAAGGTATTTCTTTCTCTTTCCCCTTCCCTATTTTATTAGAGCCTAATACAGACCATTCATGCCGCGCAGAGGTTATCGACCATCTATCTTTGGTTCCTGGATCAGTAGAAATATTCACGTATTCAGTCTCAGCCCAGCGTGAAATATCACTTAATCCCGCTTGCTATGCAGCCAACTATCTTTCTTTGCACGGACTAGACGACTTTTCCATTGCCTTTCGGACCTTTAGCACGAGACTTCGGGAGCTGCATCTCGAAGGCGTCCGAATCAGCAGTGCGCTGTTTTGGCCTGTCGCAGAAGAGGAGGTTAACAACGTGAAGTCTATATATTGGCCAAACCTGGAGGTTCTTACAGTCCTAGAGGCCCCTCCGTACACAGCAGATGGTAAGCTTGTTTCTTCATGCATTATAGTTATTATATGGTAATGTTATTATTATTATTATTAATTAACCGGATAAAGGAAAGTGGATCCTTGACTACAACCCCAACAAAGACTGGGAGGGAGATCTGGATAAGGATTCTTTCGAGCCCTGGCATTATGACAGGGAATACTATGCTCTGCGGGGACTTATCAAGAGCCATGACGTCGACCGGCTCTACGAGTCAATGGGCCTTGCGGTGCGGAGAATGCTACGACTGCGGAAACTAAGATTCTCGTTCCGGGGAGAAATTGGAGAGAGGGGCAGTCATGAGTACCTGGAGTTTAGGAGAGATTTAACAACAGGCAAGGCTGCATTGAAGATCAGCACTGAGTGGGAATATCGGATGGCGGAGAAGGTTCTGTCTACCTGGGGATTAAAAGGGGAGAAGGCGAAGGAGTTTCGGGAGAGGTGGTCGGTTTTGCTTGATTAATACACTAGTTACTATAGAGGATAATCCAAGTCCATGGTGTATAAAGCCATCGGCGACTTCCTCTATCTAGATATATACTCCTGTTCGATTTTCTGGGGGGTCTGAAGTGATTGTATTCAGAAGGATTGTCTGCCCTACCCCTCTATTAGAGATATTGGGTATATATTTCACATGATGTCCCAATCTGGACTAGTTTATTCCGACAAGACCTAGAATTTGTATAATACTTTCTTATTATTCTTCTATGATAAAGTAATAATCTGCATTGTATGTGGTTTCAGAAGGCGTGGCGGCCACGGTACCAGCCCTTTCTTCTCTATCTTGTTTATAGTATTGAGCAACGTGAGTATTTGAAAATTTTCTTGACATACGATACAAAAGGGCGAATAACGAAAATTGTTCAGGGCATTCGCTGCAACATCGCGCGTCACAAGTACCCCAATATACCTGTGGGTCTTCTTTCCAGGGAGGACGTGAGACTGTAGCCTGGACGCTGATTGATAAGATGGTTCACTCGTATCGTCTGATCACCGAGAATACAGAGGTGGACGCCCACACACCTCTACATACCTTTCGGGTTGAGTCGCTTCTCGCGGCAGAACTATGTAACTGGATTTCCAAGGATTTTGCAGCGGATCTGGCAGTAGTACTGGAGGTCATGGTGGTGCGAGCTTGTCCATGGTGGTGAATATGATGGTTGCAACGAGAGGTCAGCTGGAACATCCCCAATGGACTTAGGTCCAATCGAAGGAGGTGCACATAACAGCACTAATACAGATGCCTCAGGATAGAATGATTAGAAGAAAATGACTTTAACACTATGTTAGATCAGTTGCCTCCATAAGAAGGTAAGTAAATGTAATGGCAGTTTTAACAAACCAAACATCACCGATTTTCCTTAGGAAAGTTCAGTCACTAGGATGATGGATCAATAGTATGCCATGAGCTTTTCGGTATACTTAAAGCGTCCTTTTTTGAAGAAGACTTTATGAAATCAGTGATTGTTGCACCAGTCTATTTTCATATAATAGATTAAGACAATAATCATAAAGCTGAATATCACTCATTTCTATGAAATCCGTCATCTAGCCAACCGGACCGAACCAAGTTTGACTAATCCTATAAATTTATTGCACTGCCTCATCGTCCAATTAAGCCCACCCACGTTATGCCCCCTTCGTCGGAATCACTGTTTCACCCTTCGTGTTCCTGCCTTCAAGCCGGCGAAGTCTTGTTTTTCGCCCGGATATCTTTCCAACTCATACTCCATGAGAAAGCGAAGCAAGCACAGGCCGCCCCAACAGCGAGATATATAACACGATTGGTACTCTTCGAGTACGCAATCAGAACACCGGGGAGGTCAACCGCGGGCACCGCGGCATTAAGATCCGTGGCACCACCAGCAATAACGGTCTCTGCGATAATATTAGGGGCATATTCCGGCACCAGGGTCCGAAGGCTGTTGGTGAGAATCGTGTTAGCGAAACTCAAGAAGAGGGCTCCGAAGAAGACCGAAAAGAAAATGGTCAGGGTCATGGCGGTTGGGACCAAAACAGGAGGAAGATTGGACTGCGATGACGGGCTGGTTTTTAAACGCTTTGAGTCAGCATGATGCTCGACGTATGTGTTTTGACAGACATGGGAAGAACGATACCATTTGTAAACCGATACCTTGGCCGAAACCGGCCAAGATCTGATACCCAATCCACTTCCCAGCAGAGGTGCCCGGCATAAAAGTAGATAGCAGTCCATCTGCGACCACATTCACAATCCCGAAGAGTACAGAAAATGGTAAGTAATACCCTATCTTCTGGACTGGTGGGGCGTCTTAGTCTCTGCGTCACTTACCCCTGGAGATGTTTAGAGTCATGGGAAAACTTACCAAGTACGCCTGAGGCACCAGCTGCGAACAACTTGGCCAAATTAGGGGCAGAAGGTACACGCCACTCATTATTGGGGCCCTTGGCAGCTTGGAAATATATCGGAAGGTAGTAGGTGACAGTATATAGTAAGCTCATCAAGAAACCAAATACCAGGCAGCTGGACCAAATCACACGGTGTTTCATGACGCCGAGAGGGATCATGACATCGTGACCCTTGAAATGTTCTCAGACCACGAACACCATGAACGTGCCGCCAGCACCGCAGAAGAGACCGATCACGGTGGCACTGTTCCAGGCGAATTGGTTCCCGCCATACTGCAAGGCCAAGAGCAGCATGATAGCAGCAGGGGCAAACAGCACGAATCTGATCAGATCGAGCTCACGATGGAGAGAGAGGACTACCTTTCTCGGATTGGGCTTCCGAGTTTCATCAGGGACGTGGACGAATAAGAGTATGAGCGCAATGAGTGCACCAATAGGGAGATTAATATAGAAACCTGGGTCAGATTCCTGATTAGCTAGAGAGACACTACCTTAGCTCATCTGGACTAGTAACTATAATTTACACCACCGCCAGGTCGAGTACTCGGTGAAGGCCCCCCCAGTCAATGGACCAATAACGAGGCCAAACTGAGAAACTGCGAGTAATTGTTAATACATTCCAATACAAAAGGGGGGAATCCATTTTTAAACTTACTTCCCATGGCGAGCCCAATCAGAGCTATGAAGAATTGAAAATGTTAGCTTGGACCGATGACGGAATATAAGGGATTTCCTAGAATGCCTACCGTTTCTCTATGGGTACGATTCCTGCGATAATAGTGAAAGTTCCATTCTGAATTCCGGCTGCTCCCATGCCTGCACCGCTCTACCGACTATCAACATTTTGGATGAAGAAACTGCTCCACAGATTAAAGATCCAATCTCAAAAATGGCAAAGAAACCGATGTAGGTCCACTGAGAAATGTCAGTAGTGTCCAGGACTGCCCTGGATCGGCCATACCTACCTTGGCGCTGAAGTTCGAGTACACCTTTCCTGACAGAGGCTGCAACGTCGCACTTCAAACATCCATCAGTCCCGGAATTTTTCTCAACCACTGCAGGTTGCGGCTCAGCTTGCTAGTTGATACGCGCTACCATAACAAGCTACATCCACCAGGGAATTGAGGTCACGCGTGATGACAGGGATAGCCTATTTTAAGCATAATTAGTTTCAAGACAGCTCTTGGTGGTGTCCACTAGGGCTGGACTCACAGTTGAAATGATAGAGATAGCAAGCAACATTAGAAAGGAAACAAGCGTTACTCCGCTGAGAATGGCGGCTAGTTTCCAACCAGTGACCCATTCCTGAATGACCTCATGATCTTCTCCTTGCATTGGTTAATTTGCTAAACTATAGTCGACTGAGGGAAGGAAGGGTGCAGCCCGATTGTCGCACTCCTTCTGGAATAAAGTATCGCGCAAAGTGGAGTTCCTTGGTGTTTGGTTCGACATTTCTGTGGCGTTGAGTACAGTGTTGACACGGATCCCTTATGCTTTCGTTGAACTGTCTGGAAGGGGGCTGTTGAGTCCTCGACTTCTATTATATGCTTTTGCCTTACTGTACAGTTAGGGTTAGGATAACCTTGGCGATTCCGAACACAAGCTCCGTCGCTCACAAAGTGCGAGGATCTTGACTCTCCGTTGGAACTATCGGTGGTAGTAGTGAGGATAGTAGTAATCCGCTGACCGATGGATAAGAAGAATAAAATCCTTAGCTCTCGGAGTTCTTCATTCCTGAACGACCATCCCTAAGAGCCCCCAGCCGTCAGCTTTATAGACTTATCGGTATATGGAGACCCAACACAAATTTTGTCCAAGACCAGCTTCCACGAAAAGTTAATAGCTTATCAAGCAGATATTGACTATTTAGTCAAACTCTATGAGCTCGAGGACGGGTTTGTTAAGCTTAATCCGGCCTGTAGTGACGACGAAAGTCTTGGCTCTTGGGATTCGGAATTCCGAATCCCGATCCAGGCTCGTCTTTGTGAAAGTTGAGAGATCCTTAGGTTCACAAGTGCCTGCTCACGCTTACTTTGCAATAGCTTCGGGCGGAGTGTGGTGCGCATGTTTCTCGCTCGGGTTTAGTTATTTGTAATATTTTACGAGATCTTCAAGCTACATCTAGACTGGCAAATTGTTAGGGTAACTTTATCCACTCTAGGGTTACATCTGATAGTTCTTGTAGCTAAAGCACTCCAGTATGTCAAACTTAGGGGCGGCCCAAGGAAAACAAAATATGCACTATGTTCTAAAGCCACTAAGAAGATCATGTTTCTCTCACATCCTAGTAATCATCTCTTTTAGATGAGGTGATAACCTCGATAATTAATTATCTGTGCGTAACAGTACTGACATGTCCTAATAGACAGTACACAACGCCAATACTCAAACTGAGCATTCCCGGATAGCATTTACTTTGCAAATATTAATTCTACTGTAGTGACATCTAATCACAGTACATCATCCGTGATAAATAATTTTAAAAAAAGTAAAAAGACTTAGTCTCTTTCCCAAGGAACTTTCTACAGTGGATTCAGTCTCCAAAGATAGGTGAGCGGTATAATACGGGTGACACATGGGACGCTTTGCCTACCTTCATAATGGCCCGGATAACGCGTGCACAACAGATAATTTCGTCTTTTATTCGATGATTGATACCCTAGTTGAGGCTATTTTGGGCTTCCATTACGCTAAAGTGCCAAAACAGGTAATGACCACAATGCTAACAAGATTAACTTCAGGTAACTCACAGAGAGCAGTGACTCCTGGCCCCATTAACAGCGGTTAGACCCACCACTTTAACAACCACGCTACTGTGACAGAGCACGAACAGATACACAACGCCCCGAAGCTCGCAAAAAAAAAAGACACCTTGCTACCAAATGTCACTGGAAGCATTAAAGCAATCCTCGCAGAATTGGTCTTGAAGTAGAAGCTATTTCAACAGAGGAAGACGATGAGACATCCCCCACTAGCGACGAATTATCCGATTCCGTAACCAGCATGTCTGAGGACAATAAAACCAAAGTCAATATCACTATATTTCTCTCTGAGTTCCTCGGAGTGAAGGAAATCGATATCAAGGACGATATTCTTGTCCAGAACTCGGCGTGGTCTCCCTTCTATGGACGGAGTTCTGACTAATATGGCAACCAAGTTTGACTTACATGTGCCTCAAGCTGCCATGTTGGAACACCTGACAGTCAAGGCCCTGAATAATGCCATCAATGGAAGGCTCACCGCGGCGACGAAGGCAGCTTCTAGTAGCGCTAGAAGCCAAGCCCGAGCATGAGCAGCGTTATCTCAGAAGCTCCGGCAGCAAAGGTCACAGCCCCCAAAGACAGAATACTCCATTTGCCGGCTCAAATAATCAGGAGGCTTTCAACGAGGCCAAGAAACTCAGGGACCAGTAGATTGCTGAATATGGATGCTCTGATTATATGGAGGCTGTGAATCCCAAACAAGTGTAGATAAGTATTGCTCTAATCGTAGAGGCCTTTAAAAACCTGGGGTGTACCTTGTGTACAGCCCAGTCTCGCCCAGCAGCTCAAATGCATTCAGTACAGCACGCGCATTTAGTAGAATATTTGTACATCGTGTTGGAAAGGGACAGCCGACTAATTGATGTTGAGGCTGAGACTATCACGCGAACCCACATCTCCGTCCAACCGGCAGTCAGCACGGAGATGACGCTCGGGCTGGGCGCGGCGTTGAGCAGCAGTACTTAGGTGCCAGCGCTTGAACAAAGACTGCTGTCAGCCCACTTCGCTCAGGAGGCAGAATACGCAGAAATACCCTAGTTCGAATGCCTCTAGACTCGAAGAGAAGTTAGAAGACTTGGTGTCGCTACTTCGTGCCGGGATCCGGCTGCCCACAGGTGCGCCAACGGGTCCGCCAAGGGGTCCGACCACGGTTGCGACTGCGACCACCGCATTGCCAACACAGGGTGGACAGCCGCAAGACATCATCTCAAATGTCGTCTCGCCCACGGACTCAGACATCGAACATAACGGGGCCAACTATGTGCCTCCCAATGCGATCGCCTTGACCCCGAGCGCCACCGCTACCGATGTCAGTAGCAGTTCATCCGCTGTAGCATCGTTCCCATTGACTGCTTTTGAGCCTACCCTGCTGCAGACGGAACAATACCTCACCCTCTTCTATAGTGAACTGCTCCCCTACTTTCCTTGTATATATATTCCCCCGGGTGCATCGGCCCAGCAATTCCGACGCCATCGGCCATTCACGTGGCTATGTATCATGGATAACCCAGCTAGACGTGTATTATATATCCGACCCATCAGCGATCGTAATATAGACTTGTAGATATTGCTATCTATGGGCCACATGCAGCCAATGGCAGCGAAAAGCCTGAGGAATAAAATCAAAACACTAATCGTTCAATGAAGACCATAGCCTCCGAAGGCCATATGCTATACTAGGGGTTAGCGTTTGAAGCGAACCATAATTATGACCTATGTTTTGTAAGTAGCCTTATCTCCATTTCTTCGTTAGTTTTCCAGCATTGAATATAGAATAGCCAGCCCCTCTACTATATACCCTCGGTCCCGCACGTACACATCACACTAAACAGTTAGCTGCAGAGAATCCGCCATCTCGATAGCAACACGAGTGGATTTGAAGATGATACTAATGGAGCGAGATAGAGCCAAACACCTCCTCATTTACGGCCCGAGATAAAGCTATCGAAGGTAAGATATGACAGGATTGACGGGGTTCAGATATGGAGATAGTTCTTACGTATTCACAGAAAGAGCCAGTTATGTTTGTGTAGCGGCCAACGAATCCATAGAACTAGTGTCATGGAAACCATACCTGACAGCGGGATGTGTGATACTCCTGGTTATAGTGAGCACAGTAAGTGCTGACATTGGAATGAAACGGTGTACACAAAGGTGGCCTGGCTATAGTACGGACTTGCTGGGGGACTACATGCCGGCTTCGGCTACCAAAACCCGAGGAATGAAAATCAATTAATTTATGGGTTAAACTGTTGGTGCCTGCTAAGAACTAACGGGTAAAGTTCTTAAAACCAAAAACTCAACCTAACCGTCTATTATCAATCACTCCTGAGGGAGAAACTCCTGATTTGACTCCTACTATCGCTCGGTAAAATTTATACCCTCCTGCTTCTCTTCCACAATGATATTTACTTTCCGAGACATCGCCTGCCAGTCGTCCAGCCGATGTAGACCGAAGAAATCGTAATCTGCAGAGGTGTGCAACCGTCCGAGGAGGAGCGGGAACACGGACGACTTCCAGAGGATTGGCTGCCCCCGATTTGCCCACACCGTGGCGATAAACAGCAGATTGGACAACACGACCGCGATTACAGGGGCAATGGCCCAGGGCCAGCGAACATGTATATAAGTCTCGGTCCGGTAGGCTAATCCTTGCACGGCATTGGCCTTGTCAATCAACCGCATGTGGTCTGTCATGCTAGTGGCCATGGCGTCTACCGACTGGGTGAGATTGTCGCCAATCCAGAAGATAGCGGACGACTGGAGTGCTGATATGATGTTTTCCCCATCTGACTGCTTGACATTCGTATCGAACATGCTTTCTATGGTGCTCCAGAGGCTTTCAAGGGCCAGGAGTTCAATACGGTAGGAGGCATGTGTGGAGAATGTGTTGGCCCCGTGCTCAGGGAGGAGAGGCAAGACATTTTGCCCTTTGCCGCTCTCGATTTTTGGCACCAAGCGCTGGCTTCGCGAAGGTCGCACGTTTTGCGCCTCGTTGGAAATCCTATTCCCCGTGTACTCCTTCTCGCACAGGTACACAGTGCAGTTGGTCATGGTGGGGATGTCATCCACGGCGCTGGCATTGTGGGAAGTGTAGATGAGTTTGCGGGAGAATCTTGCGCTGAGGAAAGAAACCAGGTCGCGAGTGCTATGGTCGCCAACACTAAGGAGATTAAAGGTTTGACGCGCTACTTCAACTGTGTCGATGGATGGACTTGCCAAGTACGTGATAGGGGGAAAGAAAGAAAACCCGTTAGGAAACGAGTAAGTGCAGTTAAAGGGGGTCGAGCGATAGCGGTCGCCATAAATCGTAACATCTTTCCAGATGGATGAGTTTTTGTCTGTGATGGGCCTGCAGGTCTGGACGGCATTTTTAGTGATGTCTTCACAGTTACTGCACACCCCGAGGCTGGCAAAGTCGGGATACGTGCAGTTAACTGCGGGGCACTGTGGTACTAGAGGCCGATTAATCCCGCCCAGCCCGGCCATGATTGCACTCAGCATGGAGGGGCCTACAGAATTCTGTGGAAAGGGGTGGTTGGTCCACTCCTGTTGATATTCTTGAGTGCTTTGCACCGATGCGGTCAGATTGCTCGCCAGGACTTGTCGGGATGGAAAGGCGAGGATCTGCTGGGAGAAGGGATCGATCGCGACTGATAAAACCATTAATATTGCACCGGCAATCGCGAGGATTGATCGGACCCTCAAGAATACCTCCATGGCTCCCCAAGGGCCGCGGCTAGCCTGATCCAGCACATGAAAGTTGTACAGTGGGAAAGGTTTCTGCTGTTGGCCCTGTTTCCACTTGACCTGGCCCAGACAGGAGGATACCAGAATGAGCATTGCGCCCTTGATACACATGGTGATGATGGAAACCACAGCATTTGGCGAGACCGAGTATTGGTATTTAGCGTAGGGCATCCCGTTAACAGTCCCCAGAAAGCCCATCAACAAGCCGACACAGATGACGCTGAAGACAGCGCCTCCGATCTCCCATGCCCAGGAGCCGGCCCAGTCCATGTTTTTGAATCTGAATGGTACGCGTTGTGGCTTTCCATTGTCCGCCGCATGTGACAGGGAATGGGACGGAGTGTTGAGGCTAGAAAGGCCGATACCGCTGGAGGGGTCGAATGAATTTTGCTCCATCAACGGCGCGCTACTCTGTTCTCTATTCCCAGGGCCGCGTCTGCTGAAGCTGAAATAATTCATTTCCAATGTTATGTTCTAAGCTTGGCTTTGTTTGACGTAAGAGAGGAAATGCCATATAACCCTTGGAAGAGGACGACAATGCCCAAGGCAAGGCCCGAGGCAATTTTTGCCTCAGCCTTGTTCTACAGGGGTCTGTTTACTAATGTTAACACGACTGCTAGCCTATTTCCAAATTGACAGGGTTATATATTCGTACCTTCCAGTGCCTCCACCGCTTTCGCTTGGTTGGTGCACCACACCGGAAATCCAATTCACACCGGAAACCCAAAATTCCATCCGTCTCTGTTCCTAGCGTTTTTTCCATCCACACAGCATGCTGAAACTGTCAAAATTTGATGAATTTCGTGTATTGAGGGCCTGCGAAGCCGCCCGTAACAAAAAAAAAAAAATAAAAAATAGTCACTCGAAGATCGTGAATATGGTGCTGTACAATACACTGCGTCGTGCTCGCCGGGGATAACAGGCTCGCAACACCCGCACGCCCGTGAATAAAGCCCTTAATATGTATCAAGAGAAAGCTCTGGTCTAGTAGATTGCTTGTATGCGTGGTTTGTAATTTCCTGTTACCCCTGAGTTGCTCAGGGAGTGAGCAAAATAAACGCTGGCTCAAGGCGGTTCAGCATAGCGCGTTAGGATGGGGTTATTAGTTTATAAAAAACTACCGGCGTATCTAAAATTAGGCTTTGTGATTTAGAACACAAAGGATAAAAAGCAATTAGATACGGAGAACATTGGATATCTGTAGTATTGGTATAATTAGCTTGAAAATATAGCCAAAGCCCTTTCTCCTTACCTGGTATATAACTAGGGACATTGACCTGATCTTGCTATGTCTAAATATGCTAAAATATCACCGCGATTAAGTGCAGCCTATAATATTATCCCCTGCTTTTTCAAGGCTTATACGACCTATATTTTCCAGCCTCTTGATGGCAATCATTTACTTTTATATAAACAGCAGTTCCGCAAGCATAACATTATCGCTTAATGGGGTGGGCTTCCCACGAGCATAGCGGATTTCAAGACATTGTCCACGTACGAAAGGAGACCTTTAACCAGTGAATTATTTGCAATTCTTTTAAAGAGCACAGAATATTCCCTCCGCATAGCTCTACTATTTAAAAGGCTTAGGATATATTACGTCAAGAGCCAGAGCTCCAAGCACCCAACCTTCGCGCATGCAGCGACAACTCCGCCTCCGAATATTTCCTCTTCCATCATTGGTAACCCCCTTTCAAAGAGTGCCTAAGACCTTTAAAAGAACCAGAAAAATTTCTAAAGATATTATTTTTGAGGGGCCTACTCCGAAGCTACAGAGAGGTCTTTAGCAAGTGTTACAGCACCAGACAATACAGGCAGATAACTTTACAATAATAACTAATACAGTCGAGCAAATAAGGCAGATTCAAGAGCCTCGAAGGCGCCAAATCGCTAAGTGAAAGAATGCGGGGCTCGGTAATTCTGGTATACGTAGTAGAAAAGATGCCAATCGATCAATCAAGGCTGGAACGGAATCTCTACAAAACAGACTAGGCAAGCAGAAGTATATTTTATGAGAAACCGCCACCACCAAGTCCCAAGGAAATTAGAGTTATATTATCGGAACCAGCAGTGGCAGCGCAGAAGGAAAGTCGGTTTTTTGGGATAGATACTTGAGGGGAAGAGAGATAGGCAATGAGAATAGCTTCATATTTGGGCTTCCAGTGTGAATTGGGTTTCTGGCGTGGTGCACCCACTAAGCGAAAGCGGTGGGGGAGCTGGAAGGCACGGATAGCCCGTAAGCCTTAATATTACCCACATGTAACCATTTGGCTTTAGTGAGGTTACACTGATGTTTGTCAATAATTAATATACAATTACCGAATTCAGCGAAAGACGCCAAGAGTAAAAGCAACTTATAACATGTGAAGGTCGGAATACAAATAACCTAGGGATGAGGGCAATGCTATATTGCATCGACTTGCAGCCTCCAGTTAGCAACCTGTAACTACCATCTCAAATGGCCGTAGGACCGCGACCTGGCGGCCACAACAGATCCAAGACCCGTCTGGTCCATCCATATTGAATTGGTGAGATCTCATTGGTTCGCTGGGATTTTATCTCTCCCCTCAACGAAAATACTTCAAATAAAAAACAAAACAAAATAAAATTAAACCTCGCAAAATCGCGCGACTTGATTTATCTATCCTCCCAACATTCTTAGAACCTCTTCCTTCTGGACCGCCAAGCAAACACTAGTTAGAGGTGACGGCACGCCCACAGGGCCTCCGATCAAAGCCGGTAGTATGTGAAGGACTTAGGTTTGAACAGTTAGAACTGTACACAAGTTTCAAAAAGCTCCGACCTTTAAGCTTGCTAGACTAAATCTGCTATTAGATTACCTCCAAAGTGTAAGATATGTAAACTGAAATACAAATAGCCCGATGCTCGAGGAATGATTGCTCCGCCTATTAGAATATAAAAGGAGGTTTGAACCGACGGGTGGCAGCGGAATTTGAGGTGGAGGGTGATGCAGCACTGGGCGAGGCACTCTGCGAAGTAGACTCCGAAACTGCGGCCGACGTAGATCGCGTAGTGCTGGGCAGGGAGGATTTCGAAGCAGTCGAAGTCGAACTAGAGCTAGTGCTGGCAACGTGGGGAACTCGATGGAGCGGAAAGATGTTCCACGAATCTTTCCCACCACCTGAAAGAATTATCATACGTTAGTACTTCTCACGGATTTTTAAACTAGCACTCAGCCGAACGCACACTTTGAAAATGGGCCCCCTGGACAGTCAATATTGCATTTATGAGACGGGATGCGGTACTTCGCGTCTGGCAAGGAATTGCCGCACCAGCATTCTGTGCCCGCATGTACGGCGAACGCGTCTGCATCCTGCCTTTCGCATAAATCGAAACAATCATCCCAACTCTGGTCGAGGTATGTGCCTTGGTTTTTCAAGCTACCTGGGTTGCTGTAGCAGGAGCTATGTTCCAACGGGTCGGCAGAGACAAGGAGGGTCAAAGTGGCCATTAAGTAGATATAGAAATTTTGGAAAGTTTTCATCTTGACAAAATATCGATCCTGTGATAATAGAAGACAGAGAAATATTGTAGGGTAGGTATGCAGTCTAACAGCGACAGGTAAAACTTTTAAGGGCCAAAATGGACACCTACTAGTTTTATGGGAAAGGGCCACTAAACGTGACCAGTATTAGACATCTTGAAATCTCCACTCTAGTGAGCTAAGCCTTGATGACAGGAAGCCAGGAATCCAATATCCGTGCCTTCCAGTGCCCCCACCGCCTTTCGGCAGTGGGTGCACCACACCGATAGACCAATTTTGAAGTTATTCCCACTATCTATGGCCTTTCCCCTTTACTATCTACAAAAAAAATTTGATTTTCCTGCTGCGCTGCCATCGCTGATTCCGGCAATGTGGTTTCTATCCCCGTAGGCATTGTGGGTGGTGGTTGGCTATATACCTTTTTCCACTGCCTCTCTAATCTTTTTTCTCCTGTAGACCTCTTTTTCCTTCCTGGCCTTGATTGATCGATTGGCATCTTTTGTACTAAGTATTCCAGAGTCACCGAGCTTTGGAATCTCTCTCTTAGTAATTTGGCGCCTCCGGGGCTCTTGAATCTGCCTTATTCGCTCAACTGTATAAGTCATCATTGCAAGGTTCTCATTCTGTATTTTCTGATGCCGTAGCGCTCGCTGGAGCCCTCTCTGTAGCTTCGGAGTAAGCTCCTCCATTGTAAAGATCTTAGAGAGCTTTTTCTGGTTCTTTTCAAGCTCTTGTGCACTCTTCGGAGGGGTAGTTTTAATGCTGGAAAAGGAGAGATTAGGAGGCGGAGTTGTCTCTCCATACGTGCGAAGATCTGGTGCTTGGAGCTCTGGCACTGGAGGTAATATATCTTAAAGTTTTTAAATAATTTAAAAGCCATCTGCAGGGTAGATTCCATGCTCTTTAAAAGCATTGCGGATTATATATTAGTTAAAAGTGGCCTTTCGCATTTTGACAATATCCTGGAGGAAATCCGCTTTCCCTGCGGGAAGCCCACCCCACTGAGCAATAAGGTTATTTTGCTTGCGGAATTGCTGCTTATATGAAAGGAAAGGCTTGCTATTAAGAGGCTGGCATATATGAGTTGTATGAGCCTTGAAACAAAAAGGAATAATATTATAGGTATTGCAGAGTTAGAGGAATTTAAGAGTTTTATAGGACTTGTGGCTATTAAATAGCAACACTTGTTTTTCCCCTTCCGTTGATTCACACGATTAATTGTGGCCTCATGGAATTTTTGAAGCCATTGAACAGCGAGCTTATTATTAATATATCCTTTTGGGGATACTGCTGTCCAAAACTAAGGCAGATTAGGATAGTCGTACCAGCTTTCCATAAACCTCTCACCCTTAAAAATAAACAGTGGCTCATTATCCACCCATCAGCAGCAACACACTCGATCGCGGTGATACTTTCAGCATGATCAAACTTAGCCAGATCAGGGCAAAATCCCCTTGTGCCAATAACCTTCCAAGCTTTTCCTTTACCAGGTTGGAAGCCACACTTATCAAAGTTGTATACCAGGTAAAAAAAGAGGTCTTTGATTACATTCCCAAGCTAATTATACTAATGCTGTGGATATCCAACATCCTGATAGTCTTTTTATCTTTTGTTTTATCACGGGCCTAGTTTTAGATGCCCGGCGTTTTATAAACATAACCCCAATCTTACTACCGCTGCGCTGAACCGCTTCGAGCAGTGCTGGTTTGCCCACTCTCTAAGAACTAGGGTTACAGGAAGATACAGATCACGCATAGAAGCAATCCACTGGACCAGAGCTTTCTCCTGATACTTATCAAGGGCCTTATTCTGGGGTGTGTGGGCGTTGCGAGCCTGTTTTCCCTGGCAGACGCGACCACGCAGCGTGTTGTATAACACGCCATATTCCCGGGCAATCTTTGCTAAATTTGGTTTTTTTTCCTTACTGGCGGCTTTACAGGCCTCCAATACGCGTTTTTCAAGTTCTCCGGTTGATCTAGGCATATTGTGTGGATAGGAATAGCCTCAAGAAGATGGGAGGATGGAAAATTGGTCTATCGGTGTGAATTGGTCTATCGGTGTGGTGCACCCACTGCCGAAAGGCGGTGGGGGCACTGGAAGGCCCGGATAATACCAATAGATGTCCCGGCAGCGCTAAGAGACTCTTTGGCTTTAGTAATGATCTGCCCGAATCCCTTTGCAACCGGGCTAGTTACCCGAACGGTCAAGTTTGATAGACTGTCCAGTAGGTTATCCCTCTTCTTGGCCTCCTTATGTCTGTTTAGCGTATTTAGCGCCTTGGCAGTCCTTCAGAACTCCCACATCGTTTATAATGGGAGTTTTCTTTTCTTTACAAATCCCAACAAGCTATTCAAATATGTAGCGAATCTATGGTAGGTCAGAGGAATTAGCATCAGAATAGAGGAACTGAGCAAGTTGGAATTGAATGAGCGACTCAGTTATTACACAGAATAACTAGATACATGCAACATATAAATATTAGCCAAGGGCAACCCACTCTAATAACCGGGTTATCCCGTACCGAGGTCCGAGCCATACCCATGTCAAAATAAAACTAGATGTAGAAAGTAAATACAGAGCCCTTATTTGCCACGACAGGTATAGGCATGATATTCCTTCCAGCAGAGGCTACAATCACACCTACAAAGTGGCATCTCACATTGTTTCCACCAATACATAGTCATCCTTGTACGGGCACAAGTGATTAGAGTATCAGAGGCAGGAATTACCTCTAAAGCATGTAATCTTAGATGGCTAAGCTTATCTCCACGTATATATTGAAACTACCTACACATAGAACGCTTGGAACTCCATGCCACTGTATGCAGGCTCTCCGGCATAACCTCTTTAATATTTCGCTTGGGTGGGGTGATGATCGGACTGATTTCTGGATAGAATTGAAAGAGTCAATTATATAACTCCGTAGTGCCTCACGGAATTCCATCTGGTTCTTAATCTGCCGATTATTAGCTTTCTCTATACATATTAAATTCCATATGCGTTGACAACATTGGCATTAATAAATAATAAGCCAGTAGGATAAAGGCCGCCAACAGCGAAAAGCAGCACGGTAAACATCATAATTGCTTCGATATTGATTGGCAATAGTAGTCCCCCCATATAATGATTCTAATTATTAAGGCGGGGAATAGTATGCATTCTAACTAGATTATCACCAAATATCTTGAGTACAATTAATGCATTCGTGCTTGTCTTTGCAGGTCATCCTCGCTGGCACTTAGTATAGTCTCTATCTTTACAAACTATATAAATTGTTGATAGTCAAGAATATTATCCTGCCATCCAATGCATAAAAATTCATCAACTTCAACAGCACAAAGTGTATTCCGTTGCATTAAGGTTTTTAATTTATTAAGCTCCCTAAGCAGTAGCCTGGACTGCTTCTCATTTAAAGGCCCTATTATACCGCAGGCGCCATAGCCAAGCTCTCGTAGCTTCTTAAACGGGGGGATAAAGTAGTAGTAGTAGTAGTATTCATTAACCTGTCCTAGCTTACATGTGAATGTCGCCATGCAGGATTGCGCTGACACAGTCAGCGCTGGGAAGCCACACCTGGCGGCTGGCCATCCCAGAGTTCGCAGATGGCCCTAAGAAAAGGATATAGCTAAACAAGCAACACAAACGAAAAATTTAATGACTGTAAAGCCCGGGGGGGGATAAAGTACTTATCCATATATATATGGGAAACCTCGCAGGAGTTGATGTTGACAGTAAGCGTTGAATTCTATGATATAGTATTAAGGCAGTTTTTGTTAACGCCTCAACAAGCTGTAGGACTTCAATAATCCCATCTTGCCAACTAGACCGTACAAACCACCATAGATAGCCTTGGTCAGCAAGCGCGTACAGTTTAACTATAGCCTTGTAATATTTGCTTATTCAGCATTTTATCTGTATAGTTAACAGGATCGGCCAAAGCAGCGTAACATGAGCTTATCAAATGCCACAGTATCCGGAGATGCATATAGATGACTACTAGCATTGTGACACTCTTGCATCCGTCTACCAGCTTGGGCTCCTGCTATACTCTCGGAAGAAGTATAACGGGGCCGAAACAGTACTTCGACAGGCAGTGGAAGGCCGGGAGAAAGTTCTCGGGAAAGACTATAGTGACAATCTTACCGCCATTGACTTCGTTGGCCGTTCCCTTCTTGAGCAGAATAGGTATGAGGCAGCTAAACTAATGATTCGTCAGGCAATGGAAGGACAGAAGGGAGTACACGGAAAGACCATATTGACACTCTTGACTCCATATTCCACGTGGACGTTGTGCTATACTTTCAGAAGAAGTATGGTGAGGCAGAGCCAGTATGTCGATGGCAGCGAAAGGGCGAGAGAAAGTACTCGGGAAAGGTCATGTACAGACTCTTGACGCCACGTCTCTTGTTGGTCGTTGCGTGTATCATACCGACGATTGGTATGAGGCAGAGCCACTTCTCAAACAGGTAGCGAAAGCAAGGACGAAGGTACTTGGAAAAAACCATCCTAGCACTAGGTTCTCCCTCAACTGGCTTGCGAAATGCTCCGGTCGAGTGATGACTTTTTATGATGATGATGACCATGAATGGACTGGCAACCTTGATGATCGGAGGAATGGTTACTAGAGATATTAGGTAGCTTTCTTAATCCGGTACTAAAATAGGATATCAAGCATCTCAGATCTAGTACCTCCGGCATCTAGCAGGGATAGATAACCATCATACTTTTTGACTTGTTCTTAGTGGAGATGACGGACCACAGGAGGACGGAAATATATCAAGTACGGGATGGATCCAGGAAGAACCACTTGAGAAACTAATTGTTCGAGGATCATACGTTACGGAGAAAAGCCTATATTTATTTGACAACGAAGCTGAAAAACGGTCCATACTGCAGCAGTGTCTGCAGTTCTGGATCTCCAAAAAAAAAAAAAAATTACAACATCTACGACTTTCCCTAGAGGCGAAAAATGTATTTCGAATGGACAATTTGTAAGGCAAGGCAATGACGCTGGGGTAAAGTAAAGGAAACGCACCTCATGCTCGAAGTCGGCTTCCGTGAACTGTCTGGGTATAGTTCTTGAAATGAGGCACGCTGGATGGGAAAATATCAACGTTTCTTAGGCCACATAATCCACATTGTTGAGTGCCAGTAGAAAACGCTGCGAGTTCTTTCTTATGTAGGTTTTCCACATGATCCTAGAGCTTATTAATTTTGCTTTTTTTCTTTTCACGATGGGCGGGAGGAAGTGTTAGGAGCGCTCGGAAGCGCGATAGCTAGATGTCAGATATACGGCTAATCCCGAAGAGGAAATAGAGTACGATTGGTGAAAAGGTCTTATTTGAATGAATTGAGCTGGTTGGGCTCTTCTTGATTATTCTTCTTGGTTATTCTTGATTGATTATTTTGTTGTGTGCTCCACGGGGGTTTTACCCCGATCCAGTCACATGATTCTGGTCCACCAACGGCCATATTATTTGACACACCCCCTCAGATTCGAACCTTTCCTTCCAATTTCAGCAACCTTGAAGCTATTCCGGGTCGAATCTGACATTCAGTCATATCCGTTCAGTGTTTCCATCAATCCTTTTGACTCCAGAGATGTCCCGAAGTCCTAGCTGATCCACAAACGGCTCGAATTTCTTGTTATGCGTGGGGGTCGGTAACGAGCTGAATGGGGCGCTACGGTGCGAAAGGGAGTGTCTATATAGGAGAGAAGATAGAGCCACGTATATTGCAGAACTAATCGCTGGCCTTCAAGAGTTCAGGCCCGCGGGTGCGAATATAAACACTTCGCACCTGACTAAGCATCTTAGCTAAGGATCTAGCTATCGCGCTTCCGAGCGCTCCTAACACTATCTTCCCCTCCAAGAGGCTTCGCCCTCGAAGCCTTAAAGACTGTAGTATGAATATATGCGTTATGATGGGTAATGTGTTATAGATTCCAATCCCTTGAGTCCTTCCCATAATGGTTTGTGCGGTTGATCGATGTTTGGTACGATGTCTTGGAGCTTGGGTGAGTGTAGGTGTGTTTTCGCAGGTAGTCGCTCCATGGCAACAGTTCTGCTTCATTCACTGCAGTTTTTCGCCCGTTTGAGCTTAGTTCTGTTGTTGACGCTGAGCTTTTTGCTTCCTCTCTCTCTCTTCTCTTTTTTCTTCTCCTCTTCTCTTCTCAAACCACCAAACTTCTTGCGGTACGTGCGCACTCTTCTGCCTCAGCTAATAAGGGTAACGGCTCCTCCAGCGCTTTCTCGCATGTTTTGAGCTTACTAATATGGGTTTTTCGCAGATGGCTCGCCGCAAAGCTTCGTCGCCTCCATCGGGAGAATCCGCCCCACGACGCCGTCGCCTTCTCCGTGGAGTTCGTCCTCGTTCATCCTCTGAAGACGATGTCGTTTTCACACCTGCGCCCCGCTCGGTTTCGCCGGAATGGGAGGGATTTCCATCCTCTCCTGCTTCGGCGGAGCCGGACGGAGTCGAATCGCCCTCTCCGGACGTGTCTGGTAAGTCCGGTCGTTTATGTAAGGTAATATTGCTAATTTGTGCGAAAGTTTCATCGCCCCCTTTGTCTCCATCGGCGGCTTCGGTCGTCCAGGTGCAGACTACCCCTGCGCCGGTCCATGTTGATACGAATGGTTTGCCTTTGGCCCAGGGGGGTAGTCCTGGTGCCACCGTTGCCTTGTTCGTTTGGAGCGAGATGCTGCGTCAGCGTGTGTTTTCTTGCCAGGTCGTTTAAACTGTGTTTATTGTACTGGCCAGCGACACCCTTGTGTCGCTCCGGAGGTTGCCGCTGGTCCTTTGGCTGTTTCTATGGTTACTGAACATCGCACGTTTGTTGGACTTCCCCAGTCTCGTCGCCCTGCTGCGCAGGAGAGGGCGGCTGGGCTGGTAAGGGAGTATAGACGTGCGGTTCGAAAACCTCGAATACCACGCGTGGATAGCAGTAATCTGTGCCTGTCCCTGAACGCACTCCATCGCATTCGCCCATGGCTCCCGTTCCTGCGACTCCCAGTCGCCTGGGTCGTTTTGTTGATGCGGTCCTTTCCCCTTCAAGGGTTGAGTTGTCTCTTTGGGTGGGAGGTCGGTGTTATTGGGCCGTTGCGCCATCTTGTCTTAGTTAAATAGAATGCTATTTTCCTTTAGCCATGTAGCGCGTACGTCGTCGGGTAACAGGTGCTGTATTAGTAAGCCAGATGTCCAGGGCTTCAGTGTCTTCGACGTGCGATCTTGGTTCCCAGGTATCGTCATCAGGTGGATAGCCCTTCCATCGCACCAAATAGCTTATGTTACCACTCTTGTCGCGTTTTTCCTCCAGAATTTGATCAACTTCCCACCCTCTTCGCCATTAATTGGTATTGGCGGGGTCGGCTCCATTGACCCGGTCGTTCATGGTATGGCTCCAACAAAGACACGTGGAAAACGGGATGCAGACGGCGATATTTTGGTGGTAGCTGAAGCTTGTACGATTGGTTTCCCCATGCATCAATAATGGAAAATGGGCCTAGCTGGCGGTGGTCTAATTTCGCATTAGGTCGCACTGTAGAGACATTCTTCGCCCGTAGCATGACTTGATCACCAATCTTGAATTGTCTGTCGATCCGACGCTTATTATATTGCCTTGCCATGGCTTTTTGCGCCTTTTCAAGCGCATCCTTGACCAAGGATCGCTTTTCCTTGAGCTGTGTTGCGCGCTCCAACGCTGCTGGCGCATGGCCAGTGGGATCAGGATCGACATTGATTCTCAGGCTAGGGACGAAGCCCATCAATGCTTCATGTGGGCTTGTCTTTGTGGATGAATGAATCGCAGCATTATATGTAACTTGTGCCATTGGCAGCCAGTCAACCCAATCATCTTGCAAGAAACTCGCATAGGCTCGCAGGTAATACTCTAATGTTTGGTTTTGGCGTTCTGTCTGACCATCTGTCTGCGGATGAAACGCAGTAGACAGTTTCCGCTTCGATCCTAGGCAATAGCACAGTGTCGACCAGTAGCTACTGGTAAACAGCGAGCCCCTGTCCGACACCCATCGCTTTGGATTACCAAACATGGGTACCACCTTTTGATAAACCAAATGTGCGAGTTCTGGCGCCGAGATATCCTTATTGCAAGGAATATAAAGTGCGAACTTTGTTAGGGCATCCACAACCACTAATATCGCATCATAACTCTCTGTGCCCCTGGGCTGGCAGATATACTCGGTGAACTGGGCGGTAGTCCAGTAATAAAATCAAGAGTCAGCACTTCCCCAGGCTGCTCTGGCACCGGCAAAGGCTCCAGCTTGCCATAAGGTGCGTGTCTATGCACTTGAATTCTTTGACAAATATCGCAGGTTTTCACATAATCCAGCACATCGCCACGCATACCATGCCAATAGTATTTGCGTTCGACGGCTTCCAAGGTGCGTTTTCCTCTAAAATGTCCTCCTGAGGATCATCATGATTTGCTTTCATAATTTCATGTGTTACCGCAGGAATTCTGGGTACATAAACGCGACCTTGGTACCTGAGTAGGCCATTTTCGCCAATTCCCCAGGCCGGACTGCCATAGTCCCCAGCTTGCGATCAACTTTTCGCTTAATATCGCGTACCTCGCGATTCTCTTGGTGCAATTTGCACAAATAGTCCACCATGGACTCCTCAATGCTGGAGTAAGCTGATTCGGATCCAATAACCTTGCGGACATAGATCCGTGGCACCCAGGTGTCTAGAATTCTGGTAACGCCGGCAGCACAGTCCTCATCCACGGGTGCGTTCTTATCCACGTGGGCATGCATACTCCCCATGGAGATATGCGCATCAGAGCTCATTTTATTTAATTGTTTGGACCCGCCTTCGGTGTCCAGCGCCATTATTCCCGCCCATGCGGTTTTAACTCATTGGGTGCGTCATCCCAATGACTCTTGCCCATGGCCAATTTCAACTTTGATCGCAATGTGGGAAGCAGTGACGCATCACTTACTTCATCTGCGCTCGGCAGATAATCTGGCCTTCTACTTGGCGCATCTGCAGGGTTCTTTACCCCAGGTCGGTGCTCAATATGAAAATCGAACGCGCTCAGCAACTCGACCCATCTCGCCTGACGTCCATTAAGCCGCTTCAATGTGGGCCGCATGAAACCGCTTAGGTTGGCATGGTCAGACTTCACCACTATTGGCTCCCCGCTCCCTTCGAGGTAATGTCGCCAAACTTTGAATGCTTCAATGATCGCTAACAACTCTTGGTCATGCGTATCATACCTGCGTTCAGAATCGGTCATCTTTCGTGAGAAAAATGCCACAGGATGCCACTCGTTATCATCCTGTAATTGGGAGATTATCGCACTTATAGCGAAACCAGACGCATCTGTCTCTACCCTGGTCCTATTCCTAGGGTCATAATGAGATAGCAATGGTGCGCTCGAAAACGCACTTTTAGTTTATTAAACGCAACTCTTGCGTCCTCAGGCAGCTCAAGGCGCTGGTTCAAGAACCATTGCCTTTTGCTCCTCCCCCTTGCTCCCCTCGGGTGAGCTGGGTCAGCGGCAATGCAATGCGGGAATAACCCTCAATAAAACGCCTGTAAAAATTTGCAAATCCCAGGAATATCATGATCTCTCGCACGGTTGTTGGCTCCGGCCAAGCCTGGATGGTAGCCACACGGCTTTCCTCCATCTGAATGCCCGAAGGCGTGATGATAAATCCCAGGTATTCCACACTTTTCACATGAAATGAGCATTTGCTCAGCTTGGCGTATAGCCCGAATTGTCGCAGTCTCTCCAAAACTGCGGTAACATGCTCAACATGTTCCTCCTCACTCTGCGAGTATATAAGAATGTCATCCAGATAAACAACACAGCAATGGTCTAGTAGGTTGCTTAATGCGCGATTAATATAGGACTGGAACGTAGCTGGGGCGTTGGCTAGCCCGAATGGCATGACAGTGTATTCGAAGTGACCATATCTTGTGCGAAATGCAGTTTTCCATTCATCCCCTTTTTAATTCGGATGCGGTGATACGCGTCTCTCAGGTCAAGTTTGGTATATATCTTAGCGCCAGCCAAGCGATCCATAGTCTCGCTAACAAGTGGTAAGGGGTAACGATTTTTGACAGTAATCTCGTTCAAACCGCGGTAATCCACACAGAGTCGCAGTGTTCCGTCGGACTTCGGTACAAAGATAATAGGTGCGCCAGCTGGGCTTTTCGAGGGACGAATCCATCCCTTTTCTAGCGCTGCTTCAATATATCTGCGCAGAACTGCGAGCTCACTTTCGGACAAGGGGTAAATTGGTCGGTATGGGGGTTCCTTTCCCGGTTGTATATCAATTGCATGGTCGTGGTCTGCATGCGCAGGTAGAATCCCTGCATTTTCCTCCGAAAAGACATCTTCGAACTCCTTGTAGATTGCGGGTATTCGCACTCCTTCGCCGATTGTCGCAGAACCCACACGGATTTCGACCTGGTTATTTTCGGTTGTGGATACGTACGCTGCGTAGACTTGTTTTCCCTCTCTTAAAGTGCGATTCACCTCTGCTTCGTTGATTATCTCGACTTCTTTCTCCGGAGGTATTTTCCGGTATTCCCATGTTCCTAGTTCCCAGTCGACGTTTGGGTTCGCCTCTCTCAACCAAGGGTATCCTAGAATCGCATCATAATGGTCCATATCAACCACATCGAATGTTCTTTCAATCGTTCTACGAACACCGTGGCAATCTTGGGTGGTTGCCCTCAGCCTGTAGCGTCCGTAGCAACGGATGCGGTGACCATCTAGGGCCACTATCCTCCGCGGGCCTATTGCAGGCTCCGGGAGGTGCGCATCTGCGAACCTTCGGCTGATAAGAAGGGCTTGACACCCCGAGTCGATTAACGCACAAGTTGGAATAGTGCGCTCTTGTGCTTGCAGCTCAACCATAGTCTCAATGGCATTATCTTTTGGATTTTCTTCCTCTAGGCCCAGAGCCGCAGCTGCTCGCATCACTGGGCCACCTAGTTTTTGCCTGGTTGTCGTCCCTTCTCGCACGTTTGGGACATTGAGGCGCAATATGTCCCTTTTCTCCGCAGACATAGCATTCAATATCAGGGTTATGCGACTGCTGTCGCTTATGACCTTGGGACCTATTAGAGTTTCCTCTAAAGGCGCGATTGTTGCCTCTCCATGGCTTGTCTGGGCCCCGTTGACTGGAAGGTTGTTGTCTTTCCGTGTTGCCTGGGGTCGTCGTCCGGTGTCGCATAGCTAAGCTGTGTTGGCTTCTCCTATTCTTCGCTTGCGATATTTCCTTGCGTCGACCCGGTATGGAATCTTCAATTGTTTGGAGGTGGGCGATATAGCCTTCATATGTCTCTGGTTCGTTGGGCGTATTTAAGCGCTTCATGTCGCAGGTCTTGCTTGACTCTTGTCCGGAGGTGATCCTTTCGTTGATTTTCTGTGTATGCTTCTGGGAGCTGAACTTCCCATTGGTTAAGGTAAGCTGCGAATTCCCGCACGTTTTGGTGATCCTGTTGTCTGGCGTCATGGTAGCGTTGGCTCGCATCTCTTCGCAGGTTAACAGGGTCGTTTAATTGGCGTAGTAGAAATTTGCGAAAGTCCTCCCAGGTAGGTTTATCGGCGACTTCCTCCTCGTGTTGCCTCCATAGGCGGATAAATGTTGCGCATAGATGTGCCGTACCTTCCACCACTTTCGTCGTATCATTAGTAAAGTAGTAGCGATTTCGTTCGAAATGGTTCCATGCGTGCGATAAATGTCTGTATTCCTGCATGTTCTTTCCCATGTATTCCGAGACATGTGCTGGGGGTGCTGGCGGTTTCAATGCGTGCGTGGGCTCTGGCATAGGCTGGGGTGCGGTTTCTTGTGGTATTCCATGGTCGGGTGTGCTTATATTGGATTCTGGCCGCGAAATTGTTGCACTTCGGTTTTCTTGGATGCGTTTCTCATAATCGATAAGCTCTTGCAATGCCCTCCTTTTATTTTCCATGCGTAATCTCTTGAGTTCCTGCTTTTGTTGGCGTATCTGGTCCCGGAGTTCGGCAAATTCATTATCCGATGAAGAATCGTTTGTTGTTGTGGACCCAGTAGCCCCTTTTCGAGGGCTATCGCCTTGCAACACAGCTGTTTCCTCAACTGTTTCTTCAGCTGGGCCCGGATTCATCGAAGCATCAGGTTGTGCTTGGATAGATGCGGTATTCTCTGAGACGGGGTTGACAGAATTCTCGGTGTTTCGGGTGACTTGGGAGCCAGCACGCTGCACGCGTCGAGGTGCCATAGTGCTCCTTTCAGCGGGTTACCGTCGTGGGTTACCGTTGGGGTGAGCGATTAGAACTGTTATGCGTGGGGGGTCGGTAACGAGCTGAATGGGGCGCTACGGTGCGAAAGGGAGTGTCTATATAGGAGAGAAGATAGAGCCACGTATATTGCAGAACTAATCGCTGGCCTTCAAGAGTTCAGGCCCGCGGGTGCGAATATAAACACTTCGCACCTGACTAAGCATCTTAGCTAAGGATCTAGCTATCGCGCTTCCGAGCGCTCCTAACATTTCTGCCGTGGCAGTGCTTTAGTGAGTCCATCTGCCAGCATCTTGTCTGTTGGTGTGTAGCTGACTTGGATTCTTCCTTCCAGAGCTTCCTGCCTGAGCCAATGATTATGGATATCCACGTGTCGAAGCCTTGTCTGAAGTCGGTTTATATCTTTATGCACAAGCCGGATTGTTTGGAGATTGTCACAGAAGATTTGAATCCGTTGGTCCTTCTTTCTCTTATCCAGTTGAACTCCAAGCTCTTTAAGCAGTCTGCTGATAAATATTCCTTCTCCAGCTGCGTGGGACAACGCTAGAAGCTCTGCCTCAGTGGTAGAAGTAGTTACCGTTGCCTGCTTGTTGGCCCTCCATCCTACTACTCCTCCAAACAACTGCATTATATATCCTTGCGAACTCTTTCGATCCTCCTTGTTATCCGCAAACGAAGCATCGCTGTACAGGATGAAGTCATCTCCACCCCCAGTTGCAGCGCTAGGTCTTTCGTTCGTTTAAGGTATAAAAAGGACGCGGTCAGCCGCAGCATGGTGTTCGTCGCTTGGATTGGTAAGAAAGCGGGATAATTTGGACACTGCAAAGGCTATGTCTGGTCGTGTGGTGACTGCTGTGTACATTAAGGAACCGTTCTTCTTCTGATATCTCTGAATACTTTGGCGTGTGGCTTGTCCGGTGTAGATAATAAGCTCATCTCTGGTTATTGGGACAGTATCTGAGGTTCTTGAATCCGCTAGGTTAGCAATCTTCTCTATATAAGAGGATTGACTTAGCCATATAATTCTTTTCTCCCGATCCCGGATTATCTCTATACCAAGAAACCACTGCAGTTTATCTCCGCCAGTCATCTTGTACTGGTTTTGGAGCTGATTAACAATTTGGTCCAGTATCTCTTGATTCTTGCAGCCCTTTTGGTATGCAAAGATTATGTCGTCAACATAGAAGAATACTAGAATACCATTTTTAATCATGCAACATGGTTCATGAGGAATAGGATTAAATCCTAGGTCTTGAAGGGATTTCTTGAAGTGCTTTTGCCATAGCAATGGTGATTGCCTCAGTCCAAACAGGGCCCTTTTAAGCTTCAGGATTATACCTGGCTTTTGGTATCCTGGTGGCATCTGCATAAAGACATCCTCATCGATATCTGCATAGACAAAGGCATTGGTAATGTCATATTGCACCAATTCCAAGTCAAATCTTGCAGCTGTAGCCATTAGGATTCGGAATGATTGTATAGCCAGTGTTGAAGCATAAAGATCTTCTGTTTTCCTTTCTTGTTGGTCGCCGCGTACAACCAGACGGGCCTTGCACTTTTGCAGTCTTCCTTTCTGGTCAAACTTGTACGCGTACACCCATTTGCAATCCAGGATTTGCCTGCCTTTGCATTTAGGATTATGCCGGCTTATTTCTTGCCATGTACACATATCCTCATGTCCCTTAAGATGATCTTTTTCAGCCTGCTTGAACTGTTCGCCAAGTGGATGATTAATAAGATCTCTGTGGTGGACTGGCTTAGGTGGCAAATCTCTGTGGTGCAAATCCTTTTCAGGTTGTCGAAGTAATCGTTCTGATTGTGCCTTGGTTGTTCTCTCTCCGGGTCGTTTCGGTTGAATTAATGGTGCAGCCAAAAACGATGCTTTCCATGCAGCTAAGTGCGATGATTCTTGATTAGATCTAGCTGGGGAACCAATAGCTAATAGCGAAGCTGGTTGTAGATATTCTGGCGTCTCCGGTGGTGTTGGATAGACTAGGTCTTCAGCATCTTTCTGACCTATTTCTTCCGCCAAATCCATAGCTGATTGTGCCATATCCACCAGAAAGTCTAAAGAATCAAAATATCCAACTACTTGCTCTTCTTGTTGGCTTGGTGGCGACATAGACTCTTCGGGAACCTCAATATTCTTGATCATCTGGTTGAAATCTTGGATGGATATCTGCCGGAATTGATCCTGCATGATTGCTAGTTCGGACAGATCCCCAGAGAACTGCTCGTCTTCATTGAATATCACATCTCTTGTACGGATGACTCGGTTTAGGCGTGGAATCCAGATTCGGTAGATATTAGTGGAATCATATCCAACTAGATATCCAATATGCGCTCTTGGATTGAATCTCTGTTTCCGGTTTGACTTCTTCAGTGCTTCTGTGGTCATGGCGAAGGCTTTGCATCCATATACTTTTAGATGCGCTTGCTGAGGCTTTCTGTCATGGATTACCATGCCGTCTTGGTGCGCAACGTAGGTATGGAATCGATCGAAAGGCGTTTTCCAATTGGTTTGGTACTGAGGTGTTCGATTGGAAAGATAGACTGATGCACGTACAATCTCCGGCCATAGAAATGCAGGTAATCTAGCATGTTCCCGCATTGCTCGAGCCTTATCCTTTATTACACCCCTGAGCGCTCTGCACCACCGTTTTGAGCACTTGTATAAGGTGCGGAGGGCTCAATCTTTATAAAATAAGGATCTGACTGCAGAAAGGCTGCAATGCGAGGCTTTTGGCCCACAGTTTCATTGTCACATTCAATAACCTGAACCTTTATATCCATTCGCCCAAGTGTTCCAAGTAAATGCTCAAAGCGTGGATAATTGAGTCAGCCGTTCGGTCCTCTAGGTAGTAATCCCAGATAAAACCTGACCACCGATCAGTTGCTAGCATCAAGCTTTTCCAACCACCATAGCCAGCTTCGAAGTCATGGAAATCAATGGCTACGGCGTTGACCCGGTCCCTCTATAAAATCCGATGGAATTCTGCTAACCTGACGCTTTAGCTTTGCAATCCCGCAGGCGTCGCATTCCACTGTTGTCGGTCCACCTCTAATCCTTGCTCCTTTAGTTGAATTGACTAGATGCTCCAAGGTAAGAGGTCCAGGATGTCCAAGTCGAAGGTGCCATTGGTATGCATCTGCCCGTGCAGATCTTGGTGTAGAATGGAACGATGATTGAAAGCGGTTTCGGCGATTAAAAAGACTTCCTCTTGTTATATTCATGGGAAGGTATTCAATCACAAACTGGTCGAACTGGTCTTCAATCTGCGCAATCGGTCGATTATCTTGATGTCGGAGGATGTTTTGCTCTGGTCGATTATCCCACCATATTCCGGCCTTATGCAACTGGCGTAGAGACACTAAATTGCAAGCCATCTTGGGACAGAAAGCAACATCTTGGAGGTGCAGTATTGACTTCTTTCCACCTAATCTAACCTGAATATCCACATTGCCATATCCATGGATCTCCACCTTTGAATCTCCGGCCCATATAAAGTCACCTGGTTGTGCGGTTTGAAAGTCGTTGAATCGAGTGATTTCATTAAAGATATGGATAGTGGATCCGGAGTCAAGAATAGCTGAATTCTTTAATGGATAGGTATCCGGTAATGTCGCAAATGAAGCTGGAATTCTTCCAATCTGTCGTTCAAGTAGTCAATCTTGATTCCTCAAGCTCTTCCACTCTTCAACCTCTTTGGCAAATTCCTTGTCTGTTTGAAGCAGATGATTAATAAATCTCCTAATTACAGCACGTTCCTTAAATCCTTTAGGGGCCTCTTGAGGGAAAAAGATAGAAACAGGCCTTCCATTCATGCATTTGCCCACATGCTTTGCAAGCTACCTTTGTCTTCTTGGCTATATTGCAGCTCTCGAGATTATTAGGCTTTTGCTTGCGCTTCTGGGTATAGCTTGACCTTTTGGTGCGTGATTCAATTCCGTGCCTTCAGTCTTAGCTTTCAGCATCAAAGGTTGGACCAAATGACCCTTTGGCAATATTGCTGCTCTGTTGAATCAATTTGGTATCCAAACCTTTTCGGAAGTCTTGTGCTACCAGTCTGAATGTCAGGTTGTCTGATTCAATATCCTTACTCTTAGCAATCTCATATGAGGTTGCCCATACCGGGTTTAAAGTCCGTACAGCATTCAGGAAATCCTCAATCCAGTCACTTGTGGTTGCAGCCACTGCAATTCTAGCTTTTTCGGCCTTGTGCATTGCTTCTTCCCAATTGTTTAACCAGGTAAGTACATCCCGACGGTCTTGTGACAGGTTTAATGGCCTTTTTATACGCTTCGCGGGCAAGTTTCTTGACTGTGGCATCATCAATTCCCACCCGTTGCTTTAGTTTGGCGTACCATTCCTTCATCGAATCCTCTGGATCGCAGCAATATTCATACACTTGTGGAGAAATAGTCTTCTGCATCCACTCCCGCAGTTTGCTTAGTTCAGTTTGTTGAAGAATATAGTCGTCACGAAGGCTTTTGTAAACAGTCCAAGCAAATTGTCGATCAGCAAGGGAGGTAGGATTTGTTGATCGTGTACTTCCAGCTGGTGGTGCCAAAGTGTCATCGGTAGGTGGTGCTGGCTTTAAAATCTCTTGTTCATCGCCAGTAATAATTCCCCATAAATTCTTGCCTCTGGCTAAACCTTCAAACTGCGTGTTCCATTCCTTCCAATTCTCTTGGGTTTTCAAAAGGACGGTATTCTGCGTGGACATTTCGTTCGGAGGAAATAAAGTTTCGACCGGTGGATAGCTGAGCTGTATAAGCCGTGGTTCGCTGTATAGGTAGTTTTGAGCGAATGAGACTCTTAATTGTCAGATATACGGCTAATCCCGAAGAGGAAATAGAGTACGATTGGTGAAAAGGTCTTATTTGAATGAATTGAGCTGGTTGGGCTCTTCTTGATTATTCTTCTTGGTTATTCTTGATTGATTATTTTGTTGTGTGCTCCACGGGGTTTTACCCCGATCCAGTCACATGATTCTGGTCCACCAACGGCCATATTATTTGACACTAGATCCTTAGCTAAGATGCTTAGTCAGGTGCGAAGTGTTTATATTCGCACCCGCGGGCCTGAACTCTTGAAGGCCAGCGATTAGTTCTGCAATATACGTGGCTCTATCTTCTCTCCTATATAGACACTCCCTTTCGCACCGTAGCGCCCCATTCAGCTCGTTACCGACCCCCACGCATAACAGTTCTAATCGCTCACCCCAACGGTAACCCGCTGAAAGGAGCACTATGGCACCTCGACGCGTGCAGCGTGCTGGCTCCCAAGTCACCCGAAACACCGAGAATTCTGTCAACCCCGTCTCAGAGAATACCGCATCTATCCAAGCACAACCTGATGCTTCGATGAATCCGGGCCCAGCTGAAGAAACAGTTGAGGAAACAGCTGTGTTGCAAGGCGATAGCCCTCGAAAAGGGGCTACTGGGTCCACAACAACAAACGATTCTTCATCGGATAATGAATTTGCCGAACTCCGGGACCAGATACGCCAACAAAAGCAGGAACTCAAGAGATTACGCATGGAAAATAAAAGGAGGGCATTGCAAGAGCTTATCGATTATGAGAAACGCATCCAAGAAAACCGAAGTGCAACAATTTCGCGGCCAGAATCCAATATAAGCACACCCGACCATGGAATACCACAAGAAACCGCACCCCAGCCTATGCCAGAGCCCACGCACGCATTGAAACCGCCAGCACCCCAGCACATGTCTCGGAATACATGGGAAAGAACATGCAGGAATATCAGACATTTATCGCACGCATGGAAACCCATTTCGAACGAAATCGCTACTACTTTACTAATGATACGACGAAAGTGGTGGAAGGTACGGCACATCTATGCGCAACATTTATCCGCCTATGGAGGCAACACGAGGAGGAAGTCGCCGATAAACCTACCTGGGAGGACTTTCGCAAATTTCTACTACGCCAATTAAACGACCCTGTTAACCTGCGAAGAGATGCGAGCCAACGCTACCATGACGCCAGACAACAGGATCACCAAAACGTGCGGGAATTCGCAGCTTACCTTAACCAATGGGAAGTTCAGCTCCCAGAAGCATACACAGAAAATCAACGAAAGGATCACCTCCGGACAAGAGTCAAGCAAGACCTGCGACATGAAGCGCTTAAATACCCCAACGAACCAGAGACATATGAAGGCTATATCGCCCACCTCCAAACAATTGAAGATTCCATACCGGGTCGACGCAAGGAAATATCGCAAGCGAAGAATAGGAGAAGCCAACACAGCTTAGCTATGCGACACCGGACGACGACCCCAGGCAACACGGAAAGACAACAACCTTCCAGTCAACGGGGCCCAGACAAGCCATGGAGAGGCAACAATCGCGCCTTTAGAGGAAACTCTAATAGGTCCCAAGGTCATAAGCGACAGCAGTCGCATAACCCTGATATTGAATGCTATGTCTGCGGAGAAAAGGGACATATTGCGCCTCAATGTCCCAAACGTGCGAGAAGGGACGACAACCAGGCAAAAACTAGGTGGCCCAGTGATGCGAGCAGCTGCGGCTCTGGGCCTAGAGGAAGAAAAAAATCCAAAAGATAATGCCATTGAGACTATGGTTGAGCTGCAAGCACAAGAGCGCACTATTCCAACTTGTGCGTTAATCGACTCGGGGTGTCAAGCCCTTCTTATCAGCCGAAGGTTCGCAGATGCGCACCTCCCGGAGCCTGCAATAGGCCCGCGGAGGATAGTGGCCCTAGATGGTCACCGCATCCGTTGCTACGGACGCTACAGGCTGAGGGCAACCACCCAAGATTGCCACGGTGTTCGTAGAACGATTGTAAAGAACATTCGATGTGGTTGATATGGACCATTATGATGCGATTCTAGGATACCCTTGGTTGAGAGAGGCGAACCCAAACGTCGACTGGGAACTAGGAACATGGGAATACCGGAAAATACCTCCGGAGAAAGAAGTCGAGATAATCAACGAAGCAGAGGTGAATCGCACTTTAAGAGAGGGAAAACAAGTCTACGCAGCGTACGTATCCACAACCGAAAATAACCAGGTCGAAATCCGTGTGGGTTCTGCGACATCGGCGAAGGAGTGCGAATACCCGCAATCTACAAGGAGTTCAAGATGTCTTTTCGGAGGAAAATGCAGGGATTCTACCTGCGCATGCAGACCACGACCATCAATTATATATAACCGGGAAAGGAACCCCCATACCGACCAATTTACCCCTTCGTCCGAAAGTGAGCTCGCAGTTCTGCGCAGATATATTGAAGCAGCGCTAGAAAAGGGATGGATTCGTCCCTCGAAAAGCCCAGCTGGCGCACCTATTATCTTTGTACCGAAGTCCGACGGAACACTGCGACTCTGTGTGGATTACCGCGGTTTGAACGAGATTACTGTCAAAAATCGTTACCCCTTACCACTTGTTAGCGAGACTATGGATCGCTTGGCTGGCGCTAAGATATATACCAAACTTGACCTGAGAGACGCGTATCACCGCATCCGAATAAAAAGGGGGATGAATGGAAAACTGCATTTCGCACAAGATATGGTCACTTGAATACTGATATTCGGGCTAGCCAACGCCAGCTACGTTCCAGTCTATATTAATCGCGCATTAAGCAACCTACTAGACCATTGCTGTGTTGTTTATCTGGATGACATTCTTATATACTCGCAGAGTGAGGAGGAACATGTTGAGCATGTTACCGCAGTTTTGGAGAGACTGCGACAATTCGGGCTATACGCCAAGCTGAGCAAATGCTCATTTCATGTGAAAAGTGTGGAATACCTGGGATTTATATCACGCCTTCGGGCATTCAGATGGAGGAAAGCCGTGTGGCTACCATCCAGGCTTGGCCGGAGCCAACAACCGTGCGAGAGTATATATTCCTGGGATTTGCAAATTTTTACAGGCGTTTTATTGAGGGTTATTCCCGCATTGCATTGCCGCTGACCCAGCTCACCCGAGGGGAGCAAGGGGGAGGAGCAAAAGGCAATGGTTCTTGAACCAGCGCCTTGAGCTGCCTGAGGACGCAAGAGTTGCGTTTAATAAACTAAAAGTGCGTTTTCGAGCGCACCATTGCTATCTCATTATGACCCTAGGAATAGGACCAGGGTAGAGACAGATGCGTCTGGTTTCGCTATAAGTGCGATAATCTCCCAATTACAGGATGATAACGAGTGGCATCCTGTGGCATTTTTCTCACGAAAGATGACCGATTCTGAACGCAGGTATGATACGCATGACCAAGAGTTGTTAGCGATCATTGAAGCATTCAAAGTTTGGCGACATTACCTCGAAGGGAGCGGGGAGCCAATAGTGGTGAAGTCTGACCATGCCAACCTAAGCGGTTTCATGCGGCCCACATTGAAGCGGCTTAATGGACGTCAGGCGAGATGGGTCGAGTTGCTGAGCGCGTTCGATTTTCATATTGAGCACCGACCTGGGGTAAAGAACCCTGCAGATGCGCCAAGTAGAAGGCCAGATTATCTGCCGAGCGCAGATGAAGTAAGTGATGCGTCACTGCTTCCCACATTGCGATCAAAGTTGAAATTGGCCATGGGCAAGAGTCATTGGGATGACGCACCCAATGAGTTAAAACCGCATGGGCGGGAATAATGGCGCTGGACACCGAAGGCGGGTCCAAACAATTAAATAAAATGAGCTCTGATGCGCATATCTCCATGGGGAGTATGCATGCCCACGTGGATAAGAACGCACCCGTGGATGAGGACTGTGCTGCCGGCGTTACCAGAATTCTAGACACCTGGGTGCCACGGATCTATGTCCGCAAGGTTATTGGATCCGAATCAGCTTACTCCAGCATTGAGGAGTCCATGGTGGACTATTTGTGCAAATTGCACCAAGAGAATCGCGAGGTACGCGATATTAAGCGAAAAGTTGATCGCAAGCTGGGGACTATGGCAGTCCGGCCTGGGGAATTGGCGAAAATGGCCTACTCAGGTACCAAGGTCGCGTTTATGTACCCAGAATTCCTGCGGTAACACATGAAATTATGAAAGCAAATCATGATGATCCTCAGGGAGGACATTTTAGAGGAAAACGCACCTTGGAAGCCGTCGAACGCAAATACTATTGGCATGGTATGCGTGGCGATGTGCTGGATTATGTGAAAACCTGCGATATTTGTCAAAGAATTCAAGTGCATAGACACGCACCTTATGGCAAGCTGGAGCCTTTGCCGGTGCCAGAGCAGCCTGGGGAAGTGCTGACTCTTGATTTTATTACTGGACTACCGCCCAGTTCACCGAGTATATCTGCCAGCCCAGGGGCACAGAGAGTTATGATGCGATATTAGTGGTTGTGGATGCCCTAACAAAGTTCGCACTTTATATTCCTTGCAATAAGGATATCTCGGCGCCAGAACTCGCACATTTGGTTTATCAAAGGTGGTACCCATGTTTGGTAATCCAAAGCGATGGGTGTCGGACAGGGGCTCGCTGTTTACCAGTAGCTACTGGTCGACACTGTGCTATTGCCTAGGGATCGAAGCGGAAACTGTCTACTGCGTTTCATCCGCAGACAGATGGTCAGACAGAACGCCAAAACCAAACATTAGAGTATTACCTGCGAGCCTATGCGAGTTTCTTGCAAGATGATTGGGTTGACTGGCTGCCAATGGCACAAGTTACATATAATGCTGCGATTCATTCATCCACAAAGACAAGCCCACATGAAGCATTGATGGGCTTCGTCCCTAGCCTGAGAATCAATGTCGATCCTGATCCCACTGGCCATGCGCCAGCAGCGTTGGAGCGCGCAACACAGCTCAAGGAAAAGCGATCCTTGGTCAAGGATGCGCTTGAAAAGGCGCAAAAAGCCATGGCAAGGCAATATAATAAGCGTCGGATCGACAGACAATTCAAGATTGGTGATCAAGTCATGCTACGGGCGAAGAATGTCTCTACAGTGCGACCTAATGCGAAATTAGACCACCGCCAGCTAGGCCCATTTTCCATTATTGATGCATGGGGAAACCAATCGTACAAGCTTCAGCTACCACCAAAATATCGCCGTCTGCATCCCGTTTTCCACGTGTCTTTGTTGGAGCCATACCATGAACGACCGGGTCAATGGAGCCGACCCCGCCAATACCAATTAATGGCGAAGAGGAGGGGAAGTTGATCAAATTCTGGAGGAAAAACGCGACAAGAGTGGTAACATAAGCTATTTGGTGCGATGGAAGGGCTATCCACCTGATGACGATACCTGGGAACCAAGATCGCACGTCGAAGACACTGAAGCCCTGGACATCTGGCTTACTAATACAGCACCTGTTACCCGACGACGTACGCGCTACATGGCTAAAGGAAAATAGCATTCTATTTAACTAAGACAAGATGGCGCAACGGCCCAATAACACCGACCTCCCACCCAAAGAGACAACTCAACCCTTGAAGGGGAAAGGACCGCATCAACAAAACGACCCAGGCGACTGGGAGTCGCAGGAACGGGAGCCATGGGCGAATGCGATGGAGTGCGTCTTCAGGGACAGGCACAGATGTACTGCTATCCACGCGTGGTATTCGAGGTTTTCGAACCGCACGTCTATACTCCCTTACCAGCCCAGCCGCCCTCTCCTGCGCAGCAGGGCGACGAGACTGGGGAAGTCCAACAAACGTGCGATGTTCAGTAACCATAGAAACAGCCAAAGGACCAGCGGCAACCTCCGGAGCGACACAAAGGGTGTCGCTGGCCAGTACAATAAACACAGTTTAAACGACCTGGCAAGAAAACACACGCTGACGCAGCATCTCGCTCAAACGAACAAGGCAACGGTGGCACCAGGGACTACCCCCCCTGGCCAAAGGCAAACCATTCGTATCAACATGGACCGGCGCAGGGGTAGTCTGCACCTGGACGACCGAAGCCGCCGATGGAGACAAAGGGGCGATGAAACTTTCGCACAAATTAGCAATATTACCTTACATAAACGCACCGGACTTACCAGACACGTCCGGAGAGGGCGATTCGACTCCGTCCGGCTCCGCCGAAGCAGGAGAGGATGGAAATCCCTCCCATTCCGGCGAAACCGAGCGGGGCGCAGGTGTGAAAACGACATCGTCTTCAGAGGATGAACGAGGACGAACTCCACGGAGAAGGCGACGGCGTCGTGGGGCGGATTCTCCCGATGGAGGCGACGAAGCTTTGCGGCGAGCCATCTGCGAAAACACCCATATTAGTAAGCTCAAAACATGCGAGAAAGCGCTGGAGGAGCCGTTACCCTTATTAGCTGAGGCAGAAGAGTGCGCACGTACCGCAAGAAGTTTGGTGGTTTGAGAAGAGAAGAGGAGAAGAAAAAGAGAAGAGAGAGAGAGGAAGCAAAAAGCTCAGCGTCAACAACAGAACTAAGCTACAAACGGGCGAAAAACTGCAGTGAATGAAGCAGAACTGTTGCCATGGAGCGACTACCTGCGAAAACACACCTACACTCACCCAAGCTCCAAGACATCGTACCAAACATCGATCAACCGCACAAACCATTATGGGAAGGACTCAAGGGATTGGAATCTATAACACATTACCCATCATAACGCATATATTCATACTACAGTCTTTAAGGCTTCGAGGGCGAAGCCTCTTGGAGGGGACTTTCCTGTTAGGAGCGCTCGGAAGCGCGATAGCTAGATCCTTAGCTAAGATGCTTAGTCAGGTGCGAAGTGTTTATATTCGCACCCGCGGGCCTGAACTCTTGAAGGCCAGCGATTAGTTCTGCAATATACGTGGCTCTATCTTCTCTCCTATATAGACACTCCCTTTCGCACCGTAGCGCCCCATTCAGCTCGTTACCGACCCCCCACGCATAACAGGAAGACTTTAATCTGCCAGACAAAACGGACGTTGTAACGGGTCATATTTCTCTGGAACCGTGTTTTCTGGGGATGCCGGGGGTGGGTGGGGTTGGGGCCCAGCTGCCACTGCCGCTTGCCGTCCCCTACAAGGGGCTTCTTTCCGACCCAGCCACCGGACCATGAGGCGAATGTACCTTAATCGACAAAAAAAAGCCTCTTCCTCTGTCTTCGCAAGTGGGGTGTAGAAAAGTGAATCCACTAGCTCTGCGCGTTCCGGGATCTGGTAGCAGTGGAGAGAGCGGTGCTGGGTCTTACTTTCCTTGGCCTAAGCGCCATTCGCATATCGCTGATTGAAAAGAGTCGTGTCTGTGTTTCGAAAACACTATCGGCAGTTATTTTCCGTTGCTTTATATCGAAGTTCGGTGAGTTTGCTGTGAAGTTCTGCATCTGCTTGCCGCTTTTCCTCGCTGATTTTGGTCCCCTTAGCTCCCTTGACTGATCGGTACTTGCTTTGGATGGGCACCCTGGAGGAAGAGGCCTGGGGAGGGAAAGTAGTCGAACTACAAGTTGCCAATAACAAGTGCAATCCACGGAAGTTCGATAGTCCACCACCTACTGCAAAAAACGAAAGGAAGTTCTGTGGGAATACCAGGTCACTGCACCATTACTTCTTGAGGCACTGTACAGTCTTATGAAGCTCCAGGCAGAAGGCAAAGACATGGAAAATGATCTTACTGGATATTCTCGCAGATATCCAAGCAGTCTTATTCTAGTAACAAGAGGATTTTTCAGTCCTGGAAGAGCGGACGCAGGCTAACAAATATATAAGGAAAAACAACATAGACATATTAATACTTCGTTTATAGCCTGGCGTGCGAAGCGCATAGTAGTCGAATAATGAGTGACTAATTAAATGAGACTGTAATGGGTGGCAAAGTGTTGACTTTGAATACTGATCTCTATTAAGTGAACGGAAACAGCGATCTATGTATATCTATTGCAGACCCCGTAAAGACAACTACGTTACCCTACTAGCCAAGTGCTCTTTCGTTTCCTTGTCTTAGTATGTCAGAATAAACCTGTCCTGGGAGTGGGGGAGGGCCCTTACTATAACTCTAAGTCTGGGTCTCACAATAGCAAGTAATGGGGGAGAATCTGCGGCCGGTGCATCCACCGAGCAGCTTGAATATCTCCAGGAGGGATTCAATATGCTGAGGTTAGATGTAACCAACATTATTTACTAGGGTGGAGTTGACATTCCCGAAATCTAGGTACCTAATTACATAGTACATGGCCTATCATGCTGGCATGCGACTATCATTACCTTGCTAGTAGTTCTGACTCCTCAGTAACAAAGAAAAGAGATCATAATATTATAGCATGTATTAGCCGCATGTCCTTTCGATGTACAGTTACATCGTTTCCACGATATGGCAAGGCTTTTTTGTCACTTTCCTTTGTTTATTGTCTCCACTCCATTACAGTACTAGCAGGGTTCGGGGACATGTCGCGGGAGTGAGGCAGGAAATGAAAGCCTTTCCTAGCTGACCGAGGTATTATCTCGTGTCCTCATGTGTTCTTGTTGATTATAAAGAGCCTCCTATTACCAGAAAAGTTATACAGTCTATAAGTTTCTATTTCACCCCAATTTTGTCCACTTCTCGGAGGTTATCGAAGAACCCCACCACCCTACCGCAAGTGACACTGACCAAATCCCCAGTCATTATGGCAGACAAGGAACCCCTCGCCGATCTTCAGCAGATGATTGCGACGTACAATAAAGATGACCCGGCTAGTTGGACTCGACTTGATGATGCCATGGAGAAAGTGCGCAGAGTATTGGAGCCTCCTCACGTCTTTGCTATGAAGCAGCGACTCCATGTATGTCACATTCATTCCCTTACCCCAGCTATTCGAACAAATTGCGAATAATAGCGATTTCCCCGCTACAGACAATGAACAATCTTTGCATAGTGGTGGCCCTCGAAATGGGCTTGTTACAAACCCTAGCCACCAACCAAGGCAAGAGTCTGTCTGCTGAGGACTTGTCGAGGAGCTCGGGGTACAATACCGTCCTAATTGGTACATATCACAATTCCTTACCGACAAAGGTCATGGTGGTTGCTTTGACTGATGCGTTTTATACATGACAGCCCGTGTGATGCGCATGATAACTGCTATCGGTTTTGCAGATGAAACCGGATATCAGACTTACATTGCAAATGGCTGTACACTGGCTCAAAGTAACCCTGGCTCAATCGGAGGACTGATTATCTCGTATAGTACCCCCGAGCCCACATATCATACGATTGCCATAGCCATAACCATGCTAATACTCAACATAACCATCCAGCAACGACATGATCTATCCTCTCGCAAGTAGAATGCGCCAATACCTTCGGCAAAACAAACCTGTCAATAGCGAGACGACTCCAGCATACGATTTTGCCATGGGAGAGACTGTCTGGCAAACCCTAGCCAAAGATATTGAATGGAAAACGGGTTTTGACAACAACATGACCGCTCGGAATAAAACTCTCTCTGTCCCCTGGCATGTGAAGTACCCAGTTAAGGAGAAGCTGGCCGCACGGCCGGTGTCCACAAAGCCGGTTATTGTTGATGTCGGTGGTAATCAGGGCGTCGACCTGCAGCGTTTTGCTGATACATTCCCTGATCTCGAGTGTAGGCTGATCCTACAGGACTTACCGGAGACATTAGCTGGGATTCCAGGCAAGCTTGATTCTAGAATCAAGCCAACGGTATATGATTTCTTTACAGAGCAGACTGTAAAGGGTAAGTCGTGAAAAAAGAAATGCTCACATGTAGCGCTCTCTTGATATTACGGAGTTAAAATATGGTCTAGGAGCGGATATATACTACCTCAAATCCATACTTCATGACTGGGATGATATTGCTTCCCACCAGATCCTTTCAAATATTGCGAAAGTCATGCGGCCCCACTCCCGCCTTCTCATCAACGAAATGATTCTTGCCGATATGAATGAGTCGATGATAAGAACTAATATGGATATGCTGATGTTGTTCCTTACCAACGGGATAAACGCACCAAAACGCAGTGGAATGAGCTGTTGGCCAAGGTGGAACCACCATTAAAGCTCGTCCAGGTTTGGTCGGCTCCCGGGGATCAACAGAGCGTCATTGAGGCTTGTCTTGCAGATTAGAAATAACCATTTACTCTAAGTTATAGATATTGGAGATTGGCTTATGTCAAATAGAATAAAAATTAGTATTTTTTAATTTCATACCCGACACTGTAATAATAAAGAAATGTGGAGCGTATCTGTGTTAGTAACACTTGACCTTATTCTATATCTCATTTCTCAGCCTTAAACTATGGCTACAGTCTTCTCCGCTGATGGCTTTGACGGCTTTCTACTACCGTATATGGTGCTGAAGATGCGGTACTTCTACATATTATTGCGCGCGGGGATTCTTACAACATACAAAACAGATAAATCACGATATGTTGTTTAATCTATCGTAGTGAAACTTCGAATTTTGGAATGCAACAATAGCAGAAGTATTCTGGGCAAATAGGAAAGTAAGGGTGCATGCAAGCAAGCAAGTTGAATAAGGCGTGTAAAGTAAATCACAGCTTTGAATCCCCACCCTCGGGGCCTTCCAAATAAACTTGGCCAGTTCATCTCTCGCTGCTCGCATCCGCTTCAGGACTTCCTCCTTCGGAATGTTGAGCAGAGAATCAATGTCTCGTGGAACAATTTCCAACTGGTCTAGCTTAACAAAGTAGGCCTTGGACGTTTGTTCTTTGGCGCCTGCTGCGCTTGACGTCCCAAGCTTTTGACAAGCCTCGCCCATAATTTCATGCAGTGCTTACTCTGAGGGAGCACGGGGATGACTACGTTCCAAACAAGGGGCATGAACTTATACTCCACAAATGTAACAGGAACTCCCGAGGACTTGAGATTCTTCAACAGGAACTTAGATCCATCGCTACATGTTTCCTCACCACATGCAATCCACATAGGCAAGAGTGGCCCTTTACGGGCATTGGGCGGAAGAAGTAAGCCTGTAATTTGGAGATGGGGATCCAGGGAGCAGACTTCCATTCCTTATGAAAGGCCAGAACAGCTTTTTTCTGGCCTTCTGCTGTCCCTTAGGCAATAATCTGGAGGGATCTTGCAATCAATATTCAATGTCTGGAATAATAGACGGTAGACAGGCAGTAAGTTAAAAGGACTGCGGAATGGAGAAAGGAAGGCATTATCAATAGGTAAAAGGTAAGCTCTGTCCATCTATTGTCTAGCAGTTGTTGGGGTACTGCATGAGCTCCACTTCAAAGCCGCGGGCCATTTTATACATTCTATTGTACATTGTCTCAAAGTACCTAACCAATACCTAAATGCTAGTATGATCTCCACTTGAGAGACTGGGATTGGCATCCTTTATGCAGCGATAAAGTGGGTAAGTAGAGTTCCTAAAGCTTATTGGATGGCCTCTAGACAACAATTTATTAGTGTATCCTATGGGTTCTACTAGTTCAGGCCCTGACATAGTGTGTAAAAAGCAATCCCCTACATATCGCCTTAAACCTTCATATTTCTCGCTAGTCGAGTTATACAGTATTCCAGCCAATCATAATTCACTATTCTGATTAATGATACTGCCGCATCAGGGGATTATAGTCTGAAACTTGACAAGGATGAATGATCTTCGAATCCGCATTTTGTTGTTACACCTCTGCTGTCGGTCGCACACGGTAAGAACTTAGGGGCACCCACTATGCAGGGATTAGATCACGGAATAGCGATGACTTACAGCACTGGTAACTTAATTAGTATATTTACAAGTCTATACAGATAGCTGCACGCTTAGGTAGATTGTTGTTGGATATTCGGCTACTACTAAGTAGGAAAGAAGTTACAGTTTTTGGAAAGGTATTAAATTGATTATTTTGAGCTGGTTGAGCTCTTCTTGGTTATACTGATGATCATATTGACGGTTGTTCTTATCATGTTCTTTCGCTTGTTGAAGGCCTTTTTGACCCCTCCTTAGTCACATGATCATGGCCACATATAGCCGATTATTTGACAATTGTTAGTCAGATATGGTAATAGCAGTATTTTAGTGCTTATGTGGAGCGACCCTACAATCATCCCACAGTTAATTGGAGCAGATAGTGTAGTTTGTAACAAGACCAATTGCAGCTCTAGGAATGTCTCAATCTATTACGGTGCAGAGCAGACGGATCGTCCACAGTGCTGCCATACAAGCTTAGAAGTTGCATCATATAATATCCGCTGCCCTTTCAGCTAGTTAACGCATTGACGGCTGACATAATGTTGGCTGCCAGGATCAACGGGAAGACCGTTGCGTCGCAGATGCGCAAATTGGTCGTGCCACAGACCCGCAGCTGGTCGCCGACTACCCCTCTCTTCTCTTGAGGAAGAATCGCTGCTTTATCACTGGAATGATACGTCGTCGTTACCGTGTCCCGGAGATAATTCTCAGCTGAGTTAAGGTCGGTGAAAAATGCTTCGGGATGGATGCACCTGCCACATGATTAAGGAATTTAGCTAGAGGTTCAACTTTATGCAGTTTCTACACATCCCGCAGGTTCCGCGCCATGATGTTTAGGTCTAACGGGTGCGAGAAATATCTCGGCTCCACTAGGTATTCGATCAAATAATATTTGCCGAGGCAGATATTGTCCACAGCCCTAAATCCGAGTTCTTAACTGAGTTTTTTCTATCAAATGAGAAACTTTTATGCATGTGCAAAAAGCCAGCTTTGTATGAACTATCTAGGGAGTTCCTATATCCCAATCATGGAATGTGACTGCAGTAGTTTACCATTCTTGAACCTCGCCAGTGTACAGCACGACCTTGCCACCGTACTGCTCCTTGGTTCCGTTCGTAATCACATCCACCATACCACCGGTGGACTTGTCAATGGTATCCGGTGCCGATTCAATACCCCAGCCCTTCGCAGCAGAGTTACCCATGTCGGTTTGGACCCACCCAGGGTCCAGGATGAAAGTGTTAAGCCACTCATCTTCGGCGTTGATCCGAACGCCATACCAGTTGAGGATTGATTTGGAGGCACCGTATGAGGCACTAGGGACGGGAGGCTGGCGTCTAGATACAGAAATAGTATGCATATATGGATCTTAAGATAAGGGTATCCTTACCCCAAAGCACCGGCTCCGGATCCCATAATGGCGTAGACGGGCTCGATGTTCGACTTCTGAAGCAGATCACGGGTAGCCTGGTAGAGCGACACAACGCTCAATACGTTTACCTCGATGTGCTCGAGGATATCAGCCCTCCTTACATCCCTGACTAAGGGGTAACCCTTGGCAATGCCGGCATTGGCGACGACGTAGTCGAAGTGATCAACACCCTGGTCGGTAGCCTCCTTGACGGCGTCGAAGGCAGACTGCTCGACGCTGGCGTCATACTTGACCATGATGACATGGCTACCCTTGCCTGTGGATATCTTGGCGAGTTCCTGAGCGGTTGGGTGTGCAGGGTCACGGACCGCAGCAACGACAATCTATAGGTAGTTCCTCGCGTCAGCTTCTAGCTCGTGTTGAGTGAAGTCGCAAATGAGAAGGAAGAACCAACATAGTCTGGCCTTGCGATGAAGCCCTTTACGAGCCCAAGGCCCAAGCCGCGGTTAGCACCGGTAACGAAAGCAACAGTTGGAGCCATTATAGATGATAAGGATATCTGTATAGTTCAGGAATGTAAGATAGTAGAAGGCAATTGAACAGTCCGTGTCGGGTGGATACCCTCTGGCAGTAGCCGAATGCGTAGGTACAACAAGAATCGCCTGGTTAAAATATACTTATACGTGGCAGTAGAACACGATTGTGGATTATCAATCCATATATCCTGAAGGTTCTTGTTTGCTTGGAAAGGCAACAGATGTTTCCAAGGTTGGTGATACCTGAGACAAAGAACTACCCCACTCAATTCAGAGGGGGCGAGAGATGGCGTGATTGGCGGGAAACAATAAGCAGACATATAAGTGTACATGTAAGCAGACATATAAGCGTACATGTAAGCAGACATGTAAGTAGACATTGGTCTACGCATAGTAGGGGTCTAACCTAGGTAAGGTTCTGCAAGGCGACAAAGGATGCAAACCCACTATATGGTCAAGGCAATAGTTAGTAGGGTTATCCGTGGTTTATGTAGTAAATGATACTCTTTTGTTCTGCAAGATGACTCGGGTTACTTTCTTTTGCATACAGAACCGTCTGCTTACATGTCTCTATCCCTAACCTATTAGACTATACTGCATGCTTTTCAGGTACTGATAAGATACCCCTATAGATGGTCTTCAATGTTAGCAAGAGAGAATGCATAACCCCCCCCCCCCCTCCCTACTTCGCTATAAATGCTACGAAAGAAAAGGGAACTAATTTAGGGTCCAGATGCGTCATACATCGCTCACGCAGATCAGCAGGGTAATCAAAGTAATAAACATAAGTATATAGCAGCATGTGACGATGTAGTGGGATAGTAAAGTCTCAATCTAAGAATCCTCCAACTTTCCATGCGATTGATCCTTGAAGGGATTTCTGAGACGGAGCACACTATTAATCCTATGAAGCAAATTTTCTGTGCCTTCAACCACCGGCTGCATGGGGATTCTGTGAATGGAGCGCGACTCATTATTGAGGCCTTGACTGGAATAGGTGCCCTTGCCGGCAAAGAGTTGCCTTCCAGACTGGCCCTTGGATCAGATGCCATGAGTTTATTAGCAGCGTTCTTGAAAAGCAGAAAAGATCTTAGAGGAATGGAAGGACGTCTCTGTCACTTCAGATATCACAGCGTAGGTCCAGCGATGTTGTAATTATGAACTGATAGTAAGTAGCGACTTTACCCATCAGTAGCATAAGCAATGAAAGTGATGCTGGGAAACTGAAGTTTTCTTCTTGTATATGTATTTGTGATTGTTGAGGACGAAGCGTCAAGAAGTCATGGTAAATTTTACTTGACCAACAGTCTGTCTTAATTATAGCAACTCTTTTTCGTCTTTATTCCGATCCTCATACTCTGTTGTTTGTTAATTAGCTTGTTTGTTGTTTATTAGCTGTATGTCCAAAAAGTCTAGATAATTTTGGACAGGCCTTATGGATAGACAGATTGCAATGTTCACTGAGAGCTCACCCCGATCAGGAAAGTCATCAATAAACCCGATACGTATGTACCAGCTAATAATTGTCCCTATATCTCGGCATAGCAACATGCTTCGAAATCTGCGCGTCGCAAATGTACAAGGATAAAGCCCTTTCCGCTTTGTTTACCTTACTGAAACCACTTTAGTAATTCCTGACAAGGTAGATAGATTGCGACACTACTAGGAACAGCATAATTTACATTCCTTAGCAGTAAAGACATCTTTAGAAGGTATAGTTTAGTTGACAGTATCTAAAGAGACTACTGTTAGAGTCTTGACATACTGTTATTTATTGGCGTCCGCTGGCACGTATTCTCCAATCCGAGTGTGCCAGTAACATCCCTCCCACTATCAAGCCTGAGCTGAGAAAAAAGTAGAAGAGGCGGAAACGTATCGTATACATGGCTTCATAAATTATCTATTGTTTTACCTACTAATACACTATATTATGGACTTTTTAGTCAAAACAGTTCCAGCAGTAAGTCTTTCTGTGGGCGGCAATATCGCCTAGCATTTTCCCTTGGCCATTAACACTGATAACGCAAGATGATGCAACGAGAGATGATATTCTAGTCATACTAAATACTATATTTACTACATCGGAAGAGTATAAAGCATTAAAATTACGAAGTAGTTGGCAAAGTAAGATGGCGGAATCGATATCGGGCTCGATGGAGCTCTCGGAGAACGGGAAACGGAGACGGAGTTGGAGCACGGAAACGGAGAATGGGGGACGGAGGACGGAAGAGACGAAAGACGGAAGACAGGGATACTAGAGTGAACGGCGAAACAGAAGGGAGTAGTTTGGGGCGGTCTCATGATCACCTAAACAGTTAATTCCATCCTGTTTGTGGGCGACATACAATGTTAGACTGCAGGAGATCTGTCATACTATGACAGGTTAAGTTAATGCAGCGACGACGTACTGGTATCTATATCTACTACACTTCAAAAATACATTCGAATAGAAGATAGATTTTCTATAACAGCCTCTCACGAAATCTACATCAATACAGCGTAGGTATTCTGCTACAGTATAGGAAACAAATCCCGGACATAGCATCCAATATAGTGGGATGGAAAGTCTATGCTGATATGGGGTGGCGGCCATCCACATAAACACCTATCAATACTTCAGAGAATTATCCAGCTTATCGGTTTACAACGCACCTGTTTGTCCAGTGTAACCTTGTTGACGAATTGTATATCCCGAATAAGACTTTTTTCCAATTGTCCCTGGCGCGGGCGCACGGGTAAGGCGTCCAGGGCTCCTGTTCCTGACACGTCTGTTGAGTCATCAGCTGAGAACAGAACATGTTCGAATTTGGAACTGGTCAAATATGCAATACATCAGCCCATTTGTGATTATGGCAGTTGACCGATTGTTTGGGCGGGTCTCTGGGTCGTGGGTCAGCCCGTCGGTGATGAGGCGGCTCCAGCTATAATTTCTCTTGTCCAGTGACAGCATCAGGGCTGAAGGTTTCCATTTGACACCTACCCAATTATAAAATTTCCGGGAAAGTGTGGAGAATTAATTCCTGCAAGGCTGAGGGGGCAAGACAACCAAGCATCAACGATTGGCCTAGGGTATTGCTTAGCTCTTTATATTTGTCGTAACTCACATTGCGTAAGTTCTTGCCCCAGTATCGGTAGTCAGGTACTAAGGAATAGAAACCATTACTAAGGAATACTATGTCGGTAGTAAGTCTGCTCCAGATTGCTTGATGTCTATACCCACCATATATACCTTCGCAAACGTTAGGTAACGCCAGAGATCAAGCCAAACAACCAAGATGACGGCAAGGACATGGTATTTTGAATTTGCGGTTCTGTTTGGTCAGTACTCCATTTAGATGTCCAAAACACGATGGATTGAAGATCTACTAGTTTCTTGCCATTCGCAGAGGGATGCCAGATCCTCCGAGTACTGATAACGTCAGACAGTGTGAGATTTTAGAAGTCTGCAAAATACACAAATGTCTATGGCTGTAAGTAAAGAAATGAAAGATTCAGGGCCAGCAATAAGCAGTGTCTAGTTCAGGGGCTTCTCTATCTTATAAAAAGGTCGACAGAACCTCTCTAAAGATTTTGAAATCATCATCTACAATCATCCTCAGGACAGTATCATTGAATATCTGTGTATTATTTCTCCAAATCCTCGTTAATTCGTTCTTTCGAGTCTTTATTTCATCACCACCAAAATGGTTAAGGTTGCTACTGTCACCCTTGCTGTTCTGGGCGCCATTGCTCCCTTCGCCGCCGCGGACAACTGCAAGACTGGTCTCAACTACTGTGGCTATAACCTCCTCGGTATCGGTATGCTATAATGACTAATATCCACAGTACTTTGTTCATGTTTAAGATGGATATTGACCAAGATATTAGGAAACTATGCCTCCCAGGTGAACGGTGCCCTGCAGGCATCCAACCAGCCAACTGATGACGCACACATTCGCGAGTCTCTTTTCCACTGTAATGGAGGAAACAACGGAGACATCTCTTTTATCTCTTACTGTGGTGGTGGTTGCCAGGATGGTGGATCTGGCAACAGCGACTTTTGCTAGGCTGGGTCGGAGCCTTAGGAAAGCTGTGTACTTAGTATTTGGGCTCTTGTACCGACTGGTGGTAGATATACTTGGGCATATTCAACATAGCCTGATTGAAGATTAAGTGACTTTGAATTTTGTGACTCTGATTCTAGGAAAATTTCCAGGAAGGGATAAAGTGTAAGCCTATACGAGCTATGCTATGTGCCACGCTCAAAAATCAGCGGCGATTTTAGCAGACGATGTTTGGAACTTGCCATCTATTTATTAGCAAGGCTCAGGGATGACTTATTGGGAGAGTTAACCAGAAGGAAGCAGACAGCATACTTGTCCAGCTTAATTTATTCATTTCCACGCACCTACCATCTGGACCACATCATGCTCTAAGGAGAACCAAACTCCACCATATCCTATTGTTTAACCTTGGATCAACTCTTCTGCGCTTTTCTCTAGTACAAGCAATTTCTTATTACTCGCTTAAAAATACAATTAATCAATTTTTCTCTGGGTATACCGTCGCATGGGAAGAATGTGGCCAAACTACTGTTCAGCTATAAGGGTTGTTTAGCTATCCTAGCAGCTGGGAAGCTACTTGTACAATTTGGTGTTTCTGAGTCTCCCTTACATAGAAATATACTGGATCCGGCTCGGAAAATTCACGGCAACATTGTGCTCGCTTGCGTTAATAGCGGTGTTATAGAACCATCACCATCGCTCGCTGTCTATGCGATGGAGAAGTTTCCTGGAATTGCCTATATTAAAGTGCCTTTAACAGCCTTTCGCTTACTTCATGGCAAGAGCAAACAGCGTTCGATTTTGCAAGGAGCTTTATATATTAGTATGCAATTAAATTGTAGCTAAAATAGCACTACTCTTTAGATTGTTTGCTAAATAATGGCGAAACCAGCTTCCAGATCCTTGTCACTCCGAGTACTGCTAGAAGATCTTCAATATAGACTTGGCAAACTTTGACAGCAACTTCCACCACGCTTCACGAGTGTCATTTCCAAGATACGCGAACCCGATATGCTTTTTGCACCTACTTATCCATCGGCTCTAACAAGTGGCGACCTTGTGACATGTATATTATTGTCGATCGTGAAGCAGGTGGTATCGCTGGCATTGATATTGGGAAGAAGAAAAATATTTGCCATTGAAATGTCTCTGTGAGCTTTGCAGAACATGCTCGGTCATGAATTGCGAGGGTTGCCATTACTATAAAAATTCTTCCCAACTTGAAAGCCTCTTCCGGAAAACACTCTACAGAATTGTAGGAGAGATTTCCAATAGTGACAGACATGCCATAAGAACTGCGGAAAGGGCTGGGTTGGTTCTTCGTTATGGATTTACTTGAGACGATAGGGCCCGTGAAATGCCTATGACCGAGCAAGATGCTTCATTTAGATACTTGGATGTATTTTTGCCCTGCTTCGAGGACGAGGTATGGAAACCTTCTCCTTAAAACGTTACACTGTGGTAAGGCCAAAATCCATAACGAATGAGCGTTTGTAACAGAAAATAGAAGAGAATAACATGGAAAAATGATATAAACTGAACTTTATATTGTGAGTATCCAAGCATTCAGTAGACCCTCTACGTGGCTTTAGTATAATTTCTTCATAACAGTCCAGCTAAATAGAGGGATCAAAAATTATACATCTACCAGGTAACCACAAAATCATACAACCTAACCCATTTTCTTCCCTACAGAACCCGAAGCACCATTTCTCTCAGTATTGAATAAACTGTAAAAAACTACGTGACGAGATTGCTTTATCATCTTCAGGTCCAGGCACAGGAACCAAATTCCAGCTAACTAATATATCATGTCCACAGTGGATTCCGGCAGTAGATCCGCACTGTTGATTGGCTGATCGGGAATGAGACACGGCAATACGGATCGGAGATCCGGAAATACGGCAATACGGAGACAAACGAAACAAGCAAGCAAAGTCCTATATTATGGACTTTGCCGGAGCAGGAACTGTTTAAAAGACTGAAAGACTCTGCAACTTTCTCGACTACGTGTAATGGCGAGTTGTGGTAGGTGGTAGGTGGTGAAGCGCACATATATCTCCCGTGTATACTGAACGGAGTATAGCTAGCATCATGGATTCGTCTTCATCCGGGACCATTGACGTCGAAAGTGTCCGTACGCAGATTCGAAAGCGTCTGACCATAACCTTTCGGGATGTTAGTGTTCGTGTTACAGCACCGGATGCAGCGCTGGGAGATACGCTGTTATCCGTGGCTAATCCATGGGAGTATCTGGATGGGCTCCGAAACAGTCGGCAACCGAAGAGGGTACGGTTCTGTTGACACTGTGGTATGAAATGACAGCTGACAGGGTAGACGATTATCAAAGATGTCACTGGACAGGTGAAACCGGGCGAGATGGTACGAATTTGTATTTCTCTCGCGGAAAGTATCCTGCTAACTAGTAATACTCAGTTACTGGTCCTTGGCCGCCCAGGATCAGGGTGTACATCGTTCCTACGAGTGCTGGCAAATGATCGTGCGAGCTTCGACGAGGTAGTCGGCGAGACACGATATGGAAGCATGGATCATAAAGCTGCCCGACGGTTTCGGCAGCAGATCATGTTTAACAACGAGGACGATGTGCATTTCCCGACGTTGACGGTCAATCGCACGATGAAGTTCGCCCTGCGGAGTAAGGTTCCCCATGAGAGACCGGTAGATCTACCAGACAAGAAGGACTACATGCAGGATCGACGGGATGGGATCCTGAACTCGTTGGGGATTTCCCATACGAAGAACACTCTGGTGGGAAACGAATTCATCCGTGGCGTGTCAGGGGGAGAGCGCAAGCGTGTATCTCTAGCAGAAGTCATGGCAGGAGAGGTAGGAAGAAGAATCTGGTTAAGGAGGCCTCAGTGCTGATGATTGCAGAGTCCGGTGCAATTTTGGGATAATCCCACGCGAGGCCTTGATTCCAAGACGGCGGTGGAATTTGCCCGGATGCTACGACGTGAAGCAAGTGAGAATGAGAAGACGATTGTAGCCACGATGTACCAGGCCGGAAATGGAATCTACAACGAGTTTGACAAGATACTGGTGCTGGCGGACGGCCGCGTGACATACTATGGGCCGCGGAGTATGGCTCAGGCATACTTCGAGGATATAGGGTTTGTTGTTCCCAAAGGAGCCAATATCGGGGACTTTTTGACCTCGGTGACGGTGGTCACCGAACGAACCGTACGGCCTGGCATGGAGAACCAGGTGCCGAATACGCCGGAAGAATTCGAGGCTCGCTTTCGTTCCAGTCGCATGTTTGTGCACATGATGGAGACGATTGAACCGCCAGAGAAGCTCACCTACGAAGAGGAGGAACTTGGGTCAGCTGTTGCCAGTGAAAAGAGAAAGAAACACATCCCGCGACCTCTGAGTCCCTATACCACCAGTCTCTGGCATCAGATCGCTACTTGCACGATTCGGTAGGCATAATGGCTGTATTGAGTGATGGATTACGCTAACCTGACCAAGACAATTCCAGATCATGTCTGGCAACAAGCTCTCACTCGCGGTCAAGATCTTCTCGGCGATATTGCAGGCATTGGTCACTGGCAGTCTGTTCTACAACCTCAAACTAGACAGTAGCTCCATCTTCCTGCGTCCCGGTGTCCTTTTCTTCCCGATTATATATTTCCTCCTGGATTCCATGTCCGAGACAACCGCTTCCTTCATGGGTCGTCCGATCTTGTCCCGCCAGAAGCGATTTGGGTTCTACCGTCCCACCGCGTTCTGCATCGCCAATGCCATCACGGACATCCCGGTGGTTATAGTGCAGGTATCCTGCTTCTCCCTGGTTCTGTACTTTATGAGCGCACTGCAGATGAATGCGGAGCGATTCTTCACCTTCTGGATCATCGTCATCGCACAGACCCTCTGTTTTATGCAGCTGTTTCGAGCCGTAGGTGCCCTGTGCAAACAGTTTGGTAATGCATCGAAGATTTCGGGACTGCTGTCCACAGTCTTCTTCATCTACGGCGGATATCTCATTCCCTTCGAGAAAATGCACGTCTGGTTCCGATGGATCTTCTATCTCAACCCTGGTGCTTATGCCTTCGAGGCTCTAATGGCCAATGAATTCGTCGGGCTGCACTTGAGATGCGTCCAGCCGGACTATATTCCCTACGGGGCTGGCTATCCGGACGGAGCATCGCCGTATCGGGGCTGTTCTGTGCCTGGTAGCAACGATGATGGCATGATTGATGGGGCAGTTTACATTCGCGAACAGTATAATTATTCTTTCCATCATATTTGGCGCAGCTTTGGAGTCATCGTGGGGATGTGGATATTCTACATCGCCTTAACGGCAGTGGGGTTTGAAATGAAAAACAGCCAGGGCGGATCCTCCGTATTGCTGTATAAAAGAGGCAGTAAGAAGAAAACGACTGGCAATGAGGAGAGCATCGAGAAGAATGCCCAGTCTCATGCATCTACAGCGACTCTCACGCACACTGTGAAGCAGTCCACCTTCACATGGAACCATCTCGACTACCACGTTCCTTTCCAGGGAGACAAAAAGCAGCTGCTCAACCAGGTGTTTGGATACGTCAAGCCGGGTAATCTAGTCGCGTTGATGGGGTGTTCTGGTGCAGGCAAGACAACGTACGTATTCCTTCCAATGTGTAGCATTCCAACTAACAGCTCAGACTGCTGGACGTGCTCGCCCAGCGCAAAGACATTGGTGAGATCCACGGGTCGATTCTCATCGACGGTCGACCGCAAGGAATTAGTTTCCAGCGTACAACGGGATACTGTGAGCAGATGGACGTACACGAGGCAAGTGCCACTGTGAAAGAAGCGCTGGTTTTCTCTGCTCTTCTCCGTCAGTCATCAACGGTTCCCCGGGAAGAGAAGCTGGCATATGTCGACCAGATTATTGATCTACTGGAGCTACGCGACATCAAGGATGCTTTGATTGGGGGTTAGTTTTTTTGCCCAGTACGATTAAATCGCGCAGCTAACATGAGTATCTAGTTCCTGGAGCCGGTCTCAGTATCGAACAGCGCAAGCGAGTCACGTTAGGCGTCGAACTGGTGGCAAAGCCTACTTTGCTGTTCCTTGACGAGCCCACGTCCGGTCTTGATGGCCAGTCCGCATACAATATTATTCGGTTCTTAAGGAAACTAGTCGACGGTGGGCAGGCTGTGCTGGTGCGTACAGTGTCACTCATAATACTTCCTCTGCTAACGCCAGTCTAGTGTACGATCCACCAGCCATCGGCAGTTTTGTTCGATGCTTTTGACTCTCTCCTCCTGCTAGCCAAGGGAGGTAGAATGGCATATTTCGGCGAGAGTAAGTCACTTCACATCTTACAAAGACGAGCTAACGACATGCAGCTGGTAAAGACTCCGCCCAAGTACTGGATTATTTCGCCAAAAACGGCGCACCCTGTCCTGTAGATGCCAATCCAGCCGAACACATTGTCGAGATCATCCAAGGCAACGGCTACGAAAAGACCGATTGGGTCGAGATCTGGAATGGATCCGAAGAACGTCAGCGCGCAATCGAGGAGCTCGAAACACTGAACAACCACTGTAGGGAGAATACTCATGAAGAGGATGACCAGTCTGACTATGCCACCTCGCACTGGTTCCAATTTACTATGGTCCTCCAGCGCCTTATGATTCAGTTGTGGCGGTCTCCTGTAAGTCTTCCTTGAATGTTGAAATGCACTATGCTAATTTCCGAAGGATTACATGTGGAACAAAATCATCCTTCATATCTTCGCAGCCTTGTTCAGTGGATTCACATTCTGGAAGATGGGTAATGGCACGTTCGATATGCAATTACGTTTGTTCGCCATCTTCAACTTCATTTTCGTGGCTCCCGGCTGTATCAACCAGATGCAGCCATTTTTCCTACATAACCGAGATATTTTCGAGACTCGTGAGAAAAAGGTACATCCGCTCACCTCTACATCACTACAGAAATAAAGTCTGATAGAACTAGTCCAAAACATACCACTGGCTAGCCTTCATCGGCGCGCAAGCCGTCTCCGAAGCCCCATATCTCATAGTCTGCGCCACACTGTACTTCGCTTGCTGGTACTTCACTGCTGGGTTTCCGGTAAATGCCAGCGTCTCCGGCCATGTCTACTTACAAATGATCTGTACGTCCTATCCTGTCCTACCTTGCCCAGGGTTGTATATTCCAAACTAACAACCCAGTCTACGAATTTCTATACACCTCCATCGGCCAAGCCATAGCCGCATACTCACCTACCGAATACTTCGCCGCCACAATGAACCCCCTGCTCATAGGCGCGGGATTGATTTCCTTCTGTGGCGTCGTCGTCCCATACAGTCAGATACAGCCCTTCTGGCGGTACTGGATGTACTATCTCGACCCATTCACATATCTGGTCGGTGGACTATTGGGTGAAGTTCTCTGGGACGTGAAAGTCAAGTGTCGACCGGAAGAACTGGTCCATTTCTCTGCACCGTCTGGACAGACCTGCGGGGACTACGTGAGTCGGTTTCTTGCAGACGGGACGGGGTCCGTCGTGAATTCGAATACTACAGATTGTGCGTTTTGTAAGTATTCCACTGGGGCGGAGTATGCGAAGACGTTTAATATGAAAGAGAAGTATTATTCTTGGAGAGATGTAAGTTGTCCTATCCAGTCCTTCCAGTTCTTTGTTTGTTTGAATGCATGGCTGATTGTGTAGACGGGGATTACGGCGCTGTTCTGCATTACTTCGTATGCGTTGGTGTTTCTGATGATGAAGTTGAGGAGTAAGAAGACTAAGAGTGCGAGGGAGGATTAATTGACATGTAGACGTGATGATTATGTGCATCAAATATAGGGATACAGATAGCGATAGATACAGGGCGAGCTTAGGAGCAAACTATGTATATGCAGAGATAGACAATATATTATATACTATGCTGAATGGAAGCTATCCCAGCTAAGGTTAACAACCTTATTGATGCAGAATTTAAACTTCCACCATATACAACTCATACTCATCTACATATTCCTCCTATCAGCCTATATAACCCTTATCGATCACTACCATCCAACATCTACCAACCCTCATCTATCAACTACTATTCCAACCTCTAATAGCCCTCAACAGTATCCAACCACTATACCACTACTAACCTTCGCATCCTCCTACTTACCCCCAATCCTACCAATCTACCAACGTAGCACTACAACATAGTCTAAGCCCAAGCCCCAACTAGACTCATACAAAAAGCACCCCCAAAAACTAAAAAACAAGCATACACTCTCCTCTTCCCCCGCAGCACGCGCCAGCTCTCATCGCTCAAGAAATCCTCGGACATGAGCTCCACCAGGGACGCGAAGATGAGCAGACCTGCAGATATAGCGTTCATAGTGCCCACAAGAAGGAGGCCGACTTCTGAGTCCGGGCTGTACAAGGTATGTGTCGCGAGACCGATGGCTTGTCCGATGGGCGTTCTACGCTCATTAGTATCTCATGTTACTCAGGAGTAGGCGGTACATACGTGCATCCGTACGCCAGCGACATGAGCCATGGCTGCAGGGCCTTATCAGGCCAATCTAGAGCGGCGATTCGAGATCCGAGTGCTAACCCTTCGAAAGATTCTATAATCATTAGTAAAGATAGCTAAATGAGGGTATGGAATAAACATACGATGAAAAACAATCGCAACCAGAAGAATAACAAACTCATTACCAACGGATACGCTAAGTGACATTCCAATGAACACACTATGGAATAAAATACCCATTTCCAAGAGCACAACCTGCATGATTGCTTTCTTATGTTTCTGTTGTGGCGATAGACTCATCTCGTCGTCTTGTTCTACATCCCGAGTGACGACCTCCCCTTTCGGCTCCGATCCGGTTGACGCACCCTCGGGAGCGGAGGAAATCCGCACAACACGGTCGGGTTCCTCAGTCATACGACTGATAGCACGACTCATGCTGGATGACCGGCCAATTAACGGGCCCATATCGCGCAGGTGTCCGCTGTCTCGTACCGTCGTGGGAGGATCACGGGTATCTGACGGGGTGGAGTGGTCTGTGATGTCGATTTGCGGTAGTGTGGGTGATTTCTCTGCGTTGCTGCCGGACACATATGGCAACTGCTCGCCTGGCTTCATGCCGCCGCGACAGCAGTGTCGGGCAGGACTGAAGACCATCTCAATGACCGTGACTAGGAAGACGCCTCCGAGAGCGATGGCGCCGGGCATCGCCGGGTAGTACTCTGTCCAGAATATGGAGAGACATGGGTTGTTGAGAGACTGGAATGCAGTCGGGAGCAGATGGACAAATGCAGTGGCAATCAGCACGCCGGTACCGAAATGGCTGACAAAGAAGAGAGCCCCGGCTGGGATGCGAAGTCGAGGAGACCAAGCGGCGAGGACGGGGAATACACAGGCCAGGGTGGACACGGACAGGATGATGAACACTGCTGCCACGTGCAGTCCGGTGTTGTACTCCCTTTTATTCACGGAGTTGGTAGCACAGGTGTCCCGCTTTGGAAGCCGCGGTTGCTCTCGGGGAAGTGCCGCTACTATCCATGTCAGCGGTAGTTTCGTTAAGGGAATAAGATAAATGGTGCGTACGGGGTGCATCGATAGAATGGCGCGTTGGATGCAGGGATCTCAGGATGCTGTCATGAGAAATCAGGGCTGCGGTCAACAGAACCGACAGAAGCCATAAGGCCCAGCCCTGTGGAGATTGGGGCAGCGATTGATTGACATTGCGAGATAAAATCCCCTGACCAGCATCAGCGCTGGTCGCAGGGTGAATGAGGCGTCCTGGGGTGCCAGAGTCAGTCTGGTCTAAATGATGTCCATATGTCTTTATGTTAACATACCTGACGGGGTCAGTGACGCCCCATCCCCCTGGGACCGGTTTTTCTCCGGATCGAGTTGCTGGGTATGAGCATTCCAGGTCTCATCAAAGCTAGTAAAGGATATCCCAACTAGACCACTCCCATCTTTGCGTTCACGAGCGTTAGAGATGCCATTGAGGTCTTGGCGTGTGGTCAGATCGGGGGCCAGAAACGGCGGGTTCTGGTTCCACTCGCAGTGCAGCAGCGTATCGTCGGTACGGGAAGGGCAATTCATGGTGTCTGGTGACGGCAGTTACTGACTTCAAGATCGATGGGTTTCAACGGTGGTGACCTGCAGCGGCGAGGAGACAGTTTTCAATGTGGGCACTCGACCGTCCTGCCAGGCCACCACCCAGGTACTCTGTTCGTCACACACTCCTCGACCAATGACGCAGCTCTTGGCACGTCTTGGCGCTCAGCCCTTTATCAATATCTCGAGCCTCCAGCCAATCAGCGGCAACAATTGCGCGTCCCTCGGCCGTTTCCATGCTGCCATTGGTGCCGCTGAGAAGATCGTCCCCACGTGAGTGCCGCCATTCGTTCCACGCGAGAATGCCCCGGCCCGATAGTCTTGGCATTCCTTACCCTCCTTGCTGTTCGAGGCGACAATTGGATACCAGGGATCTCTTCCGGAGCTCTATTTAAGCTTCCTCCTATATATGCAGTGCCTGTAAATGTACGTGGCACGGGCTGTAGATATATACTCCCGCCCGAACCGCTTTGCTAAGATTCTCCTGTAGATTTCTTTAGAACATTGATGGCTCTATTGCAGCCTAAGGAGTTGTATCCGGTTTATCTAATAAGGGTTGCTAACAACTTATACATACGGAAGAGAAGTAGAAAATAATTTTGCTGTACTACATATTATTATCTAAATGTTTATACTTCTGTGTACTGTTAAGGTAGTAATTACGGAGCGTAGTTGTTGCACACTCATACAGGTCGGAACACTCATGCAGGTCGGAACTGCATAAGGGGTTCTCAGCACTCGCCCTAGTTCATTCGTCCATACTTCGACTGTTTGACCTCGTCCACCTTCAATCTTCAACCTCACACTAATTAATGAAATGACGAAGTTCTTCCTCTGAGCTTTCGTGTTTACAGTAGTGTAGCTTTTATATATACTAATTATCACAAATTAAACCCAGTGTGGTGCTCAGAGTCTCAGACTACTCCGTATGGATTTCGCTACTATACAGACTGATCAAAGATCAGTTGTCTTGTACCTGTATAATATTTCTTTCTTTTTTTTATAACTATTCTCTATGTTTAATAAGATACGGACATTCACAACCTGTCTACTCATGCACCTGATGAAAGGCCAATCAACAGGTATTAAAATTGATGTTAACATGTCCCACTGAACTAAAACACGAATTGATAATTGGTCAGTCTCTGTATCTAATAATTGCCAACGTGAATGACCTAAAAAAAAATCACCATTTCACCATTGTTCTTATCTAACCTTAATTTTGCGCCAAGCGTGAGAAATATACTACATCAAGTCTGAATTCATATCTTCTGTAACCCTCTGAAATTGGAAGCTATTGGGGGGCACTTATGTACAGTCATAGCTGCTTTTTCGTCCCACACTTGCCGCAGCGGGTTGATATCATTCCCTGGAGAAATCTATGATTTTTCATCCATCTAATAGTTAGTTATCCTAATTGTTTAAGCATCATCCAGAATGACTATCCGGATAAGAAACGCCACAGTGCCTTTAAATGAGCGTTTAAGAAGGGCTATGCCTACTATCTATGTAACCAAGGCAACTCTGAATCGCATCTTTATGGTATCCATTAAACATTTCTTATTCCCAACAACTATAGAGATACCATGCCATTACCCAATGAATTGTAATCTTTGTTATTGTCTCGGACAACATTCACTAGGCTTGCAACTATAGACTTTATGCTGCTATGTCAGCATATATGCTTATGCACATTAGAAACTAAATATTGCTATATGGTGCAGCGACGTCACGTTCTTGAACCTACCTAATCAAAGCCAGAGTGATGACAAACACGAAAACTCTGTGTTGCAATCAATCCTGCTGTGAAAACCTTGACAGTGTTCACGGTGCACAGGGGAAATGGGGAATAGGGCAGGAGAAGCTATACCAGCTACACGCACGTAGCCTACTAAGGAGCGTACATATTCGATTAGATATATATTCAACGTCTCATCTAGATGCCACACTATTCATTCTCTCCTCTGGGATAGAGGATTCGGGGGTTGACACCATTGTGCTTAGCCAAGGCGCTAGGGAGGAATCGGTCCGAATACCACTTCTTCAACAAATCCATTAATAAACATACCCAGCACCTTCAACACAATGAGATAGGCTCCCCTATATATCAGAACCAATCCTATCTATCTGCACTCAGTATGACAAGTATGGATCATTTATTCTTTGTTTTAAGTAGAGGAATCAACCCCCTTAGCCAAGGCCAGCGGCATCTATGTGTCGATCAACCTGACCAGACGCATGGGAATATACATGGGTGAGTCTCAAACGTCGGCTCATGTTCAGGGCCTGTCGAGAATGGACGATAACGTGCATCGGGCAGTCCGACCAACAGATGGAAAAGGGGCAGGATGGAATGGAAGTTAGTTCCGGCTACAGTTCAAGAAGGATGTATTACGCACCACGGAGTCGGATCATCGGCTCAGTATCCAGGACAACCAACCCTAAATTGGTACGACTGGTCTAAATTATCAGGAGTGACGGTGACCGGGATCAATCTACATAAGCATTATATACTTGTCTTGTCGTCTAAGTAGGTGGGATATATTAAATAGGCCCATCCTGACAGCCCCAAGCGACAAAGCTAGGTGCAACATTCTATTTATAACCTGTATTCAAGCGACAGAACGTGAAACATCGACCACGAGCCAAATTGCAGCCCACGGACCATCGGCGTCTAAGTATGATCCGAATCGGGGAATTCGAGCTGACTCGAAAACCCGAAAGCTTGGCGCCAAGCTCCGGTATGGGTAAACGGATTTGGCCCCAGCGGATCGCGCGTTGTTCCTGCATAATTACAGTCTGCACCAGGGACTGGCTGGCTGCCGTGGATGATTCTAGCTCGAGTGTATGTTGGGAATACGAGTCTATCAGGCACTCGCTGTTTCATGGTAACGCTGACAATGTTTACTGTCCATCAGAGCAAGGATTAGGGGGTCTCAAGACTCCGTATGTCCTTCAGGGGTGAGCCCGTCCACGGATGAATATTGGACACATTCAATGTTGACAAACCAACCGGACGTCGAGCAGCTGCGGCAGCGGCATCACGGAGGGTCCGGAATAGGGGGTCTTGACACTCGCCCCCATACAATGGCATTGATGCTTGTTTCATCCGGGCGACTTACATAACTAGAAAACTTATAAGACGCTGAAAACTCCATGATGAATCAATTCAACCTAAATAACCACAGTTCTTGATTTGAAAACATTCTTTCTCTCACACTACCACAATGCATATCAAGCAGCCCATCGCAGCAGCGCTCCTCTTCGCCTCCGGCACCGTGGCCCGCGAGGCCCCCGCCAGCGTGAAAGCCTTCTACTCGTCCGTGAAGAATGGCGGAGACTGCACAGGCGATGACCTCCTACAGGGCGGGTTCTATGATACTGACGAGGGCCCGACCGAATACGGCTACTGCAAGAAGAACCTGAGCAAGGGATTCTACCTCAAGGGGCCCGGCAACGAGCTCGTGAACATGGATATCGACTGCGATGGCGAGCAGACCCACGGTGATGGACGTTGTGGCAGCTCCAAGGACACTCAGGGCCAGACAGCCTTCAAGGATGAGGTGTCCAAGTACGGTATTAGCGATCTGAATGCGTACGTCCACCCGTACGTGGTTCTCGGCAATGAAGGCGACTACTCTCCTACATTTGACCCCCGCGAGCATGGCATCGAGCCCCTCAGTATCGTGGCGGTTGTATGCAACAACAAGCTCATCTACGGTATCTGGGGTGACACCAACGGTGACGACGGACAGCCTTTGGTCGGTGAGGCCAGCTTGGCCACGGCAACTGCTTGCTTTGGCACGGAGATGAACGGCGACAATGGTCACGATGAGAAGGACGTCCTTTATATTGCTTTCCCCGGTCCGGAGGCTGTCCCTGGAAATGTTGCCAAGTGGGATGCCGAAAGCTACGAGGAGTTCGAGGAGAGCATTACTGAGCTGGGTGATAATCTCATCCTTGGACTTGGGAAGGGCTTTGTCACTAACTCCACCGCACATGTCCGCCGTTACCGCCATTAAGTGACGAGAGGAGATCCACCTGAATTTAACTGATTGGCGATGTATTCAAAATTTGGGTTGACCTATTCTGATTTGTTGTATTTATAATCGCGTCTTATTTTTATTTTCTTATTTTTGATTGGTTTCGGAGGAATGCTAAACCTGACATTTCAAGACCGTTGCTGTATCAGTAGCATGGATTTATTCTCCCACTTTTATTGCTTGTCTTGAAAAGACCCAGCAGGGAGAGGTCTCAACACTTCTAGGCTGGCGTCACGTGTTTCGCAAATCAGCCTGGCCAGTCAGTTACCACTATCTGGCTCCGGACTTGAACTAGCTAGCATTAAGCATATTTAAGCGTCCCTACAGTGATTTCATCTGATTTATTAATCATTGTCATGAACTGAGTATCCCAATCCGGCAATTGTTACGTTAACTAGGTTAACGTAACCGGTAAGTGCGCGCCGCACCTCCGGAATCCATATAAAATGACACTTTCTGAGACTCCAATATCTCAACAATAAAGCATCTAGAGGGCCTTAAATTTAATGTACAGTATAGTGTAATAATGTATTTATATATAAGCAGAGAGGTTTCAATAATGGATATATCTTCAGACGCGGTAAATTGCACGTGTATTTTTTATTTTCTTAGTACTATTTAAAGTTATGAAAATATAAAGACACTCTTTTGAAATCCATATACATGTTATTATCTTATGAAGATGATTCTATATCTATTGGTGCCATGGTGGTTGAGATATTAAAGTCACAAAAAGTGCGATTTTATTTGGAATACAAAGATGTGTTAGATATACCACTAGACCAGAAAAAGCGCTGTTACAATTTACACATAATAATGGTATATCTGCTTTATCTGACAAGATGCGGCGCTCGCTTGCATGCAGTCGTTGTGGTGGTGGTGGTGGCTACGTTACTCATCTGGTGCCTTACATAATCTGATGGTCATCACAGCATCAAGACTGACAATCCAACCAATGATGAATTGTGTGGGCATCCAGAAACTCAGCTTTCAGTTTGCGAGCGCTGGAAAGAGGAATCTAGACGCTTCTTACGAGGGCAAGATCACAGCCAGCTAGCCAATCCAAGATATGCGGCCGTCGGCATACGTCACCCATCGGCCAGCCAGCGACGATCCTCCCGCACTTTAGATTTAGTGTAAGGGGAAGTGGCTCATGCTTGCGTGGATTGCATGAACTTGACCCACTGAGACGGGGATAAATACAAATAGTAATCCCTTCGTCTGAATGATTCAATTCCCTGCCTGACCATCACCAGAACCATGCAGTAGTCTTCATGGCGGTCTTTCGCCCTCGTCGTCCGCCGGGACGTCGACGCATTCCCTGGACATGGTCCGTCCTGGGTCTCCTCGTGATGCTGTACCTTTGCTTTCGCCGGAATCCCGCCCCTGACTCGTACCGACTAGACTGTACTCCAGATGATCCGTCGTGTTGTCCCAATCTCCACGGTATGGAAGACATACTGGTGATTTTGAAAACAGGCGTGACCGAGGCGCATGAGAAGGTCCCCACGCATCTGAAGACCACGCTTCGCTGCGTCCCGAATTACGTCATCTTCTCCGATTACGAAGAGGAAATTGACGGCGTACGCGTCCACGACGTCCTGCGCGGTCTCTCCAATGAAGTAATCTGGTCGAATCCTGAATTCAACGTCTACCAGCGCGTGCGACAGGCGGGCCGACCGGGTCTAACGGTGGAGGATCTCAATCCCGACGTGAACTCAGTGTTCGGTAAACCGAATAACCCCGGGTGGAAGTTGGATAAGTGGAAGTTTCTTCCGATGATTGACGAAGCGCTGAAGGTTAACCACAAGGTGAAGTGGTACGTGTTCATGGAGGCGGATACATACTTTGTTTGGCCGAATCTGGTCGCCTGGTTGGCGCAGTTGGATCCTCTTCGGCCGTATTATCTCGGAAACCAGATGCAGATTCTGGATGTGTTGTTCGCGCACGGCGGGTCGGGGTTCGTGTTGTCGCGACCAGCGATGGAGCGAGCGTCCGCATTGCGACAGAAGGATGTCGCACGGTGGGATGAAGTCACCAGGGGACATTGGGCGGGAGACTGCGCACTGGGTCAATTGCTCCGGGAGGCAGGGGTCGGTCTTCTCTGGGCCTGGCCGGCGCTGCAGATCGGGCCCCCAGAGGAAATGGATTATTTCTCAGAGGGATACTCCAAAATCCCGTGGTGTTATGCCCCCGTTACATTCCATCATCTGACGCCTGACGAGGTGGAAGATCTCTGGCATTTGGATCGCGGATGGTTCAGTGCCGGTCACAAACATCTCTTGTATCGCGACGTGTTTATGCAGGTCATCCGGCCACAATTGACAGGGACCCGGTCCGACTGGGATAACAAGATAGACCCAAAGAGTTCCATCTCAAGCCTCACTCGCACGATACTAGAGTGTCGACATAGATGCCTGTATGACCCGGAGTGCGTGCAGTACGCATTTCAGTCCGACACGTGTTGGATCTCGTCGGTAGCGAAGTTGGGCATTGCATCTGCTGGCATCAGTTCGGGTTGGATCCCGGAGAGAATCGATGTCTTGGTAGAGGATATGGGATCTTGTCCACAGGCGCAGTGGGTGGTTTGATATGCTATTCATGTATATAGGAATATAGAATGACTAATTATAGATGTTGCTTGGACAACATACACTTCGTATTCGCCTATTAGTCATGCTCTTAAGATTTCAGCAACGATGACTCAAGGCTCCATCCTTGCAGGAACAACCTATCAGACAACAATCCGAACAAAAACAAATAAAGAAACCATGCATCTGATTACCGAGTAATATGACGGATCCAAGTCCCTGCTGGATCCCCCACTATCCAGGGTTTATAATCCGTCTCATCCACATTGTGTAGTGTAGTATAGTAATACTCATCGACTGTAGCAATGTCCCTTGTGCAGACTCTTCACTACGAACTGGGGACTCCATCAGAATCCCCTCCTGCGCCCAATCCCCCGGTGGATGTGCCACTTCAGACGACGCCAGATGATGGACAACCGGTGTTTGAGCGCGCTCCCTTGACGGTGGTCAATAAGCCTCGTCGAGTGATCATCACGGCGTTGATTATTCTCGCCAATGTTGCCCAGGTATGCTACCTCTCGTTTACTGTCCATTGTATTATATCTGATAAATATAGATGACAGTCAACTTCGCCGGCATCGCCGGAGGCAGCGAAATCACCAAATCAATGGGTATTAAAGACTCTTATGCCTCGTGGATCGCAGCAAGTTATGCGTATATCACCCCTCCCCATAAAACATCCTAATATCATAATATAATCAATACTGAGTACTGAATACTGAATACTGATAATAGATTAACCCAAGGAACATTCGTCCTAATGAGCGGCCGAGTCGGTGATGTCTACGGCCATCGAAACCTCCTTCTAGGCGGAGGCATCTGGCTGGCCCTGTGCACGTTAATCTGCGCCTTTTGCGACAATTTCTTCGCATTTGTGTGCATGCGTGCGTTGTCCGGTGTGGGCGGCGCCGCGATTATGCCTAATGCCGTGGCTATGATTGCGTCCACGAATCCCCCCGGAAGAGCGCGCAATCTCAGTCTGGGGCTTTTTGGGGCATCGGCGCCGTTAGGAGGGTATATCGGGGCGTTGTTTCTAGGGGCGTTTTTGGTAAGGACGGAATGGAAGTGGTTTTTTGTTTTTATGTATGTCTCTTTCTCCGGATATTTGTTGATGTAGACGGATACTAATGCTAGTGAAGAGCATGTTTAACGGGCCTGACGTTTGTCTCGCTCTGGATATTAACGACGAAGGAATCGCCACTTGATCGAAGTGGAAAGATTGATTGGATTGGATCGTTTCTGGGGACGAGTTCGCTGATTCTGTTTAATTTCGTCTGGAAGTATGTCAGCTTGCCCAACACACGTGCCGAAACTAACTAGAGCAGTCAAGCGCCCAGCGTCGGCTGGTCAACGCCTTATGAGATCGCACTTTTACTTGTCTCTGTATTACTATTCGCGTCGTTCCTCCTCTGGGAACGAAGCACACCACATCCCATCATGCCACTTGATATATTCAAAGCGCCATGCTTTCTAACACTTTTATTCGTAGTCCTCCTAAACTACATGGCTGTCGGTACCTTGATCTGGTACCAGGTACTCTGGCTCCAGGAGATCTGGTAATGGACTCCGCTACAGTTCGCAGTCGGATGGACACCATTCGTAATCTGCGGGATGGGGGCGGCTTGTCTAGCAGCATGGCTGATCCCGCGTGTTGCTGCACAGTGGATTCTAGCCATTGGAACGGTGACGATTCTCGTCTCGAGTGTACTCATGGCCACGGTTCCTATGCATCAGACTTACTGGGCGCAGATCTTCCCCTCCGTCGTACTGTTCGCGTTCTGTCCGGATCTGGTCTACACGGCTGGTCAGATCATCGCGAGTAACTCCGTTCGGAGGCATCAGCAGGGTATTGCCGGGTCGATTATCGGGACGTTGAATCTTTACGGGAATAGTTTGGGACTGGGGTTTGCGTCGACAATTGAGGTGCAGATTGCGAAGAGCTCGGGGAGTAGAGTCATGGGGTATCGAGCTGCGTTGTATTTTGGGGTTGGAATTAGTGCTGTTGCGCTCTTGCTGGACATCTTCTTCGTGCGTATGGTCAAGGATGAACGTGAGGGATGGGATGAGGATGAGCAGTTGGCTGACGAGGTGGAATTGGCAGAGGCAACAGGTGCACGATTGCCTGGTGCTGTTGAGCGGGCTTAGAAACTATACTGGTCCATCGACAAGTGCTATCTGTATTCGCTTACTATAGAATAGAACATACGTCAATATCATGACCGCACTGTTCTCTATCCATATAGGACAGATGGAATATATCGAATTATACCATGCTTTTTTATGAACAAAACCAACTCTACCGGAATCAGATTAAAATCAACCAGACGGAGACCCAAAAACCTCCATATGAATCCGATCTGGATTAACACCCAAATCCTCAAGACTCTGACTCTGAGCTTTCATGAACGGCTGCGGTCCACAAATATAATAATCCGCATTAGGAATCACAGCCTGACGCTTAATCTTACCCAAATCCACCCTCCCCGTATAATCATAATCCACACCTTGCGTATCATCTCCCGAGGCATCCTCATAGAACACAAGACGACTAACAGACGGATTCTCCGCGACGATGCGTAGCAGGTCATTCTTCATAGCATGAACACGACCATTCCTCGCCGCATGGATGAACACGACTCTTCGCGACGACCCCTGCTGACTGACGATGGTCTTCAACATAGACATCATTGGTGTTAGGCCCACTCCGCCACTGATCAGCACCACAGGCGTGGTATTATTGATATCCAACACGAAATCTCCGAACGGCATACTGACATCTAACTCCGTACCTTCCGGTAAGTCCTCGTGAAGCACGTTGGATACTCGTCCGGCTGGTTTCGAACCCGACGCGAATTGCCTCTTCACCGAGATCCGGAAGTGGTTCCGACTCGGCGCGTCGGACAGACTGTACTGTCGTGGTTGGTAAGAGCCCAGTTCAGACAGATAGCAGCGCACACTGATAAACTGTCCAGGCCGGTACGGCGGTAAGATATCATGATCCACAGGAGCAAGATGAAAAGAGATAATTTCATCACTCTCGGGAACCTTTTTAGCGATGTAGAATTTACGCCATCCCGTCCAACCACCAGGAGTCTTTATAGCCTCTTTGTAGAGCCCGTCCTCGAAATTAATGAAAATATCCGCTAGTTGCTGATAAGCTACAGACCAGGCCTCAAGTACCTGCTCATTAACCGCAGGGCCCAGGACATCTTTTATTGCCTTGAGCAGATGCTCGCCAACAATGGGATACTGATCCGGCATGACGCCCAAACTGGCATGTTTGTGTCCAATACGAGACACCACTGTGGCCAGGGCCTCCGGGTGGTCGATATTCATAGCGTATGCCCATACGGCGTGGGCCAGCGCCGCAGGCTGCTCGCCGGTGTCTTGGTGGGCGGTGTTGAAGATGTTTTTCAGTTCCGGGTGAGCCGCGAGCATCTGCTTGTAGAACAGGGATGTGATTGTGATTCCGTGTTCCTGGAGAGCGGGGATCGTGGACTTCACGATCTCTTTTTGCTGCGTGGTGAGGCCTTTTCTTGATGTGGAGACATAGTTCCTACGTGCTAGCGAGGTAAGGAGGACTCGTCGGAGAGCGGTCTGAGAGGTCATTTTGATAGTTCAATTGGGCTACTTGCTGGAAGATTGGAAATTATTGTGGTGGATAGGTTCGAAGTGTTGGATAGTACTTCGGTGACCTGTAAAGACCGTGACGTCACCAGGTTCGTTCTCCGGGTTCGTTCTCCACAATTAAAGCAAAAATTGTATTTATAGAACCTTATCTGTGTGAAGTTATTACTGATCATGTTGATTTTAAGGTAATGTGAATATACTGTACAGAAACTAGAACTAGCCGTTAAAAATTTTTACAGTTTGGCAGATCTCGTACAGAATTATATAGCCTGTCCGTAAGCCATGGATAAACAAATTATGAAAGTATGCTTTATAGCCTTTACTGATTTCGAGGAGATTAGTTTTGGACGAAATATCTTAAACGTATTCCCTCTTTCAGCTTTACACATCTCGTCCGCTTCGAGGGCAAGAGCAGCCGGACATTTCTACTACAGGATATTTTGACATATGGTACCCGAACAAAGACCAGCTGTCGTTAAACAGTTTATTATATGACCTTTTCATGCAAAGCTATCATGCAATCAATGGAAGTACAGGCTGCCACAGCACTACTTTACTCACTTGCCACAGATTATGGTAAATAGTGGGCTGTAGCTAGCTCTTATAGACGGGGGATCAAGAGATATCAATGTCCACATGTCACTGTCTCTTTGTCTAGATCAATTCAAATTAAATCAAATTAATGCAAAAGCTCTATTAACCTGTTGCAGCCCAACTTTGAAGCTTTTAGCTATGCAGGTGCTTCACCAATGAAGCAAGAACTCGGTGCTCAGTACATGCAGTGAGCATTCATCCGTGATGCGAAATACTCACTGAACAAGCCCCTGAGTACCCTCATTAAAATGGGGGGGTCCGGAAGAGGAAAGCTATAGTCAGTCTAGAAAAACTGGTACATATAAGTACATAAATAAAGGAGCCTCAAGGACTGAACCCATAGAACCTACAGAATAGGCTACATACAGAAAGTGATCGTCAAGAAGGAAAGAAAGAGGGAAAGGACATGTAATGTGGCTCTTCGAGGGCGAATGGGGCCAACAGGGCGAATAGGGACGGACCATAGGCTGGAGAAGTCAAACGGCCCCAGCCCTTTACAAGTCAAGCGCTAATAACTAAGTTGGAATAAGACATGGAGTTACTAAATGATGACCAAGTGGGCACTAACTAATTACAAAACTTCGCAATATCCAAGTGCCTGACAGATTTTAATAAACAGCCCGCATTTTTATTACGACATAATATTGTATATTTATGGTTGTAAAGTTAGAGTGGTTTTGAGGTTTTGCAATCCTACAGGGTTATGTATTAGGCTGGGACTTAGACTCACTGGTATCCTAATGATACCGTCGTATCTCATTCCTTCGCGGACGCGAGTCCTTCCCCCAGTGGCCTGATTCTTTGTCTGCTTCGATGGGCAAGGTACTTAAAGTGCCGTCTTGCCTCTATTCTTGATGTTTCACACCATATTCAACCTTTTAATGTAAACAACTCCCTGTACACTATGCCAACACCCCGACTTTTTGATCAATGTCCGGCATTTCCTTCTGCCCTCCCTGTTATTCCGCTGCCGATAGTGTCATTCCAAAAACTGCAAAATAACAGCTTTGTGGAGGCCGGGAAACTGTACGAAGCATGTCAACAATGGGGATTCTTCTTGCTGGATTTGAGAAATTCAGACGATGGCGCAACCCTTCTGCAGGATGCTGAAAAGATGTTTGAATTAACGGAGGAAACCTTCCATCTGGACAAGGAAACGCTGGATCAGTACGCCTACAACGCTCCCAAGGACCTAACAGGGTAAACCTGACTGGAGGCTGACCATTCCGATTATTCACTGACAGAAAACCAGGTACAAACGAATGGGAAAACTGAAAACTGATGACGGCAAGATGGACTTTATGGAGCTATACTCTATTAACCAGGATGATATGCTGGGCCGGTGTCACCCTCGCAAAAATCCTGGTCCAATTGAAGCCAGGCGAAAAGAGATAGCAGAGTTTATCCAACATTCAAATAAGGTACTGGGGGTGATCCTGAACCATTTAGACATTCGACTTGGTCTTAAGCTTGGTACCCTCGGGTCGTTAAGCCCACTAAACCAGGACTCAGAGACTTCTGTGCGCCTATTACACAGCCAGCAACAGTCAAACCCTCAGTACGATCGAATTACTCTGGGCGGTCACACTGATATCGGGACGATGACTCTCCTGTTTAATATTGTGGGCGGATTGCAGATCCTTCCCGCTGGTAGTGATAACAGGATGGATAACTGGAAGTATATAAAACCCGAGCTTGGTTGTGCCCTGGTAAACGTGGGAGATACCCTGGTGGAGTGGACGGGTGGACTATTGCGCAGTTCGTTGCATCGGGTGATGACGGCTCCTGGAGAACAGGCATTGGTGCCACGCCAAAGTGTGGCATACTTGGTCCGGCCCCGGCAAAATGCGTCTATGTGTCGACTTAAGAGCAGCGTGATTCCTACCTTAACCGAAGGGGAAAAAGATGAAAAATGGTCAGTGAATGAGTGGGCTGCATGGAGAACCAAACAGATCATGCTTGGGGAGTTAAAACCACAGACAATTGGCGGGAAGCCATTAATCCCACTTTAGTATAGGATTGATATTATGTCTTTATTTAGGGGGATCCATACCAGCGAAATCTACGCACAGATGTAATACATGATTGCATAACTTAACAAAGACAGTAAAATTACTACTGTATAAGGGGATAAGTAATGATCTGCGTTTTATGTGCCTAACGTGCGGGGTTCACACCACCGAGTACTTCAACCCTCTTCATGTATTCTAGGTGCGATAGTTAACCATCCAAGCAAGTATGGTAGTTATCTATCAATGATATATCGTTCCCCATATTAAGCGATTGGTTGCGTGAAGCTGTTCGATGAGCTTACTGCCTTCTTCCCCTTTGAGTCACATCATAAGGATTACTCTATATCTTGGCTGGCATGACTACTAGCCTACGCTATTAACCACTATCGTCCATCTAAGCCAACCTCAATAAACCTGGATATTTCGTCCAATACCTCAGAAGGCCAGGCCCATAACTCTTCTCCGTTCCCCTGTCCAACCTCCAATGGCGCATGGCACCACGCACTACATCCCACACCTTATCAAGCGGCACATAAATGAAGATCCGTCGGCGAGGTAGTCCCTCAGCTATCTACATCTTCAACGCTGTTTCTCTGTTTTGTGCATTGTGTCCTCTCATTCATCTACTGCTGCATTTCGCTTCCAACCTTTTTCCTGATCTAACTAGGATGGATAGCAGTCAAAAAGTGTTATAATCTTAATGCAACTACTAGTACTACTAGTGATAAAGCACTAACGAGTCGATGTGGTAACCAAGTTCCTTAGTAGTAAATAACTTGTACTAAACGCGAAGAACTAAAATAAACTATTATATGTGGGGTTAGTAACGAACCGAATAGTGCGCTATGATGCGAAAGGGTCTATATAGAAGGGAAGATAGGACTATGTTTATTGCAGAACTAATCGCTGGTCTTTAAAAGTTCAGGCCCGCGGGTGCGAATATAAACACTTCGCACCTAATTAAGCATCTTAGCTAAGGATCTAACTATCGTGCTTCTGAACGCTCCTAACACAAACCATCTAAGTATATAAAATAAGTAATCTTTATATCTTCATCCCTATCCTATCCTTCGCTATGTTATATCCTGTCCCGGATAGGATGGGTCGTGACGTATCCTGCAGTTCAAAATGGATGCATCATGCCATGCAACGTACAATAGTCGCCGGCAATCGCGTTTGTTAAATCAAACATCGAAATCGTTATGTTTCTGCGGCGACAGCAGCCCACCCGAACTTCACGCGCTGCCAATTAATAACGAGTCAGGCGTGGAAGCCATTTTTCGGCTCTTTAGCCAAGCCGTGGCATTCTGGGAACGCCTCAAGACATGCCGACCTTGTTTGGAAGCCCACACACACCGCGTACTTGATATGATTGAGAATGTGACTGGGTTTCTAAGCAATAATGTCACTGATACGGCCGTCAACTCGGTTCTGGCGCCTGAGATGCATAGCCGGAGCAGCAGCAGCAGTAGTAGTATTAGGAGCGCGCCGCAAAACTTCGCACAACCTCGTGTGCCCGTTGTGGCTCCTTCCAGCTCCTCCCTGGCTGCAGCCCTTGAGAATCTCCCTCCCATGGCTCTCGGACGGTTTACTCTTGACAGTCAACAAGGAGCCACCCTGATACGCTTTATATATCGTCGAATGTTACGCCAAATAGCTTTAATATTGGATGAGATGCAGCAGATGGAACATAATCAGCATATTCGATGGGAAAGAGAGCTGGGAAACTACCTGATACCAGTGTTGCAACTACTGGAGACTATTAAAAAATAGGGTACTATTAAATAACGAAACACAAATATAATGTAGAGATATATAAATAATAGATTTAATAATTCGACCTTTAGCTATTATAATCTTGATCGCGCTGTTATAGCTATATTAATATATTAAGACGGAAAAAAATGGGGGTGTATATTTTAGATTTTAAGTAATTTTACATATATAAACTAACAAGTGTACTAGTAGTACTTAACAACGTTGTTTCGCTAGAACATGAAATCTATTGTCACTCTTAATGCTTGGGCACTTGAAAAAGGTAAGCTTAAAAATAAATTAATAGTCCTATATAGGCACAAAATAGTCTATACTATTTTTAATAATGCGACTAAAGTCCGGTAGGACCAAGTTTGGCGCCGTTTTTAAGAACCACAGGGTTGCTTGAGTACATAACACCAACCATGCGTGCCCACTTATCCTTGCTGGGGTTTCTCCAAGCGTGAGCAGTAGCGCGCTGGATAAGCATGTCACCCGGCTTCTGGATACGCTTCTCGCCAGATTCGAGTGTTACTTCGATCTCGCCCGCGACCTGGATAACAACATCGAAGCTGATGGTGCGGTGGAAAGGACTGCCGTTACCAGGAGGGGTGTCGATGTACCACATCATACCACGGCCGTCAGGGAGGGTAACAGGAGGCACGCTGGCATTCTCCAGGTACTTAATGTAGTTGGTAAGATCGGTGCCATCGAGCGTGTTGGGAGTCTTGTCGGTGATATAGCCCAGACGGAACAAGGAACCTCCGAGATCCTGCTTAACTGCAAGACTTTCGTCCAGCGTTGTATTAAAGTACGAGATGCCGGTCTCGAGATTAGTGTCGGTAATAACACGCTGGGGGCTAGGAAGTGGCTCCGGAGTCGACATGGCTGCAATGCAACTGACTGCAAGGAAGGTAAATAAAATTAGTTGTTTAAATACCATTTTATTTTCTTTGCTTTTTTTTAGGAGGAGTTCTAGAAACATGCTAGATATTGTATATTGTCTTATGCGTGTCTTGGAACTCACATTTTGTTGTATTTTTATACCAGGACTGTTCAGCCGCAAGAATTTAGTTTAGTTTGGCGAGACTAAGAATAAGCCAGATTTAACAAGGGGGGATAAGTCGAAACAGTTAGGGCCGAAATAAAAAGAGACCGAGGCTTAAGAGAGAAGCGCAACAAGAACAAGGCTCGTAAGAATGATGTTGGGAAGAAAGCAACTTATAAAAGTAGCGCACGAGGCTGAGGATTGGAAGCTTGGGAAAAAAAATAGCAAGAGAGTAAAGAAGGGCAAAAATCAGAGGCAGGATTATTAGCGGGATTGCTCTCTCTAACTAGGTTAAGACAAAGCCTCGCAAATTCTTGTTTAACATGGAAATAAAAGGCATTATCAAAGGCTTAAAGGATAAGGGCGGGGTAGGCGCAGCCCCGAAATTAACAGCCAATGCCTACTGTTGGGAGAACCGTTTGATTTGCCATGGCCTGCATCAGGACGCGCGGAAGGGAACGAGCTAACCTTCTCACAAACCCAAGCCGATTGGCTCTGGCCCTCCCCCCGTTCATCCGTGCGCGGCCGGAGGACATGATTAGGCTGTAGCGTCGCATTTTGACAGCAGATTCGGCCCTCGGTGCCGTCCTTCCCTGCCCACTTGCCGGGGTCCGGCGCTAGCTTGCAAGTCCACTGGCAGGGCCATCTCGCATACCCCGCACGCCATCGCAGCTTCGAGGATCGCTTTCTTGCATCATTTGTCGCTGAGAATCCTGGGCCTCGAGTCATGAGACTCAACTAAGGCTTGATGTAGGCCTTGCGTAAAGCTCCCAACGCTGTGCCTGGGCTCTAAAGTTTTGTTTCTTTTTTATCGCCCTCTAACTAACTCGTGGAGGCCACGTTCTAAACGTGCCATGCGGTGGCCCGGGCGCGAAAGATCATTTAGGGCTGGATATAAGATACCAAGCCATCTCTATGAGCTCTGGCTGACTACTCTCTTAGGAATTGAATTCAGTACGGCGTGAAGCTATTTAATAAGCTTACTACCTTTTTCCCCTTTAAATTATATTATAAGGGTTACTTTATATCTTGGCTGGCATAAATACTAGGCCTATGCTATTAACCACCATTATTATTATTTAAGCTAACCTTAATAAACCTGGCTATTTTGTCCAATACCTTAGAAGGCCAGGCCCATAACTCTTCTCTATTCCCCTGTTTAACCTTTAATAGTGTATAGCACCACGCACTATATCCTATATCTTATTAACCGGCATATAAATAAAGATCTGTCAGTAAGATAGTCCCTTAGCTATTTATATTTTCAACACTGTTTCTCTTTGTTTTGTGCCTTGTATCCTTTTATTCAGCTACTGCTGCATTTCGCTTCCAACCTTTTTCCTGATCTGACTAGGATGGATATTGGTCAAAAAGTGTTGTAATCTTAGTGCTGCTACTAGTACTACTAGTATTATACTGTTGCTATTCTTCTTGCTGCAAATTGGGAGGGGGAGTAAGACCAAGCATTCCGACATGCAGGGGGGAGCAAAAGAACAAAGAAACGGACAAATACGACTGCAGGGGTTCTAGGTCACAAGTACCCGGTTTGGTAATTACCATCCGAGGATTATAATCCAGCCGATCCTTCAACTATCTCTCCAAGCTGTCTGTCTCCTTCAGTGTCGCCTCATCTGTTTCCTAAGCCTGAGCTTCCAGAATTTCCACCCTCAAACGTGTCTGGCCACAGCTGTTCCCTTCCAAAGACACATTTACACATTTACCGCGGCTACTATTCCTGCGCTGACAGCTAAGGTTGTGTCAGAAATACCACTACACTACAAAATGTAGCGCTGTTACTATTTGTGCGTAATAGCCGTATATCTGTCTAGATATTCTGACAGGTTGTCATTGTGACAGCAGTTCAGCAGGCATAGGACTAGAGCTCTGCAGAGTCCTCTACGAGGCTGGAGCGACAGTGTACGTGGCCGCGTGTAATGAGAGTGAAGCAGAGGCTGTTATTAGGAGCGTTTTATCACAGAAGAAGTCTTCAGTAGGCCTCCAGTTTCTGCCACTGGACAACTAAGCACTATTAAGACATTCGTGGATGCGTTTCTTGCTGCAGAATCCTGGCAATATCTACACATATACATTTAACAAAGCCCCGCCTCTGACTATCTGGCTGTCTAAGCCACTGTATTACACACTCATTAAGGGGCCGCGGACAATGCTCTGAGCCGGTCTGTCGCCGGATCTGACGGTGCAGGAAGGGGGGACGGTCTGAAATCCACTTTGGGCGATGGCATCCGAGCCCGCGCCCTCAGCTTCTGGATGCCATGAAGGATGTCGAGGGTGGTAGGAAGGGGAGTGTGAGAAAAAGATTCAGGATTTCCGTAAAGGCTGTATCTAATTGGCTTTTATTTTTCGTTCTTTACAGGCATGACTTTGTAGAACTCGCCCTATTTAGTTGAATCACCCCAATTGAGCCGTATATTGATAATAATAGCGCCATATATGTAGAAGCACAACGACCACTCCCTTTGGCACTCCCGGCCTCGTGGGATACACCGTCGGAATCGCTCCCGGATTACTGAACGAGACCATATTAGGCCCAATGTGCACCACTTCCCCATAATTCCTATGAACATCTTGCAGGGTCAAATGCGCCCGTGTAGTCGGAACCCAGCTCATCTGATGTAGATCCGTAGGAGAAACAGGAAACGGATCAAGAATGTGCCGTAGTCACCACCAGGTGCAACTAAGCTGGAGAGCGACAACGGCAACAGTCGCCGCCGCGATCCAACCGGCCAGGCTGGGAATAGCAGGGAGCCGATACAGAAATGTTTGCAATTCCATTATTCCGAGTGGCATATGTCGAGATGAACGGCTCAATTGCGGCGGTGTTTAACAGTCGTGCATGAACTCTGCAGCCCTGAGTGGCCGACTCACTCGGGGTTTTACTCGGGGCAAGTCAAATTCTCTACATCAGCCAGATCAAATAGTATCTAGCCAACTCAGGGCTTCTAAATTGAAATATCGACATGAATATATCGCTGGTCTCAACCCAATCTGTTAAGCAACCACATCGGAGCAGCCATGTCCATCACCGTTGAACGATTCATGTTCCAGTCTCTGGAACCCGAGAGCTCCGCCTCAGAGACTCTGCCCTACTGGTGGCTGACTAGCGGACGCGACCTCTCTCGCATGCTCCAGGAAGCCCAATACCCCGAGGATACACAGCGCCAGTTTCTCCTTTTTTCAGGGACACCATCTGCCCGCAGTTAGGAGGCCGTTCCGAGGCCGATTCACTCCGCAGCGGTGTTGGTTGGGACGGCAACCCCTTCGAATATGGCTTTGAGCTCAAGAGCTCGGGCAAGGACCAAGCGGTTCGGTTTGTCGTAGACGTCAGCCCACTGCGACCGGCCGACGACACCAATCCTCTCGACATCAAGAACTTTGAAGTCGTCCTTGATGCGTTATCAAAGAAGACACCCGGGTTCGACGACACTTGGTACACATCACTCCGGAAGTGGTTCGTGCACTCCCATCGCTCGACGGCTGAACAGAAGGATCTGGTCGCGCAGGCGGGATACCAGATGCCCATGATACTCGGGTTCGATATTGGTTGTCATCTTCCAATCCCAGACGCCATCCCGGTCATGGCGAAGGTCTATTTCCCACCCTGTTTCACTGCGGTTGCAGAGGGAATCACGCGCTGGGAGGCTGTCCGACGCGGCGTGTGTCAACTGCCGAATATTGAATCTCATCCGAATATCCTTCGTTCCCTAGATCTCATTCAGGAATACCTAGACACGTAGAGAATATGAAAACGGTCCCCGCTATCTTGCAACCGACTTTGTCACCACCGAGAAGGCACGGCTGAAGATCTACATGCGACATCCAGCTGAGTCATTCGATGATATCTGGGATTACTACACGCTGGGAGGGAGGATTTCGGACTTGGATGAAGACAAGGAAAAATTCCGCGAGCTCGTCTCTCACCTCGTACAATCCGGATCCTACCCCGGCACAGGACGGTGACAAACCGCATTATACTGCAGTGCAGAGAAAAATGACAGCGCTTTACTTCTCCCTGTCCACAGATAACCCCACGCCAGCGCCGAAGATCTGCTTCTATCCGGCGAACTTTGCGGCTAACGATGAGGTGATTGGCCAGGGCATAGATGAGTGGTTGCAAAAGTATGGGTGGAATGAAGGGGGAAAGCCGATGAAGGAAAGAGTCCGCAGTGTCTTGTAAGTGGCCAACGTAATTTCCCCTTCAGCTTTCCTCCGTCGGTGACATGGACTAAAGCAGGTAAAACCAGCACTCACCGTAACCTATCCGACAATAAGGGTATATTCACTTTCCTGGGAATTGGGAGAAAAGAGGATCCAACGAAGAAAGATTTTAGCATGCAGGTTTATGTGACTGGGGAATTGTATACGACGCCACGAATTTAGGAGTGATGAAATTCTTTGATTTTTATGTAGAGAGGATAATAGCAGTCTGGTTGAAAGTACTCCATGTACATACTTCGGACAAGGATGACTGACTCGGCTGTTTCCAGACAATGAGGCGGCTATGGAGACGGTGAGGAAGATTCACGAGCTGAACGCCCGGGACAAGGTTTTGTCATCCTGGGACATGATCAATCGCTCAGATCCAGGATGCCGATGTTTCCGAATAAGGTAAATGGCAGGAGGGAAATGAAGCTTCGTTCGGACACGAGATGGGTTTTTTGTAAGGATTTGGAGAACGATGTCTTCTGATTTAAAATTATATATACGTACAATACTATAATGCTGATTGATTTATCCATCTCATATGTGCAACCGTAGAAACTCAGATCCCTCCCTAACCACATTCTGTACATCCTTCCGTTTCTGATACTCGTGATACATATCGAAGAGATGCAGCACACCGTCTACAATGCGTAGTTGACTTCCAATTCCCTTTTTGCGGAGTGCCTCGTATGTCCGCTGCGCTTGTTCCTAGGGGTTAAGATCATCTTCCCTGAGATGAATAATAAAAGTTGGGTTAGTGTATGCACCTTGACGGATCTGAGCTAGTGAATTTACAATGGCGATTTCTGCTTTTAGTGGGCAACTGCGGTTCCTCTCTACGACGCTTATCGCGTCTACGGAGAAGAATATGCAGTGCCCGTCCGTGCCAGTTTATATACAGCGCTAGCCGACTGCGCGGATCGCTAAATACCATTCAACCTCCTACCGCTCGTTTCGCAGGCGAGACATTATACCGTGTGAGAGCTTTCTCATGCACAGCAGCCCAGATACTTTCGTCAAGCTCATAGGTTGTTGTGCTTTGAGACCCTTCTGGGATATTTGGCTGCAGCCGGAAATCACCCACATAGTCCAGAGGACAGGGCGGAGGGGTGAGTCTCGGAAGATCAAGGACAGCGTATCAGCGGAGCCAGACAGGCAGTCAGCCAACTTGTGACCAGTCGTGTAGAACAGCTTTATCTCAGAGGCGTGCTTAGGCAAACTATCTAGCAGGATGCTGTGTAGACTCGACGCTGGTGTAGAGAGGGTCGGCGTGATGGAGCGCTGAAACCGGCCGTCCTCCTTTTGAGTGATCAGTCGCGTATCCTCGAGAATCTTGTACAATTGAGGAATTAGCTTCCGCTGGCTGTCGACTTGCGGTATAATGGGTACGTAATCCCCTGACGCAGTATTCTCCAGAACACAGCCCAGCGTCGTAAAGGCATCTACTACATACTGTACAATGACCTCGGATTGGATAAAGTAGGGTTCACAGTAGAACCAAGCAAAACCTGTCATTTTGGTGTGTTTCTTATATACCGGCTTCGCATCGTCGGTGTGGCCATTGGTGGATGCCAGAAAGGGCGGACGAGTTGGATCTTTAAACTTCCCTTGTGTCTGGGAAAGTTGACACAAAAAATGTATTTTGAGAGGTAGTTACTACCTTGGAATTGTACTGACGTAATGGGGGCCTCAAAGCGCTTCTGGATCTCAAACAGAAACTGAGTGACGAGTAGCGAGTTAATCTCAAGTTCTCCAAGGCTGGAGGTAGGTCCTATCTCTTCCATACTAATCTCCATGATATTGCTCAACAGTTCTCGAAGTTGTTGGAGCGTGTTGTTATCATTGGGGTTTTCCGAACGCTGGGCAATCTGGGTATTGTCTCCCGGTGGGGAAGTAGTTTCCAACGAGCTCTCATCCTCTTCCTCGGTTGGGGGGATGGCGAGACGGGTCTCATACCCTGAGCCTGCCAGGAGCTCCATATCATCCTTACCCCTATCCATAACGGAAGCGGTATGGCTAAGTCGAGTCAGGCTGCAGGCCAGCGGCTTAAACGGCACGCTGCGGAATGTCGCCCTCATGATAGCCGCCACAAGGATCTTCGAGGAATCATAAATGAAGATATCGTTAGTCAAGCTTCCCTTGGATATATTTTCATGGTGCGAATAAACTGTCCAGTTCTGCAAGCCCACCTTGGAACCCACGACCGATGGAGTAAGGATCACCTAGTCCACAGCAGTGCACATAAAGACCTCATCATCCCGACGAGGAGACGGACAATTGACATGTATCCCAGCAACCTGAAGAAAATTATCCAGATCAATGGGTCCACAAAAGGTGATTTTTCTGCTGAACAGTTGGGCACCGACGGGAGATCCACGAACCCTCCGCCTCATTCCCCAATGTGGATAGCGATTTCACCCACAGTAGTAAGGAGCATAGTTGACTACCTCTCCAAAAAAGTCAGTAGAAAATACCGCCAGTTATACTCGTCGCAGCGGGAGAGTGGATAATACTATCCATGCTCGAGCTCCGGGCGACCTTTTGAAGGAGCTTCAACCGTGTTTCGGCAACGATGTCTCCTGGAGATACCAAGCCAACACGGCCCTTTCCGTGTTCTGCTTGGTCAAAAGAAGACGTGCCGAAGATAGTGAAATCCCGGATTCCGAGTGTTACCGGGATCAGGCAGACAAATAGATCTGCTCCAAGGCCCAGAGGGGAAGAGATTGAGAGACGCTCAGCGTGAGGGGAGAAGTGGGAGTTATCAAATTTGCTGGAGAGTAGTAATGAACTCTGGGCTGCAAATTCAATGTACATGGAGGCAGGGTAAGACTTTGGCCAGCGACAGGGTGTCCTCGAGTCACTAAGTCAAAGGTGGCGTTCGAGGTATCAACAAAGAACAAAGATTCCCCCTTAGGCCCCCCGCTCTTGACCATAGTCACCAAGCTGGGTCTTGAACTTAAGGCAGGCTGTACGGGTGATAGCTCCGAGGCTTACTTGTATTGAAGCCAATGCTGGGTGCGTTCGAACTAGTAATGAGGGAGGTTGGTGTGCGCAGAATGGCTGTCTTCATGGAAAGGCCAAAACCTGGCCCCGACTCCTGCCATCCACAGCTGGCAGGTTACATTCGCCAAGTTTGCGTTGCATCTGTGGTCCCCAATTCAATTAGCAAGAATGTGCGGCTTGCCTGACTGGGTCAAAATATGATGAGCCATATCAATGATCCGGGAAGCAGATCCGACTTCAAGCCACACGGCAGATGGCAGACGGGTCGCGATGCGTTTCACGGTATCGTAGAAGTATACAGGCTGTGTGGTATGTTCGACAATTGCCTTGCCTGTGAACGAGGTCCAGCTAGTGCTGGAGGAACATGTCTCGACTGGGATGCCTAGTGGTCGGATCGTGATAGGCTGGGCCATGTCCTAGAAATCTTTGAGGATCGCACCTCCAACGTACGAGTGGTAAGCATGCGTGTTTCTGAGCCAAATTGTTTAAACAAGTGGCATTTCTACCTCAGCCGATCGATGGACTTCACATCGCCGGCAAGCACAGAGCAACACCGACCGTTATAGCAGGCCACATCCACGCGACATTAGCTGTCGAGTTGATTCGATTTACCATCTCCTTTACATCAGCCGGATCAGACTCGACCTAGAGTATCACTCCGCACTCTGGACCCCATTTATCACAGATCAGGCACGCCCGACCAGCAACAGGCCAGAACTGTCTTCCTGGGAGAATGAATCTGCAACACATAGGGCAGATAGTTGACCGAAGCTGTGACCGATGAGAGTGTCCGCCTCGAGCCCGGAGTCGAGCCATGATTTGGCCGAGGATACCTGCATTGACAAAAGCATACAGTGGAGGGCAACGATGTCGTCGCCTGGTTCACTGGAGAATATGTTACTTAGGATACTAGGCAAGCCAAGATATCTGCATACAGCTTCGCATTATTGATCCTACAAACTGAGGGTCAACAAAAAGACAAATTTAATCCTAGTAAGAGGAATCTACAACACACGAGGTGATGACAGAAGGTGTGGTTAGTATCATATAATTCTCGCGATACTGTCACTATACACGCCGTCTGGCCACCAAATGCCAAACCCACAGGGCGCTTCGAAGTGCATGTTATGGCAGCTTCGATATTATTGGCGTTCAGTCGGTCAAGGGTTGAGTTTAAGCCAGCAATGTCTCCGGCGTTAAAAGCTGCCTGGTATTTAAATAAAGGATTTTGTCGCCGCGGGAGAGAGTGCGCAACATCACCTAGCAGGATATTTGCTGTGAGGACGAAACTTTTATTAAGCTCTTCTAGGTATAATTGTAAGCTCGCTGCAGACTTGGCAGACAGTACAATGGGTAAGCTGTCATAGCGTGAGTTTGCGGAAACAAATCTAATATCACTGCTCGGTCTGAAGGTGACTGACAGCGCGCTGAGATATCAGTTGCTCGATCCGACGCGGCATTAGTGGCATCTTCCGCATCAATGAGAAGACCAATACAAGCCGCGAGACGAATACTATTCACAACATACCGCTCAAACCCGGAACGATATTGTTACGATTGGAGGACACAACCGCAGCGGACAGAAATCCAATACGAAAGCCCTGGAGGATAAGCACCGACGGCATAATACGAAGCCAGTTCACCACTTATAACGCGAGCATCAATGGTGCCAACAGGACGCTACTCTTGAGACTGTGAATCTGGAATTGCTTCGCCCCGCTCGAACCTTGCTAGGGTCCCTAGCTGGTCAACACTGTACCGTCATCGCGAGAGAGAGGCGTGCTCGCCACAAATCCCTCCACATGGATCGGACAACGCCTCAGAAAGACCAGTCGAGAGTTATTTCGAATGTATAATTGCAAACACATGAGGCTGTCGGAGGTCCACTGGATTTGGATCAGTTGGGGCCAAACAGCACGAGCTGAGTGAAGCCAGCCATAGCGGATGCTGATAAAGAAGATGATAATAATAATGATAATAATGATCTGACTCGACGGATCTATGTCTGGATGCGTCTATAGCCATGATTTTTATTATTATTAAGAGTGACCATGGAAGCATAGGATAGGACACCCAGTGTCTGAGTGGGAACAGAACTTCACCCAACCCCGAGTAGAAAGGAAACGAGGAATAATCCCTGTCGGAGTTACAACTTCCCAATCCTAGTAAAATCCGCCTATCTCCGTAAGGGCTTGGGCGGCCTTACGTTTTATAAATTCAGGCTATTTATCCTCTGACGATTACGATCGTATAATCATCTGTAATCTATCTTCAATCAATCATGGCCTCCAAGAAACTCACCTGGCTCATCACCGGCTGCTCCTCCGGCTTTGGCCTCTCCCTCACACGCGCCGCCCAGGCTGGTGGCCATAAGGTCATTGCCACCTCCCGCAACCCTTCTCGCACCCCCGATCTGGTCGCCGAGATCGAGAGTAAGGGGGGGAAATGGGTCCAGCTGGATGTTGATAGCACCAGGAGCGGCGATGTGATTACGGAGCTCGAGAAGAGCGGGGAACAGATCGATGTCCTTGTCAACAACGCCGGGGGCTCTATCTATGCGCCCATCGAGACCAGCACCGAGGAGGAGATTCGCGCCCAGATGGAGACCATGTACTTTGGTCCGCTGCGCCTGATCCGCGCAGTTCTGCCTCACATGCGCCAACGCCAGTCCGGTGTGATTGTTAACATGAGCAGTGGTGCCTCACTCGATGGGATTCCAACGATGGGAGTCTATGGAGGTGCTAAGGCTGGTCTGGACGGTATGTGAGATCCTTCGCTAACATACAGTATTTTTGTGGATTATTTGTAAGTAGGTAACGATGGCAATATAGCTCTCACCAAGATCCTCGCCAAGGAGGTTGCTCCCTTCAACATCCGCACCTTGACAGTCATTCTGGGGACTTTTAACACCAACATGCCCAACTCGGTCGTCCTAGGCAAGACCCCTCTCCCCGACGACTACAAGGGTACCTTCACCGAGCAGGTTCAGGGGCTTCTTTTGAGCGGGAAGATCAAACCAAACGGTGACAAAGACAAGGCTATGCAAGCCCTGTACCAAGTTGTGGTTGGCGAAGGCGTGGGTGAGGGAAACGAGGCGGAGAAATTGTTGCCTTTGGGAAGTGATATGACTCCTCGCCTGAAGGGAACCCAAGACTATCTCGGCCACGCCCTGGAGGTGTTTGGTTCCGTGACCAACAATGTCGATGTGGATAAATAGACTCGTTCTTATTCTCAGATGGGACACTCGACTATGTTATTATTTCTAAGCAAGTTCTGCCTCAATAATCCCCTACATGGCCAATGGAGATCTCCAGCTCCTAGCGAGTTTGTATCGCTCTGACTGCAGCAACTCCAAGTGCACCTCCGTTCGTTCCATTCCGGCTACCATAACCATCATAACCAGATCATACGCGGTGGTATGCGGATGAGCCAGCGCACGGGGTGTGATATGATCGTGAATCAGGAGTGTGCTATATCCCGGTGTCAGGGCCTCTCTCTGCATCGCGAGGATCTTGCGCGCTGGCTCATCGGACCGACCAGTCATGAAGTACGCCATGCATGTAGTAGACCCGGAGCCCCTTGACCGGCTGCTGAGTGAAGAAGTCATAGCCTAACTTGTTCATCGGGTCTGGGCATTTGGACAACCCGACGACTTCGGGACGACCTGCGGATACGACTGACTGGCAGTTCCTAATGTCCCTGGAGGAATTGTTCCATATCGTACCCGACGATACCGCCATCAACACAAGCTCATGCGGGAAGATATCCAGCCACCCGGCCTGGTTGGCCATGACGCCTCCCATGACGTACTTGAAAGATTCACCCTCGCGAGAATGGGCTTCGTAGTAGAGAAACATATTGCCTTTCCAGTCCTTGGTATACTGGAATACCCCATTAGCCGGGTCGAGAGGAACTTTGTACGTTGTTTGGGCTAAGTATTCTGGCATGTTAAAGAAGCATGGCAACGTAGCGTCGTATCTGATTAACTGTTTAGATGAAACATTGACTCTAAGAATTTGGGAAACAAGGTACTTACAAATGATTGATCCATTCTCCAAATATAGGCTTTAGTAGTGATTTGGTGAAAGGGGTCGGCTTGAAAACACTAATCAATGGCTCGTGGAGCATATGATTCGACGCGAGATGGTGGGCGAGACGTTCTACATACTCTAGTAAGCATTGGAGACTTGTTCCTGGTAGCCTCCAAGATATGCCAACCCAGCAGAGTGGCCTCACACGGCACGAGTTTGGCCAATTCATCTGCATTCATTGCATGGTTTTCCGCCGCATCCTACCTTCAAACAGCGAGGTCTTTGCACACCAACGCTGCTCCCAGAGCTGGCTATCCCACAAATTTAGTCCAAAACTGATGTATTCTGAAGCAAAGAAGAGATACACATACCTGCTCGATCGCTACACAGTCGAGCTGTGTCTCCCATGGAGTCTCCAGTCATGCCACCGTGGCACATGCCTCCAGGAGAGCCCCGCTCCTCTGGACTTCATTCTCCAAGGAGGCGGGAGTAACCCCGTTGAGGACGCTGACGATTCCGAATGGCTATTCACTGTGCTGACACTACGCTTGTCCTTCGTATATTTACCTAGCCGACGCACAGGAGCATCTCCGTCGCTTGTGTGGACTAGGATGTAAAGCAGAAGCATTCGCATGTGATACTGGAGATATTTCCTCTGTCGAGTCCGTACAGCAGCTCTGTAAAGAACAGGGATGGAAGATCCGTGGTGTTGTCCAATGCACCATGGTACTGCGTGACAGCACGTTTGAAAACACGACACACCAGAAATGGACCGAATCGATCCAGCCCAAGATCTACGGAAGCTGGAATCTGCACCTGGTGTGTGGAAGTCAGCCACTGGACTTCTTCATCATGCTCTCGTCCGTGTCGGGTGGTATTGGCAACCCGGCCCAGGGTAACTACACCGCAGGCGACTCCTACCAGGATGGACGCGCTATATCGACGACAGCGCGGGCTGCCGGGTACGGCGCTTGCCGTCGGCGCAGTGATGGACGTGTGTGCCTTCGCTGACAACTCGTATTTTGAGAACTTCCTCGACAAATTCGAGCATTTGGTTGCGTTCACCGTCAAGATCGAAGAAGTGATGATTATCTTCTTACAGACGTTGATGAAGGGGAAGACGGAAGACGGCGTCACAGTGCCGCCTCTTTTGGCAATGGGTTTCACGGAGCAACTCAAGCGTGACGGCAACATCACCAGTCTCTGGCCCAAGGACCGCAAGTTCGACCACCGCGTCGAGTTTCCCGAGAACGGTGATGGTGAATCCAGCGGTGATAAGGTCCGCACCGCTAATCTGTTGGCGCAGGTAGCGGATCTTGACGAGGCAGGCAAGGTGGTCGAGGAGGCACTGAAGACCAATTTAGCGAATGAGATGACCGCTTCTCCAGAGGATGTAGACGCGGATAAGCCACTGCACTCGTATGGTGTGGATAGTTTGAAGGCAGTCGAGGTGCGCAATTGGCTGTTCCGTGAGCTCAAGTGTGATATCTCGGTGTTTGACATCCTGAGTCCGATACCACTAGCCAAGTTGAGTGTGAACATCGCTGAGAAAAGCAAGTGTCTGCCGGATAGCCTGAAGCGGATAGACCCTTTGGAGTAGGCAAATTCCAGTTCAATGGTCTGTATTTGGTTAATAATTGTCTTAATAGACGGATGCCAGTTGGAACAAGAAAATAAATGTGCCGAATTGCTAGTTAGCCCTAATCCTCCGTAAAAATTCCTCTTAGGGCGGCATATAAAGAGCAGCACAATCCCCGTCCTTCCCGCCCTCGTCTTTTGTTCTTTATTCCTCTTCTGTGTTAAATACATCGCCCAAGATGAAAGCAATCAAGATTACCGGGTCCCGCCGCGCAAAAGTTACGGCCAAAGCCCCATGCCTGAACTAGATCCCGACTGGGTGCTAATCAAAACTATGGCTGTCGCACTGAACCCTACTGACTGGAAACATATTGATTTCATAGCAACGAAGGGTGCTACAGTGGGATGTGACTACGCCGGTATTGTCGAAGGAATAGGGTCTGAGGTGGACCCGGAGCGTGGACTGCAGGTGGGAGATCGCGTAGCTGGGTTCAATCACGGCTGTAAGTATTCTTTCCTCTTTCATCCAATAAATAATTCTCGGCTAACGGCGACAGGTAATGGGGAAAATCTCTCAGACGGATCTTTTGCCGAGTACATCGCCGTCAAGGCACATATTAATATCAAACTGCCCGACTGGATGACTTTTTCGGACGGAGCAACTCTGGCCATGGGCATCACAACCGTCGCGCAAGGGATGTACCAACAGCTAAAATTGCCTTTGCCATCAGTCTCGATGGACCCTCTTCCAAATCAAAAACCAATTCTTATTTATGGCGGCAGTACCGCGACGGGTACGCTCGCCATTCAATTTGCCAAACCATATTTATCCTACCCCGGTCGTTGTTTCCAATTCTAACATAGGAAAAGGTCAGGTTATACAGTTATCACGACATGATCTCCACATAATTTCTCACTGGTCCGTGATAGAGGAGCGGATCATGTTCTGGATCACCGTTCGCCAGCACTCGCCGAAGACATCCGGGCCTTACTAACAACGAACTCTGTCTCGTCCTCGACTGCATCACGACAGGCGAATCAATAATTAAATGCTGCGCTGCCCTCTCCCCTCCGCGCACAGACTGTAAGATCAAGTATTGCGGCTTGTTCACTGTCGGAGCTCTTCCCCGGTCCGACATCGAGGCAGGATTCACAATGGCCTACACAGCCCTCGGCGAATCCCAGCAGAAGTGGGACAATTACTATCCTGGTAGCTCTGAGGACGCACGATTTATTGGAGATTTTATGAAACTCACGTCAGAGTTAGTTAAGGAGAAGAAGATTCAAACCCATCCGGCAGAAGTGGGATCTGACGGATTGGAGGGTGTTCTGAAGGGTCTTAACCGACTACGAAAGGGAGATCTCAGCGGGGTGAAACTGGTTTATACTTTGTAATTCGTTGAAATCATTGCGTATCATCATCTAATCTATCGACATATCCAGCTTTTTCGATTTTATTTACTTTTATGAGCGCAGAGTGAGAATTGCATGTTTAAAACCGCAAGTCCCATCCAATCTGAGGCCCGAGCTTGGGCAATTCATTGGCCACACTCTGCACGTCTTTATCTCCGCGACCACTCAAACACAAGACAAGATCCTTGCCAGGTCCCAGCTTTTTGGCTGTCTGAATTGCACCCCACACAGCGTGAGATGTTTCTAGGGCAGGAATAATGCCTTCCAACTGGCTTAGTAGGCGGAATCCCTCGAATGCCTGGGCATCAGTTACTGACAGGAATATCGCCCGCTTACTTTCCTTCCAGTGGGCCAGTTCCGGTCCAACTCCGGGGTAATCTAGTCCTGCAGAAACGGAATGAGTGTTGGAGATCTGGCCGTGCTGGTCCTGCAGGATATATGTGCGAACGCCATGCAGCACCCCTACGGAACCACCAGTCAAGCTAGCTGAGTGTCTTTCCGTGTCCAACCCATCTCCGGCTGCTTCCACACCAACCAGCTGGACAGAGAGGTCCTTGGAGAAGGGGTAGAACATGCCAACGGAATTAGATCCTCCACCAACACAGGCGACAACGGCGTCCGGACTCTTGCCCAATTCATGCATCTGAGCCTTGGTTTCGTTCCCAATAACATTCTGGAACGTCCTGACCATAGTAGGAAATGGATGGGGCCCAATAGCAGATCCAATAATATAGTGCGTGGTATCCAGACGGACAATCCACGCGCGGAAGGCTTCATTTACGGCATCGCGGAGGGTACGCGATCCCGATTCGACGGGGACCACAGAGGCGCCCAACAAGCGGATCCGGAACACATTCAAGGCCTGTCGACAGACATCCTCTGCACCCATGTAGATGGTACACTTCATGCCAAATTTAGCACACACAGTGGCAGTCGCAACACCATGTTGTCCGGCTCCCGTCTCGGCAATAATCTCTGTCTTACCCAACCGACGAGCGACCAGAATCTGACCCAGAGCATTGTTAATCTTGTGAGATCCCGTATGGTTGAGGTCTTCCCGTTTCAGCCAGATGTTTGCACCGCCAACGTGATCAGTCAGGCGCTTCGCTTGATGAAAGCTCGATGGACGGCCCATGTAAGGGTAGTACGATCGATATTCCTCCCAGAAAGTCGGGTCATCGAGGGCCGCCTGGAAACCAGCTTCGAGTTCAGCGAGACACGTCGTCAGGGCCTCCGGGGCATATTGACCACCGAAAAGCCCGAACCATCCTGGTCCATATGTCACCGCTGCCTCTGCGTCACCGGTCTGGGCGACCACCTTCGTTTCTATTGCGCGGGGGGTCGCACTAGTCAATGCATCCTGGCTGACCTTCCTTTGTGTGATTTTTGAACAGTAGTCCTCAACTGCCTGAGCCGCCTGTCCGGCCGGTGCGTTATCCAAGATGTTAATCACCTGACTGCCAATGACAGCAGCGTCGGCGGTGGAAGTCACGCTCAGGAAATGCTCACGCGTGCTGATTCCAAATCCAACTGCCACGGGGATATTGCCGGAGAGCCTCTTGACACGCTTAATAAGGGCAGGAAGCTCTGTGTTGAGAATCCCCGTAGCGCCCGTGACCCCCATGCGTGAGACGAGATAAATGAAAGAGTCGGCCATGCCGCAGAGAGCCTTCATGCGCTCTTCTGTAGTCGAAGGAGCAATCAACGGGACGTAAGAGAGGCTGTCGATGGAGTCAATAAGCCTGTCACTCAAACTTTCTTTATTTAAGGTCAGTGTCACATACCCCATCTTAGTGCAATCACTGCGGAAGCGAATCGCCTCTTCCGGCGGCAAATCAACAATAATGAAGCCGCTGACCCCCGCATCCTTGCAATCGGCCAGAATCTGGGACTCCCCGTAGCGAAGGAGGGGGTTGTAGTAGCCCATGAAGAGGACGGGGGTCCGAAGCCCTTTCCGGCGGGCCTCCCGCACCATTTCCAACATGGAGGTAATGGTGACCCCATTTTTGAGGGCCTTGAGATTCGATTTCTGGATGGTTGGACCATCTGCAATAGGATCGGTGAATGGGAGACCCAGTTCAATAATATCTACGCCATTCATCAGGGTCATCAATTTGAAGAACAAAGCTAAAGCGACTCACCGGCTCCTCCAGCTTGCATGCCCAGCATGATGTCCGGGGTTTCCGCAGAGGGGAATCCGGCCGTCACATACGTGACCAGCGCTGGACGGCCTTCTTGTTGACATTGGGCAAAGGTTTGTTTGAGATGCTCCATGGCGGATTGATTGTCAAGTGGTGAAAAAAAAAGGAATACGGGGGACAGTACTTCTTTATAGGGACTAAAAATTTAACCAGGGTACTACTATGAGTCAACACCGACGAATCCACAATGTGGTCAAAGTACAGTGGCCACTGCGAGTGAGAGGATGAACAAGCTACGGGACGGTCCATTATCCGGCCCGTCAAAATAACATACCCCACAGGTGAGCTGCGAATACAAGCAAGCCGCGGATCTGTATTCCCATACAAAATGGCACTTTTCTAACTTGGGAAACCTTAATAATTCTTCTATTATTATGGTTTATATTAGACAAATTCATTCTATATGAGCACGTAAATAGGTATCGTAAATATTTTGTAAAGAAATTTGTTCCGGTCTCAGATACATAGTACTAGCCCACCGGTGGAGTACGTTAATGAATTGGCCCCCAGTGGAGAACAAAAATCTCTTCGGATTATACTCCGTACTTTTCTTATCTTTTTTATTTTCTAATAGCCGCCTAAACTTATTCTCAGTGGGCCAGACCGAACCCAAATATAGCTCGACCGTCAGCATGTCACAGTCCAGCGAAATCTCTCTGGGCCTGAAAAATTCTATCGAAGGTCCGCACTGCATGCAAAGAATGTCACAATCGCAAGATTCGCTGCCTGATACCTCCAGATGGAGGCTCCTGTCAGTCTTGTGTGATCTCGCAGCGCCCATGCTACTTTCTCCCCCGACACAAGGCTGGTCGACCCAGGAGAAGCAGTCGACCATTGTCGAGCACACTCTCCAGCCGACAAACCACCCCTGCCTCCATTCCAACCCCTCGACCAGAGAACGATGTGAACGAGGTGTCTCCTGATAATGTGTGGCAAGCGAATACGGCGCTGTCATCTTTAAACAATGCTCTCACTGCTAGCGACCTCACTTTATTGCCTCCCGACCTGCAAAATTTCTGTAGGGCTCCGCTCTCTCACTCTTCCACGCTCCACGACTGCCTCCCCGTTAGCGATTCCCTCGTGCGATCTCAGCCGCATAACAATTGCAGTAGTGAGAGCGACCCGTCATCGGACTGGCTAGCTGGTTCACTGTCAGACGGATCAATAAGGGCTCGCTTCCCCAGTATATCTCCCCTGTGGCCAGGGTCGGTCCCCAATTCTGGGGATAGCAGGCGTGGCGGGGATAGCTGGGAGAACTCGTCGGTGTCATTCGCAGCGCTGCTAGAGAAATGCAGTGAACTCGATCAGGCGGCCGATATACTGAAGGATCGCGAACAGTGGACAGCAATTAATCACCATCTAATCCCCGTTCTCCGCGCGATTGATGCCCTCTGCGACCTGTGTGCGGCCTTCATCGCAGAGCATCCCACTCCATGCTCAAAAGAATTACTAGACTCCGCGCTCGTGGCATTGGTGATTGCGGCAAATTTCAAGATTCTCGAGGTTTGCGGTCTGCTTGTCTCCATTAGTGTCTCGGATGTGCAGAGACCGCACGACCAGCTCCTGTTGAAACGCATCGACTTTAATCTCACACAGACTAAGATCGCGCTGACCTCCATGAAGGAGCAGGAGATGACGTCGCGGTCGGTGTTTCAGACGGCACTTGATCAGGCGGCGCGGATCCATCAGCAGATTATGGTTATGACGGAGGGATAAACACCCTTTCCCGTTATCTCAATGGTGGTGATGACTTCATGACTGGGGTATATAGTTGGATGGGAGTTGTTTCTTATTTGCATGATGAGATATCGATACATTTCAATGAGTGGCTTCCCTCTGAGTATTACCCCAGCTTTCTCAACGGCGAACAGTGATATCCCCTGTCTTGGACATGCATCAGGAACGGTTTCCATTATCACGCTTTTTTTCTTATACAGCCAGGCAATGAAGGATAGGTTACATCAATTAAATGCATCAATTCTGCTACCTCGTCGATCAAAACAAAAAAAGCAAACCGGCAAATAATTCTCCCTAAATAAATGCCGTAAGAGGATTACAATATTGTTAGCACTTTCTCTCGGTTTAGAATTAAAAAAGACTTAGGTGTCAAGGGTTGAACCCAATGTATTGCTCAGGCATGACCTTCGCTCCTATATAGGGCGCTAGATGCGACTGATCGAAGATCAGTCGTCTTGTACCTTTTTATATGGTTAAGTGGTTTTAACTCTACTAGCGCAGAGACAACCAAACCATCACATATATAATTATTTCGACCCGTGGGCAGTTTGTATATAATCTTGGCCCGACCCATACTCAATGGGTTGGGTCGATAAACCTCAGAAACCCGGCCCAACCCGCAGGCCTAACAAGTCTAGCCAACTCTCTTGGGCATGTAAGAATATATGCGTCGTCTCTACCTATTTGTTATCCAATGCCTCGCAACAAAAGAACAAAGGCAGGTCAGGTTGATTGGAACAGCTTCGCCCACCAGCCTGATCCTGATGTGATAATCAGGTATGACAACTCAACAGCGAGACAGCTGAGCCGTACCAAAAAAAGTTTTATTCAGTATGTCAACCTTAAGATTTTTTTGTGCAGTATTTAATGTCTTAGATTTACCTCGCATCTTGAACCACCAGACTATGTCTACTGGCTACAGAACATAAACCTTCGAGTGATAGAAGGTTTCCTACGTTAGTATCTAGACGACCACGGCGTTGAGGTCCAGTCAGGTTTCCTTGTCTATGCACGATACTGGAGAATGTTCTGGTGTAGGGAGACAGATGGACTCTTCCCTTACATGCTGAGGCGTCAGATGACTTATGTTAGTAAATGTCCACAATTTTGAAGGTCAAAACTGACTGATTAGCTTGTGTGAACTACCTGACGGATGAGTAGGAGCTTAGCCTAGAAGGCAAGACGCTACCTTCAGTGAATATTGATGACCTTCTACATGACCTATGATCACATGGCTGTTACCGGTGTGCTTTGCAACCACAAGGTGTCAACAGCAGCATAGTATCTTGAGGAAAATTATGGTCTCAACATCCGCACACCCTGGGACACTCCTTGAGTCTGCCAGGTATATGAGAACCAACAACGCACTAAAATGGAAAGAGATCGAGTTCTATATGGTAAAGCACCCGGAATATCCGACCTGTCAGACTCTTCTTATGGGGGTCAAGCATAGATCAAACAAAGGCAAGTGGAATAAAGGGGTCGCGTAAGACTAAATCATACGATTATTGAAACTTTCTAACTAGCTCAAGGCCTGTGTTTACTTACACCGAAAGGAACGATAACCTCGGCCTCTGCGTTATACAAGATATACTCGAATTTGCTATCCTTAATAACGCCTTTGCAAGTAAGCATATCAAGGCTTCTCAAGACATCTGGAGAACACATGTGCCATCACACCGACCGAGTACCCCTATCTACTTCAAGGAGAGTGTAAAAGACATACCGATTTTCCGTCGCGCTGTGAAGGACTCCGAGGGTTACTAGAGGACCTATCCTACAAGAGCTTTACCGTACCAGAAAGCGTAGGACGACGAGGTTGCGACAAGTCGGTCGGCCTGTCCAAAGAACCCTGAGTCTTTGTATAAATGCCGAAACAGTGCGGCTTCAAACCTTAGTACGTACTCCGCACTAGAGGACTAGGTCTTTCCATAAGCCGACCTAGATCGCGAAGGACATCCGAATGAACACTCCCGAAATATTATTATAGGCTATAGAAGGAGCAGTACATTTGTATATTGCGTTCAGGTTCAAGATGATACCCAATCTGCTTTTATGGAAACTCCAACTAGAGATACTTTGATTAAGCTTGCAACAAATTTAAGTCTGACTCGGGATGCGTCTGTCCTACGGGAACTGAGTAACGAGCGGAAAAAAAGACTCTGAGCTTCGAGAATTGAAGCACACGCGTGACAAGCTTCGGCTCGAGTCATTGAAGCAAGTCAATAAGGGTCTGACATTCTGGCTGCTTAAATCCTTCAGTCTGAATTTCCCGAACACGCAACCTTTCATATAGTTGAAACATGATCTTCGAGGCGATAGCTAAATAATCATGGTAATTTTATCTGTGGTCATTCTGGTTGACAGGAATCATAAATCTGCCTGAAGATAAAAAACTCCCTCCACTTTATTACATGATTCTTACGCCATTCAACAATGTCTAGTCGCCACAACGCGGATCTTGCTGCTGTAACAGTCGAAGGGTCGCCCTCGGTTGTTCGACTCTTTTATCAGAGTGCAGATGATAATCCTATTTGTGAAGCCCGTTCTACTGATCCTGGTTTGATCTGTACCTGGATTACAGCGTTATACGACCCTTCGGGTATGGATTTGGCACCTGGGATTGACATGGGCTGTGAGCCAAGAGTAAGAGCTTCGTCCTTTGTGCCGACCTTAGTATGTACGTTACTAAACCGAGTTAGATATATATAATATACATGAACAACAATTATTAACTTGTCGAGCTAAAAGATAAACTCGTGGGAGCAAACTAAAAAAAATGGGAACGTTGCCACGATCCGCTATTAAAGGGGATAGAAGTGGATAAAAGCACCAAGTTTTGCGGTGGCTATCACAATTATAACTATGGTTATGAGAAAGGGTCACACTACCTGTTACTCTGGGGGCATGCACACCATTGCATAAATCCGTATCCCAGAAGTTCCGTGACTGAGCCATCAGTATGCTAATACATGAGACTGGTAGGGTTTCAAGGTGGTGTCGTGTTCGGGTTCTGACTCCCCACAATATGGAAAAATAAGTTAATCTTCTCCGAGCGCTTTATCTCCTGGGCAATATCCAGCATGCGCTGCGAAAAATACGGTCACAATGGTTTATCCACCCTTGGGGGCTGAAGAGGGCTCATGATTATCTTGGTTAGAGCTGTCTCAGGGATGGCGTGAGTGCAGTAGAAACCAAATCACGTCGCTGCTGCAGCTGACCTTGTTTATTCCGGGCCCAGACTCTGAGCAATACAGACCTCAGGGTCACTTGTCGGACACCCAAAAAAACAGAAGTTGTGACAATAGTTGATACTGCATTTGAGATCACCACTGAACGTGTCTGACCACCATGAGTCATATGTGCAGCATACGATGGCAGTGCATTTGCCTCAGCCTCACCACGCGATTCTCCGCATCACATCAGCAAGGTTATCAGCGTCGGATTGCTTCTTATTGGACTGTCTGTGCAGGGGTGGTAATATTTCTCCTCACCATAGGGGTTTTTTTTTTTTTTTTTTTTTTTGTTTTTTTGAAATACATTACCTAAAAACCCTACACTCCGCGAATACAGCAGGGAAGAAAGGTCTTTTTCCCTTCTGCTTTAATTGCACATCTCTATGCCATGGATCGCGGTAAGGAGGCCGTTGACCGGATAGTAGCCTGTTGGCGCTCCGCGGTCAATCCACGACAGTACGGCGGCATGAATGGCGTTGATCGCCTCCCAGTATGGGCCTGCAGAGGGCTTCTGGCTGATAGCCATCTTAGCCCTGTGCCGGGCGTACCCTGGTGGGCTTTGACGGTCATTGACAGAACCACAGTGTAGCACCGGTTATACCGGCAGCGGAGCAGGTCCCTCCGACGACTCGGAGATTCGCCTGGTCAGCGGAGTTTGTACGCAGCGAATGCTTGGACTCCAGCACCCATATGGATGGCTTTCCTGGTGTAAGTGGCGCTCAGATAGTCTATGGTTGAAAGTCTGGAGATAATGCATCCATAGCCCAAGTGGGAGTTGGCGAGAGACCCGTGTCTTGATCAAGTAATAAGCCCATATTGAAGTACTTCATTGACTCGAATACGTACTACTGCGCATCTACACAGTCTGGCTTTGTACGATATCTGAGCTACACTACAATGAATTTATGAATATGAAGAAATAACGTAACTGGTACCTAACTAAGCGACCGCAGTTTTCTGTGCCTAGAAAATTTGATTTCCAAGTAGATATATCATTGACATCACACCGCGTTCACTATTAAGCATTATGAGACTACTGATAGGGTAGTTGCTCCGGGATTCGTAACCAGATATTTATTATCTCAATACTGTACTGACAATCTGGGTAAAATGAGACTCAAATAATTCTCTATGTTACAACTTCCCAAGACGAAGCTTCGGTGGACAATGCACTAGGTACAGGGAAAGACCGATTATTTGCCTCTCACACCCGGGAACAAGCATTACGACTTTCACTGTCCCTTTGGGAAGTCACTCAAGGCGCTGATCTGTCGCCATTCCTCCACTGCCGTGATCGTTTGGGATGCTGATTTAGCAATTTCCTCGCTGGCATCACTTCCCAAAGGCAGGAATGGAGGCAACTCCCTGCCGGCTGCCACACCAGAGGAGGTGACAACGTCGTAGATGACCTCAGCACCCTTGACATGGTTGCCCAGTTGCGTGCCATGGAAGGCAGCAAAGTTGGCATCAGTAATGGCATTCAGCTCCGCATAAGCAGGCAGACGGGAGGTGTTATCAGTTTTAGCGATGTTAGCAGACGGGTTGAGCAATTCTGTCCGGAAGAATCCAGGCTCCACCAGACAGTGGCGAATCCCAAACTGAGACACCTCGCCTGCAAGCCCCATACCCAACCAGCGTAGCGCAGCTTTGGAGGCGTTGTACAGATTGCAGCCTGGCATGGGATACCAGGCTGCCATCGATCCGATGGTTACCAAGGTACCGGAACCTTTCTCGCGCAGGTGTGGTAGAAGGGCTCTGTATAGGTTGAGTGGGCCCAGAGTGTTCGCCTGGAACTCCTGCAAGGACTCTTCCGGGGTTGTCTCTTCCAGCATACCGGTCTGAACGTACGCAGCGTTATTCACGACGAAATCAATAGTACCATGGACCTCCAAGATCTCTTGGACTGCAGCCTTGATCTGTGGCAGAGGTTCATTGTGGTTGAGGCGGACAAATGTGATATTGTCCTCGCACTCTCGGAATGCGAGCTTTTCGGGGTTTCTAGAAGCGGCGAGGACGTGATCCCCACGGCGGGCAGCAATTCGAGCCAGCTCGATGCCAAAACCTGACGACACACCAGTAATAAGCCAGACTCTAGGGGCGACCATATCGTCTTGTGTTGCTAAAGCTTAAAAAAAAAAAGAAAGAAAGAAAGAAAAATATGAAACGGGGAGAAAGTGAGAGGACGAGAAAAAAGGATGGTGTTAGTTTTAATTGATAGATTGGCGAACAACCAGAATAGGTGAGCTGGTCAAAATTCCAGGCACAAGATTCCAGGATGGCAGACCGAGGCGCCCTATTTATGGCAGGGACAATCCGACAATGGACGAGGAGGGGGCATCGGACAACATGCCATCTGCGTGGCATGCACATGCGTACGAAGCGAAGTACGGCTTTTGATCTTGTCCATATCCCAGCTCACCGTTGGGCATACAGTTAGTCGGCGAGGTCATGACTCATCGGACAACTTGGCGTCGCTTTCGTGATACTAATGTCAAGCTAGCGGTCAATGAGACAGCCGTTCGCCAAATCATTGCCATGATTGCCCAAAAGCCGCCAACGCTTGAAATTCGTCAACCTTAATGTTGACAGGGAACTCTATGTCTGTGCGGAACAGGCATGTATCCTCCAGTTGTCTAAACCACACAAAGATGACCGAATCAGTGGACTGACTATCCACAGATTCATGGCATCCACGCCCTGACCAAAACGTTGAACGGGCTCTCCCGAGCGTCCCTAAGCAAAACCGCCTGTCTCCGGGGAACAGACGCTTATAGTAATAGTATCACTACCACTAGCGATAGCGCTGACGGCGATGACAATCAGTCTACCGTTCTAGAAGGCTATTTAACAAAGATTTTAAGCACAGAAACAAGAAAAAGGAGGAGCGATAGGAAATTCATATGTGTTTATGCGATTTCAGTAACTGAAACTGTCACGTGCTGCCAGCTAACCTATTCAGGAAATTGGCTTTGGTGCAGAGTTATGTTGTACGTCTACTAACATAGCTATTTCTAGATATGAGTAAATACTAGTGCATTATCTCAAAACCTCTTGTATTTCTGTTATATAAAACAAGTAACTAAATGGCGTATCTTAATCTATATAAAAAACAAACCTATATACCTATTCTGTTAAAACTTAACTATGTTCCACCCAGCCTCTCAGGCCGTACCAGTAGACTCGCGTGTAATTTATTTTCGCGCTTGCAATGGGAACCCATCCCCAAGTCTAATTTTCAAACCTAACTAGACCAATGTAACGTTGATCAACCACAACCGGTGGATTACTTATAATACTGATACTAATCTTCCTGGCTAGGAGCAGCATCCCTGCTTGTCACTAATAGAAGCAATGCACAGACGGCTGAGTCTTAAACTCACTACTAATAAGCAATGGCGGGCCAAAAGATCGGCGTCCTGCCAAGGGCACTAATTTCTTACACCTGTAAGAATTGCTCGCCAAGAATGATTGTGGCCGCAGCTTGAGATAATTTTCTTTAGCTTCCGATATGGAGACGGTGTCCCAACGATCGGCGGCTTCAAAGGAAATGCGTCACATTGCGCTCAGGCCTTCCCAAGGTGTGTTACCACATAAGTCTAATAAGGTAACATAGGAAGACAGTCTAATACATACTGAGAATGGATTGACAAGCTTAAGAGTACTTGTATGAAAAATCAGCCTGGTAAGGTGTGTGCGAGCACATATATGCCAGGGTCTGATAAAATAGCCTTGTATGTTCGCTATGCTAGTTTACTTAGTGACCCAAGTCCCTACATGAAATGACAGGCCCCAATTGTGCCGCTTTCCATGTTACTGGCTGTAGGGTAGAATACGAGACGCAACCGTGGGAAAGCCGTCCTTTATCTGAAGCGCCGCTTTATACGATTACTTCAGGATACTTAAGAAAGACTTGCTCCACGGATGTCCAGTTATAAAATTGGAATAGCATGTAACTAACAAGTGAGCGCCTTTGGAGCTATTGAAGAATAGACTTGTCATACTCCCAACACCAGGAGCTCTTGGAGACCGCTGCAATTGGAGAGAAAATATGTCGCTGACTGACTAATGATATACTTTTGAGTAACCAATTAGACTTGAGATCTGGAGACACTTAACTGAAGCCAATTCCCAGTTATCTAGCTGCAGCACAAAGACTATCTAATTGGCTTGCGCAGGATCGTGAGATTTATATCCCTGTCACCCTACCAACGGGTCTGTGTCAACTTATCTCCGACGGGACATGCATATTTTTGCCCTCTCCCCTTAGCCGGTCGCACTCAAGGCCATGATAACAATACCTTGGCAATATGAGATTCTGTCTCATAGCTAAAAGCTGGTCCTGCAAATATGTTACGCTGGGCCAGCAGTGTATCATGCCGCTGTTGTTCTGAGCGCGGCCCACCAGGACGCAGAGCTTAGAAAGTTTCTTTATCTGGATAGAATATAGATATGGCCTGGCATCCATTTGCAGTAAAACAGTCAGTGCGTTCGTTTGGTCTTCTAGGCAAACGGCGTATTTCTCACGATCCATAACTTCCGGAAGTTATATGTCTCCTCCGTTCACTTTTTGTTTTATTAGATTTACTACAGGAGCACTATGGAGACGCATTGAAGCATCTCTAAAGTGAGGTGCAGATTATAAAAGAGCTGAAGATATAGAGACAGCTTCTAACCTGGGCTACAGGCCAGTTATTACCGGTCGAGCAGTCCCTCGTTTCAGTATTTGCGCACCTGTATGTCCAATCCACACAGCACTGTGTTGGAGGGCCCCTTCTGCAAACTGATGACGAGTTGGAAACCTACCAGCTTGTTTTGCTTGACCCTGTCCTAGGAACAACGTCTCGAATGGGGTCACAGTGGCGAATATCGTCTGACAGGCGCTTGACAATAATTGCGCTCACTGCTTCTGCCTTGACGTAGCCGCCGGCGTCTGCAGAGAATGTGTGGCATAGTGCCGTAGGCGAATATGCTCCTCCTACCTGCCCACATCAATGAGGTCCTCTGGGCCCGTGTAAAGATTTGAAGCATCGACAATGCTAATGTCGACTGTCCCCAAGCGCAAAGACTGACACGCAAGATCAAGGCAAACCAGACTGCCTGAGCAAGCCGTGTCGAGTGTGATACTAGGCTCGTTGACATCGAGGAAGTGACTTAGTCTATTCGCCAGGATCGTGCACGCCGCCCGTAGTGCAATTCCATCAACAAGCTGTTTCTTTGCTGCATTTGTGTCATTGTTTGTACACCCTGGGTAGACAAAATAGAAAAATGGACTCTCAAACTCGACTCCTATGCCTCCGGACCTATCAGTAGTTGGTCCGTCATTAATAATTGTTATATCCCCGACCCCTTGGACTTTTTTATCGTCACATTCATCGAGTGGCTCCGTGGGTGCTGCAGAGGCAGCAAGTAAAATCGGTAGCAGGAACAGGAGTAAACGTATTATGGGCAACCCCTTTATTGTGGAACAGGGTAAGATAGAAACTGTAAATTAGGTTATTAATTGGTGCTCCCAACATAAACAAGATGAGCACGATATTTATATATTTATAGCATGTACCAAATTCGCTTACGAATCCAGTTCCTTTCCTCTTCCCTAAGTCCATAACGCCCTGGGGCCATAAAGGAATGAGGGATAGAAAAGAAGATGGGAGAGCTATGAGGGATGGGGGCTATAAGAGAAGGTTGCCGCATAAGCTACCGTAAGGAGGCACTTGGCGCCTTCCAACTAGCTTCAGGTTTCAACAGCCCTATAATATTTTATTATGATATGGAGGTGGAAATTCTTTATATACTGTCCATAGTGGTTATACAGAAATATGATTAAAGTATCTACTTATTTATACCATATTACATGTACTTTCTACGCAACATTCCGAATAACTCCTCGTGTACGGAGTACAACCGTAAGATTAGTTACTTAATACCACCGAACTAACTAGCTTATATTAGTGCCTTCCAGTGCACTACACCGTAAACCCAAAATTGATACTATTCCCATTATCTATCACATTTCACCCTGAGTATTGTAGTGGAGGAACTAGAGGGACTGGCACGTGACATTTGAATGGATAACTATTATCTTAAGTCCTCGTTCGAAGTGGAAACAGACAATCAATAACCTTCTTGCAGACCACGGGACGCAGTTGCGTAAAGGGAACGTTGCCTTCTCTCCTACCAGGAAGTTGTGGGCCCTGAGCCCACAACTTCTGAGCTGTCTAAGAGTGTCTCCTGGACCTACTCTTCGGAGTTCTACCATTTCCCTCTTATTCAGTATCTATCCAAAAAGGCCTATTTCTCTGCTGCGCTGCTACTGCTGCATCTGATAATATAGAACTTCCCCCGTAGGTACCCTGGGTGGCGGTTAGCTGTATAATTTTTTCCACTGCTATTTAATCTCTTATTCTTTTGTATAACTTATTTCTCTTTTCTAACCCTTACTAACCGATTGGTATCTCCTGTACTGAGTATACAAGAATCTCTGATTTTGGAATCTTTTTTTTTTTTGGTTATTTGTCGTGTCCGGGAGGCTTGCATCTGTCCTATTCTACTAACTGTATAGCCTTATTATTGCAAGCTTTTTTACTATATATTTATAACAGTAGAACATACGCTGTAGGCCTCGCTGGAGCTTTGGTGTGAGGCTGTTAGTGGTAAATATCTTTAAGGGCTTCTTCTAGTTCTTTTCAATGTCTTGGGCGCTCTTTGGAGGGGTGTTCTCCACACCAGAAGAAAACTTTAGAGGACGTGTTGATTCACCGTACGCGCGAAGACCAGGCGCGGAGAGCTCTAGTATAGGTGGAAGGGTATCTTGAAGCTTTTGGGTAATAGCAAACCCGTCTGGAGGGTGTATACCACGTTATTTAAAAAAATTATACCTCAAAAAGTGTCATTCTATATGGATCACTTTCATGCGGGATTACGTTAAAGTAAATTTAACAGAATAGTTAGCGCCTTTAACAACTTAATTTCAGCGGTTCAGCTGCTTGACCACAATTCTTAAAATATCTAGTTCTTGCTGCTAGCAGATGTCATCCGATTCTACACCAGAGTAATCAAATATTAATAATTTGCTATGTGTGGGGTCGGTAGCGAGCTGAATAGTGCGCTATGGCACGAATGGGAGTTGTAAAGGGGGAAATGCCTTGCTATCTAATGACTAGATCATTACTCTACCGGTAGGGAGGTGACCAGGGTATATTTGATTATTTTGATTAGAAATAGAAATAGGTACCTATATAATGCTTAATAATTTGTTCTCGGGTTTATTGGTAACATTCACTACGGTGATTGTTAATTTAATATGCTATTAGCTAGATAGGTCAGTCCCCTTTTAACTCCGCCTAGCAAACAAAGAAACTTCCGTGAGATCTAGAAGGCATCTAAATCTTCCTTCTGACGGCTGCACAGGATTTAAAGACGGCCATTAGACTTAGCATCGCATAACCACCGAACTTGGTTGGAAGGAACAAATCTCTCCGAGCTTGTGCATTTATTTAATATCGGTATTCGCAACATCAATCGCTACCGCTGGAAAAGCAACCCGACTGGGCAGCATGTCGCCTAATCAACCAGACTGCCCTGAGCAGGAGTCGCCCTGCGGGGAATATACAGTCGAGCGAGATGCTGAGAAAGAAGCTGGCCGGGAGCTACCCCAAGATGGATCTACAGTGGAGTCGAAGAGCCGGACAATTCGCGGCTTTCGCTGGCTAGTTATTTGCATCTCGCTTTACATTACTTGCTTCTTGTACGGCCTCGACACGACGATCGCAGCAGACGTCCAGGGCCCTGTTATTAAAGCATTTGGCCATGTCGAGCAATTCGCCTGGATTGGAGCCGGTTTCCCGATGGGCTCCGTGTGCGTTATTCTCTTGCTCGGTACTCTTTTCAACACCTTTAACATGAAATTGGTCTATATTGCCACCGTGGTACTCTTTGAGGCCGGCTCGGCTCTTTGCGGCGCTGCTCCAACTATGAACGCCCTAATTATTGGTCGTGTTATCGCCGGCGCTGGAGGCAGCGGCATCTACCTTGGCTTACTACAATACTTTGCTGTTATGACCGTGGAGAAGGAACGTGGCTTTTACATGTCTCTTATCGCCGTGTTTCTGGGGCCTCGGAGCTGTTTTAGGACCCCTTATCGGCGGAGCTTTTGCCGTGTCCTCGGCAACCTGGCGCTGGGCCTTCTACATCAATTTAGTTATTGGCGCTATCTCGGCTCCGGCCTTTGTCTTGTGCCTTCCGGCCATCCGTCTTATGGAAGGTATTAGCGTTCGAGATAGGCTGGCTCTTATCGACTTTGTTGGCTTCGTCCTTGGCGCCGGTGTCTGGTTTAGCTTTCTCCTGGCGTTCACAATGGCTGGCGGCCAATGGCCATGGAAAGACAGACGCACTATTGCCACCTTTGTTGTATTCGGTGTGGTTTTAATTACCTATGTTTTGCTGCAGTACTTTGCTGTTTTCACCACTCCCGCTCGTCGCGCATTCCCGGGTCATCTGCTGCGCGATCGTACACAGGTACTCTTATATATAATAACAGCAGCCGGCACCATGTCACTTTTCGTCGTTGCCTACTACATTCCCATCTACTTCCAGTTTGTGAATAATGACGAAGCCCTCATGGCGGCTGTGCGCCTGCTCCCCTTTGTTGTTATTGCCGTCACAGTGAACCTTGTCTCTGGATCCCTTCTCCACTTTATTAAGATTTACAAGGTTATCTACATCATTTCCAGCGTCTTCTTATTAGCCGGTGGCGGTCCATTAATGGTTTATTTGGGCCCTAGTTCGACAACAGGTACTATCTACGGCTTGTCAATACTTGCTGCTGTTGGCACCGGTCTGTCTATGGTAACTTGCTATACAGTCTCCACTCTAACCACGAAGCCCGAGGACACGGGCGCTGGACTCAGCGTGCAAAATGTATCCCAGATCGGTGGGCAGGTCATTGCGCTCGCCGTCGCAGGGCAGATCTATCAGTCGGAGGCCATCAGGAACCTGTCAGCGGTCCTAGTCGGTAAGGGCTTCTCAGACCAGGAGCTTCGGGGCGCGGTGGCAGGCGCACAGAGCACCTTGTTTAAGATGCTGGATGGCAAGCTGCGGAACAAAGCAATTATGGCTGTCACCGAGGCAATGCAGATGACCTTTGTGCTGGTACCTGTTGCCGGAGGGGGTCATATTTATCGCTGCGTTGTGCATGAAATGGGAGAAGCTTTTCGGAAAGGCTGTCGCTGTCGGTGGTTAGAAAAGCCAAGTTAGAAAAGATCTAACATTGGTATCTACGCATTCTGTTTTCCATATATTGAGAACTATGATAGGCTGCGCTGGCATTTCCAAGACACAGAGCTACTAGAATCCCTCAATACTCGCAACTTCTATCAAAGTGAAAAGAATAGACGACCTGGATCTGTCTTGACAACATATATTGCTTCTGGAGTACAATTGTGCTATGTATAGACTATCTAGGAAATCGTTGCCCGCATGGTGGACAGTGGATCGACCTTGGTAGAACAGAGGTATTCCCGTTGGCATGATTTTCCTCTGGTCCACTAGTGAATTCATCGAATCTTACGGCTGGGTCTCAAAGCCAGGCGGCTCGGTTCTCTAGAGCAAAAACATCAAAGCCCTTTGGAGGCCGACCTGTAACATTCTCAACTGTGTCGTTCATATGGGTTTCCAATCCAGCTGAGACGGCCGTTTCTAGGTCGGTAAGGAAACGAGCATAATAGTCTGACACCTCAGCGCTCACGAGTCCCTGGTAGCATCCCTCACCCGACAGGCTAATGGGTTCGATCCGTCATCTGAGTGCCGCACTAAGCTTCTACGCCACCTTATCATAGGTCAGAAGTTCGGTTGTAGTTGTGGGATTTGGTGTCGGTCAAGGCATGAAAGGCCACTGCTGCAATATCCGTGGCACAGACAAAAGGAATCCTGCCAGCGCCACAGGCCGTATAGATCTTGCTGTGGTCTTTAATTACGGAGCCAGGAGACTCTTCAGAAAGGTTCTCAGTTTGGCGGGTTAGAGCTCGCGCGCGCCGCGAAAGATAGAGAACGACAGGCAACGTAGCCATAAACCAGCTGGGCCGGAGAACGCAGAAGTCGACTCCCGTCTGTAGAAAGTTCTTCCAGACCATCCCCATCCCTGGCTTTCCCGGTTGGGCCGAAGTCCCTGACACTAATACAAATCGACCAACTTCATGTTCGTGGCGAGCATAGGCAACAAACTCATTCATACGCTTCCAGGGCTCAGCCACCACTGGCTCCATTAAATACATCGCGTTGACTTTCTCACCACCCGCGGTACAGGAACGTTTCCTTCCAGGTTGAGTTGTCCATCCAGCCAAATCTAACGGCCGGCATGCCCGGAGGCGCCGCCGATTGGCCACGCTGAGAGAGAGGCTAAGAGAAGATGGCTTTTTTCTTTTTGGAGGAAGCGGGCAAGACGGACGGCGGTCTTACCCGCGTACCGCCAATGAGGAGGATGGCCATTACTTTGCGGCTTCTTCGAAGTTAAGGTTAGATTGGACTAGCGACGTATGCGGTATTGAGTGCGACTGCAGATTAGAGATGAGATCAGAGTTACCAGGTGACAGCATGGCTTGGGTCAGCTTTGACTATATAATTTAACCTCGCCATACCACGGAGATAAGAGCGTTAAGCTGAGCAGCATCGGCCACCGGTAAACTCCTCGCAGCTCTTCATCTGTCGCATCCCGAGGACCGGTCAAATAACATCCTGCTATGCGTGCACTGCCATGGTGATGGTAGGAAGTTGGAACTAGATACTTTTTTCGGCTGTGAGGGTGGTCGTTGATCCATCTCAGCTTCAGCTTCTCAGGGGTATTGCCGTAGGCTTACGGAAATTCTATCGTCCGTAGAACTAGAAAGTCCCAATGAAACAATACCTGCAAAAATGTTAATCGACTTCTAGGTACTTAAGTCGATCAGATTCGTAACCAACAGTAGTGTGAACCTCGAAGTGCAACCAGACAATGCTACACAATGCAATTGTTGCAGCTCGTAGCTCTACATTAGAATTTGTATTAGTGTCAAGTTCAAAAATGTAGGGTTATAGTATCGGAGTGAATTTTTGGCCATGTGCGCAGTATGAAGGTCCCTTGAGCGTCCCAGAGCTACATAACGCATAGAATGTAATCATACCCTAACAATAGCCGACTTCGGAAGGAAGAGCCCTTCGTGTTTGGCGATAGGGTTTTCTTATATTGTTTGAATATGCATCATTTACCGAGATCCGTACTGCTATTAATAATGTGTGGCAAATACTACGAACTTATAACAACTCTTATGCGGAGGACATCACCGTTTGAATTGAATTATCTTGCTATATACAGTAATCAGCATAAAAGAATAACCAAAGGGTAGCTACATATTACTATTAAGCACTATTTCCATTTGCTAAAGCAACAAGCCAATGTGAATGGTGACAGCTTGACGAATTCCTAGATGGTACATCACTCCGAATTGAAGGGCTATGCTAACATAAGAGACCAACAAACCTCCTTCAAACTAACTGGCAAGAAGACCAAATCGAAGATGGCCCTTAACCATTGTCTTTCTGCAATAGATCCAATAACTTCAAAATCAGCGTCTGTTTCAGAAACTGCCAATAGGACTTCCGCTGCTCAGCCATGGTAAACTTCCACGCGAGAATCCAGCATGCCCCGACAGCTAAGGACAGAGTAACTCTTTTGAAAAGGGAGTCGCCGCATACTGCAAGAACAAGAACAATACTAGTGAGAATAGATCGCGAGAAATTTAGACTTGTGGTGGAAAGAGTAGAAGAGTCGGTTGTCAATGGCCTCGCAATATGCCATGTAAAGAAGTATATGCTCGTTCCGACCGTAAAAGCAACCATTGAATCGGCTGCATCCGTTAGAGAGAGAAAATGAGACAAAAATGGAGTGTTAAATATTTCGAGTTGACTGTTCACAGTAACCGCTAGAGCAATTGCTAGAGACCGTTGAAAGAAAATCAACGTTGAAGATTCTTGCGGCATGATAACGAATAGCGAGCTGAAACCCTAGAGAGCTAAGGGGAGGATTGACTTAGAGGTAATATAAGAGATCACTGAAAGTGTGGCAAGAGAATATAAAGGTCAGAAGCGCGTGGCAGGGATGAGCACAAACTAACATACGGCTCCAAGAAGGATCTTAACTGCCAGTGATTATGACACAAAGTACAGCCACAATGGCGCGCAGTCAATTATTTCTATCACTAGGCTGAACATCGGACCACAAGGAGTTCCAGAGGATGCGACTCATTTGCTTTGGTGTTCAGCAGCTCATTCGAATACTAAACGGAATTATCATTGTTTTCCCCTTGATTATTACTACCTGGTTCATCCATGGTGATAGGCTCACCACACCGAGCTCGTTGTTCGTATATAGCCCATTTAGAGCCTCCTGGCACAAGGATCCCTCCAGCAGTCAAGATGAGCAATTTAGTTGCTATGGTACGAGTGTACCAAATAAAACAAAAGAAAGAAAGAGAAAAAAAAAAGTGAATTTCTCCACAGAATTTATGTTAGATTGGTTCTATCAGGGATTTACAATATCTGGACCGGAAGCTAGTGATGGATACGGCGACTTGGAGAGGCTGTGAGCCGGGAAAGATTTCTTATATGTTACTTACAAGATCTGCGCACGCGAGTGGCTATGAACAAGGCTGAGGTAGGATCGGCAGCTTATGGATTTGGTACGTTGTCAATAATAAGTCTCTGGCCTCATGGGACGTACATACATAGTACTCCACTCAACCTAGTGTTATTCTCCTATACCAAGTGAGTATGAAAAACAATAGGCGATTAGACTGCTCATGCAGTCTCGGAATTGAATCGGTCTTTACTCTGCGAGAGGCGACTAGGGAATTTGGAAGGGAGGGTCCATTCGGTTGGGATGATGTTGTTCAACCAGACGTTCATCCTCATCATAGCCTAGGACTGGATACAGACTCGGGGGATCGCTATCATGATTTTTTTATAAAAAAAAAAAATTAGTAGGCTATGGTTCGAAAGGGTTAAGTAGGGTGTTGCAGAAAGTTAGGCTAATAGAACCGAATTGTTGAGCCCTGAGTATATATACATTTGGTTAATTGGATTCCATGGATTGCCAAAGTTCTTGAATTATATGGTACCGCTTGGAATAACTTTATGTCGACCATAAAGTTACGCGTATTCGCAAGTATTGATCCTTCATTGAATTAGGTCTCTGATTCAACTAAACTACCAAAACTTCTCGCGTTTATAAAGGCGAGGTAACAAAGAAGAATGCGAACTAACTAATATAGGAAATATACGCGATCCGATGATGTTGCATCATCAACAACATTTGACCGAGAAAGGTGCTGAATAATCAATATTGCCATAATTGTTGACACTTTATTTTTCTAGCGAATGTTCCGTATAGAGAAAGCTAGTGCCGCTAATAAATCAGTAGCTGATATCGCCGGCAGTCAAACTATAGTGAAAGGCTCTATGAATTCTTTCAGGAAAGGAAGGCTTTGCTGCTGGCCTTTGTGTGGTCTAGGTGGTATGATTCCTGCGTTAGGGGCGCAGGAGGTCCCGCGTTCGAGTCGTGGCTCAATGGGTCAGTGGCCTTTTTTCCTTTCTAGTTGTCAGATATACGGCTAGTCCAGAAGAGGAAATAGAGTACGATTGGTAAAAAGGTCTTATTTGTATGAATTGAGCTAGTTGGGCTCTTTTTGGTTATTTTGTTGTGTGCTCCGCGGGGCTTTACCCCAATCTAGTCACATGATTCTGTTCCACCAACGGCCATATTATTTGACACTAATCAAATCGCAGTCTATATTTTATGTGTACGTACAGTACGTAGTTACTGATTGATGATGACACTCATTTCTGATGGGGTTCGCCATAATAACTCTAGTCATTTCATACAATTCTCTGCTGCAGTGAGGTGTACAACCACTTCAGAATGTTGAAACTCGACTGCCCGATTGTGAGCAGACCTTCCTTCACGATCTAGGATAAATGGATCAGCTCCGGCATTGAGAAGCAGTTTGACCACCTGTGAACGATTATACCGTGCAGCATAATGGAGGGGCGTGGCCCCTGAGTTGGCTTGGATGGAGACAGCTGCACCAGCATTGATTAGGAACTCAACTGCGGCAGTATGGCCACTTCTTACCGCAGCATGTAGTGCCGTATGGCCTTCTGCACCCTGAAAGGAAACCGGTGCCCCGGAGTTTATGAGGCAGTCAATTACTGTCACATGTCCACCTCTAGCAGCGATGTAGAGCGCTGTGTATCCGCGCTCCTCGCGCAGGCTAATACGGTATTGACGAGAAATATCGGCCCCAGCCTTGACGAGCAAATCGACCACATCCCTATGACCCGCTCTGGCTGCTCTGTAGAGAGCAGAAGGTTCACTCGTACTAAATCGAAGGGCATCTGGTGGTACTCCCGCATTCAGAAGTAGCTTTACTATCGTGGTAAGGCCATGTTCAGCCGCTCTGCACAAGGACATCCGTAAATGACGGTCAGCCTCATAATCAGATGTAGAATTGCCGATGCCGGAACTAAGGATAGCATGAACCCTCTCGACTTGTCCTGCACAAACAGCAGGATAAAGTGCTAGAAGGTCATATTCAGCCCCAGGTTCGAGGAGCAAATCCAGAACCGCTAGATCGCCAGCCGTAGATGCTTTCGAAAGCGCAATTTCTTTATCACTTTTGTAAAACTCATCGCCGTCAAGAAGATATTTAGCAGAATGACCAAACTCAAAACCGCAGTCAAGAAGAGATTTAACCACAGCAGAATGACCTTCTGAAGCAGCAATAACCAATGCACGCTTGCACATATCACGGTCCAGCCATCCTAAATAGGCAAGATATCGAACAATTGCAGCGTGGCCATTTCTGGCAGCACCAAACAGCATTGATGACATGCTCTGGTTGTGTTTGGAATAGTCGGCTCCCGCATTATAAAGAAGACGAAGTGTTCTGATACTACCAGAACAGCCTACTGAGTCGGCCAATTTGATATCTTCACCCGAGACATTCAGGCCACCAGTCCCAATGAGCAGCCTTACCACTGAAGTGTATCCATTGTGGACTGACCAATGCAGTTTTGCACGCCTTACATGCTCGGGGAAAGACGCCCGAGAAAGAAGGACTTTGACTATCTTTGCTCGTCCTGATGAGACAGCAGCTTCCAGAGTGTTGTCTGAAATCTTAAAGCCTGCCTCAATAAGCTGCTCAAAAACTGCGGTGCGACCGTATTCCGCGGCTAGATCGAGAACGTTACTCCGAGCGTCTGTTGTACCCTGGGGCCATCGCGCTCTCTTCAGAAGCAGTGAAACAGTTGAAAAATGTCCATTTCTTGCAGCCATATGTAGTGCGGTATGGCCCCAATCTGTGGTAATATATGGATTTGCACCAGCATCAAGGAGCACTTGGACTAAAATGTCCGATCCATGGTAGGCTGCACCATGTAGAGCAGTCACATTACGATTATCCAGTTCATCGACTTTCGCACCAGCGGAGATAAGAAGCTCCACAACTGCTTTATGTCCTCGATGTGCAGCGCGAGCTAAAGGAGTAATCCCACGACGATTTCGGACTTGGAAGTTCACGGACTTAGCAAGCATGGTGTGTATTAACTTCTCATCACCTTTGCTTGCGGCCAGATGCACAATTGTATCTCCAGTTCTTTTTGCTTTCCTCGTGAAATCCCTAGATCCGAGAAGTTGATCAAGACCATCAAGGGCCTGGATAAGCCGGTAACATGCGTCGGGTTCTAGATATGCTGCGATCTGAATGAATAATTCAGTAGGAATTTTGGTCCTACTCATGGTCACAGTAAAACGGCAGAGGTCAAGTTTAGAGCCGTTAAGTACAGAGGCAAGGCTTTTGCATAATAAGACACGTGGTTAATATACAAATGCCTTAGTCAGGGGGTAACTAAGATACAGTTTGTACTGTATGTAACGCTGAAACATAGTCAAAGTCGCCTCTGGCGAGCACGCTGGATAACTGCTATCGTCAAGCTGTTAGGTCGATGGATTTCTACCTCTCGTTGTGTCCAGTGTCAGTACCCTCTCATTTCGTGGAGGGGAAACCAAAAGAATCCAGGTGGTGCGGGTAGGGCCGAACCGCAGAGTTTTTTTTGGTAGCGAGCCCGCCTAACCCATGAAAATAAGAGGAAAAGGGTTTGCAAAACCATACAATGACTGATTACTCGATTCGTAGTCGAGACCGAAACTGGACTTGCCTAGACAGGAGACAGGACACCTCTGAGCTTGAACACTCTGAGATTACGAGACGCTCAACAGTTTGAGAGCATAATTTGAATTGGCGTTAAGCGGTGAGGGAGAATACAACAGGTCGAGTAGTGGATAATGCGAGTCTGGGGGAGGGACAGCAGCTGTTCTGGTTACAAGTACCCCGTCAAGGCTCTGCCACGGGCAGCCTTGATCTGATATGCTGACTACCTATTCCTCGGGCGACGTGCGATCTAGCGATGAGCCCCGGCGAACTCGTTCAGTCACAGTGAGAGGAAAGGAAAGGGGGAACGCGCCTGCGAGGACGTAAACAAAAAGGTATAGCGCTTCTATGTAGAATGATTTTTTCCATGCGCACTCCTCATTCGCTCTTAATTTGTCTTTTCATACGAAATCTAGGGCTTTATCTGCATATATCCTTCCATGAATGCTCCATTTTCCGCTCTACTACACATCTTTTACCATCATGCACTACAAGTTAATTCCACGCGTCTTACTGCTCTGTCTGTGTCGGGCATTCCCAAAACCTTTAAGTTCTAATAATATGTCTACAGAGTAGTATATAAAGCTCGCTCCTATAAAAAATTTGACTTATTTTCTTTCCCCACTACTAATCCTACCCTAGATTTCACATGCTGTTTTAAAATGACCCTCTGTCTTTGCCCACACCATTAATCAGTAAGTCTACCATTAATAAATTCAAACCTATCTCTTACTACGCTTGCATCTAGTTAGGGATTGAATACTACGATGCCGCTACATATATTTTACAATAGTCAAGGCAACCCTTAGGACCCAGATTGTTTGCACTAGCACACGCTTCTCTCTATTGCCCTGGTAAACTTATCCTGGAGTAGGTCTTGCGGCAAGGAGGTCGCCGAATATGGCTCTCAGTTATCCTATTGGCAGGAACGGTATGGTGCCTACCTAGATTGCGGCTGTAATGGCACAAACCATGCCGCTGTTCACTAGTCTATGAAGTGATTGATAGATTCAAACCGCCGAAGGTACTGTTCATGAACATGTTAAGGCTTTTAAGTAGCTACAGAATATGAAAATCAGTTGATCTAATATTGAGCCGGGGTCATCACTATGTTGGCGTCTGCACAAGCATAACTTCTTTAACTCTATCCATGAATACGTTGATATCCTTGTAGTAAAGGTGGTTGTTCACCTGTTTCAATGCGACGTCATCCGTGGTCCGGCCAGTAGTAGCCATTTCTTCCGTTTTCGAAGGGCCACCAGGTGTTCCATTTCCCATACGGCCAGGAGGGCCAGGACCACCGGGCGGAGCGGGCGGACCTTGACGGGGTTGGGACTTGTTATTACTGCGGTTCTCCAGTCGTTGCAACCTATTGTTTATCTGGGTTATCGAGGTAAGAATCTGGGCCAAAGCATCCTGTGTAGGATTTGGCGGGGGAATAGTATGTAATAGAGCGTTTGCAGAACCTCCATGGTAACTAATAGTACTTGATGAAGAGTTTCCACCGGGGCCGCCGGGCTGGTGACCTGCAGGGCTTAATACGGAAATGCCGAAGGGTTGACGGTACCGCGGTAGAATAGGAGCTGGTTGATATAGGTTCTTTGATAAAGTATCTCCGCGGCCCTCAGTATCCTCGTGGTGCTCGACGATCGAAGGCAGCTCATCAAACAAACGCCTTGGAGACAGACGAGCAGAATTTCTCTGGACCTAATAGCTCGCTGTACATTTAAAGCTTTACTGGCCTGACTGGGCCGACAAGGTGTTTAAGGTTGATTCGTCGAGGTTTCTTTTCAATCGAAGAGGCTCGACATGATCTTGATCTGCCGGACCGACCCAAAGGACGTAAAGGATTCTGTTCAATTGGCGACTAGCCACCTAACCAGCTTGTGATCTCCTGATCTTCGACAAGCAGTTTGCTAAACGTAGAAACTCGCGAACCGCTCGATTGACAGTGGATAATATTCCAATCTAATGTATAATCCCGAGTCCGTTCGGAGACTTGTTCTGATTCTTGCCGCATCCAAGGAAATCTCCCTGATAAAATATCCAACGACCTGCCGCCTACTCTTTTTCATCGGCCAATAAATCACCCCTTCTTTACGCTTCCGGGGTTCGGCATACTTTACTCTGACACGCTTGGTGAGCAAATCGGCCAAAGCCCTGAGTCACCTCGACCGTGTTGATCTCAATATCGAAGTTGCGGCGTATCCACATCTTCAGTTCAATGGCCATCAAAGAATCGATGCCGATATTGAATATCTCTTCTGCCTTTCGCCCGTCGGCCTCTGGTATGTGGCTTGCTGCCAGGGAGAACAACCCCCCTTTGAAATTCCTTTGAAAATCCTCGTCTTCTAATAAAGCTGGGGTTTTCTTCATGTCCGCGGCCAGTTTTGTTAGTTGGTTGCTGCCGGTCTTGGAAGTTTCTCAACTATTGAATGTGACGGCCGAACAACTTGATTAAATTGGTGCTATCTTAACGAGAATTTCAAGCTTAGAGAGGAAGAAAGTGGTGAGGGGGTGTGGGACGTAAACAAAGCTAGATACAAACAATACAAACAGACCAGGTGGTGCATCCATCACATTGAAAATCTTGAAGTTTTGCAATGGGGTTAGCCGTTGGTCCCCACCAAGATAAGATTCCAGTAAAGCCCTTGTCGGTAGCTTGGGAGGGCATGACTCCCGAAGCAAGGACTAAGGAGAGTGACTTGGCAGGTGGTGATAGTGAACAAGAAACTAGCACTCGTAGCGCGGTAATGAGATCCGTTTCCCCAAGGCTAACAGGGGCCGCGGACCGAATCATTTGCAGCAATTTGGGGTCTCGGCTGACTATCTCCCGATATTTACCACCACTCCTAGGTCAGTAACAGCAGACGACAGCCCAAGGTGATGGCGATAGTTCTTAAAATTGTCAAGAGAGGTGCTAGCTGCTGCATAAGTGGCCTGCCCTGACAAACAATCCTCTGATTCCACTATAAGGGCTGGAAAGAATGATATGGTCCAGGTTCATCTCTTTCGTTGCATTATGAAGGTTCCAGTTACCCTAGACCTTTCTATCGAGTGCAGCGGACCAGTTATCATAAGACATATTTTCAAAGACGCAGTCCTGTATAGAGAAGTAGGGTTAGCATTAGAGCAATTTTAGAGATGCAGCGTTCGTGTTCTCACTTTCAATGTCACAGGTAGCTGAAATACCCCAGCGAAGTGCCAGGACACGTATTAATGGTATTTTGCACATGCTCCATGTATAATACTTATTGAGGGAGAATGACATCAAAGCATATCTTCGATATTGAAACTCCCGCGGTGAAAACGTGCTGCATTTGGCATCAAGGTTCAGCAACCCAGAGATGCCCTGCCTTTTGACCCCCATTTCCGGAAATGTATACATCAGCGGACGATCAAGGAGACACAGCCCTAGTGCGATTTATTTTAAATTCCTTAGCTTCACGAAACTGGTCTGAGTCAGCGAGAATACTGATCTTATAATGCTGCACTGATAGGAATAGCTATCCTTGGGATGAACAGTAGGATCCTTTACGGGCTGCTGTGCAGCTTGGTGATCTGCACATATGTCATCTTTTAATCTGTATTGGTAACCTGAACCCGCTATCAGCCCTGGCCTGTGATAGCGAAGGCTAAATAAGCTTGAAAGACAGAACTCCTGAGAACGAGGATAATATGCTGCAAATCTTGCAATGAGCAGACGGTAAAAGCTAATCTTCATGCCTGTCTTCGGGGATCATGGTTAAGCTGGTTCACCTCGGACTGACATGGGCCGATTTTTTCGCCACTAGCTGTTACAGCCATCAGACAGTCACATATCCAGCTTGTAGTTTTGTACGATAGTGGCACATCATCTTCAAGTTACGAGTCTACCCTAATATTTATAATTTATAATACTTATGTATATAAGTTAGTGGGGTGGTACCCAGGTATAATCATGTCACTTATCAGGGGCTATAAAAAATTAACTATGCAGGCAATTGGCTTGACTTCCCCTAGTAACAAGATGTCCTACCCATTTGTCTTTATTATCCAAGCCAGAGGAACCTGCAGGTGATTAAATAAAAACAGTAATAACAACCAACAACTAATACAGCGATTTACTAGCTTTATTTAAAGATTTTTACTATATTTAGACGAGCCACCGCCCCCCCATTCGGGAAGCCTGAAAATGGAAGAAAGATGGATGATGGATGGCACCTTCATCTTGTCTGCTCCTGGGATGATGGATGGGTTATCTGATCAAGGATCTAACCAAACAATTCAGGAAAAAATATATAAAACATACAACAGTCAGGATTCGCTGGTGGTCACCCACCCAACTACTAACTGACCGGCGTGTGGCTTGAGTACGGCTGAGCGGACGGGAAGCCCTATTTTCCACACCCTGTGGTCGTATGTACCAGTTTTTGTCTGGATAAAGTTTATTAATAAGGGTATTTTTGCTACTATCACTTAGATATACAACGGGCATCGGGCCATACAAGTACCCTGTGATCGACATAAAGGAAATGTAAAATATAATCCGTGTTCACAACCCAAGGGGGATATTCGGGTTGTATAGCTGAATTAGAAATAATAACAGCTTAAACAGGATAATAATAGTAATCAGGAAGAGTCGTGGAAGTTCACGCGGGTAGATATGGGCTGGAATAAAAGTGTCGAGCTACTAAACTGTATCTGGTCCGAGCCTTATGCTTGCTACCATCAGACACGAGTGATGGTTAAATAGAAGGATAAAGAAGTTACTTTGGAGGTCTGTTTATTTATCTGTCATGTCACGCAAGGTCCTAGTCTGCAGGGAGACAAGGTGATCTACACGAAACTCAGGTTAGTAAGGTTCTCCCGGGGTGGTGCGATTACTCTGCTCTATGGAGCCAGTGGTGACGGCCTTGATGTTTGAGCAGCTGCATGGCGAGCTGTTTGACGCCGTCAAAGCCGATGGATCTGGCATATTAGGGCTATCCAACTTGCGGCGCATAAACAAAGAGGATCAGACTCTTCTACCTGTGCCACATGGACCAGAGGGCGAGCGTGATATCATTAACGTGGAGCTGACAGAACAGCCTCGCAGGAAGAACATTGGGGTTCCCAATGTGTGGGGGTCCATCTTTAAGAGTGAAGAGTGGCTGAATGCAAGTCCAGTATAATCAATAGGTGGGTCTTCGGCCTATAAAGAAGGGATAAATATGAGTTAACATAGATTTACAACTAAATACCTATAATTATATGAAGCGATAAGTACTGTTATCATAGAATCAAGTATCCAACATCTCTATCAAGAACTTTGTAGGGCCTTCACTTACCTTGTCTTTAATGTTCTACCGTCCGAAGAGCATCCAGTCAGAAACTGTGCATTATGCTCAATTGGTTGAAGATACTTTATACCTTACTCAGAAAGAACTGGTTGAGTTTTTTCTATCTTTCCATTTTATGGAGCTCCCTGGATAGGAAAACATATATGCATGAAGACATAGATGCTTCTTAAATTTTGATGCAGAAATACTGCCTCTAGCTATCATACAGTTCAGTAGTCCCCACGTTACTCTGTTTCAGCCATCTGGCCTCGGTTCCACTATATATACATCGCAGAGACACCTATCAAAGCAGCAACAACGGTACTCCACAGCCTTGGACGGTAGAATACGGCTAGTGACTTGTCTGATTTATCCGATTCCTCCTCCTGTTCACCTGTGCCTGACGTAATATGACCTCCTGACCCGGTAGGAGTGGCAGAGTTACTGGAGTTGTCGGATTCCTTAAGATCCCTGGAGTCGCTGTCTACATTGCAGTCGGACGAGGTACTAAATCTGTACCAGCAAGAGCTTACTCTCTGAAACCCAGCAGAGCATGCTTCCGTCTCATTATTTCCGCGGTAGTAATCCCGAATACAGGTCTCCTGTTTGTCGTTCAAAAGCTTCGCGCGGCAAGGGTTGGGGCTCCCTTCGGAGTTGGTCAAATACGGACAGTTTGTTCCATCCGTCATGTCCTTCACTGTATAACGATCACCGTATATAGGACAGTTCTTCAGTAACTCCAGATCTTCCCCGCTGCCGTCATCCACCATGGTGAATGTATGGTTGCCCCTTGCGATGGTCACGGCCGTGTGGAAGGTGATGGTATTCCCAGAGCGAGAACAGGGGTTTCCTATATATTCCCAAAAGAGAGTATACGAGCCAGGATGGAGGATTGTAAAGTTGTATGCCGAGCTGGGGAGAATGGCGGTGTTATTCGAAACATACTTGAAGTCGTTTATCGAGGGGGTATCAAAGATCGTCCGGCCAGTCACGAATGAGTCGCCATTGTATAGTTTCCAGTTAATCTGGAAGCCAGCGGTGTATGCTGTTTCAGCATTCTGAAGGCCAAATATCACAGGGAAGCTCGTTATATTGTTGTAGGTCTTCTTATTGAGAGGGAACAGCACATCCACCTCGACCGTGGCAGGGTATGTAGTTTTGGCTTGGGCCAACGTAGCTGCCAACCCGAAGGCGGCGAGCAGTACACGAAGAACCATTGTGCGCAAGTATGTAGATATTTGATTATTGTGATTTTCGTGTCGAGATCTGTTGGTTAAATAGCTCGAGAGTATCACGCACTGCTAATGAACTTGTTCTTGGCGATGGGTCTATACGAGGATTTGATGCTACACCTGTTCTTAAAAAACACGAGCATTTCGTACAGATGGGGACGTTGGGCAGGTTGTGGAGTCGACGAGACCCACAACAGAGCATTAAGTAATATGATTTGGTAAACAATATTGCAGTATCCATTTTGTGGCAATATCCTTTACGTTTGATAAATTCCGGGACTTTGATGGGGATGGTGCATTGTCTAATCAACGTCCGCAAAGCTTGAGTACTTTCAAAGTTCAAGGTTCAAATCCCATGGAAATGCACAATAAATATATTATGTAGTATGCCCCACAGCTGCATAAGCATTAGCGCTATTCCTAGTCTCTAGAGCAATCCTTTCCACCTGCAGGACAGGCTGCCAAGCTACGGCCTTAGTATCCGGGTATATAGTAACAGTATTATATCGTATAAATTAGCTAAATTTTTTCAAAAACTAAGAAAGGAAATGGAACCAAAAATATATATATATACATATAGATGGTAAATAAAACAATTTAAAAAAAGGGCCGGAGACCAAAAACGCGCTGCCCACGTGCTTCCGGGATTATCTCTTTCCATCTGCCTGGCACCAGTTCGTCCATACTGGCCTTTATAAACATATGAAAGGCACATTCTCTCCCTTTTCAAGTACATTCAAAGTTAGAAAAATGTTTAATGTCCTCGCAGTCTTCACCCGTTTTGACCTGCCGGCGTTCAGCCAGCCTGACTTAACGGAGACTCCCACCTTCCATAGCCAGACAGCCAATTTATATACCATCATAGGACAATAATCTCTTTAACCGCATTATCTTCCTCAATGCTCTGGACTACGGCGATATCGACTACGAAGTTTTGGATAAGTTTCCTCAAGAATGTAAAGACTGATGAGCTCTATTCATTCATATACAAATACCCACCTTCACACACTGTGACATCCTTATGATGCAAGTGATGAACAGCTTCACTGACAAGCAGACTGGCACCAAATTACGCCTTTTGTGAGTATAGTTTCACTTGATGATTTATCTATCATAGGTATTTGACCAAGCAATCACGTCCGAATGGAGTGACGAAATCTCCAAGAGTGGGGAAGACATCAGTCCCATGAATGATTATATTCTCGACGAATTGCGTTGGAAACTCGAAGTTTACTGAAGCAAGGGCTTCGTTAGTGTTGACGTTTGTGTAGTTAAAGCTGACACCACAGTGTCGCACGAACTACGTCAAGAGCTCCAGCTCTCCGTGGACATACTGGAGCACGTCCCAGAAGACCAGAAGGATTACCATCCCAGGTCAGATCACAAAGTTTTAGGCTTAGTCTATCCCCCTCTCTTCCTGTCTCCATGACAATGTTATCAATCTGAAAGATTGTCTGCCAGCGTTGGATAGAAGCCCTCTCTTTGCCTCCAGAAGCAGAGGCTAAAATTCCGATTTCCCTAGATATGGCGGCGAATGGAGTCTGACACGCGAAGATAAAATATGGCCGTTTAGTCGGAGGTTCCAATGACTCCCGTGTAATGTTAAGTTAACCTACGCGAATAGAGATGGCGTTGCCGGATGCCAGATTGTCACATCCATCAACAATGTGCATTGCTAACAACAGTCCTCGGCTTCATTCACTGCCAACACGGCCACCTCCAGCAACGTATCCACGTCTGACGAAGCCAGTTGTGGTTAGTCCTGCCGTGAGCATTATAACTAGTAATACTAGCCTCCTACAGTGTTTTGCATTCCTCTTCCCCCGCGATAAATTATCGTAACCTGCTCCCATCACTTTCTGTTCCAGGAGCAGTTCCCGACTTGGTCGACTGTCTTCCATGAATTCACTACAAAGAACATACTCGCGAATAAAAAGATTTTTGCGAAGGCCTGTCTAGTGAACTATCGGATCCACGATGCGGTCGTACAAGGCCACTGGATTCTAATCTTGTCGGGATTGTCCGGTTCCTTGGACAAATGTGCGCTCTCCGGAAGGCTTAGTTCTAGAGTTAAAGCAGATGGTGGAATTGCCCGCGCTAATAAGCGTAGAGTGTTGATCCAGTCTTCTGTTTCCTTGTTGTTGGGGCGGAAGTTATCAGCACCCATGTAAGGAAATACATAGTGGACATATCGGATAAGATACCATAAGTGCTCCGGGAGATAGGAAAGAAACCCAGATGTACATGGACTCCATGGTGCTTTAACTTGTGCAGGAAGGTCTGATGGCTCATACCAGATTTCAAAAACATTTCTGGAGTAGTAGATTGATAGGGCAAGTTGTCGTATTACCTTGCTGACAAGGGACAACTCATGCGTGATAATCCAACGAGGGTAAATAGTTGAGAATCCAGTATGTTTTAAAGGACAGTAAAAGGCATGGGTCCAATACATCCCAGCCTTAAGAGCATGTCCAGGGCAAGCCAGGTTCCAACAGCTAGAAGAGGTAAACCACTTGTATACCCCTTGCCACATAAGTGTCTTGGGTGCAATTAGGCCTGAATATTCAAGAATGCTGATTTGAATCTCCACAGGAAGCCTGAAAAAAGGAAATGTTTTCCCAAGCTGTTAAGGAAAGTATCGTGTTTTCTGCTGTATAGTTGTTATAACCATCTGCTGGAGATCGAGGTTCCTATGTGGTTCCATACGAATCTCCAATTCTTTTAGTCGAGGAAGGCTTTAGATTAGAGCCAGAAAGTAAGTTACGGTTTTTTTAGTTGCGGCACTGCAGACCAAAGTAAGCCGGAGCTGATTGTTCTGGTCGTAATAGGTTGCTAATAGGGAGCAAATTATTCTCTAGGTGGAGAGGACACCCAATGTCTCAAGTTGACCATCATTTTCAAGGATCTGTGACATCTCTCCGTGACACCATCTGCCTCCCGTGGGTATGCACTGAAGGCAACCTTCAGTGCCAATATGGATTAAAACATTCCTTAAGGTTTTCCACCCAAGTGAAGTCAGATTCAGTAGGCCTTGTGGCCCAGCTCAAGATTATCATAGAACGCGAGGGAATTTTCAGAATAGAACATAGCAAGTGCATCCTTAGACATTACACGAGACACATAGAAGAGCTAATTTGCCAAAGGCCATCCACTATTAGATTAATCTTTCCTGAACAACCTTTGCTCACGCGTCGACCACTCTCCAGAAAGCCACGTACGTCCTAGACCCGTCCACCCGCTACTGAACATGTGAAGTTCATCGTAGATCCGGCGTCGAACATTATAAGGGAGATGAAGAATTTGGGGCTGTTCTGTTAAGTTTCTTTTCCCTACAGTAGAGGCAAGGTCTCCTTCCATCGCATCGTCCCTTACGGCGCCTGCAGGCATTGTAATCTTTGGGGATATTCCTCTAGCGCCTTTTGCGCGTGTTGGATGTAATGCGGGGAATCTCCATTCTTGATGCAACCAGCCAGCCTCTTTATATACTATCTGGTATGAGAGTAGAAAGTTTTTCTAAGTGGCAAGTAGGCTATAACACACAAGGGCTAGAATCTCGCTATCCCGTTTAAGTTTTATTCGAGTGAGGTGGAAGCGGACGATTTCCTGTTGAATAATATGGCCGCTGGGGGACTGGAATCATGTGACTAGATCGAGGTAAAAACCCCACGGAGCACACAACAAAAATTAAGATAATCAAGAAGAGCCTACAACCAGCTCAAATCATTCAAACAAGATCTTTTTACCAATCGTACTCTATGTCCTCTTCGGGATTAGCCGAACATCTGACATTTCCAATCTTAACCGGCGGCAGCCAAGAACACCACGTGTAATAAGTTAGCAATTATGAAGCCACTAACTTTAAAAAAGACTATATAATGACTTATATTTTGCCATCAAATTCAGTGCTATTTACAGTCGGGTAACCATAATCGCCTAGAGCATGAATACGATATTCTTATTCTAGTACCTTGAAAATATACGGCAGGAACCGACAGCAGATTGAGATTTAAGTATATATAAACACGTCCTATGAATATCTCCACTAGGAGGGCTAAATTCTTCCAAGAGGAGATTCAGTTCGAGAACTAAATAGTTGTATTAGTGTATAAAATACAATCTTCCCTTTATATTTGAGTTGTCTCGGCTACCTTCACTCAGTAAAATGCGCCGTTCCGCTTTAATCCCCCCAAGTCGATTGCCTGGAAACAATATATAGCGCACCTTTTATGATGTGCCTCGATCTGACAATTTCTACTTTAGTCCGTATTTATTTGTGGAATGGCGTCATTACTGATCCTTGAGCAGCTACAGGTCGCAACTAGTAAGCTTGCTATGGGCTGGTCTCCTAAATTCATAGAAACCTACCAGTATATTCTGGTTCCCAGATGCATTAGATGGATTGCACACTGTAACTGGGAGTCCTATAGTTGTTCTAGCATCTTGTTTCCTATGTCAATCAACACAAAAAATATTCAAGCAAAAATCTCTCTATACTAGTAGGAAGGCAGAGCACTGATTCCTTAAGTCCGTAGAATAAAATGTACCTGGTGTCTACAACAACAATAGGGTATTATGAATCAATGTCCTTAGCATATACTACCAGAATATAATATAGCATTGGGTGGCTGAGAGTTCATCTGAACTCCTTTATAAAAGCTCCATGGCATGGGAATAACTTCCAATCGGTGTTAGAGCACCCATTGTTTAATATCAAGCACATATTTCCAGTTCTTCTTGACCATGTTTTCCTTCCAGCTTTCAAGCTCAGTACCGACATCCAAGCCAATGTCCTTGGCTATAATCAAGGAGCTGTCTTTCCCCGAAGGCATCCAGCCACGTCCCCCAGTCATTTCCAAATATTGCAATATCAGGTTCAATTCTCTTCCCCAACCAAGGAACATAGCTGTCCATATCAACCTTTGTATAGGCTATCTCTGTCCCTATACATTCGGCCAGATTCAGCATCATTTCGTCCATAGTGTTAAACCCAAGCGTCCCCTGGACCGTTCGACCACTAAGGGTGATCTCTGGTTTCTTCACAATACCCAAGACAAACGCTCCAACGTTGACCCCTGTGTCGCCAACCTGAACCGATGGTTGCGGGGCAGATTTATCTATCCTGTGGCTGGATGAAAGTATTTACCTACAGCCTTCACATAAACCTGGAAGAAGGGCGGCCATTGAAAATTATCGACATAGGCAGACACCATTATAAAGGTTGTTTTTGGAAGCAGTGCCTCAGATGGATCGTTTCGTATGAACGCCTCAACCTCGCTTTTCCCTTGGAAACGCGGAACCCACAATAACAGCAATTCTGGACACCTTGTAAAGGTTGAGATTAACAGAATAAAGAAGTAGGGAACAGAATTAATGAGCTTGATTTAGGGTTCAATGAGTCTTAGAGAGTCTTAAATAGGTGGGTGTGGGACGCTTTTGATAGTGTATATAATGCCCGAAAGGGAACTATTATTTCAACGGAAACTCCGTGACTCGGAAATGACATCCTCGTTTTCCTTTGATTTTGGTAGCTGGAGGTGGTGGCTTAGGAAATTCCGCTTTGATTCTACTGGAGTTTCCGAAACAAGAGTCAATGTGGCGTCGACAAAGGTTACTACAAGAGTGGGTCTGTGATATTCTGCCCAGATTGCCTTATTTCGGAGTAGAATATCTGTTCCAAACTGATTCAGGCGCCGCCCTTCTGTAGCTCACAAAAAAATAGCAATATGTTTCCTTCTTTCCCGGATATACAAGGACTGCAATATCCAACTGCGTCCTAAAAATACAAAGTGACCGACAATCATTTCATAAATCAATTATTATAAAATAGCCCAGAAGAAGACGCCTCTTTCCTCTTCAACCTGGGAAACAAGCCCAGGGAATCCCCGTGGTTATTCTTCTCCGCGAGACTTTCATCCTCAAAGTGATAGGCATCCTGGCGCGACGTATGGAATTTCACGTCATCATCGGCGTACGGTATGTCGCTACCACACAGGATAACTCCGGATATCAATAAACATACCGATGGCTAGGTGCCAAATCACCCATCAACTCTTTCATCTCCTCGGAGATATCCTGTCCCTCACCCCTTGCAGCAGCTCGATCACGACGCCCATTCTCATACCACACATCGACGAGATACATCGTCGCGGTGAGAATTGTGAAACAAGTGAACGCAATACAGAGGATATATCCATCATGATATGAAGGAGAATCCTTCGACAAGAAACAATACAGAGCGATAATTCCGCCCACTACAACAATTAGACTACCACCAAACCCGGGCTATAAAGTATGACTCACAATTGCCAAACACATCCTGCCACGCTGTACCTACGCTTTTCCTTCGATGACCCGCCAAGTTCATAGCGTACCAGCAGGCAAGGATAGGCAATGCACTGAATGCTCCACTAACGACCAGGAATAGAGCACCATATTGCACGTGCTGATGAATGGGACCATAGATTTTCATCAGGATGCCCAGTCCCGCCAGTGCAATGAGCTTCGGACAAACAGCGAAGAAGTATCGGTGGCGTACTCTGTCTGAGACGTACGCGACTGCGGCTACCCAGGGTGGGATCGAGAAGTGTTGTGTTTGATGGCTGGATGGTTAGCTGGATCATATCATCATGTAGAGGACATGTTCCCATAGCCGTAGGTCTTGATGATAGTTGGTGCGAAGTTTGCATATGCTGTTGTATATTGAGTTAAATGTAGAGCCTGAAGGATCCTCAAATCATACCATATATAGGGATGCACAGCCCAAAGTAATACACCCGCCCAGGAATACTTTGTCTACTTTACATTAGAGACAAGAGCATTTGTACCCAGGAATACATACAGTCTTTAAAAACATCCAGGACATCTTGAATGCCTATCTTAGCCTGTGGCGCAGACTTCCCCGAATCCTCGACGAGTCTCGCAAGAGCGAATTCGCACTCCTCCTCGCTGAGCCGTTCTGCATTTTCGGGGAAATCGCCCACGAGAAAGAAACATGCGATGGCCACAACACAGGTAAGAACCCCTTCAATGATGAAAACCCATCACCAGCCACGATGGCATCGCAGGACATCCATTTTACCGATCGTGCTAGCTAGAAGACCGCCGAATGCTCCGGCCACGGCGGTCGCGGTGAAAAATCCACTGTATCATTTCTGGGTCTCGCTGCGCTTGTACCACATTCCCATCATATAGTAGCCTATCCTCGTCAGTAGTGGCGATGATGAATCGTATAAAGACATACTACCTGGAACCAGACCCGACTCAAACATCCCCAGGAACCATCTCCTGGTCATCAATCCACCCCAGTTGTGGACCAAACCTTGACATATCGAGATGAGTCCAAATCCAAACATGCACAGTGGTACTGTGCAAACAATTAGCCTTATAACGCAGAAGGAAAAGTACAGAGACATACACCACACATGGGGCCTAAATTTCTTCATGAGAATATTGTATCGTTAACGCAGTATTAAACTCAGTTCGATTTTCTATATCCAACTCCTCTTTCAGACCCATGATAGCCGCATTACTTATATTGACACTGTCCATGCTTAATTCATATCTCCCAACGAGTCGGTATGCTCACCGATCTAAAATGAGGGCAGATATATGACCCATAGACAGGGCACGACGTGTCTATCAATCTTGGCTAGGAGCTTGCGCTCGTTGACGCGAGGTCGTGTATCATTCACGACGTCGGCATCGCGCGCCGATATAGCGCTTTGTTTCTCAGGTAGGGGTTGGGGATCTGGATGATGGTTAATGGGTTCGGTTGGTAGGTTTCACGAACCTGGCGATTCCATACTATGCTGTTGTAGTTTGTCCGCCGGGAAACGTAGATATGACAGGAAGAGTATAAAATATTGTCGCTTTCACATTGCAACAAGCAATTCAGGATGAGGGAATTCCACCAACACCTCGGCGGTCGAAAATTCTCATTTCATTGATGCTAGGGGTGGCCTCCTGGAATGTTCTTTATGCAAGTTGCAGGTCAGTCGCTGGGAATCCAATATTAGCTGATGATCCCAGTTCTACAAAGACTATATCGGCCCCGACAAACATAACTCAGCTGGTTGTATCTTAATTACTTAACTGACGGTACAGAGTATCGCACGTGTTATCCTGGAATGCACTCATATTATACTAGAAGATCAGCGATTAACATACATTGCTTCATATTATGGGCGCTATGGAATCAAGATCTAATACGTAACATGACTCGGAACACTGTTCAACACCATCGGCTCTCTAGTAACACCATCGACATTTCCGCTTACCTAGACAAAGATTATAGGCGCTTCAGATCAAAGTCACACAATCAATTGTAACAACGTAGCATCGTGTCACTCGCCCCGTAACCAACATTTAATAAGACTGGTAGTTTCCGTAGTTCCCATAGTTGCCGTAGTTTCCATAGTCAGCGGGACCAGTCGAAGTCGGCTTTACAGTAGACGTTACAGTGGAAGGCTCTTTCTTATCCTCTGGAACATCCCTCTTGTATGAGCCGTATGATCCATACTGGCCATAGTTGCCATAATCACCGTAGCTTCCATACTCGGCCGGGCTGGTAGGGGTCGCTTTTGTGGTAGTAGTAGTCTGGGAAGTTTCTTCCTTCTTATCTGGCTCAACGTCCCTCTTATAGGAGCCATACGAGCCATACTGGCCATAGTTTCCGTAGTCACCATAGCTTCCATATTCTGCAGGACTGGTCGATGTGGGAGCCGTGGTGGACGACGTCGTCGAGGCAGGTTTTGGCTCCTCGTCCTTATCGCCACGTTTGCTCAGCTGATAGTTTTGATAAGTACCGTAGTTTCCGTAGTTGCCATAGTTGCCATAGTCACCGGGCCCTGAGGTCGCTGTAGCAGTTGCACTAGAGGTAGTGGTCTCCTTCTTGGGCTCCTGGGGAACGGAGTCCCGCTTGTAGGAGCCATACGAGCCGTAGTTGCCGTAGTTTCCATAGTCACCATAGCCTGCAGGTGCGGTGGTAGTGGTACTTCCGGTAGTGGAAGAGCTGACAGGGGCAGCATTGGCGGCCAGCAAGTTACTGCCGAGGAATAAAAGAAGAGACTTGGAAGAGAAATGCATTTTGAACCTTTGGAGATGAGACGGATAGAAGAGATGAGAGTTTAGAGATAACTTAGAATTCTACAAGCAGTTTCCCTTGATATATTTATAATTCCACTGGATATGTACACAGCTCCGAATATAAATAGATACACTACCAGCTTCCACGGTGAGGATTGCCATCATTGGGCATGTCTCGGATGATCTTCATCAGCTCCATGACCCAGGAAGAACTGGATCCTGGATAGTTCCAATCAACAGCGATTCCGATGCTGCATTAATTCGCGAGGACGCAGTGCCACCTCGTAACCATGGAACTCGCCGACCACCAGGCAGTAGCAGAAGAGGTGATCATCGGCTAATTAACGCGGTTGACGAGCATTCTATACATCCCAGACCCTATCTCAGGACGCTCACTGCCCACAAGCGACTGTTTCCAGCTCGAAAGTTGGACTTCGCGAACAACACAAGCCTTGCGTCAATGTCTCACTTGGTTCCAAAATCGGCCTTCCCCAGCCGAGCGGGTCCTCCACATCTCCGTATATCTCCGTATAATACGGAGTGCTAAATCGAAACGGCAGTTCCCCAGTGAGACATGGCGCTGCGGCTAAATGTCTAATGTCTCAGACACCGCACTTATTTTGCCGACTCCTGCAGAAAACCGGGTCGTGTCTCACAACTCAGCAATGTTGCAACGTGACTGAGATATTTTTACCATCATGGCAAGTCCCTCGCGGTTTTTATTGGGTCGGTCGCCTCGGAAATATTCCCATCTGGTTGTTTCCTAAACCCAGTTGGACAGCCTCATAAGACCCTGCGGTCGCAAGGCTAGCAACTCCCACTCCGATTTCTCGACCTCACTTTCCACGCAGTTGCTCACACATCACAATGGGACAAACACCACCGTCAGACGAAATGGAAGTAAACGATAAGCTCCTATCGGACGAGGAGGCACGGTGGAGATACGACCGCAATGCGCAGAGCAGCGTACGAGAAAAATATGGAACAATTTTCCTCCTCATCGCCACGGCCATCATATCATGCGGGATCGGTGCTGTTGTCTCGCATCAACAAAAGGATTCAGAGAAAGCTTGCACATTGCGAGTTTCGCAATATTGTAGGCGTCCTTGTCTTCAACTTCCCCGACACCGAAAATGCTAATCGACGACAGCACCCGTGATCTCCAACGTCGGCATCGCGTATCATCAAGTACAGTTCAACGGGTCCTTCCTCAACGAGAACGTCTATCGCAAGGATGCTGGTCCAGAGGTAGATGCAGCGTGGGAAGCTCTCGGTGCCAATTGTGAGCTTCAGCGCAGTTTAAACTTAACTCTATCTAACGACATGTAGACCGAAGCATCAGAGTTCCTCCAGAGGAAGCAGAACGATCAGGCCTCGCAAAAGACCAAGTCAAAATCAATGAAAAGTACGGTGGGGGTTACCCTGCAAATGTGGAAGGTCTCCATCATCTTCATTGCCTGGTATGTGAACACTCTTCCTTATCATTCTTCCCGCGAAAGTACTAACGAAACAGAACCTCCTCCGCCAATCCCTCTACTACAACTACGATTACTACCATAAACAGGGCAAAGGAGCCTTCACAAACGATGATTACATCGTCCGACGACACGTCTGTAAGTTTCGCACTGGAATATATACCATCGCGTACTGATCTCGCAGCCCATTGTCTCGATATCCTCAGACAGCAGCTCATGTGCTCGATCGACATTGGTGTTCTAGGACAGGTCTGGGTTCATCCTGATAATCCGGAGCCGTTCGTGGACTTCAATACGAAGCATCAATGTCGCAATTTCGATGCCATTCGCAACTGGGCGGAGAAGAACCAGCTTCCAGAGTCGGTTCCTTCGGATTTCTTAGAGCCGCCGAATAAGGGCGACAGGGTGTTTGAGGCGGTGCCGTAATGGATATGATAATGAGTTGTACATATGTGTTATATTATACAGTCACGATTATCTGGAGTTGTTCTGTATTGTAAATAAGATTGCCTTGGGCTGTAAAGTTTTATTTATATTCCAAGTTAATCACCCAAAATAAGCTCAGACTAGAAAAAAAAAAATTAAATGAAACGTAAAAAGGCAGTTATAAAACTCATATTGAATTCCTTCCGTTCGATCGTCTAAACCTAAGGCCATACGTAAGGCACTTGGCAGTACTTCCTTGTAGGGGATCATATCATCGATCAATGCCAGTACGTCAAAGATCAAATCTAATATCCCTGTCTTTCAGCCTGGGATGAGAGTCGCCAGCATGGATGATTGATTACCTTTTAATACTAATTATTGGATATGAAACTCATGATAGAACGCTAATGGCAAGCATAGGTGGAGCTAAAACTACATAAGCTTTCTAGTCCTCATGCTTAATAAATCTGATATACCAACTTGGCTAGAGGCACTACACGGATTTATTCCTAGTGGAATGCTTGAAGAAAATAGAATATTAATTATACTGGTGGTCGTTATTAAAATGTATATTTTGAAACTATTCAGACCCGTTTTATGTTATGACATGGAACTCGGGTGTACCAAAAAAAAAAAAAAAAAATTACACCTAGAATGTGAGGACCTGTGAAACCGACGCTGAAAATGACCACTATCGCCGCCGTTTACGGCCGCATTTCCACCCGTACCTACCAACTTCTAGCCGCTGCTTTAACTGTTCGCGAGGCACAATTCTCTTCAATTCAGGGGCTCGGGCGAGCTGACTATCTAGGTGGGTGACTAAGTGAGGCCACGTGACCATACCGAATATGGTAGGTCCCTAACACTCGCAAAACATATATAAATGACGGTCTTCCCGCTGCGGCGACCTCCAAAACTAGGTGCAACTGTGATTGTGAGGAACTCCGCTAACATTATGAGTTTAATAAAAGAGTGCCTAAAAAAAAATCTCGTTCTCAAATTTCAAAATTACTGTTCTCTCGACTGGCATCAGTGGAGCACGTCAATTCTTACCCAGTTGCAGAAGAACCAGATTATTACAAACCCGGAGGGTTTCATCCTGTTTCCTTTGGTGATAGTTTCAAAAATGGCCAATACGCTATTCTAAGGAAACTGGGATATGGCCAATATTCGACAGTTTGGCTAGCTAGAGATTCTAAGTACGTTATCTACTGCTGCGGGTTACTAAGCTAACAGTTAAGTGTAGGCATCAGAAATATGTAGCACTCAAGGTGCTGAGAGCTGATTGTTATGGTGGCCACCATGACATCTTTGAAAGAGAAATCCTCTCGAGAATTTTGGAAGTTTCGAGGCGTAGTTCTCATCAGGGCCGCGACTATGTGTCCCATCTTCTCGAGCAATTTACGCAGACAGGACCCAATGGAGATCACGTTTGCTTAGCGTTCGACGTGCTAGGACATCACCTAGACTTTCAAGCCGCCAAGTACGAAGATGGAAAGCTACCTGTGAAGGCTGTGAAAGTGATTACACGACAGCTTCTCCTAGCGCTTGATTTCCTGCACGGAGAGTGTGGTATTATTCATACTGGTATGGGCAGATTCCATGACATAAACCTTTATTGTAAGGCTGACGTCTCTTTTCTTAATGAGATTTGAAGCCAACAAATATACTACTAGAGCTGGAGAATCCGAGTAGTACTATTTCCCACTATCTATCGGAGGTTCCTGCGCGAACTGACTCTCAACGTGATGTTACAACACCTCTTCGAGAGGTCATCCCGACATCGCTAGTATCGGAATCAAAAAGTCTCCACGTCAGGTTAATCGATTTCGGTGTTGGTAAGTAAGCTATTTCATTTTCGTCGCTCATGAGACTTATTATCGTTATATAGCGTCTTGGAGGGAACGTCATTTGTCGGACCTAATCCAGTCGCAAGCTCTGAGGGCTCCTGAAGTGACGATAGGCGCCCCTTGGGATACTGGCGTTGATATATGGAGTCTCGGGTGCATCGTAAGAACATCTTGTTTGATAAACCTGTGCATCACAATGCAATTTGTTTTGACTCATTCACTGTAACAGATTATGGAGCTTGTGCAAGGAATAGTTCTTTTCTCTGGGGAAGCATCATCGAATGGAACGTGGACGGTTGAAGATGACCATCTAGCAAGGATCATTGAAGTCCTTGGCCAGTTTCCGCTTCATTTCATAGAAAAAGGTAATCGTGCAGCACACTTCTTTGACAAGCAAGGTAAGCTCTCTTGACCTTCGTTGATATTCTATTATTATTCTAATCTGGTGTGTTCCAGGAAATCTTCTCCGAATTCCTAACCTAAAACCCACCTGCCTTGAACGCCTAGTTAATGGCACGACAAAACCTTTCCTGAAACCTATCGATATGCCCGAAGCTGAAGTCCCGATCTTTGTTGACTTCATTAAGGGTATGCTCGAAATCGACCCAGGGTCTCGGAAGTCTGCAGCTGAGCTGCTACAACACGAATGGATTCGTCCGTAGAAATAAGCGCAGAGAAAAGGTGTGATTCTTACGCGCCTTTCGTTGAAGAATCTCTTGAATTACTGTTGTTCCGCACATGAAAGAATAATGAATATGGAAGTGGTGATATATCGGATGCTTCCTATCCCGTCGCAGTAGCTTTTGAGTTTTGGAAACCGTATCTGGAAGGGAAAAGTTGCTACGCAAGATCACCCGGCGGCAAGCTGCAGGAAATTTGTACGAACTGGATGGTTAGATGACCCTATTTGTCTTGTCATCGCTAAGCATCTAAGCGATGGTATTGTTAGGTGATGGCGTGAAGGATAGACTCGCATGAGGACGCGTTTGGCGCAGTGAACGTGCTGGGTTGCCGTGTGGGCTGGTAATTTGTACTCCCTTCACATTCCTCTGTCAACAGTAAGCCACAGGCAATAGTCAAGTGCCTAACTACTTTTTCTTTCAAAAATTAGAAGTTCTGATAGAATCTACTTACATAATAAAGTAGGTGAGCTTGCCTTGAATGGCTAGACGACTACCCGATAATGAAGTGCAATACGCAGAAAAAATTCGAGAACCGTCCGATGGTACAATGATAAAGAGCACAACTCAAGTTCGTAAGGTAATTATGAAATGGCTGTGGCTAGGATAAGCTAGGCAAGTCATCATTTGGAAGGGAGCGGGTGCGTCAGAGGCATTTCCTGGAGTCTAATTGGACAGGGTTGATGATTGGTGACAGATAATTCCAGATGACCAAATCTCCTTTGTGATTTTACTTTCCGCTTCACCAGGCTTATGGGCGTGTTGCTGCCGCCGAGATGGCTACGGTAGTGAATTTGAATTTGAGCAGAACCAACGGTAGGGACGAGATCAGTAGCAGCTAGCCCGGTACACGCAAGCCAAAAGTTTAGTGTTTGATTGAATTATCGGTGGACAAGGAAATGGGCGTTTGGTTGTAACTCATTTTTAGTTGGCACAATGTCTACTAGCTAACGCTTTGGCGATTAACTAATAACTGGAAAGACTCAAGACTTAATTCGAGTATCGTGGGTGACTATCAATCACCTCTCCTGCGCTTTGAGCACCTTACCAACGGAACAGTAAGCTTGACGTTTCTCGACCAACGCGCCTACAGAGACCTCACATTCCTTCCGGTAAAGACTTGACTGAATTCCATCTGGACCTGCTCCCACGGGAGCCCCCTAACCACTAACTTCCGGAAGAGGTCATCTTCGGCCGTGGAATAAGGCTGAATCCTGCGAGACACAGGAAAGCAATGGGATGCTTCGGCTCTTGCTTTAGCTCTCACCTTGGCCCTTGTTTGGGGGCCGCTTGTTTCAATCTCGGTTTCTAAAGCGGCGCTGGTCAGCCTCTTTCGACCAGCAGGATCTAGTCGGGTGCTCTCGGTAGAATGCTGAATGCCAGGTCGCGGAAGCTGTTGCTCAGCCGACTGATATGAAACAGTACAGTTCTCCAATCGCGTTACGTCCGGCACGCATCTCTCGCCTTCATCCGGTATCAGGATCACGTGACCGTCATCATGATTGGCACCGGTGGGGTCTTTAGAGGAAGATGGACCTGCTTCTGGAACTTCAGAGGCGGCTGGTTTGATAGTGACATGACATTTCCCACCATCAACACATCGTAGAGAGACCAACGATTTATCACTCCGTGCAGCATCATTATTCCGAGCTCCGAAGAAAAAAGGGTATCTGGGTGTGGCAAATCTCACTGCTCATCTCGTCACAGTCGCTTTTGAGCTCTCGGAAAGAATCTAGAAAGATCACTACTAAGCAAGGCTCCCTCGCTAACTAGACGGGGCAGACCCGTACGTACCTTCGCCGGATGGCAGGATCTCTGCGGCGAGAGGGGTGCAGTTCGTCTCAATTGGGGACGGTTGATGGCCTGAAGAAAATTTGGGTCCGCTGTTCACGGGAAGACATTCACCACGGTCAATCCGTCGAGTCGTGGAGTTCCCCGCTAGGGTTCCAAGATCACGGACACAAGGAACGCGCGGAATGTACGCATGGAAAAAATACTTGGAAACGGGAGGTTTGGGGGGCAGGGGATGATTCATGATGCCAAAGGTAGAGGTCAGTGAAGAAGGAAAACTGCGCGGCAGCGGGGAGTAAAGGGACGGGGGAGTGCTGAATTGTGGTTTGGGACATGAGACGATGATGTGACCAGAGGTCCGTTGTAGGAGATCTGGCGGACCGTGCTGAACGACATAAGAAGCTGGAAACGAATTGAATTACTTGGAAGGGGTAGTGTTTTGGGAGGATATACTGCGCGGTTTGCACTGCTGTTCAACTCGAGATGGATGAGAGTATTTATAGCCAGTCAGCCAGGTAGCGACGTAAGCCCTGGAGAAATCCAAACTCCTCAGATCTTGACGAGAGGGTACGGAAATTCCGATAATGCCGTCTTCCAGGATGATTAATCCAACTGGCCGCGGCGTTGCACGATACTGCGGCATAATCCACGCTGCTAGGCGCCTCGAAATTTTAGTTGCATACCTCACTTAGAATCCAGCCAATATAATGCATCGGCCGCTACAGAGAGGTTGTAAAATCAATTCGAGGGATTGGCCAAACATTAACCGCAAAGGGTAATAGCTCAAGGCGACACGACGAGCGACTTCACCGCACTGGTCATGGGAGCAAGAGAGCACAGCGACCTTCGATAAGAAAGCCCACATCAGCGAATGACCGTGTTTCTAGCATCGGTCTATCCGTTATCAAGTCTCATACGGGCGCAGCAGACCGGAAAGTCGAGGACGGAGCTCCAATCGGTTATTAGTCGGCCGTGATATTCGGTTCTAGACCTTGGAGAACCGCATTTCGCAGGGCTGCGATCGGTGACGGCGGCGAAAATAACCCACGGAATCGCCGTTGAGGCATTTATGCCATTGGGTTTGTTTCTCCCAGGCGTGGTTTCGTCGTCATCTGAGCAATCCAACCGCAGGCAACGGCACACGGGATCTACATGGTTGGGGCGAAAATGCAACCCAAGACGTGGGGTCGCGGAAAGGGTTAGGAGAGTGGGGTTAGTAGTAAGCCACAATCATCCTTGGAGCCTGTCGGGGGTTGGTGTCGGTCTCTTTCTTGAAGAGGGGAGTACGAAGGGCAGAAGATACCATAGAAGATAGAAGACCGTTCGAAAAAGCGGGTTCTCAAGTCGACGCATGGTCTAATAGAGGTTGGCAAACAGAGAACAGAAAATATGAATAAATTCACTGCATAATAAAACAGAGGAAGACAGAATCAGCTCCAAGGCTGGTCAGATCAAGCCGGATGGAGGTAGAGGAAACTGGAATTGGAGACGGGGTGAGGGCGCAGCTGCAATTTCCGATGGATGGGGAAAAAAAAAAGAGGGGGGCTGAGTGAGGAACTAATGGACGGATGAGACGACCAGCCCCCGACTTGGTGAGTGCAGAATATAGGGGGTAGAATTGGGGAGGAAGAAGAAGTTGGAAGGGGAAGTGCTAAGAACAGCGAGGGAGGATTCTTATATACTTGGGAGGACGAGGCGGGCGGTGATTACAGGACGGCGTATCGAAGCCATACCGGAAGCGGCAAAGCTAACCGGAAGAGGGAATTCACAGGTCCTCGCTTTACAAACATAATTATTTTCGTGGTACATAATAACTCTCTTTAATAATATTTCCTTTCCCCCTTTTAGTCAATGTGGTGGGAAACGAGATACATCTATTAAAGTCTCCTTGATGAGCTCTCCCCCCACGAGCTGACGTGATACTTAACTCTAAAAAGATACTCTTTGTTATGTCCCTGTCTCTCCAAACAACCTCAAGTATTACCTAGTCAGCCACGTTATCTAACAACAACTCATGTACAATAAGCTGTTCTAAACCCCATATCGCAACCAGATACCATAAACAATATATACAAGGTGAAACACTTTACGTATCCAAAAGTGAATAATATAGAACTAGCATTTCATGATAAGGTAGGTAGCGTTGCAAAAGATTGTCAATCATTGCATTGCATCACGTAGGGTTCAAAATATGCTCTCTTGGCCAGCCCAACCAAGTGGCATAGGAAGAGGGCATACACCGGACAATCTCCGCAAGTACTTGTCTTGCCCAGCCCCTGAAAAACCAAAGACCATCAAAAAGATGAAATATTACACAAAAGTGAGCCAATAGTATAAGCCCTAGCGGCTGGCGTTCCTGGATCGCCAGCATAACACGTTGCGGTAACATATAGGGCCATAGTAAGGACATCCCAATTTCAATGTGTAGTCCAGCAGTGACCAGGTGTTCGGCCGTGACTTTCATAAAGTTTATGGCTGTCAAATAGTCCTCTTGTTCATCTTGTTCAAGACTGCTGCCTTCGACGAATTTCCTTAAGTTATCGATTTGAGTAAATATATCTCTCGGGAGCAGAGACTCATCTGCCGAACTGTAAACGAATTTAATCTGAGTTGGAATTCTCTTTTCTTTGCAATCTTTTGAGTTAAGAAGGGAACACGAACCTCGGCAGCAAATTGATAGGATGTGCAAAAGCACCATGCACAAAAGGTGCTAATTTAGAATTCCTCAAAGGTTCTGTAAACGGCTCCAGAATAGCTCTTATCCCTCTGATAACCGAAAATAATTCCACGGTGTTCGAGATTGGACATGGGAGACGGAAATCTGCAGATCGAACCGGGAGCCCGCAAACCCATATAACAACCATCGAAGCAAAGCAAAAGATAGCCTGCCAGTTCTCCCGCTTCATAGAAGAGGATATAATAGCCCGAAACATGCGTAATCCACAGGCTTGATGGTAGTCAGAGCATTCCAGATATAGTGGCTTGCGCGAAGGGAAGAGATATGCTCGATGCAAGGCCGAAACAGCCAGAATGCCATGCATTACAAATTCATTTTCATAGCCCTCCACTGGGACAACTACACGCCAGGTGTACCGCATATCCTCACGCATTGCAAGCGTGTTGCATGTGACAGTACAGAAATGGTGCATCAGTTCTAGGTCGCGTACCCAATTTTCTTTCTGTATTGTGGGGACATCATGGAGAGTATCAGAGAGCAGATCAAATAACGCCGCATTACTTGATTTTGCAGTATCCGGGGTTGACAATAATGACGGCTGGTCCTTATTCAAAAGACCAGGCGTAGGGGTTGCTGTTCCTAGCCGAGTTGAAGAGCTCTGGGATATTGAAGGGCTTTGCCGACTCGAAAGATTCACTGGGGCAATAAAACTGCATGTGATACCATGACTAGAACAGTTGCTGCAGGGGTATTGTTCATTGCACTTATACAATTAGTATATGATCGTTTAGGTGTGAAAATAAAGCATACTTTGATGTGGCGTCTTTTGCATTCCTGGCAGCCATTGCGTGACTTCTTATGGGATCGTCGAGGAGGCATTGAGCCAGCGTCGATCTCAACATACAACCAACTTTGTCCGAGCACTACGTATAATGCATGTGATAGCGCTTATCAAATCAGCAGTCTTGATCAGGAAGCGAGGAGTTTAAGCTGTAGAAAAGATGAGATGATGACGAATGCCCGGGGAACGGATACGGATACGACACCAGGCGGTATTTGCCAAGACCGATACCTCCTATAAACAACAAATTAGAGAGGAGGAAAATATGCCAATTGATGACATATATCTTTGCTACACAGGGTCTAGAATAAGTTCACTCTCTCAAGATATAGATGGATTACTGTGGAATTAAGGGCATCCCAGCCCTTTGCAAATTCCTACCTAAATACTCAGTAGCTGGTGAAAACAGTGCATTTCGGAATAATCTATTCATTGATTGCGAGAGGTGCCCCGAGGTATACGAAAATAGGGAACAGAATTCTTTTAACATAAAAAACAACGCTCGTAGAAAATGGGGTAACAGAGTTAACCAGATCCAGCAGTCATCCACTCAATCCATATCCATTGCCTCCTCCTCAACACCACCATCAACCTTCGTCCGGAGTCTGCGTGTCTCACTCTTGAACACCTTATGCGGCCGCACCACATCCGCAACCTTGACATCCGTATTCTCGGTGCTGCGCAGCTCACGGGGCAACAAGTGCTCGTTCTCAGATACCAGCTTGAAGTTTTCTGCAGCCTCACGGGCCCGATTACCAGCCATGCGCTTTTTGTAGAAGACACGCTCACGACGCGCCCGAATCTCACTGACACGCTCCATGGCGTGGATGGTCTGAGCCATCAGCTGGCGGTTGTAGCGGGTGGGAACGTTGCGGCGGGCGGAGAATTGCAATGTGCGGTCGACAGTCATTTCCTTGCCGGCATGTTGACGGGAGATCTTAGTCCATTTCACCTTCCGAGCCTGGCGTTTCTTGGTGAAGGCCCGTTGGCATTTGGAGCGACAGAATCTGAAAGCCTTGGCTTTAGCGCCAGACGTCAGCGCCACTCTCCACACAGAGTATGAAATTTATGGGATCTTTGGAATCGCATACCATCATTTCTGACAAACGTAATCCCCTTGGAAGGATACGTCGGACGACTATGGGGTTGTTAATTTGGAACTCTGCTTGCGACGCCTCGATAAATGGTTAGAACTAACCTGCAGAAAAAACAAGTTTCAACCCTATGGTCAGTTAGCATGCGGATAGAATTTCAAGACGGATTATCAGCGGAACACACCTCATCTTGACGGTTGTGAGGGTTGCTGTCGATATAAGAGGTGTGGAGTACCAACTGAAGATAAAAAATTCTTTGATAACAGGATAATAAGGCGGTGAGTACTGGCATTTCTCCTCTGACTAAAAGAGGAAAGGCTGGCTGGTCTACTCCGGAGCTTGGTGTGGTCTAAAAACCTCGGTGTGGGCTAAAATTCTGCCACAAGACTTACCGCTTTTTTTGGACCATGACGAGTCTATGCCAAGAATACGCTCATCATGGTCGGATAAACATGGCTCCGCCAAGGATCAGAACCTGGCACCTTAATTGAGAAATCATGTGATGACCTTCCGATGTTGGAAGCGATTACTTGTTCCATTGAATGGGTGGCCAGTGGTCGGGTGACCACTAAGTTACTAAGTTAGTTACTAAGAACTAGCTTACATAAATTATGACTAAGCGAGGTCAAACCCGGAGGCGCCTATGTATGGTGATATGCTCCAACAACTTTGCCTAGTGGCGCCCGGTCAGGTACTTAGTCACGTGATTGTTATGCCTAATTAGGTATAATCGGTGTTGCCGCAGTAGTTCCCTTTCAGAAAAGCTGCTAATTCACTGGGATTTCAGGTGCACCACACTAGCTCAGGCACTCAGAAGTCAGAACTCAAGACCCGTTTATCTGTGCAGTGTTTTTCTGCGGGCGACAAACTGATGCATCTGATGCCGGTGAGGTCTTTGACGGCCGGCCATTACTCACCAGCCTTAACAGACAGAAACCTGGACAACTCGAGCTTGATAGTTTCTCACTATCCCATCTCTACATACCTTTTCTACAAAACGGTAGCCTAGGCGCATTCATTGACCTGCTAGTTAGGATCGTTGGACAAGTGCCAAAGTTGATTACTTTGGTTTTTGTAATTGATAGTGTGGCTCCCAGGCGTGGAGAGTTCTAGGGAGACGCTCTGTACGTTTTCACGAAACTGCTATGTCTCCTCCGCGATCTAACTGCCTTTTTCACACTCAAGATAGTCTTCACAAGCATGCGCAGAACATATATAGTGAGAGCGGCATTTGAAGCAAAAGATCTAATTCTCGATGTCGGCTGTCTACCACAGATTGAGTGGGAGCCATGCGAGAAACGTGCAATGAGAGAGCTAGGTGGGGGATTTCCTTGGTTAGAGATGATATGTAGACATTCCTGTTTTTCTTTGTAGGAAAATAGAGTGTGATTTGATATAAATGCCTGTGATAAAATAAGATTATTGGTAGATGCATGATATTGTCGGGGGACGTGATTTGCTATATTTTCTGGCTCTAGAGACATGCCGTACAACGTCAAAATTACCTAAATAGGAAGTTGTGGTGTTGCAGATATCGCTGACCTACTTTCTAATATTACTCTATTAGTAAAAACTACAACAAAGATTAACTAGAGCTTCATGCTGTATTCGATACGATAGACTAGTTAGGTTAGGCAGGTTTTATACTACAAGGTGTGGTATTGATAGTGCTCAGGGATGTAGCTGTATGCAATGGGGTAACAATACAACTAGACTTGACCGCGGGAAAGTACATTCAGTCCGCCAAAACAGTTTGTTTAATGTGGGGCCTCCCCTCACGGACAGTGGAGATGACGGTAACCTCGTATACTCGGGAGTATCCTGATACAGCTGTCTGTATTCACCGAGATATCATGTGGATGCTATCTATATATTCAAGCGCCGGAGCCATTTAAACAAAACCTCTTCATATCACAGAATCTATTGATAAATATTGACACAGACACACCATCAAATCAGAAACAATGCCGAGTCCCCAATCATCCAGAGCATCCAACGACTTCCGCAGCGATACCTTCACCACTCCAACCTCAGCCATGTTGGAAGCAATGGTTAACGCTACATTCGGCGACGACGTATACGAAGAAGACAACACCACAACGGAATTTCAAAACGAAATCGCCCGATTAACTGGAATGGAGGATGCCCTGTTCATGTTATCCGGTACTATGGGCAACCAAATAGGCGTTCGAATTCACCTCCACCAGCCTCCGCATTCCGTGCTATGTGATTATCGGGCTCATGTATATGCCGAAGAAGGATCCGGATTAGCTGTGCTCTCTCAGGCCATGGTGACCCCAGTCCACCCTGCAAATGGCATCTACCTGACTCTGGACGATGTGAAGAATTGGGTCACTTTGGGAGATGATATCCATACAGCTCCAACAAAGGTTATTAGTCTGGAGCTTACAATTGGGGGTGTTCTTACACCGATGGAGGAGATTAAAAAGATTTCTGAGTTTGCACACGCCAATGACATGAAGGTTCACTGCGACGGGGCACGATTGTGGAACGCTGCGGCAGCCACTGGTTATTCCTTAACCGAGTATTGCCAGTATTTTGATAGCGTTTCCATGTGTGTTTCCAAGGGACTTGGTGCACCGGTTGGTGGGGTTCTAGCTAGCACGAAACAGAATATCAAAAGAGCGCGATGGTTGAGAAAGCAACAGGGTGGTGGTATTCGACAAGCTGGCGTTTTGGCTTCTGCTGCTATGATAGGATTGAAGGAGGTATGGCCCACCATGAGGGAAACCCACGAAAAGACTAAGAAATTGGCCAAGGATTTGGAGACGTTGGGGGTTGTGCCCCAAATCCCTGTTGACACCAATTTCTATTTTATCGACGCTAGAAAGTCAAATATTGATATGGGGGTATTGTTGGAGCAGTGTGAGAAGTTCGATGTCAAGTTGATGGATGAACGGATCGCCTTGCATCATCAAATTAGTGATGATTCTATCGAGAGGCTTAAGGTTGCCATTGCTCAAGCTGTCAAAATTACTAAAACCTTATCACCTGGGTATGTCTCCAAGGTTCGCCCATCTGGGTATGGCAGTACGTCGAAGATGAATGAGTATAGTTAGGCAGCAGGTATCTATACGTAGTATTATCTATAGCTAAAGTGTACAAAAAATGACATCTCCAGTTCCATTTTCCATTTCTATAATGTACATTGTCATCACATCTTAGGTGATACGTTGAGGTGACGTGGGATAAGCCTATACAACGTGTAGATATATATCTTATATTCCAAATCTTTCTCTGATATATCCTTAATCATACTCCACCCATAACAATCTATTGCTGAGATTTCGACCAAATATCTCTCGAAGCAACAACTGTGCTCACAATCATGGCCATACCAACCTCCAAATCCCCTAGCGCAGTCCATCCTAGGAAAGACCCAGGGAGAGCTAAGTCACAGCTATCGATGACAATCCGCTCCAATAGAGTTGTAGTTGATGAACCTGGTGCAGACGAAGTAGACTTGTCTTCTTTCTTTTTCTTCTGCTGGCCACGGCCCTTCGGAGTCCTGGGCCGTATAGCAAAACCAAGCAGCGACTCCAAGAGAGACCGAGTAATAGATATACAGATGGAATAGAACCAGAACTTGTTAGCTTCGATGAGAACTGTGGTGTACCAAGGAACCAGCCAGACGTTCATATCATGAAACTAACATTGCGGGTTAGCATAGCACGTAAGTCATTTTTAATAAAATAGTATTTGGGGACCAAGAGTGGTATCGGAAAGGGCGAAATACAATAGTGAAGTCCTCAAGAAGACAATACATTCCTAAACAACTGAACTCCGCAAGTTCCATGATTGTCAAGATGGACAATTTCGAAGTGTTCTTTCCAACCAGGATATTATAAACACGTTCGAAGCAACCGAAGAAACTACAGAGACGGAAATATCTCCTCCCTGGGCAGTACTGTTACTCTCCAAGTTGTACACACGGACCACAGCGAATTGTCCGAGGATATCCAAGAATGTAAGATATACTCACCTAACGCTAGCTGCGACACAACTATTGAGCATCTCATGGCAGTAGCATTATCAGTACAAACATTGGCCCCTACCTGGGCCAGAGCTTGAATCAGACGAAGAGTCTTTTCTAGACCGGCAGTGGAATTTGTGAAATTAGCCAATCGTTTGGGGAGAGATACCCCTGTATTGGCAGAATGCTCGGCCATTTGTGTGTGTGGTCCAAGATTGGCTTGATGGAAATGCGAAGGTCCAAGTGTTGCTTCACTCCAAAGGGATGGGGGTTGGCATAAGGTACGTGGAGAGTATGTAATTTTCTTGGCACATGTGATAGGGAAGATGAGTTTATTCCTTGGTCCTTAGAATTTTTTTATTTATTTTTTTGGTTGAGAAACAAAGGAAGCCAATTCTCAACAAAAAAAATAAAAAAATAAATAAAAAATAAAAAACGTAAATGAATAACAAAGGAACAGAATATATTACTAGCGTATGCTTCCGAGAGGGGTAATACGACACAATATCTATTCACAAAGAAGGATCGGCGTTAAACCATTTCATCCAACTGAGGGGATACGAGGATGCCTATCTCCGTTCAACCTTGTAACCTTGGAAAGATAGAGTTACGGATACCGGGACGGAAAATGGAGCATGGGGCCAGGAGCGGAGATACTATATCCCACTGCTTTTGGTCTTTATAGTTGTGATATAGTATATAGGTACCTCTCTCTTAATATCCCTCGATTTTCGTTCAAGAGCATTTCTATCGTGTATATATACATCGGTGGCAATTCAGAAACACAACACCCAATCTTGCGAAGAGAGAATAAGAATGGATTCCTCTACGCATTCCAGCAAGCCGGACAACAGGAAGAAAACCTCAGACTCGGTCAATGATCCTGATTATGATGTAGATTTGAAACCGGGCAGCGAGAGCGCTATGCCGGCGGAGCTCATCTCTGCTGGATCTCAACATTTACATCGAAAGCTAGGAGGCAAAGAGATACAGCTGTTTGCTGTGGGAGGAGCTATCGGGACATGTATGAAATCATCCAATACCTCGAAGGGGCCTTCTCAGTCGAACATCCCTATTAAATCAAAATCGCTTCTTCCTATTAAGGCGATGATGCTGATGTTTGCAGCTCTATTTGTTCAGATGGGAGCATCTCTCCCGAAAGGGGGACCAGCCGGGCTATTCTTAGGTTTTGTTGCATATGCGACCCTTATTTATGCAGTCAATGAGTGTTTTGGTGGGTTTATTTTCTATGCCCTCTTTTTCATTGCTTGGAGCATGAAGTATATTAAATGATTGGATTTTTTATAGCGGAGATGGTCACCTATCTCCCCATCCCATCACCATTCGTTCGGCTGGCTGGATTTTGGGTTGATGATGCCTTAAGTTTTGCCATGGGGTGGAACTACTTTTTTCTTATGGGTAGGTTGTACCTAAGCTTTACGTACTCCCATTTTTGCAGCTCATTTCTGTATCTGACCGGATATGGCTTCCACAGCATTTAATATCCCGTACGAAATTACTGCGATCAATGTCCTTCTTACCTACTGGACCGACAAGGTCCCTGTGGCCGCAGTTGTGGTGGTTTGCTTGGTAATTTATGCGTATGTTTAATACGCCCTGTTCCAGTTCTCCAGTAAATAGCAAGAAATACTGACAGGTAGCAAAGAATCTTGAACGGGCTCACGGTTCGCTACTTTGGCATGTCCGAGTTTTACATGTCGATATTCAAAGTCTTCCTCATGCTAGGACTGATGATGTACACTTTTGTCACGATGGTGGGCGGTAATCCACGCAATGACGCTTATGGTTTTCGCTACTGGAAGAACCCTGTATGCAGTCTTCTATCCCCGCTGATGGATAATTCCTACCTTGTTTCTGTTCTATTGTTAATAAGGATACAAGGGATCATTCGTCGAGTACCTCGTTCCTGGTGACGCTGGCCGCTTTTGTGGAGTGCTGTCATGCATGATTCAGGGGTCTTTCACGTAAGTTTTCTCTCGTATCTATCCGTCTCTCATGGGACTCTGTTAATTACTTGCTTATAGTATGGTCGGACCGGAGTATATTTCTATGACAGCCGGCGAGGCAGAAAACCCACGCAAATTGCTTCGAAAGGCTTATTCTTCATTCGTGTGGCGTCTCATGTTCTTCTTTATCGGGGGTGCTCTCTGTGTTGGGATTGTCATTCCATACAATGACGAAATCCTCGCAGGCTATATTGAAGGGAATAAAGAAGGAAGCGGAACTGGTGCTGCGTAAGTTGCTATTCCTCCCTCTGCCTGTGACCTTCTTACTTCGGATTCGATCCATCCAACTGATGTATATAAATAGCTCCCCCTACGTCATTTCGATGGTCAAGTTCGGAATCAAAGGTCTTCCAGATCTAGTTAACGCCCTGATCATGACTTCCGTTCTTTCTGCTGGTAATAATGTTATTTTCTCTGCCGCCCGCACTCTCCACGGCATGGCAATAGATGGCAAAGCTCCTCAATTCTTTGCAAAGTGCAACAAGCTTGGTACCCCGTACTATGCAGTGCTAACAGCGCTGGCTTTCTGCCTCCTCTCTTTACTGCAACTCAGCAAATCGTCAGCGACAGTCCTCGATTGGCTTGTGGGCATCTGCACGGCTTCATACCTGCTCAACTATTTCGGAACGATTGTCACATACCTACATTTTTATGCGTCGCTTCGTCGCCAAGGTATTGATAGGAATACTCTCCCGTATAAAGGATTCCTCCAGCCGTATACCGCCTGGTATGCCCTGTTCGGAACTTTCATAATGACACTGGTATTGGGGTATTCTGTTTTTATCAGAGGAAATTGGAGCACTACAACGTTTTTTACTAATTATACGATGGTCGGTTTCTTTCCTGTCGCGTTTGTGTTTTGGAAGATAGTTCGAAGGACTAAATATGTTCGACCGGGAGAGGCGGATCTTCAACTGGGCAATGTCAAGAGCGATATTGACCTCTACGAGGCAGTTTATGAGCCACCGAAGAGAGGGAAGGTATTGGGGTATTTGAACGGTATTTTTGAGTGATTTTTTCGTTCGTTCTTGTTCAGAGGTCAGATGGGTAGGTTACACAGTTCTGCGTGTGCTGGAGGTATTCTAGGTTTAGAATAGTTAAACACATTCGGTTATGTGATTATTGTAAAATTACTATTAAAGGAGTGTCTCACCAAGTACGCAGACTCACATAAAGGAACAGAACTCATGTATTGCTTGTTCCACGGGATATTCTTAGGAGAGACAGATGTCCACATAGGAAGAAAACAGCCGCCGTATACACTTTGCATTCCACTTATATGATCATATCTGTTCTCACAACGTACCACGCATGACCTGGTTGCTAACAAATTCTAAGCACTTTGAGTTGGGTCCCCAAGAGCAGCAGCTGGCTGGTAATTTCCAAAGTCATACTCCACATCATAATCCTCCTCGTCAATTTCTCCATCAGATAGCTCCACATCTTGAAGATTCTCACCGTCATCTTCCTCATCAGCACTAAACCCATACTCCTCCTTCCGGATCTTCTTCCACGCAGCAATTGTTTGCTTCCGGGTTAGACAGAACGGTAACTTCGACAACGAAACACACCCATCCTCAGTAACCTCAACCGTCTGTCCTATAGAACTAGCAGTATCGGTCGCCTTATCCATCAAAATTATATGAATAAAGAATACCATTCCCTGCTGAGCAACCACCTTCTGTCCTCGTACAAACATCGGGAAATCCATCCAAGTCGGAGAGAAAGTAGCCCCCAAACTATACCCGCAGGAATTGAACCGTTGATCCCGGAATCCATTCTCATCTGCAACTCGAGCATACGCTTCAAACACGTCACCGATTTCCCGCCCGGGTTTTAGAGCTTCCATGCACGCCTTCATTTGCAAAATGTTGACTTTGTGCATTTGTCGAGCTAGCTTCGTGATCCCGCCTATAGGAATAGTGCGCATTAAACACGCATGATAATGCTTATACACAGCCGCGTGTTCCAGGGTAAGCTGTCGCTCGATCTTATCTTTCCCGGTAGAATACCGAGTAAGAACGGCCTTGTTTCCGGACACAAGAATGTTTTCATTTGCTGGGTCATCGCCGCCTCCTTCATAGACGGTCCCGACGATCTCTCGCCATAGATCTCCCTCGTAAGCCCCCGGTTTCGCTAACTTGAGAGTCCGGACGAGTGCAAAATCAGCCAGGTAGGCTGCTTTGCGAACCTTTCGCATCTCGGCCTCGGATTTCACGATTCGCAGCTCGCGGGTAAATAAATCGCTATGATCGACTAAGGTACAAAGCCCGTCCACAGCCTCTTCCAGCAATTTCCCAAGTCGATGAGTCAGGGAACAAGAATCCGGCTCGTATCCGATCCTCTTCGACGGGGAATTGATAGCAAAGTCTTGCAGGACCTTCGGAACCAGGGACACGGGATTACTTCCTGCATCGTCGGATCGGATAAGCACGTCTTTTTGCTCGAGGACGGACGTGTACAGCGCCTGTCGCAGGTCCGGGATTCGAGTAATCAGCCGCATGGAGCCGTCGTTGTGGAAGTACATGGCCTGGAAGAAGACGTAACCGAAAGTATCAAAGCCGGTGAAATAGTACAGCGATTCTTGCTTGGTCATGAGGAAGCCATCGAGGTTCTCTCGTTTCATGAGTTCCAGGGCGCGGTTGCGTCGGGCTTGAAACTCTTCTGCGGAGAAGTAGAGAGCTTTTTGGAAAGGTTGGGGTGTTTTTGTGATGATGGCCATTTTGATTGTAGTTGTAGTTGTTGGTTGATTTGTTCGTTCTCAAGATTGTAGACTATCAGACACTTCATGAAATAGAAGACACGGGAGTTCTTGATATAGAATTTCATCCAACTTGGATAAGGTGGAGTCAAGCTTGATTTCTAATCTACATTGTATCCTTTCTATGGAAATGTTACACACCTATGTATTCCAGTAACATTCTAGCTCCTAAGGGAAATGCGATCCAGACAGATAGAACTAAAATAGCTGTCCACGGTGAACAGTGACTTATCGGCCCAACAGATTTCCCCGCGGGAAAGTGGAGACTATATTCAAATACGGGGTGCATTCGTCCTAAGATACTGTGTTGTCAAACTTAACCACTCATCCATAGTTAGGAATGTTAATGTAAAGGTTTGTGAGATAAGTCTTCCTCCTACTGTCTAATCAGGGTATACAGCTACTCCAATTGAAGCTATAAGTATCAAATGCCGTTCTACAAGTATATCAAGTATGGTATCATATCGAATCGATATCTTTCAACCCGGTAAGAACGAACAGATCTCTAATTACGCACTGCAGCCACGTGTATATCTCCACTTCAAGAGGGGCTTATCTACCCCAACTATGCCGTGCGAATACTAGGGCAATACGGGTGGCTTCGAGACATATCAGCCAACAAAATAAGCTTTGGCTCAAATACGAGCCAGTGGTGGGGCATGAATGATACGAGTCTACCTGCCGATCTTGTTGTATAGAAGCTCTGAGGTACTGATAAGCTGCTGGAGCTCTACTTGTCATTTCTCAGTTAGAGAAATAAAAATAAAAATATGTATAAATAAAAACAGCATAATTACCAGACTACCGTAATACAAGAAAAAACAAGGGAAATCCAGATTGACAATACCGGATTGTATCGAACATATCATCGGGTTACCGGATCTGACCATTCAAGCTCTCGGTGCTAGCTTCCAATCGCAGGCTCCGCATAGGTATGACACAGATGGTTGTATTCGTTGAGCAGGAAACAATGAGAGTTGAAGTAGAAGGCGGGGTAAAGGGCGAGCGGAAGGATTTCAAAGAACACCGCTCCATGGAGAAGCAAGGGGTTGACTCACAACCGCGGTTGAAAACCTTTGCTAGGATTGAATGACGGTGATTGTTTTTAAATTACCGTTTACTTACTTCAGTTTCATATGCTGGCAACAGTTTAATCTAGCGTTGCTGAAATGGACAAACGAAAGAATCAACATGGAAGTCAGAGCCCCATAGAGTCTTGGTTGGTTCGAGGGGCGTTTATCATCGGCCTGGTGGCAATTTTCTTCTCAGTTTCTAGTGAGACACCCGGATCATGGGTTACTGGACGCTTTGGGTTGTTGAGTCCTTCGGGACTAGGCAAGTACACCCCGGACAATCCATCAGGAGTATGCCAACAAGTACAAAACATTTCTCCGAACAACAAACAGGTCGAACAGTTTATTCGAGACACGGTGGAGTCACCAGAATATCATAAGGAAATTATCAACAAACTGACAGGAATCATTCAAATTCCGTCGGAAAGCTACGACGAGCTAGGGGTGATTGGGGAAGATTCCAGATGGGATATATTTTACCAAGTGGAGGACTATATCAAAGCGAACTATCCAACGGTCTTCAAGACAGTCAAGTTAGATCACGCCAACACTCATGGCTTGATCTTCACATGGGAAGGAAGTGTTCCACCATCAGAAGCCAAGCCTATTCTCATGCTTGCGCATCAAGATGTTGTACCTGTGCTAGCTGATACAGTCAAAGATTGGTCTCACCCACCATATGACGGCCACTACGATGGAGAGTTTATCTGGGGCCGAGGTGCTACAGATGACAAGGGTTACTTAATTTCCATCATTGAAAGCGTGGATTTATTGATAAAGAGCGGATTCAAACCAAAACGCACGGTGATCCTTGCCTTTGGATGCGATGAGGAAATCAGTGGCGAAAACTGTGGACGACCCATCTCGAACCTGTTACACAATCGATATGGCGACGATGGTATCTACTTGATTATGGATGAGGGGTCCGTGGGTATACAAAAAGAGTTCAATAGGTCCTTTGCCATGGTCAGCACTGCTGAAAAGGGTTACCTGGATGTTGGCATCAATGTTACATCTACCGGGGGACATGCTTCGAATCCTCCGGATCATAATGTTATTGGTATTCTATCGGAAATTGTGATGACAATTGAAAATAATCCGTTCACTGGGAAAGTCACAAGCAAAAATCCAATGTTTAACTTCTTGGAGTGTGCCGCTGTGCATGCCCCAGAGACTAGCTTCCCAACGGCTGTCGGAAACAAACTCAGCAAAGCGGCACAGGGTGATGGGAAAGCTCAACAACAATTGGCGCAGGTGCTGGATAATATGAGATATTATTTCAGGACCAGTCAGTCTGTGGGTAAGATCAACGGTGGTGTTAAGATAAATGCCATTCCCGAAACAGCGTCAGCAATGGTGAATCTCCGACTTGCTGTTGAGACTTCAGTCGCAGAAGTGCAAGGTCACTATGAGAGCCTAATCAGACCAATTGCCCGGAAGCATGGGATGGTATTTGAGGGGTTTTATTCATCCTCTGATTCTTCAGAGGCACGAAAGATCAAGTTATTTAGCGTTGACGCACTGGAACCAGCACCCGTTTCTCCGATCGATGCTGAATCTTTTCGAGTCTTGTCTGGCACCATCAAAAACACTCTCAAACCATTGGACCAAGATGACGAGCTTATTGTTACTCCATACCTAATGCCAGCCAATACCGACACCAAGTTTTTCTGGGCTTTGACCAAGAATATTTATAGATTTACGCCGATCAACTTGGTTCAGAACCTCAACAGAGCGCATACTACGAACGAATTCATTAGAGCGGACGAGTTTGTACGGGAGCCACTCTTTTTCGCTAGTCTGATTTTGAATGCGGATGATACTGTGGGACAGTAATAGCCTGGTTACTAAACGTACTAGCATATTTGTTATATAGAATACTATTTGGTTAGTTGTTATCAGCAAATACCATATATCTCACGAAAATTACATTTTAGCACCTGCCCAGATCACTAGAGAGCATTGGAAAAAGAATTATCAGTTTGTTTTGGTCCTGGAATTTTACCCTGAATTATTTTTCAGTACATAGTATATATTTCTTCCGCTTAATGCTCCTGGTTGTAAGACAGTATAAACTTAGGGAAACCTAAGTTTATACGACTCGGCCAAAAGATTATGCATACATTTGTTAGATCTTTCTTGAATTATATCTCAACATTATGAAAGCGATCATGTCGTGGAAGTCTGACTATATTTTATACTATTCCTTGAGACGGAAAGCAAAATGTAAATGCGAATTACAGTGCTGAATTGTTACTTGAAAGTTTAGTAGTTTTACAATTTGATCGGATATAGAGGCACTTATATTTATATTCCTGGATAAATTAACTACAGTTCTTGAAAGTAACAAGTTAATAGAAGGAATATACACCTAAAGAGTCCCAATATCAATGATAATATTCATCGCCTTTTCCTGAGCTGCCGCTTTACAAGTATCATACACTTTGAGACCATCGTGGAATGGAAACACTACCATGAATCAGTAACTGGCCATCTATTAAAGAGTACAGCATTTGCCATACCATGGGTAATTAATGGCGATGCATCAATCAAACCAGAGTGGAAATGTCGTAGTAGCAACTCCACCGCTGTTGCGCCGACCAGCGACGCCTTAATCGCTGCCCTATTTAGCCTCACATCCATAAAGAATGCAAGGGGCAGGTATTAACCCACTGATATCATGGCTCCAAAATCTTCTCCATACGTAAGTCAAGCTTCTTCCCATGTACGCTAACCGAGTCAAACCTGTGCCCATCCGTTGGCGCTGTAAGCCTGTTCAATGCATCCACCCGCGCCGAATTGACAATCTCATGCGCGCGGAACCTCTTCGCAATCTCTAGACGTGCATCATTCTTGTCGACTGCCACAATTAACAAGGGCGAGTACAGTCTCGCTGTCATAATCGCCGCCATACTGACAGTCCCAGAGTCCCAGCCCCGATAACTGCCAATATACTACAAAGCTGCAGGTTTGAATTAAGCACACCACATTCCAGAGCCGTTCGGAAAAGCATCCGAGAGAACGACAGCCGTACGTGAATCTAGATCCGGCGGGGATTTGAATAAAGCGGATGTGGCATGGAGAACACGCACATACTCGGCCTGCGTACCGTCGATGTTAACTTATTGCCGAGGATCCATCCTCCATATGAGCAATGAGAACAGCATCCCTTGCGACAAGGCTCGCATACTCCGCAGGCTGAAACGCAGGAGACGAACTTTGTCTCCGGATGTTAGCCCTCGACTGCAGAGCCGGTTGAGTCGATCTCACCCACTGCCTCGTGGCCGAGAATACGCCCGGGTTCTACCGTTGGGACATCGTCCTTGAGGATATACAGATCTGTGCCGCAGATAGAGGAGTGCAATACAAGTACAATTGCGTCATTGGGATTCACAAGGTTGGTTTGGGACGCTCCTCGAGTTCGAGATTCTGAGGGCCATTGTACACGAGAAAATTTCATCGTGGGATTGAAAGTCACGGTGCTGTATAGATTCTTGGACAAAGTGTTGGCTTGGGGTACTGACTGAAATAGCAAACAAAAACAGTTTTGTCTGGCCTAAGGAACTCCACCATGTAAGGAATGATTCAGGAAGCTGCGTGGCACCTAGAAGGTCATTCCCACGGTTTCCGATCCTTAATGTGAAAATGCTAGCTATATCCAGGACGTTATCCCAACTGCAAAAACAATTAGGGTTGTTTAATGTTCTATATAGTTCCTTTTATCGCTATCCTAAATTCCAGTAAAAATATAATGTTGACCATACATTCGTACTCAATATTTATGCCTCACGTATTATTATTTCCGTTGGGTCTGACAAAAGTGAAATTCAGCTGCTGATGGACCCAGACAATGACGTCTACACTTCTTCGGCTTCATACTATGTGATGGCGCGGGTAGAGAATAGACCCAATTTGCAGAGGAGTTCTGCATTTATGTGGTCATTTCATCAGCCTCCAGTAGACAAAAGTAAATATACAAATATTGTTATTTTCTCAGAGGAGCTATTTGTTTATTTAATAATACATTCCAGATATTCAGGTCCTTATTAAGCACTCTAGGGTGTGGGCGCTAAGGTTCTTACATAGTATTTAAGGTACGATCCACGGAGATGAAACAGATTCCAGGGATAAATAATTTAAATTCATCTAACAAATATACTTGGGTCTGGGGAGTCGACCTGTTTGACTTTGGCAAGTTATTAAATAAAAGGAATATATATTTTATCCCGAAACCCAGTAACAGAACCTAGGTAATGAATACACAGTAATTAATCACCGCAGGCTTTTAACACAAATCTTATAGCTTTTCGGCTTTAATTAACTTCTTAAGTAAGAGGGTGCTAGCTATCGTTTTCTAGTATTTCTAGCATTATTTCTTTACACTACGGTCTTTAAAATTCACCATCCTGCACCATTTTCACGGGAAGTTGTCGGATTATTTATGAAAGGTCTGAATTGATTGCATTTAGAAGGATTATTTGCCCTCCTTTTATGAGGGATATAGCGGTACACTCTGTGGTACAGGCTATGTTATCTCACATGATGTCCCAAACTAGGGCTAGCTTATTCTGACAGAGGTCTAAATTAAGCAGCAAAATGTCAGATATACGGCTAGTCCTGAAGAGGAAATAGAGTACGATTGGTAAAAAGGTCTTATTTGAATGAATTGAGCTGGTTGGGATCTTCTTTTTCTTCTCTTCTTGGTTATTCGTGATGATTATTTTGTTGTGTGCTCCGAGGGGTTTTTACCCCGATCTAGTCACTTGATTCTGTCCACCAACGGACATATTATTTGACACAAAAGAGTTTACATTAACCTTATCCAAGTTCCAGAATTGTTAGGAGCCCTCAGAAGCGCGGTAGCTAGATCCTTAGCTAAGATACTTAGTTAGGTGAAGTGTTTATATTCACGCCCTCGAGCCTAAACTCTTGAAGCCAGCGAGTGGTGTAAATAACTGCTAGTTATTCTGCATAGGAAAATTAACAAAATTAGCAGAAAATAAGTCCACTACACTACAGCCAACATCAAACAATCAAAAATGCGGAGCAACAAAACTCAAGAGCTGGCACCACTAAAACACACAGGTCGGGTGTACAAACCATCATCCTCAGAACCAATCCCAACCACTCCATTTAACAGTTATACTCCATCTTGAACCCAAGATCCTTCTGCCCACCAACTGAATTCGTAAAATCAACGCCCATCTCACCAGTCTGCCAATTACTCAACTCAACCAAGAAACTCATAGTCTCAGAACAGGTATTACTAGCTAGCCTGGTGAGCTGAGACTTAGAGGTTAATCCAGTCGGGAACCTAGTCGTGGCAACCATCTGGCTCTTCGCGGGCTGATTATTCCACGTTGGCGGCGACAACCTCGGCGCAGTGCTCCAGACGTCTGCTTGGACGGTGTCCCCAGGACCGCTGGCAATCTGGTTATTCTCTGTGAGTTGTGGGATAGCCAGCTCGAGGGTGCAGCCCGTGGAACCCCGCGGGATGTTGAAGGTGACCAATGACGTTTTCATGTTTTGGGGAGGTGATATCTGGCGCTCGAGGGTGAATTGTTGGCCTGGGGAGGGTGTATTCGGTGATGATAGGCTGAGGACGTCAATCACGGTAGGAGCTATGGTGGTGCAGGCTCTTGGGACCAGGTCGATGGGGGTTGGGAAGCTGGTTGCTGCTGCAATGAGCAAAGAAATCGATGCGATGAGCTTGTTCATTTTGATGGTGCTGAGGATGGATAGATGTTGAATGACTTAGTAAGAATATTTTGAATAATCTAGAAGAATGAGGACGAACGGAAGAACGAGGGATAAGGCAGGTTTTTTATACCTCTCTCTACCGATGAAGAACACAGCTGACATCAATACCAAAGCAAGTCAACAGCTATATTTTCAGACAAAATAGAATGACGTATCATTTTCACACAATAGCATGTATCATGGCGTATAAGAGGCTGCGACGATAATACATGTCAGCCAATTCCTATATTCACTCCATCCTGTACCGAACGAGTACACGAATCGGAGAATATTGGCCAAAGAGCACACGCAACCGGCAAAGCATGACTCGAAACTGGATACCTCTTCTGACTGATCCCTAGGATCAATCAGTGCAGAGTACATGTCTTGATATGCTTGGTCGAGTTTATAAGATGTCTCACGTTACACAACATGAAAGGTCATGGCCACGATATACGTGAACACAAGAACGACGGCCTAGAAGAAGTCAGACGTTGTGACACATATCATAACACAGTGTATACATAAATAGGATTGGTTCGTGTAGTGCAAATTCAGAGTTATGCTTGCGTGGCTAAGACGTGCTTGAGGGATCTAATCGTCTGTGATGCTACCGCTGATGCATATGGGCTCCTTGCAGTTTAGGTAGGACAGAACTCAATTTAGTCTTGGCGCAGATGAAATGACCAAGTCTAGGGTTCCATGGGCATCGTTTCATTGTGAAATGTCATTGCATTGTATACTATCTATTTGATACTTTTGTCTAAAAAATAGTAACGTACAGTTTTATTATTTAAAGGGAGACAGCAGGAGGGCCACCTGTCAGGAAGAGACAGGTGGAGTCTTCTACGGGCTGGCTAATATTGAGCGGATGACTTGCCCGCGACCTTGGGCCTCCTCCGTGGTGAGAAACTGCTTCAAAACCTCGTGGTCACCTTGACCCTCTATCCTGACAAATGCCAATGCCGAATCCAGGTCACTTGCATGAGCCCAGAGACGGCCTTCGTCCCTGAACCCAGATCGGGCGATGACGGCATGTATGATCGTCGGAGATAGTGGCTGGGTTGGTCCATTCCAATCCGGATTCCCCAGATGCTCTCAGCCGTCGATTCCGACTGGTGAAAGGGCAACAAAGGCCTGACCATTGATTGTCGATGAACCCCCGAGCACACAGCCAGCCGAGTAATCTTGGGTGCGATGGCCTGAGACCCTTCTGTTCAAGAAAGGGTTAGAGTAAATAGTGTGTTCGCCCAGCCAGCGCTTCTCCCTTATCCCCTCTGGCAGTCACCTGGGGCTCCAGCTTCAATTGCCAGTCTAGCTCCGTGCCCGTTAAGCTAGGTCAGGCCATGGGGTTCTGGATGTGAGGATTCGTCATTCGGTCCTGACCTCTTTCCAGGTCTATCATTTTCACAGATGGATCCTCTGGCAGTCGGTTTGCTACACGAGACCATCCGTGCCGCCTCCGACAATTACATAGTCAGCAGCTTCTGGGACGGGAGTAGCGGAAGAGGTCAAATTATCTATTAACAAATGGAAGAATGATAGAGAAGTTATTGTTTCAACGGACGTTTAGATATCAGACATCCACATGTTTTTATAAGTTCATACTAAACTGGCGGTGACGGCATGGGATAATGACCAACAGTAGTAGTGATGAAATAAATGCTTTTTCTTTATCTCGTGATATTTGGGTCAGCTGGTCCGCAATCTTGTTGAGAAAGTTAGCTTTGGAAGTGTTGTTCTTCGTTACATAGAAGTGGGAATTGTGTCAACCATATGGATGACTGAATTAGCTCGGCCTTGCCGTAATTGTAATAACTAACTAGATAGTTAACTGAACCTTTTATCTTTTACATAAGCCCAAAGAACCATAGTTATGTCTTTCCTGCTTTAGCTGAGCTTCTGCACGCGGGTCGACGGTAAAAGAGACAGCATCATAAGATTGACATAATTGCTTAGGGTTAAAGCGCTCAATTCGAGCTGGGGTTAGTCCCTGGTCGCAAATTTAACTAGGGACTAATCATTTTTCTTCTTGTCGTTGGAGATTATGTTACTAAGTGTTTTACCCCAGTAGGTGTGCATGGGGCAGCAGGCATCCGTCGACTGCTAATCCTTGGTAGGCCAAGCAGCAGCCTTCCCTGTGCAGCAGCCTACGTTCCTCAAGGGCGGGCCTTGCCGGGATTCTAGGGCTCGTGCCACGCGCCGACTCTTCCCGCGGGCCTCCTAGCCACGGGGCCGAACTGGGAGGTCGCCCGGGGAGAGGTTGTAATGGAGGAGGAGGTGGTACTGGTAACTCGAGGGGCCGGATTCGAGGTTCCCAAAAAGCATTGGTCCTAGCTGGTGCCCGTGGTAGCCTGTCCCTCACTCCGGGAAGCTCGGGAATAGTATAAGAAGGCCTCCATACAGCCTTCCCCGACACGGCCTGCGTCTTGCAAGACCACCTGGACCGTGGTCCGAGAGTAGTGTAGTCTTGACCTTTTAACCCTTTCGCGTTTAGGATCTCGGCTTGTCCTATAGGTCAAGCAGCCGGTGAAAGTATTAGGTGACTGTCTTATTTTAGCGCTAAGCCACGGATTGAAGTGCGCGGTCGTCGGAGAGCTAAACACCTACATAGTGCTCCACGTTCCCTATAAAATCATCCACCAACTTGACCTTCATGGATGGAGGTGAGTTCACAGGTTCGAGGTGAACTGTATCCTTCTTGGAGATTGCGTTGGTACCACAGAGTAACCCGATGATTAAGGGGGCTGTCCATGCTGTTGAGAAGGGATGCTAGTAGCGTCTTCTGAACGATCTTATATGGAATATCATGCAGGAAGGGAAGCAAAGTTGATGCAAACTTACGTAATACATTGGTTACTGTTGTTGTCCACTGCCTGTTTCCCCCTTATATACCTCAGAGAAGAATGTGTAGTCAGATTCCGGCATCCAGATCTTGGTTCGAGTTACCTGTCTTCTGACCTTGTACTAGAGGCTTAACATAAGCGTCCTTGGTAAAGCGTCCACCAGCATAATTGAAGAATTAATAGCTACAACCATGTAATATTTGATTGGCCCGGTCAAGTAACACAGATAGTTGATATGGTTTGGATTTTACCAGTATATGCCTGGTAATATTACAGGGTGTGCGAGGTATTTAGCAGAAGGTATGTACTAAGAAAAAGTCTTAGTAGAAGCTCCACACTAACCCCAGTAGACGCTAAATCATTAAAGGTATCCCCTTGGCTGGCAGCGCTAGTCGTCGTTAGCGTCCTTTTTCTGCCGCAAATGACACGCCCGCTTCATCTAACACCACATACCGTAGAATTGAATGAAATATAAATATTTAAGCTATCTATGAACAATTTACATCCTTCTCACCTAAAGGGGGTCGTGGTGTATGAAAATCAGCCCAACATGACCTTATGTCAGGCCTGCATAAGGGAATTCTGCAGGTCTTGCAGCAATATACTGTGTGGAATTGCTTTGGAATAGTATGACCTCGAGCCTTTGCTCTTTGAACCCGTACAACACATAAATGGCACCATTTGCGAGGGTGAATCCTCTCAACCTGATGATCACCTTCATCTAATGGTTGAACTGAGCTATGTTTTCGCTTTCGTTGAAGTAATTCCTCTGATCCTTGCTTAAATAGCTCCCTGTACAGACCTTTTCGAAATTCAAGATGAGTGATCTCCTTCATACCTTGCTGTCTGCGGGCCATCTTAGCAATGCAATAAGCATTAATAATAGCTATGTCAAGTATCCAAAAGAATATAGGCCACCATGAGCGTAAACATCTTTGATGAGTTTCATAGCTTGCACGTAGTTGATTTGCACGATCCACCCCTCCCATATGATAGTTGTAATCATCAATAATCCGGGGTATTGGAAGTTCCTTGGTAGGCTGATCACCAAATGGCTGACGGGCAACTTTTGCACTGGTTGAGGTCTTAGCAGGGCGTTTGCGCAAGCGAGGAATCCAATCAGTTGGCTTGTGTACAGTATGTACAGTTGATAATGCAGTAACAATATTATACACGCCATGCAATACACAACACAGAATCAGTATCAGAGTCAACACCTGCAGGAGCTGCATATAAAGTATTCCATGGTTGAGGCTTTTTTTGAATCCTTTAGCATACAAAGGGCCTTTGGAAATAGCTTTTTAGATGCATTTGGTCGGGTAGTTCCACAAGCACCAATCCCAAGCTGCCGAAGATAATTGAATAAAGGAATAGTTGAAAAGTAGTTGTCCATATAGATTGTGTAGTTATTATGTTGAGATGGCAGACCTTCTTGTGCAAGTTGAACAACCATAGATCCAGTAAGAGTTAAATTCTCAATATCATGCTTTTTAACCTCCACAAGGGACTTGTGACGGCTTGCCCATATCCAGTATAGAATATAGCCTTGATCTACAATGGCAAAGAGCTTATATCCTTGCTTAATTGGCTTATTTGGCATCTTAAAGGTATGACAAGAACGCCCAAAGCCGCGAATCATTGTCTCATCTATAGAGACTGCATTTGAAGGCTTCCAGTGCTGTAAACAGGCTGTGCGAAGCCTAGCTGCAAAAGGCTCTAGCTTATACCACCACATCTGATTTGGCTTAAGATTAAGCCTTATAGCCTCTTGTACAGCAGCCTCAGGATCAGGATCTGCAACGTGGAAGTATCGCTTGATTTGCTGAAATCGTTTTAACCCCATAAATCTTCGAGGCATATGGAATGGCTCCTCGCTAGTCTGCCAGTAATCCTCATCACTAGGAGATATATGGACTCCCATATAAATTAGGATTGCAAGAAAGATCTGAATCTCTGAAACTGTAGTGTTATGCCATTCTCTCCCAGATTCGCCAGCGTTCTTAGCCTTTGCATATTTGTTGGTATTGGATGACAATAATGCAATTAATTCTTGGGAGATAAACAAGGAGAATAGACTGTATGAGCTTTCAATATCAACCCCAGGTGGTAATTGTACTAGAGGAGGGAAAGGCTCAGCCATTTTAAGAGGCTTGAACTTGACATCTTGGTATTGAGGTATTTCATGAAGAATCTCTGCTAGATTAAGCTTTGCAGCATTTTCTTCTTCCTTCTTAGAAATAGGAGGAGGAGATACAGAGGCATTAGATGGAGCCACAGAGGAGCTATATAATAAAGGCTCTTCTGCCTCATCTAGAGGCAGACCCCATAAATCCATTATACACAAAAATGCATTGGTATGAATAGGAGGTGCGTGGGAATTTAGATAAATAAGGCTATTCCCAAGTAGGAAGAAAGCGGTGAAAGCTAACTGACCAATAAAACTACACATAACAAAATTACCGCTAACGACGACTAGCGCTGCCAGCCAAGGGGATAGAAGTGAAGATCAATTGGCAAAGATCAGCGGCCAGCTTTACCGCTGTTACGCGAACCAACCTATCAATGCACTGTTACGTGGGGGCCGTTTTGGCCTTGGTGACTCACTCAAAGCGGCGAGAGAATGGGAGCCGATTTCCTACTCATCAATCGCACCCGCATAACTCTAGCCTCATTCGTGCTTTTCCCGAATGAGCATGTCAACTCGATTGCTGATCTTCGGTTGTGCCACGATATTATAAGTCTGTCCGTTCGGGGTCGAGCGAAGAAGACAGCGCAGGAGAAAATTCGTGATGACTGCTGACGGGTGGTGCGCCGGGGGGGGAGGGGGAAGTACAAGAATCCAGGCTGGTTGGCGACCCAACATCCCTTGTAAAGTTATAGGATATAATTACGCAAGAACCTTGTTGGTTAAAGTCGGGGAAAATGCCGAAAGATACATAATCAACGGACTCGTAGAATAGTTTCGTGTCCTAGTATTTGCCTCCTTTAATCCTAAATGCGTGAAGACAGAATCTTCTGAATGGGCCGTCAGGCATTTCTATAAGCAGTATCCGGATAGAAATAGTAATTGTTAGAAGTGATTGTAGAAAGTGTCGCTCTGGATTTATTTTCTACTCCACAGGCTAACTTGCATCAGTACGAAAACAAGAAGAGTAGATAAACTGAGTTCTAGAGGCAGTCTTTCTAATTATTGTGTAAATAAATGAGCGTAATCCGATTTACAATGTTCCACTATTCCAGTCGCAGAGAATATTAAAACAATAGGATTGTTCCTGCTTTCCACTGCTCACAGGGTAAACCATTGATTGAAGACGTTGTTCGGGTCCACTTGGACCTTGATGGATCTCAGGCGGTCGAGATTCTCACCGTAGATGGCTGAAAGGTCCTCATCGCCATGGGCAAAATTAATGTACCTGCATACGGGGTTAGCCAAGCTGCTCACGAGGAATCCCGATGATGATGAGGGAAGAAGAGAAAAAAGAAGAAGACAGGAGAAAAAGACTGGTAGGTAGAAGGGAATGCATACGCAGCCGGAGAATCAAGACCGTCTGTGGACCGCCACAAGTCACGAAGTTTAGAACCGAAGGCCTTTGCCTCCGACTCCAGGCCCGAGTCATAGTACCATGGGATGGCCACAGCGTTGAAGTTGACCTTGTTGCGCCAGGCAAATGCAGATGACGACTGAAGAAAAGACCGACTTTTCTCCAAGGAGTACGCCTCCATAATCACTATGCTCTGGCCGGCGCCTTTTATCGCAACGAACTTGACGTACTCATCCCAGGCGGCCTTCCAAGTGGTGGAATCCATTTTGGTGAGGCCGGCAGTGTATGCCGGCTTGTACCCACCTTTGGTACAAAAGCCCTCCGCTCCATCATTCCAGTGGGCATACTGGAGTTCGCTCGTAGTGTCATCCGTCGGACCAAGATCAAGAAGGGGCTTGAATGCAGCCCTGGCCTCTTTCTCCCGACCGTAGTAGAACGGCGTAAGTGCAATCATGGGTGAATAGTTTGGAGCACCACTAGTTATAAAATACATAAAGATACTCATCTCCGGTGCCAAGGTGAGATTGTCAATTGCTTTTACCACGTCCTCGATCTTGTCTCCAGAGTAGATGAGTTGACCAAACCAGGCGATTTGTTTATCTGACGAGACAGGGAACGACTTCAGGATCGCTGAAGTGACAATGCCAAAGTTAGGACCAGCACCGCGAAGCGCCCACCAGAGATCTTCATCCTTGGGTGTGATCGTGTGAATCTTTCCATCAGCCAGAACCACGTTCAGTGACAGCATATTGTCGACCGCGAGGCCATACAGACCCTGCAGGTTGCCATATCCACCGCCAAGACCAGCGCCCAAGACCCCGACGCAAGGGCAGTTACCCGTGTGGACGAGAGCCATGTTCTGGAATGCAGCTATAGTAAGCTCGGAGATCAAGACCCCGCCTCCAATAGTGACTTGCGTCTTGTCGCAGTTGAACGACACCGAGTTTAACTTCCTCATGTTGATTATTATTCCATTTTGCTTGAGGTGGAATTCAGACCATCCATGTGCGCCAGTCTGCGCGAGGAACGGGATGTTCTTTGACGTTGCAAATTCGACCTGTTCACATTGAATAAATGGTTAGTAGGGGAAATGTTCCACCCCCCTGCAACGTCTTTCCTTCTCCTTCCCACCTTCAGGAAAAGAGAAGGAAGGCCAGAGAAAGCGGTGGTAAGTGATATTGACTCTGTTTAGCACGCACTGTTTTTGCAACATCCTCCTCAGTGGCTGGAGTCACCACGACTCCGGGGGCGGGAGCCTCATAGCTGCTCCAACGCGGGTACGCGGTGGTATTCCCATCAACTATGACAGCTGAATGGGACAGGAGAGGCCCCAGTTCTCTGGAGACCTCTACCTGCGACAACGTCGAGACTGTCTGTCTGAACATGGACTGCATTATCGCGAGTACAGCCGGGATGGCGATCATTTGTGCCAACAGAAGAAGACCGGATCTCAATAAATAATCATCCTCTCAGGCAAAAATCCCTGCAGGCAGCCTCGTGGGAGCTTACTACAGGAAAAAATCGGAGGTTACTGTTGCACCCTGGCCACAATAAGGAAGAAATATATCCTGGCCAGGTCCTTTAGTCCCTTAAGTGGAGAGCATACTAGACTCATTGTTCTATTAAAATATGACTATTCCTAAGGCCTAAGCTTGGTTAGGGATCAGGCCACGGTGCAGGGTCTTGTATTTTATACTGTATTGTGTGTAAAGGGCTGGGGCCCGTTTGACCACTCGGGCCAATACCCCTATTGTCCCTATTGTTCCTATTGTCCCTATTGCCTATACTGCCCCTTTTGGCCCCATTGGCCCTCGATCCACGTCACGTGACATTCCGCCCTGTTTGTTTGCTGCTCATTTCCCTCTTTCTTTCTTCCCTTCCCTTCTTCAACGATTCCTTTTTGTAATAACCTATCCCATGGGTTCTACGGGTTCAGCCCCTGACATTGTGTTCTATTTATTATACAATATGCAATTTGCACCCCGTAAACCAGAAGGCGTATTTGATCCGGTTTGTGAGTCCATAAAACAGGATACCATCCCCGAGCGACATCCCTTCTAGTACGCCGTGTAATACATTGGCACCGTGTACGGATTTCTACATTTAATGACCTCTCTGCTCCTCTAGGGGGGGAGCCACAATATTGTAGACACGCGTGGAGCGGTTGGAATGGGATCAGTGACCCCAGCGGCAGCGTGCAAACCAGCAAACCAGGGAGCTGAATCCATATTGAAGACTGGAAGGGATCCGCTCCGCCTGATTAATCTCGATATGAATGGCCAATCTATTATGGCATGAATGAGGGGCCAGGATATTCAGTTGGACCCCACCCAATTCGGCCCGTCGTCCCGGACCACTCAGATCGGACGAACATGGGTCCGCCAAGGCTTGGATTGACTTCTGTCAGATATACGGCTAGTCCCGAAGAGGAAATAGAGTACGATTGGTAAAAAGGTCTTATTTGAAGGAATTGAGCTGGTTGGGCTCTTCTTGATTATTCTTCTTGGTTATTCTTGATGATTATTCTCTTGTGTGCTCCGCGGGGGGTTTTACACCGATGTAGTCACATGATTCTGGTCCACCAATGGCCATATTATTACAACTTCCCAATTAGGACGGCCCATTCCGAGCCTTGGAGGACCCATGTTCATCCGATCTGTGGTCGTTTCAGTGCGGGTATTGTATTATACTACCCATACGTGGCGGCCTGGGTGTACCCAGCTTGATCAAGCTCAACGTGAAGAATGAATGCTTATTGGCTAAAATCGTCACTATTGATGGAATGCATATAGACGGCTGTCTCGCAGATATTCGCTGATAATCCCCGGTTCCCTATTCCTACAGGACGATGTCCGTTCCACACTCTCGCAAGGTACCCTTTGCTGGTCGCAGCTGACAGTCAACATGGAGGTAGACAATTATTGGAAGGGCCAGACGATAGCGCTGGGAATTACTTCTTGATTCTCCCATGCGTCTTTGTCTGATTCTGGGCAAAATAGATTGCACGGGGCGGTTTGAAGTGGGATGACATTTTTCGCATAACTTGCGCACTGGTAAGGCGCTTAAAGCGATATTCAATCTCATCTGAAGTATTCAACCGACTTAAAATCCAGAACTGTTGCAATCAGCATTACCCGTCTGGCCTCATACTTCCATGTCGGAAGCACCTACCTCGAGTACGCCAGTGACGAGACATGTACGTGGCCCGAGGTCTTCGCTTGTTGATGTGGCAGATGTCTAGTGGTCAGCTCTTTATAACTTATATACTTCGTCGGTAATTTTCTAGATCAACGTTGAGATCTCGCTCACGAAAGGCCGTACTTTCAACCATTGGCGAATGGTTACAATGTGTCCAGAACCCAACGGGTAAGATTTTGTCCACACCTTTGTGTCAAGAGATAGCTGTCCCTGATATTTGTTTTACGGGTCTCCATAATGTGTAGAAAATATTTTCAGCCTCCTTCCATTGGCCTTCGTCATTACCGGTGCCAACACCTACCTTCCTTCTGGCGCGCCAATTGCAATGGTACAGGAACGCATTTCTCCCTCCCAGAGCTTACGCTATCCTCCACCGGAAGCTACAACCCGTCCGGGAGCCGTGGCTAGTACTACCGGGGCGAGCAAGATAGTGCCTAGGAAGTCTACCCGGGGCCCTGGAGTCGAAGACATTCCGGTAGGTTTCGTGGAATAGTTAGCAAGAGCGGAGTCCAGCCATGTAACGAGTGAAGTTGCTCTCATTAGAGCCTTCGAAAATGATGTGGCGGCGATAATAAGGGCTACTTTACCCGAGACACTAGGCAGCCTGCACTGATAATATCAATCAATCAATCCCCCAGGGTCTCAGAGTCCGCTCGAAGTGATGAACATATCTCATCAACCAATAACATCTCCTCCTCTACTGGTACATCCAAGGCGCCTGCTTGCCAACATATTGCGCACATGAAACGGCCCCCCTTAGCAGTGATAGAGTTAAACACTAGCGGCACATATAGAACATTTGCGGGCTGCACGAAAATCATTCTGCTAATCTTGCACTTATGATTTGCACCGTCAGCAGTGTCACCGAAGGCAAGTAAATTGCTCACTTCGTATGAGCAATCCCGCCGATACCCAATCTTCGCCAGTGTCCAATTTCTTATGCTAGGGACGTATCTTAACAGGCTAATTGCTTGGTCATGCAGCCTCGTGGCGCATTCAGCGAGTTTATTGGTCATCGAGCTCGCAGCTGCTCACATCTCATCCGACAACTCTGGCCGCGCTACGTGAAGCAGACGTGGATGTCTCTCGTAATAGCTAGACACGAAAAGACCCCAAGTGAAGCCTGGCGTGCCAATCGAACCCCGTATATCAACAGCCGTCCCCGAGACGAAATTGGTTATGTCACTGTTGGGAATGGCTTTGCTTAACGCCCGAATGGTCAGCTGGTGCACTATCGCGGTAAGTTTGGCGTTATGTTTTCTCGACATCTGCAACGCCTTTCGTAACAGTGGAGCCTTGATCTCCAGGAGCCTCGCTCTGCTGTTCAGACGCCTGCTCGAAGAACATACGTGAGCCAGTCCAAGTATGGGCATCGACTGTGCTCGCGGCTGCACGGAGCCCGACGATTTCGGCTAAAAACTTTGGCAAGTATACAGCTATCAGAGTCTCACTCTGGAGTCATACGGCAACGTCATAGATAGAACGAAGATTCGCCAAGGTGGTATATCAGCAGGCCATGGCCGGTCGAGTATTGGTAGCAGGATCCTTTGAAACGTTACCGCCTCTACATCACTACTGATACCGTTGTCGTAAATTATAGAGATATGGTTGTCAAAAGTTATACTCGAAACCCCTTCGTAGGCTGGCTTTTCGGTATGCTTGTCCTGACGACCACGCTCAGGTTTGGGTGCTTCAGGATGCAGTATTTCAGAGGTAGAATGAAGGACTGAGAGGAATTAGCATCTATATCTTTACTTACGACCTCGTAAGCTGCTGCTATGACGAGCGCGTTGTAGAAACTGAGGTCTTCGCGACTAATTGTGTGGCGTTCATTGGGACCTACTTTCTACTTAACGCTACGGATGTGCTCCTCACTCATACCTAAAGAGTCGTCACCAACTGGCGATTCTCATGAACATTTTGGCTCCGACCTCTGTGGTAGACTTGGTGACCACATGTGCTGCTAAAGCACGAATATGTTTGACTTTCGAGCCCTACAATATGAGATTCCGAGATTAATAGATAGCTGCATGAATAGGGGTAAAATTGGGGGCTATAACTATGAACCAAACCCTGACTACTTAGACCACCCACTGTTGCCTAACCGGGTAATCCACTAGCACTGTTATAGGCTCATTCCCAACTCATTCTTTATCTCTAGCGATAAATTCTGCTACTTCTGGATGTAAGTGGTGATTGCGAAGGTGCAAAAGGACGAGAGCACGCACTCTAATTGTTTAACTGCATTGAAAAGCGAATGTAGGCACTGTTTCTCGTTGTTTGCCCAAGGTCTGATTCGACTCGCTTCCATGCTGAAAGAGGGTACTGCGAGTCAAAAGCCTAAATAATCTCTTGTCTTTACCAATGTCTTCCTAGACATTGGATATAATCTCCATCCCGGAGTCGCACATCCTCTGCTGGAAATAAAAGAATTTCCCTGACTGAATCTGGACGTTCCCCTCTACCATAAACACTGATTTGGACCCGATGCCCTTTACCCCTATATACCCCTGCACACCTGCCTTGGAGCTCTTTCCAATAAAGGTCCTTGCATAGCCTAGATGATTTATTACCATAAAAGCTTTTTATATATAAAAGGCCATACGTTATCTTAGAGGACCCGATCATTTGGTCCTTTTTTCACATAGCTAATTCAACCTTCGTCGCACCTCTGGAGCCATTTGACCGAGTATATCTTCGCCAAGGTATCCATGTTCTTCTGCGATGCTCTTGACTAGCTGACCAGGTGCAATTGCGGTTAATGAAAGGCGCGGAAGACGGGGCATAGCTGGGGTATCATCAATAACCATGAAGTTAGTTAGAACATCTCAGGTTTACCCCAAATGTGACCACCAGCAAGAGAAGAGTAGTCTGTGCTAAATAGGGGATTTAAGACTGTGGAAGGTTGAGGGAAATCACTTGGGCTTCGCTTGAGAGTGACTATCGTATATGCGACCTTTGTAGTTGTTGGTGAATACCTAGTCTAGGAGGCGCTAACAGGGCAATTTCTAGAGTTGCATACCCACACATTAAGGGCAGTAGGAACCCAGCCCTCGAGCCACTGGACGCGCCGCTCATGTCATGCCTTGATGGCTGGTTTGTGGAAGATCAGTCTAGCGCACTACTTTGCACTCAATTCCTCAATAAACTCATACCGGACCAATGAAAGACACTTCGCGACCATCCAACTCACTTCAAAAGAAAACTCATCACTAGTCACCATTTCCACAGCTGTGAAAAGCTCGGGGCCGGAATTTCAATGGCCACATTGCACACTCATGCCGCGACAACATCAGTATTCACTTACCAGTGACTGCGACTGAAAAGTTATCGTAAAAAAGTTTCAGTAGGTGATTAAATGCCCTTACATATTTAGTGATTGAGTCCTTATCACAAGGAATGTTTCCAATACCAAGAAGTGCCGTGGTAAACTTCTACCTCAATAATCCTGTATCATAAGTCGTTTCTATTCCAGGGCCTAGGACATTATAGCTGCACTCAGTAGATTCAATGGATGAGATACGAAGGCAATAATTGAGCAAGATAATGACCAATGTCAATCGACTTGTATTTATGATGTACAAAAGAACACTGGACAATAAATCATCAACCCGCAGCCTAGTCACAGAACTAGGGAAACAATGTAGTGGGTCCTGCGCCGACCAGATATTGGGCTTTTGTGAACATACAGTCCCTTATTTAAGCTTCTCACCTGCCTTTCCCATGGTCTCAATCAGTCTACTCCTGATATGCTCACCGACAATTGTCTCGACCCCCGAGCCGTCAAGAGCAGTGCATTTCAACTGCAGCTGCCCATTCAGGAAGAAGGGTACGCTGTACCTATGCTTTTCGGTGAAGGTCACCACGCGATGACGAGCACTGCGGTAGTAACCACCAGTGAACTTCTGAACCATGTCGCCAATGTTGATTACGTAGGCATGTTCCTGTGGAGGAACAGGAATCCAGGTTCGGGTAGGCGGATACCAGACCTCTAGGCCCTCGGTTCCCATTTCCTGGAGGAGAATGGTGATACATCCGAAATCGGTGTGGTCGCCGACTGTTTGCTGTTACCATGCTACTGGATTTAGGGGTATGAGGGTTGCAACGCGAGCAAGGACTCACCACCGAATTGTCGTTCATCAAGAATTGGCTGAGGAGCATAATGCAACAGTCTCATGGGAATGGAAGGCTCGTTCTCAGCCAATGCATCTAGCGCATTTGGCGGGCACTTCCACTCCTTCGGGAGACCCTGTGCGAGGATCTTGAGGAGAACCTTTACAAGCTCTACCATCCTGGCCTGGTATTGCATGATGGGAGTGCGGAATTCCTCGTCGGGGAGAGACTTAGGCCATAAATTGGGACCAGTGGAGAATGTACCACAGTCAGGATGGTCTTCGGGTACCTCATGGCCGATAATAAAGCACTTGACACCAGTTTAGTATTCAATATTGAGCATAAGGGTTGGGAACGTACCTCCTTTGTGTCAGGCAGAAGTCCCTCCTGATGGACCTGGATACCTGGAGGCTCATAGCCGCGGAAAGACCTTCCTTTCGACTTGCCAATCCACACGTCCATCTTCTCCTCCTGAGAGAGAGTGAAGAACAGCTTTGCGCAGTCCAGGGCTTGCTTTTGGGTCTCGGGAGGCACTCCATGACCCACCAGACTCAAGAATCCGTAAGTAGTGCAGGCGTGGCGCATTGCGTCGACCACATTCTGGCGATCCTCTTCCGTGGAAAAAGGGTCCAGCCATGCGCTGATGTCAACGGTGGGGATTGTTGTGACGCTACCCATTTTACTTATCGGGACGCTCGTTGCTTTCTTAAATGTAATTGATTGATTGACTAGGATAATTTAGATCGTAGCATACTGCTCTGAAGACTAGACGATTGTTTTATACAATTCATCCCCCTCTTGAAGAGGTGGCATGGTCAGACTCTGAGCCGACTGAACATGATAGTTGGGATTCTAATTCGAAGAACGCAGCTGGCCCATGGAAATTGTCCAACCAGACTTAGTCCTTGCTTATCGGTAGTGAAAATGTCCGACTATGGTACTGGTTGACAGTATCACCGAGTACAAATGGGGCTCAGCTAGGGGTATGGAGAGAAACTCCGGCCCGATGCATGCAAGTTAGGGAGTCATACGTTCTGAGTAAATCCTTGCCTGCTTGTGGTGATAGCACCCGGAGACTTTAAGTGCGGCTGACAGGCCGGCTTTAAATAGAGTCGGAGTATTAGTATCTACAGTATGCGGAGTATCTCGTCCTACCTGATGGCTTTGCATCTCAGCTTGCCAGAGAACCTTTACTGAATTCCGGAAAGACACTTTGAGCTGCAGCTTATAGCCTAACTATAAAGATCACATATGAATCAACATACTCCACACTTCTACAGCCTTCTCATCTGATTGAAAAAAGACACGCTGAAACCTGGCCTCAAATCCTTACCCGGAGGAGACCTAATCGCGCAGAATCTCTCAACTTCCGACATTTCCTCCCACTTCAAGAACGTTTTCGACACCACAAAATGTCGCACGAGTACGACTGGCTTGTCCGTCTCCCTGACAACCGTGATGTCCTCGCCACCCGCATCGAGAACCGTGCTCTGCACCTGAGCCATAACAAGTCTCATTTCGAGTCGGGGAAAATCGCATTCGGCGGCCCCATCTACTCTTCACAGCCAAAGGACATGGAAGACGGCCTGAAGAAGATCACCGGAAGCATTCATTTGTGCAAGGCCAGCACTGAAGAGGAGGTGTGGGAGATGGTGCGGAATGACCCGTATGCGAAGCTGGGGGTGTGGAATTTGGATGAGGTAGTGATCACCCCGATGAAGGTGTTTGTGAGTCAGCCTCTGTAGATAAGATAGGATGGAATAGTGTCATGCTCTTCCTCTTCGACTGGTTCTTGCCCCGGTTCTGAATCTACACTCACAACGGGGTCAACGTGGCCGGTGGCTCCTCCTGGCTCCTTATTCCTCCTTGTTTCATGCAGCCACAAATTATACCACAAGCTAGCCATCATCAGGGATTCTTACTGCGTCGTTGCTCGTAGAGAAAGCACTCCCGGCTATTGCTCGTCTGGATTCATGGCTATGGCCCGAGAGGCAGGATGAGTTCCGTACTAGGCGCATGACTAGGCCTCCCTTGTAAAGCTAGGTAGGAAGATTTGCCGTCGATCTCGCCTCATCTAGAGCTTATTTATTTGCCTTTCGACGTATATGATTGAGATTCCGACGAGCCTTCAGCCCGGTAGGTCACAGTACTCCTCATCCCAGGCTATTTCACCACTATCTGGCAATACGCTACTCACATCGAGAAATAATCATCATCTGAGACCGTATGAGACATATTTCCTGTCTCAAAGTATATGTCGTAATGCTATCTAAATGGGTTCTGGTGTCAGTTAATGATGCATCAGCATAAATCGACATACGTAAGGATATTTGTATAAAAATTTGTACAACAAGAAGAGTCTCATGTCCAAAATTACCTCATTGTCTGAAGTAACATCAGACTCGCGCAAGGATGGGTCACCGTCATTGCCGGTGGTGGGAAACTCGGTCGGAGGCTCGGGGCCGAGGCTGATCTCCGAGTGTGTTTCGTTGTCTGTTTGTCTGGTAGTATCCCACGGTCCGGACTGGACAGTTTAGGGCTCGGAATTCAGAAGAAACAAAATAAACGTAAAGAGCGAGCTGCCCATCGCACTAATTCACAAACAATTGCAGCAATCTTCGGAGTAAGGCTGAGCTCAACACTAGCTGAGACGGGGAAAGAGAAGCGATGCGAGGACGGGCGACCAGAAGCGCTCAAGACTAGCCAGAATGAGTAAAAGGTCTCTCACACTATCTCGTAACGCTAAGATAATGTTAAGATAGCGGTAAAATGCGATGATGACATGGACCAGTGGTGGAGTCCGGAGATATAGCCACCAGGAGAGAGGAGGTTCGTATTAGATGTTATAGTGGAGAAAACGGCGTGCAGCTCATCTTAAACCACGTCTGGTTAGTCTTGCGCGTGTGCTGCAGGCTAATGGAGTAAACTAGCACTTGGTCACAAAGGCTGAGAAACTCCATGGTCTTTCAGTTGGGTAAGGTAAGGCTCTGTGAAACAAGCTCTTTCGAGGCTCGGAGATAAGCCTTTTTTAATAGAGGAAATCATAAGTTAGTTTCTATTCCTGTTACTGGTAGTGCTATACTCCTACTCCGGCGTCGGATATAACGAAACCACCATAGTTGACGTGGTGGAAAGGAATGAAAGCGAAAGGCAGGCAGCAATCACCAACACAAGTTGTTACCCAAGATATAAAAGACCTCTGCTTGACGGAATCACCAGGGAGTTTGTACTCCTTAACTACATCCACCAACACCACAGTCCCCAAGCAACCCCTCATATGAGCCGTCACTTTCGGTCTTCCTTCATCTCATTCTTTTCACAGTTCAGTCGCAAGTCCCAGATCCAATCCAACACCTCTCTCAGACCCAATTCCACCTCCATCGCAATGGCCGCCAACATCAATAATGCCGCCGCCTGGCTGACTGAAGCCAAGGCCCACCCCTTCCAGGTCAAGGAGGCACCCTCTCATACCCCTGAGGAGAACGAAATCCTGGTGAAAAACCACGCTGTGGCTATCAACCCCGTCGATGGGAGCCTGCAATCCAAGGCCTGGTGGCCGATGAACTACCCGACCATCCTGGGCCAAGATGTGGCCGGTGAGGTCGTGCAGGTCGGCCCCAACGTGACCCGTTTTCAGCCAGGTGACCGTGTGGTCGGTCACGCCGTCGGAATGGCCACCAAGCGCACCCAGGACAACGCTTTCCAGGCATACACCATCCTGCAGACCAACATGGCCAGCGGGCTCCCCGACGAAATCTCCTACGAAGACGCCGCCGTCCTGCCCCTGGGTCTCTCTACTGCTGCCTCCGGTCTCTTCCAAGACCAATTCCTCAATCTACAGCTTCCCACGGAGCCACGCCAGCCGGCCACGGGCCAGGTTTTGCTGGTCTGGGGCGGAGCCGGCAGCGTGGGCAGCAACGCCATCCAACTCGGCGTTGCGGCTGGATACGAGGTGTTCACGACCGCCTCGACCAAGAACTTCGACTACGTGAAGAAACTCGGCGCCAGCCAAGTCTTTGACTACAACAGCGCCACCGTTGCCCAGGACCTCGTGAAGGCACTCCAGGGGAAGAACCTCGCCGGTGCCATGGACTGCATCGGGTTCGCCGCCACCCCGCTCACCGTGGAGGTTGTTACCAAGTCGGAAGGGGGGAAGTTCGTGTCGACCGTCAAGGGAGGGTTTCAGGCTCCCGAGGGTGTGACGGTCAAGAGCGTGTTTGGTACCACGATCAAGGATAACCAGGTTGGCCAGGCCGTCTATGAAGATTTCCTGCCTAAGGCTCTAAAGGCTGGGACCTTTACCCCGGCCCCGGGTCCCCTGATTTCAGGGAAGGGATTAGAGAGTGTGCAGGCTGCAGTCGATCTGCAGGCCAAGGGGACTTCAGCCCAGAAGGTGGTAGTTTCTCTGTAATTCCTCACTTGTTCGCTTTGTCGTGAGATTCGAGAATTGTGACTTGTTTGTTCCCGTATTTTTGCATGTCAGCCTGTTTGCAAAATTACATTTCGTAACCTAACCGGTCAACTTCGTGTTCTGTAATGATGTTTCGGTCCAGTTTGGCATATCAAGAGCCACCGAATTAGTTCTCGCCCTGAGTAGCACGAAGTTAATCCATTGAATTGTGCACTGGTTCCATTGCTGGCCCCATTTGATAGTAGCCCTGCCATACACTAGCTCTGTCCTTCCCTTCACGAAGCAAGGATTGTCGGCTAAGCAAGCAGTTCCTAGGAGATTGAGGCGAGAGCTAACAGCCAGGGTATCAATAAAGGCACGTGTTCACATCCAACCTGCGAAATATTGACGACGCTATAAAAGAACCTAGCGCAATGACAAATCACTTACTTAAATCCCCATCTAGTAAAATGCCATTCAACATTACACTGGACGATAAATCACAACCAACCACATTTTTGGCGATAGGTCAGGGCAGTGGGAGGAATACATCCAGGTCGTCGGATACGAGATTGAGCTAACAGGCAGCCACTCATCCTGCGAGACCTGGATGGTTCCCGAAAGTATTACCCAAGACTAGTATAACACCAACCCGGGATGGAGCGGGGATCATTCACAGGCTGTGAGTAATGCCCCTCAAGCCGTTAGACTTTGCTCGATACGAGGGACTCACAATATAAATGAAACCGTGCCAAAGAACGGATGAGGCGAGCGCCTTCGATCCTCTTGTGGTAACAGCCAGAAGGCAAGAAGACGGTGTGATAATGTTTGCCTATGATTATGGGCAGTTTCCTAATATAGGAGGGCTGTACTAGAAGCGATATCGTGCACTATTACCCTCCAGGCGGTACATAGCGAATTTTACAGTTGTTGGATCATCTAAACCGGTCTTATTCGTATAGATTCAGGAGGATTAATAGCGCATTAGGCCTTTTATTGGTTGCACTATAGCTGGAGTCCATATCATTCTATTCTGAGTAGCGATAGCCCTGACTGAGTTAGTGTACAGGCGCCTATCATGAGGAGATTGATACTTAGCGACATCGGGAGCACACCTTGGATCATTATGAGCTTGACCAGAGTCCATCAGGGTTTCATCGGGAGGAAATTGGCCCCTCCTTCTCCTGCAGGATGAGTGCAAACTAGTTCCAGATCATGCCATGCAATACGAAGGCACCCACATCCTCTGATAGAGCTTCCCTAAACTCCAGAAGGGGTAATTAGAAACGAGTCGATAATAAATCCTCTGCCGCTAAATGCCCATGATCGCGAGAAAAAATCATTCAATTCGGCCAAGACGGTGGTGATGGAGGACGCCTCGTATAGTTAGTCAAGGAGAGACTACCGCTAACTATATTGTTGGAGATGTACTAGGTACAAGACACGATATTCAAGACACCCAGTGAGTGTGTTATTGCTAAGAGAGAAGACAAGACACCCCGGAGCTTGAACAATCTCTAAGACAGTGAGACACCCCACAGCTGGAAACCTAATTTGAAACTGGTGTTGAACGGCGAAGGAGGATACAATCGGTTGAGAAGTAGATAGTGCGAGTGTGAGGTAGGGACGGGAGGTTTTCTGATTACAAGTTCCCATTAGGGCTCTGCTACTGGTAGTCTTAATCAGATATGGTGACTGTCTCTTCCGCAAGGGGTGTGTAATCCAGCGACGAACCTTTACGGCCTCGTTGAGGCACAGCCACGGGCATCCGAGGGGTCTGCGATACCCGGGACACAATCTTGGTTACTGGGAACACCACGAGGGCAGCCTTTGCGAGAAATGGTCGGCCTACGGAGAGAGATCTGTGGGGTAAAAGCAGGAAGTTCTTCAGTTGGGGCGTGGCGCATAATGGCAGTGATGGAGGAGTCTCCGGGGCTCAAAGAGACTATCTGTGTGGCCCGAGAAGTCAGACGCATGTGCCAGTGTTCAAACTAGACAGAAATCATCTACCTCAGTCGCGCTGGGGACCTGAAGTTTAACAGCCAGAGTGGTGTCGTCCCAGTGGAGAATGCTCTGTCTCCACTATCTTACTCACACTAAGAACCTGCAGCTGTACAATGGATGTGACGTTGTTCTACCTGAGATATAAGTGGCTCATGCTTAAGGCGCAAACCTGGAGACACCCGGGGTGAAAGGTCTTTGGTGGGGCCTCAAGCCCGGGGTTGGTCATCGAGAGTTAAGCGGACATAAAACGAGGGCAGTGGTCTGAACTAGCGGGCCGATCGGAGCTGTTTTACATCAGTTGCAAGGACTCATTAAGGCTTAGACCACGTGCAGCCTTGGCTGTGCAGTTATTTCTCTTGGCCTTTATACCTCCAATGATTTGGGTGTACAGGGGCACGACACAGGTGTACGACAAGCGGGCACGGAACCGACGTTGAGCAAGGTGGTTGGCGGTAACGAAACCTATACAGAGCGGTTGGATACAGTGGCCAGGGGCAAAGTTGAATTTGATTTTTCTGATCCTGTGACTTGATCACGTACATGTATCTAGCTACCCTGGCGGCGGTCCCGGCCGTCAGAGTGTGCCCTTTTCCGGCAATCGGCGTAGAGCTGACAGATCCGAGTATGAAAGTAGTAGTAGTAGTAGTAGCAGAAGTACCTGACTCCATTTGTAGTATCTGATTGCTGCGTATCTCAGCGTTTACATACATACCTCTGAGAGGCCCAGGAGGAAACCCGTCTTCTACTGCCAAACTTTCGAAAGTTAGGTCTGAGTAGGGGTGGGTACAAAAGCCCATGTTTAATTTAGTACCCCCCAGCTCGACTACAAAATTCGTACTCTAGCTGGACGGATTTCACGATCGTATTATCCTGGCCTGTTCTGAGTTAAATAAATATATCGGATAACAGCCGCTCCAATTCGTTCGTCCCGATTTACCAGCCGTGTGCCCGTGCTGACATTAGATTATGGCTGTGGTAATGGGCCTGTTCAAAGTTGCCTTGTGAAAGTATAGGACGCAGGGGCCAACACAGTCCCATTCAATGTGTAAGATGGCGCCTCTTCTTTACGTTCCACCGTCATCGAAAGGTTTCTTTATTTATTAGCACGTGTATATCCTTTGCCGCTCCACGATCGACTACCAAGCGTTGCCAATTTCCCTAAGCTTTTTTTTGCCTGTAGCCTTTGACCCCAACAACGCTGATCAGGTTTTCGGTCTGACTAGAAGAACTCTTCAATAGAAAGTCCGCAGAACTATATTTTACAAGCGCCAGAGACACTCATACTCCCCGTTCATCAAAGCCAGGTTGACGATGTCGCAAGCCATCGAAGGCCGGGTGACCACCCCGCCTCCCAGACCCCGACAGAAACCTGGTGCCGCATGTGAAGAATGTCGACGGCGAAAGCTGCGATGTGACCGTCGTCAACCACAGTGCGGACTATGTGAATCATCCGGTGTGGAGTGTCAGGTTATCACAGAGCGACCGTCTCGTGGGCCGAAGCGCGGATATCTTAAGGGGTTGCAGGCTCGCATCGGTAGGCTTACCGCCGCCATCTACAACATTGACAGGAATACGTTGACATTTAAATATTGGCAGCTGCACTCGAAGGAGCCCTGCTGCAACAGCAGACTAGCACCAACCTTAACGGATCAACCGACAGCCACCCTCTCAATGCCCCCTTGCTGGATGAGCAGCTCGACCTCTCCGGATGGCAATTGCCAATCATGGATGACGAGGTTCCCTTGCATAATGTGTACGCTGCATCCAAGACAAACAGCTCCTCGGGCACTCTCATCACAGACGGAGGGTCGGTAGTAAATTCGATTTCCCCGCCCCATAGATACTCGAGTATTCCGGATGACCTGGCAATGCAGGACATCACTTCATGTATGAAACGCACGGAGAGTGTGGGTGACCTGTGTGAGCTGAAGCTTTCCGATTTGATGCAAGCAGACTTGTGAGTGGAAGAAATGATTAGGCACCTCAATGTGGGATTAATGCCAATAATGGTGTGCAGAGACCAACTATATTTCGATCGAATCCACCATTTCATGCCCATCCAGCACCAGAATCGTTACTTTTCATGGCGACGACAACCCATTAAGACAGAAGCCCAGTCCTGTTTACAATACGCGATATGGACGCTCGCAGCGTCTGTATCGGCTCCGTACGAAAACATCGGGGACTCATTATATCAACATGCGCGACGCGGACTGGAGGCACTCGACTGCAAGAACACGAGCCTTGCCTCGACAGATCTCGAGCAGGTCCAGGCCTGGCTCCTGCTAGCAATCCATGAACTTATGGGCGTTGACTTTCGCCGTGGGTGGATTAGCGCCGGACGAGCATTTCGATTAATCCAGCTCAACTGGCTGCATGGGACGGATGGGACGCATCTCACTCGCGTGCAGACGGACTGGATCGAGTCAGAGCAGAAGAGAAGAACCTTTTGGATGGCGTACTGTTTGGATCGGTTTGTTAGTATGCGAACGGGGTCACCGCCGACCTTTAGCGAAAGAGTCAGTCATCCTATACGCGTGGTCATATCGAACCCTCCCTAATAGCTGATTTAGGTAGCTATACGCCTCCCGTGCTCCGAGGTCAACTTCCAAAACGACCAACCCATTTTAATGGGATTTCTCGCCGATGCCCTTGCTAGTAACACTACCCTTCCATCGACCTTTACAGAGTGCATCATCGTCGCGACGATCAGTGGCCGAGCACTCTCCCATCGAAACCAGTGTCTAGTCGGCGACGTGTACTTTAGTGCAGCAGAGGACTTCTGGAATCGCCATCAGTGGATCAACGCTATCCTCGCCCAGCGCATGGATGCCTTTTCGGCAAAGTATCCGCTGGACATGCAACATGCAGACCCAATGCTGCTCTTCATCAGTCTTATGTGGCGGATAATCATCCTTCATCTGTACCAAACTATGACCTGCGTGATCCCATCCAACGATGAAAAGCGAGACTTCGTCATGGAGTACAGGAAGCGGTCATCCATGGCAGCGCAGGACATTGTGGATTTAGCACAAAAGCTTTCACACCTGAACTCGTTGAAGGTGAAATGCAGTCAACCTGTTACTTTGATTACTTTCATCACAGTGCTTGTGCTTACTGGGTTGTTTTTCTAGGTGCATCCTCTCACCCTTATCCCGCTTTCACTCTGTGTGGAGTTTCTCATGCTCTATCACAAGCCTGGGGATGCTTTTACGCAGCAGCTTCAGGATATCACAGAGGCCATGCGCGGACTGAAGAGATTCAATAATCTGGGCCATGGGGTGCTGCAACTCTTCGAGGACCAGGCACTCACCAGTCCCATTCAAGCCTCGACTGTAGATTAAAGATAAAGACTGAGACGACTTATTTTTCTCACTTCGACCGATATATATAGTTCTTAGCCAAAGTCTGAATAACGAATTTTCTTCCACCAATTTCAACTTTTTATTATTTTGAATTATATCACAACAGAATTTTTAAAATAATAAGAAATATGTAATGTTTAGTAAGCTGTTTACAATTTTATAGTTATATTTTTTACAAAAAGTATTACTATAGTACTGTGCAAACCCAGCAAAGAATAAAGTAATCCAAACAAATCCCTTCGATAGGCAACGCCTAACAACGTCCACCGGTTCTTTAGCTACCGTGGTAAACTCCAGTTGGGTATATATAGTTACTGTTTAAAGGGTATTAACAAAGCAAGCGCGCATTATACCAATTAAAAAAGTTATCAGGGCTATTATCAAGAAGTCACTAGGCAGAGTATTAGGGAAAAAGCCCGTAAGGAGGTCGATGCGGTATGTCTATATGAAGGCAAGTTTGCTGGTTTATATATTAATATCGCTACAGGGTCTTTAGAAGTTTATTAGCAAATGGGAGTTAGATACAGAGGAACAAGAAAAACAGCAGTCTACGTGCAGGACAGCCGAGTTTAAAAAACCACACTACGGACCAAGAAAAAGCGATTCCATGTGGGCTATGAGCACATTTAAAATGTCTTTTTACCGTGCTGGGAATTTACATGGTGAGTTCAGATTTAATACTAATAATGTGGGAGGCTCTGACTTGTTTTCGTAACCACCTACAGATTAAAGTTATGGAAAGCTTTCACTTCTGACGCTATGTGTACTGGTAGTTAAATACTGGAAATTTGGCAATATGCTGTTTTAAATAGTAATACGTGAAATCTTGCGGTATTGGGGATTGTAGGTGAGGCGGTTAATTTTCTGAAACGACTCCTTTGGCGCGGCATTTATCCTATAATTCTTGTCGATGATTCTCCTGCACTATCTCTGAAATCTAGCTGGAGTATTAGGACGCAAGCGAGCCTATAGCAATATATTACATATTGAACTCTGGTATAATTGACTTACGTTAGCAATGAACGCACCTTCTCAGCAAAGACAGCGGGCTCCTTCAGCCGCTTCTTCACGTTTACCCTCGCTAACTCATCACGACTACCAAGTGTTGCGGGGCGAGTATCATCTACAATTCGACACAATGCACCCTGCGATTCCCTTGGAAGGAACCGCAAACCACTGACAATGCTGTTGCGTAGATCGCCAATGGAAGGATACGTCTTTGTCTGCCTCGCGTCGCTCCAATTTTTCACCGTGATTGCATGAGCCAGAAAGCCAAGGGTAACAAAAACCAGTGCTTGGCATTAGTAGATATTCCGCCGCCTTGGCGGATCTTGACTGTACCACCGCTCAGCACGTTGGAAGAAGTTCCAGAAGACATATCATTCTTGGCACAGGCCCTGCAGAAGGGTCGCCTTCATTTTAGGCTTGTCGATTGAGTCAAAGAGTGGCACCCATGTGTTCTGCGGCACCACAGCGTACCCAGAATTCCAAGTCTGAGTTTTCACTACATTGGATTCATCCGCGCATTAGCTTTGCGCTCGGGGGCATAATCGCTGTCAGGGGACTATGGCAGTAGATGACTGCCTTGATAATACGCTCAGTTCCTTAAGGCTATATTTGCCACCGGGAGAACGCGAAACATGGATATGCTGGTACATCCCCTGGTAAAATATTGCAGCACGTTTATAGAACGGTGAATGCATCATCGATCTCTTTTTGCCAGCCCTTGTTAGATTCCAAAATCCTGGAGACGAGCCTGCATCATCCTGGTTTATAACTCTGCATTAACGGCTTCATTGATTTCGCGAACTCGAGTAAATTGATAAAATAGACCTGCAGTATCCTGCCTGTCCGTCAATGTCCCGTTCATCCACCACAATCCAACTAGTATAATCGGCGGTCGATAGAGCCGTGCGTATGTCTTCTATTCTTCGCGAGCCGACAGAGCCTTAACGAAGAGCATCACGATTCGCCTGCTTCCTATGCTCGTCCCTACTTTCAGGAGTGATTTTATCATTGAACCCATTGGATTTTAGTCTGGATTTCATCGCTTCCTAGGCCTGAGAAGGTGCTCCATTTTTATACCGAATATAAGGCCAGAACCCGCAGATGACAAATTGACAGGTTTGTAGCAGCAATACGAACAGACTAAAGATTGGTGAAAAAAGCAGTGTAAGTTGTAAGATTCAAAGGTGGTAAAGTATCTGGTCCCAATAGCGAAACAGAATATAATGCTCTATTCGAGGTACTGTACCTATGCATATATATTTTACTTTGAGTGCCCTAAATGCTGTGTTTCCTGGAAGCCCTGTTCCCAAGCCATGTTCTCAAAAATAGTTCGTAGCATATACCCGCTAATATGTTTGGTGTCTGTAACCTAATCAGACTGTAATGTTGCCATTAATAGATGCTCACTCTGCCATCTGGTGCTTGGGGTGCATAAACTATATGAACCAATTAGGCATTCCTGTCCAGCGGTTAATATATGGATGTGCGTTGAAATATTTGTCACTTGCGATGTTGATATATCAAAGTGACAGCGCGAGGTTAGTGGTTATCAGGATGGACCAGTGTTGGCGAATCAATGCATCGCCAAGATAGTATAATGGTATTACCTCCTAGGTGGAGTTGTAGTATTAGGGAGTAACCAGGTAACAGGGCAATTTTAGGGCTGTGTCTGGCCTATGGGGACTCAAGTCCATCCAAAGTCCAAGCAATTTCTGAAGCAAACTCTGGCATAATGATATTAGTATCATCAAGCCAACCGACTTCCACCATATAAAATCTCATCGATGGCCTTTTTTTTTTTTTTGCGACAGCCGATACGTAAAGGGATGATCTAATGGCGATAAAGAGAGCTGGTGGTAAATGAAGGAATCGGAGGACGCTGTGTACTCAAACTGTGACAGAGTTTTCTAAATTTAGATGTCGATGGCTACCCCGCGTTATCTTGAACAAACTCCTGTCAGATATACCACCACACCACAAAAAGTAGCACTGTTTCACTTAGCATATAATAATGGTATATTGTTTTATCTGACACTTCCATGTACACATTTTACGAGTACCATCACCAACGATGTGATTCACTGAAACTTATAAATTTCAAACAGATAGAATGAGAGATTCGTAATAGTTACGCTTATCTATACCAGTAATAGAGAAAAAACTACGCCGCAACCTCAGGTAACTTGGCTCTCGCTCTTGCTTCCCTGGCCTCCTTTGCAACCTTCGCTCTCTTACTCACTATCGGACTATCCGGCTGCAATCCGTTCAGATCATGCGCATCCAAACAAGCCTGCGTACTCAACAGCACAGACTCCCATGTTCTCGTGCGCATCTCCTCTTCGTACTGACTCACTGCGCTCTGAATTCCATCTGAGACACCGGGATTCTTCCATGCCGCAATGATATTCTTCGCCAGGACCGCCGCATCCGCAACACCGTGGTTGAACGCCTCTCCGCGGTACGAGGTCATCGCATGCGCAGAATCACCGGCCAAGGTCACTCGGCCATTCCGATTATCCCAGTCCACCGGAACCCAATCAACAAGTTTGATATGAAGCATCTTACTATCCGCGGGGAGCGTGTTGATTGTGTTGCGTAGCCTCGTCTCGAAATGCTGCGCGTTCTGCTTGAATAATGCGAGTCGCTCAGCGTCCGAGTCGGGGACGTTGTCCTTCTCGGACTTATACAGCCAGGATTGGATAAGCTGGCCCTCGTAGAATGGGTCTGTGGTGTCCTTGCTTCCGTTGATGCTTGGGCTTGAGACGAGTGAGAACCACATATACACGCCTGTTTCCGGGTGCGAGCCTTGGAAGAGAAGCGGGTCGATCCCGCGGATGGGCGCAAACTGTTCCGGGGTCATGGTGATGGTGGCGCCGATGCTGCGGACGGGGAGGGGATTGAGGGCCCCGACCTCTTCGCCGAGGAGGAGACGACGGGTTTTGCTGTTTCGACCGTCGGTGCCCACCAGGAGACACCCAGTTGTTGTGCTACCGTCAGTGAAGCTGACTTCGACGGAGTCTGGGTTCTCGGACGAGACGTAGAAAGAGGACAAGGTTTTGTTATAGTTGATGTCGATTCCCTCCTCGAGCAGACTCCCGAGGAGTCGGCGATTGACGCGGAGTCGTTTGCTTGGTGGGATCACATACTTAGGTTGTGCGTTGGAAAGATCCAGGAAGCAGAATCGGCGCGAGTCTTCGAGACTTGGGTCGACCTGGATGTCCTCCAGTCTATTGAATAGGTCCGTGGGGAGACATTCCTCCAGCGCAGATAGGGCCCAGTGGACAGTCAGCGCCCATCCACGACCCTTGTCGGTGTCTGCAGCACTGTCGCGCTCGTAAACCCTGTACGGGATTCCGGCTTTCTTTAGACCTTGGGCGAGTGTGAGGCCGACCATGCCGGCGCCCAGGATGATAACGGGGAGATTGGGAGAGGTGCGTGTCATGGTGACTACGAGATTTGGGGACTGGGTAAGTCGGCTGGTAACTTCAAGATTTATACTCTCCGTCTCGAGGGGAGGGGTCGATTATGTCTAGGATTGTTGTATTTACTTGTTCGTTTAATATGATCCATCGCGAAATATTACATGGCACCACTGGGTATACTTCAGTCAACTGTGAGTCCCAACAGCCTGAATTGGAGTCTGATGTCAGCCGGGCATGAGAAGTTCAAATCCACAATCGTCTCGGAGTATTAGTGGTAAACTAAATTAACATAGGCTAACACGCAAGATGAAAACTCGGACTAACGTAGAGTCAGCCTCTCGGGGACGGACAATCTCAGTGATAGGAGAATTAAGCGGAGTGACTGAGTCTCACGGCTTGCATAAGATCGGACGGAGTATTCCATGGTAATCCTCCGAGCAGCAGCATCGACATCCTCGATAAACCCATATACATAAAGTAGAGATGTGTTGTTCGTAGCTCTAAGATGACACTCCCCCTCCTTGATATCATTTACAGTATCTCCCGCAAGCCCACTGTCCCTTTCAACGAGTCAGCACTGTAGCCCAAGCAGGAACACACCATGTACAAACTCTATCCCCTTCATTCTAGAGCTAGGCTAATTGAGTTAGAAAAATGACCCAACTTTACGACTGGCTCGTCCAAACTCCCGCCAATGCGGACGATCTCAAGAACCGCATCAACACTCGCCCCGCCCACCTGGAGCACAACAAACCGCTCATCGAGGCAGGAATCCTCGTATGGGGCGGTCCTTCCCTAGCTACCCATCCTAAGGGTCCAGATGATGGCCTCACCATTACCGGCAGCATCATGTGTATTCGTGCAGAAAGCGAAGAGGCGGTGCGTGAGATTATCCGGAATGATCCCTACGCGAAGGTTGGATTCTGGTATCCGGCGGAGGCGGTTATAACGCCCATGAGGTGTGTTGTGCGGAAGCCTTTGTAAATGTATTCCTAGATAAATGATGGTTCTGAAAATTGTCTTCTGCTGGATGAATGATACTTTGGTATGATATATATGGCGTTGAACTGTAAAGGGAAGCTATTTGTCAAGTAGAAACTGGAGAACAATGGTAATACTGTGAATTCATAGTATCTATACTCTTATTGGAATTAACAATTAACTCGATGACAGGAGAGTCTCTCAATAAAGGTGAAAAATAGAGAAAACCTGGAAAGCCTTTCGTTTCGTCATAATGTGTAGTCTATTCAATTCCTCCACTCATGTTGACAACCCCGTAGAAAAGTCCATCTGGTTGAAGATGTCCACTTAAGCCTTCACTCTCAGCTTGAACCCGTAGAGGACAAGACGCAGCCCAGCATACATAAAACCTCCCACACAAGTGGTCACACCTCCGAATGCCCACAGGCCATTCCAATTACTATGGTGGGGATGAGCGAGGATGGAACCACCCGCAGGACCACCAGCGAGAACACCAAGACCAATCATACCAAAGCCCATGCCGATACGGGTACCGATCTTGGTCTTATCCTTGGTCAGGGCGACGAAGCAAAGAGGCGGCAGACCGATCAGAGCACCGCTGAAAAAGCCGGAGAAGACTGCAATCACAATCAAACCAGCTTCCGTGGTGACGCTCAGCAGGCAGAGAACGAGCACGCCGACCATGATGCAGCATGGTGCGATCAGATTGAAAGGTCCAAGCTTGTCTGCCATGGCGTTGGGAATGGTCCTACCAAAACATGAGGCAGCATTGAGAATGGGAACGATGTAAAAGGCCATACGGCTGTCGGTGATGTGCTTGGCTGCTCCAAAGTATGAGATGTAGAAGAAGAGCACGAAGAGGCCCATGAAAGAGATCAGTGAAGTGAGGACGAAAGCCATGTACGGAAGATCAGTAAATGCTGACCAGTCGATAAGTGCTCGCGCCCGGGGTGGCTTCACACGCTGCTTCATGACCGCAATCGGCACAAGGAGAGTGCCCAGGGCGATAAAGCCAATGACGCGGACGGACCAGCCGAACCCCAGGGGGCCAATGAGTTGGTTCAGGACAATAGGATAAATCACACCCCCGAGAGAGGACCCGGACACGGCCAGTCCGAGAGCCATACCCAGCTTGGTGCTGAAGTAGGTGGGTAAGACAGAGACACAGGGAACGAAGAGACAGCCAGCACCGAGTCCGACACAGAAACCCTGCGCGAGGAGCACTTCCCCGTATGTTTTGCAGATGCTGAGCATCATGTGTCCGAAGACAATGCAGAAGCTACCGACCAAAAGGAGCGCTCGCAGGTATCCCCGGTCGTAGATGGGCCCCGTGAAGAATCCCACCAACAACAGCATCGCCGCCTGAATGGAGCCGATCCATGAGATATCGGATGAGGATCTGTGGAATAGGAACTCCGACTCATAATACGTCTGGAACACCCCGAATGCATTCAAAATACCCCAAGTGTTGAAGAAGAGCATAAAGCCACCGGCGACGTGCAGCCATGCGACCAGGCCGCCATTGGGAGGAGGAGGAGGGCCGCTGGGGGGCTTCGAGGCGTGTTGTTCGATTTTTGGTTCTGGCGGTCGCTCAATATCGGTACCGGAGGAGCTAGGAGGAGAGTCTTTCTCATGATTGAGGTCCACCGAGGGGATCTGGGGAGGTTGCTCGGCCATCTTGTTATCCTTGAGCTGCTTTCTTCAAAGACTTTGGAGAGGAAGAGGACGTTGACAAGGACTTGGGTCTGTTTCAGACAGAGAGAACAGGATTGACAGAGAGGAAAAACGAGATACACAATGCCATGAAGCTCAACAGAAGAAAAAAGAGGGAGTTATATTGATTTCTCGTGAGCAGCTTCCCTTCAGCTTGCGACGTTTAGGGCAGTCACTGTCCCGGCGAATCCCTCGGGGGTGTTATCCAAATGGAGATAGTAATCTCCGAGGTCCAACCTCCCTCGGATTGAGGCATCTCTCTTGTTTTGCCGCTTTTGCAGGCATCCTTATTTGGAGACCTTATGATTCATTCGGATGATTCTGATCTTATATATTGTGATTGTCATTCTTTGGTTCCTCCTGGGAATAATTTACCAATATTTTTCGTACTTCAAAATGTGTCACTATGGGTCATTACAGACTTCACTGTGAATACTATACCACCACCTGGTCACACTCGTCTCAATTAATTTAATAAATCAACACAAGCTGAGACCACTGGAAGGTGAGAATCTCCGACCGGAGTAATTCAGTCTCCTTCCAGAATGACTGGCATGGAACAATCACTAAAGTCAGTTTCTAGACCTGGCCTGAGAAGACTCTGACCTAACAAGGCGTTAACGAGAGCCATGGGTGAGCCTCAGCTCGTATACTCGGCACTCTCTCCATACAGTAGTTATAGCCGGGTCTCTCCAAGATCCCCATTTCGTAGACTGGTCAGGCCGACCCCCATCTTATGTTATACATCACATAGCGTATAGAATTCTCGACCATGGCCTTACAAGCCCAGCCAAAGGACGATTTCACCCTCCATCTCCCTCGCATTCTTTGCCTCCACGGCGGTGGTACCAATGCCCGTATCTTCCGCATGCAGTGTCGCGTTCTCGAGCGCTCCCTCCACTCGGCATTTCGGTTCGTCTACGCTGAGGCACCTTTCCCCGCCCAGCCAGGTTCCGACGTGACCTCCGTCTACAAGGACCACGGCCCGTTCAAGGCGTGGCTGCGTTGCACAGCAGCAGATCCTGAGCGATCCGCCCAGGAGATCGTCGACCAGATCAACCTCTCCATCGCAACAGCCATGTACAACGATGGCGTGCAAGGCGCCACAGGAGAGTGGGTGGCTCTTTTAGGGTTCAGCCAGGGCGCCAAGTTAGCCGCGAGCATCCTGTACGCACAACAAATGCTCCAACGGCGGCTGGGCGCGAATGCCGTTATTTGGCCTCATTTCCGGTTTGCAGTGTTGATGGCTGGAAGGGGACCACTAGTGTGGATGCTACCCAAGATTGGTAGCGCTCCTGTTTCTATACCCGCGGGGCTTGTGGATGCGGCATGTCCGTCCATGATAAGTGGTGAGCCTCACTTGCCGGAGGACAGCACAGAACACAGACTCCAATTACCCACCCTCCATGTGCATGGCAAACGGGATCCGGGATTGGATTTGCATCGTAGGTTTTTGAGTCATTATTACCAACCGGATTCGATATACTTGGTGGAGTGGGAAGGGGAGCATCGTGTGCCGATCAAGACGAAGGATGTACAGGCGGTTGTGGATCAGATCTACACCTTGGCACACGAGACCGGAGTCTTGGATTCCTGATGTTAAAGCTTCATTCCTTGGCGTTTCTGAGTGTTGCACGTTTTCTGTAGAATGGGGTTTTGTATTAGATTCTGGCTAGGGATATGGTTTTCCTCGTTGATGATTTACAACTAGTTGGTGATCCTGGTTTTTGTTCTATTGAAATGTGCGATGCTAAGGAATATATGCACGCATGTATATTTTCATCTTTGCAGCTATAAAGCTGACCCTATGTTGAGAAGAAATCGTTTGAATCAAAAGTTTTTCAATGTATCTATGAAGTGTGTCATAATATGGCTAAAACCAAATTATCTTCATATTCACTTCTTCTCCAACTCTATATAGCAAGCCTTTACCAACGGCTATTTTCAAATAGATTGTTCATTAGTTGGAGTTCACAGCGGCAAGAATCTCAGGAAGCATCTCCTCCGTGTTGTTCCACACCTGACTGGAGCCCGTGACAAACAGGGTCCCAGTATACCAGGTATTCCGGTGTCCCTGGAGGCCGTACATATCGTTGTAAAAGCCATTCCTAATGCTCTTGGCAGAGACCTTTAAGCTATAGGGTGCGAAGTCGGAAAAGGCTAGGAATTGAGGTTCCAGTTGGGTACCGCTCTTTGTGATCCTCTGCAGGGTCTTGATGGCATCCCTGGCGTCTTTCTCAATGCGTCGCTGAGAAACGGGCTTTGGGGCGTTGTACCAGTAGTAGAAGAGTCCGTCAACGGACGAGGGGTTAAATGTGACCACACTGGGGATTTCTGCCAGATTGTACGAGGTATTGGCGGCGTAGTTCTTGTAGCTAAACCCTGGGGTGAGGCCCGTGTTGTTCACCACTCCACCATAATAGGGCAGGCCATAGATGTGAGAGAGGACGCTGTGTTCGTGGGAGTCAAGACCAAAGTGCCTCGTATTCTCTAGAATAGGAGGAATCCCAAGGATCAATTGCTTGGCGATGATAAGTTTGCGTCCTTTTGGGGTCTTCACGATGAGTCGCACTCCATCTCTGGTTCTTGGACCTCGTTGACCAGCGATGACTGTGGAATGGAGGAGGAGATCACGCTGCAGCTCAGGAACGGCATTGCGGTAGAGCTCAGAGTTGTCTCTGTTAGCATTGACGACCGCAGCACCGGACATCTCGTGAAGCATAAGATGGTTGAGGTTGTTGAACACATAGAGGGCTAGGATATTGAGCAGATTTCCGGGGACCGCAGGCCGTGCAAATGTGGCGGCGGCTGTCGAGAAGTCGAGATTATATTTGGTGATGTAGTCCCCCCAGGGGAGGAGGAGATCCTCTGGCACCGGGTTGGGCAGCTCAAACCCATTCTCCAGATAGGGGTACTTGTTGAGCTCGGTGATGTAGTCCTGGCCCAGAGTGCCCCCCGTCAGGTTCAGCAGGGTGCCAGCCTCGAAGTCAGCGTAGACAGGCTTTCCAAACGAGGCGAAAGACATGTTGGCTAGGGGGGTGTTTAAGCGACTGAAGAAGCTACGCACAAGGCTGCTGTTGTCGTAGAGCTGGACACCGTAGTCCACAGAGCCGCCGGTGTTGGGATCTTCATACGTAACCGCATGGCCCCCTAACCTTCCGGTCTTTTCCACGACAACCACCGATTTGCCCTGATCTTTCAAGCGGATGGCAGCGTAAGTACCTGATGCACCACCACCGACCACTACCACATCCCGTCTCATGACATGGGACGAGTCCCAGGACGATGCCTGGAAGGAGTCGGCAGCCAAGGCAGCCACGGCAGCCACGGCCAAGCAAAGGCCACTGCTGACGGAGAAGAAGGTTTTCATTGTATCATAAGACAAAGAATGGAAGCCTCACAATCTTGACTTCCAGACAGGTACTGAATCAGCAGGTATTTCATACTCTTTATATAGTCCATTGTTCTTGGTCCTGCTGTTCGTATATCTGTGCCTGCCTGGCCCCTAAATTCGAAGGCAAAACCATCGTCGGAGAGGACACCCGGAGAAACGCATCTCGCACTGCCCAAAGTGGCCAATTTCCCAGGCTGTGTCAGTCAATATCCGAATCTGCATCTCACTGGCTGTCAACTTGCAGGGGTGGAAGATAAGCCGCGCTCGTATGCAGCCATCTCTGCGAACCTTTCCCGAAGTAGCGTTTTTCACCGACGGTACGCTAAAGAAACTTACATGCGGTAATTTTGCAACCTGGCACACAATCTCCCCCTCGTAATGGTAATTTTGGGCGGATCCACGAGCCGGGAGCCTAAGGGGGGAGGGAGGAAGACGACAGTGCTTGGACCAGGGCTTGTCTGACATGAGATCCTGTTAGCTGGCTATTTTGACCAAGCTCGTATTATTTATCTGGTCAGACAGCAGCTAAGAGTAGTGAGATTCTCGCGTTCCCCGCCTAAATTTAGCTGATTCAAAGCTTTCTCTCTTTATCCTCCAAGGTATTGGCTGGCTTGCATCAGCTCATCGCCCGGGAGGTTATATGAGAACTGTCATCGCTTTTGCACTGCTGAATGAGGCTCTATTATTATCAATACTATTATTACAACCTTTAAATTAGGTAAATTGATAACCAGGAACAGGCCAGCTGCTGCTCTCTTAACACCCCAACTTCCACGAGTTTGTCCGACGCCCGACGACCAGTACCTCCGAGAAGAACCAACATCTCAAAAAAGGGTCGACTCACAGAACAAAAACGCTGTCCAATGGTGTACTTTGGTCCCTCGCGAGGCTGTGAAACTTGCAAGAAGCGTAGAAAGAAGGTTCGTCCTTCCCACATTCCCATTGACACGTAGTCCTATCCCTTGGGCTGATACCGGTGCTACACTGCCTTGTCCAACCCCGCACCGGACTGGATGCTGTATATCTCTCTTGTGTGAGCAAATACTAATCTCTATTCTGCACTGCAGTGCGATGAGACTCGTCCAGTAAGCTTATAGGGCTTTCCCCTCGTAGTCCGTGACCCTGAGCCGCCATTCCACGGGTCATTGCGCTTGTGCGCCTCAACAGTACAGGTTACAGGCAAACCAGTAGCTGACCATGTGCAGTCCTGTCTAAGATGCCTCAAGACAGGTCGGACTTGTCGAGGGTATGAGGAGACTGGGAACCTCATTTTCCGACAGCATGATGCCCCCATCAGCAAGTCGTTCCAATTCCAATTACCTTTCAAGTCCATGGCGCGCAAGTGTAGTTTATCTCCTCGCGTGCCCGTCCCAGGCACGGATACCCTACCAGAGGACGGCCCACCTAAGGAAATCCCCGACAATCTCATCGAGGAATTCGCTATTCGCGCCTTCTTCCACGACTACTGTGTAGCACCCGTCAACACGGCACTTTCCCGGGGGTTTCTGGGCGGGCTGGAATTAATGGTCCAACGACTGGGCCTGCAATCGCCCGTGGCCAACGCATGCAAGGCCGTAGCCTTCGCGAGCCATGGGCTGAAGCTCTCTCGCCCGTTCCTGACGCAGAAGGCAGAGACCCTGTACCACGAACTGTTGGTTTCTTTGACTCGATCTACCCAGAACCCTGCCCTGGCAGCTGGCCCGGAGATGCTGGTCATTGCAATACTCCTGGGGCTATACGAGGTAATATTCTCTTGGACGCTGACCACGCGTCGGATAAGTGGGAAAATACGGGCTGATACAGTTGGTAGATGATCATCGCCGGGGAGACTAATCCCGGCCATCATAACGCTCATGCTGGGGGCGTGGCAGCCATTCTGCAGATTGAGAACAGTCCGTTGAGTCTCCTGCAGGCTGCCAGGTCGGGCCATCCTCTGGTTCTCAACCGGATGGTGCAGGTGAGTTGTGCATTTCCCCTGAGCACAGGGATTGTGGAAACCTAATGGACTCTATTTCTAGAATAATGGGTTGTTCACCAGCTCCCGATCTGGAGGTGGAGGTCAAAACTTAGACTGCCTTCTCCTGAAACTTGGGTCTCTCTGGCAGAAGTCCGAGAATTTTCTGTCCACCTCTCCAGGACCACTGTTTTTTGACGAGCTGTACGGTCTCAAGGAGGAGGCAAAGACTCTCGACCAAGATCTTGCGCTCTGGCAAAAGGATCAAGGTGACGATTTCAAACCAACAACTATTGGCTACGTGAGCCCTGGCCAGGATCCATCCAGTCCCGGCGTGGGTTGCTGGTCAGGACGAGTTGACACATATGTTGACCTCTACGTTGCGGGAGTCTGGAATGTCTCACGTATAGCTAGATGCTTCTTGATCAACTTGGTGCTTAGGCTGTCTAGCATTCTCGACGGAATAGGAGACCACAGCCAGGAGCTGCAAGATGTTCTCCAGCAGCTGGGGGATATCATCGCCTCCATTCCCTATCATTTAACTGAGGATTTGCTGGGATTTGTCGCGCAAGGAGGGAAAAGCCCGAAGATAACCAGCCCCGGACGGCCAGTCGGAGGCTTACTTCTGTTACATCCAGTCTACGTGGCCTCTCAGCTGCCCGTGGTTCCAGCTGAGATGCAAGTCTATATGCGGAAATGCCTGGCATGGATCGGAACGCACATGGGGATTGGGCAAGCATCGCTCCTTGCCAAGGTCAGTAACCCTCCTGATGGTTTGCCGTTCTCTTTTTTTTCAAGCACTGGTCTTCTTATCTATATGTATTCGGGCTAACCTGTGAAGGCTCCACAAATCGAGGGCCAGTATTTCGTCTGTGGATGCATGATTATCTGGGCGGGGTTGCTTGTTTGATTGAGACAAGGCATGCTGAATGTGCTTATCCTACTGTGATCAGAATGGGAACGGGGGCCAATTGTGACAGCTAGACGGTTAATAAGTACCAATATGAGACAGCATGATTGGCAATTTAGCAACATACAAGGGCTATTCCTCTGAAGACTCCTGAGATGATGTCTATACGAGATCTGCCTCTCGCTCAGCGTACCCCTTGATTGTTTCCTTGATCATTCCATTGTAATCAAAATGCCAAATCTTGTAAGATCGATCCTTGAGCTCTTCGAAACAAGTCTCGGCCTTGACCCATTTTGCTGGATCCGCCCACTCTGGCTGATGATAAAAGTCACAGGCCCTTCGACTACTATTGACTAGCCATTGGCTTCGAGTGCGTCTGACGGCATTGAACGTCTCAAATGCTGCACGAAGCGCTTTTCCCTTTGAAATCCCGTTCTCCTGTACAGACGTGTTCACTTGCCTCAACAGAGTGGAAAGGCACAGGGCATCCTCAATACCGACGCAGGCTCCCGCGCCATGATGAGGACTCGACGCATGTGCAGCGTCTCCCGCAAGACAGATCTTGCCCCGGTTATAGAAAGGAGCGGGATAATCCCACAGGTCAAAGACTGCCCACTTGTCCAGTTTCTCGGGGAAGAGGCTGACAACGTTGCGAACACAGGGGCTCCACCCCGCGAACGCCGACTCGATATCCTCCCGCGAACCTGGCGCAACCATTTGCTTCTCTTCAGGCCATTCATTGGGGTCGGAGACGAACGCAGTCGCGTTGATCATATTCTTATTCGCGACCGGATAGTGGATGAGATGGGCATTGGGCCCAACGTGGTTGTGCTGGTTCTTTGCCTTGTAGTCACCGAGTGCCTTAATCGCGTCTTCCATGGGAATCAGCGTCCGATAGGCAACTTTGTGGGTATAGTGAGGATAGGACGCTGGGTTTCCTTCTCCCAGTATTATTTCTCGCACTCGAGATTTGATACCGTCACATCCGATCACTAGAGAAAGCTCCAGTCAGTATCACGCGCGAAAAAAGCCATACAGGCGAGGGATAAAATGAACAACTACCTACCAGCATCTGTTTGTGCCCTTGTTCCATCCACAAAGGTAAGGGTAATTTTCTCCTCCAGACTCCGCTCTTCGATCCTCTGCACACGCTTCCTGCATTCGATCACCTCTGGCGGCACGACCTTGACCAGGGCTTCCAGGAATTGGTCTCGACGGCACCCTTCGAACCCTCGATACCCCGCGTCTATTTTGTACAGCATGCGCTGGTAGTAAGGGTCGTCCTCGCGGTGTTGATTGTAACCATCGATCCATCGTAGATAGTCATTCGGCTCCTTCTCATCACCATTGGAGGTGGCCACCGATCCGCTCAGTCTCAGCGCCGTCACGATAGCGGGATCGATCTGTTCCATGCACCGGATAGCATTTGCGGTAAATGCAATACCAGCGCCTATCTCGCGGAATCCCTGGGCTTGCTCGAAGACGCGAACTTTAACATTTTGGCGCAAGAGACCTACAGCCAGGACAATGCCAACAATACCGCCGCCGATGATGGCGACTTCTACGGATTCTCCGTGACGAACGGTACCTGGCATCGTGGGAGTGGAATCAAGTAACAGTAGAACTCACTAATGTTGGAATCCGGAGAAAAAATAAAATTAGTCTTGGAACTACACAGTTTGGAAGTAGTGGTGTTACATATACCCCACTGTCCTTATCAGATTCAGCCGGAGTGATGTACAAGCACCTGTATTACCTACTATATCAGTGGCACAGCCTTCAAGTAATATACGACAGCTAGTTATGACCTGAATGTAGTCATAGCAGTCCCCAGCATTATTGCATGACCCACCGGGGTAACCTGCTCCAGCTTCAACCAACCCAAACATGAACCAACCCTGGTCCAAATGGCCACTCGGCCCTCGGCGGAGTAACTCACCCCCGAGCAGGGAACTCTCTCACAACCCCAGCATATACCACTCTTTTCCCTGCATTTAAGCTGAAACCTATCCTCTTATTTACTGGAAAACATGCGAGCCAAGTAATCCGGGCCCACGAGAGTTCTGCCGGTTCGCATACAGGGTCAGCCTATTACAGCCCTCGTGGCTAACGTGCAACTCGTAACAAGAGGGTCCGGGAAAGTCAGCCTCGCTCAAATCGGAGAATTTGATAAATCATTGTCCTGTAGCTTTGCAAGGGTACAACGTGCTTATTCGCGTGGGGCCTGCATGCAAAATAAAACCCCCGGAGGTTGTCTCGGAGTAACCATACCATGCTATATATAGACATACTCTCTGATATATTATCTAGCAGGTAGGTTCAATCCCATAGCTCGGAGTATCGTGTGTAACTCTAAGACAATAATCTTACCTTTGCACGAGGTGACACTTAGGTGGTAATTGACATTGCGGTTCTAGGTGACATCGGGACCGACGGAGAGCGTTGTCATGAGGGCCAGCTGAAGGGTGGTGAAGCTGTACTTTACGCTAATTTACATTTCCAGTTCATCTCGGACTGGAAATTCTCCCACGGTCTTATTCCTGGCCACAAATTGCATGTGTTCTATTGATAATACGGAATTTGCTGTGGTTCGGACGACTATAACTCTCGTAGTTGCTGACATCCTCCTCGACTCGGGCCCAAAGATGTATAGTGACTCTGCACAACCTGCCAGCCTGACAAGAAAGATAAACAGTCCGCAATATATGAAGCCTGCACTTTAATTCCCTTATATCATTCGATCTTCTTATACATACTTTCACCTGTTCGACGAATCCTTCTACACGGACGTACGCCAGCTGAGTTGTACACTGTTGGCCTGAATGAAAGTAAACATCTCACACCTGTCTAGTGCCTCTCGATAGAGTTTGATTCCTCTCGATAACCAGATTCTCAACAACATCTGCTATACTTTCTTTCCCTCCTCTCCACTCAGAATAGAATATATACACAATGGTTGATCTCCAAGACATCATCAGATGGCAGACATCACGGTCCGAGGTCCTGCTTTTCGGACCCCTTGCCCTGTCCTTCGACAGCGCTGCCTTTGACCAGCTGCGGAAGGCCATCGGCGAGAATACGGAACAACACTGGGCATTGGAGGCCCTGAGCAACCTTCCTCAGTACTATACGACCATCGCTGCAGCTCTTCCCGGGGTCAAAACCAACTCTGGCCTCCAACAACTCGAAGATCTCAAAGGAGCCCTGCATAGTGGGAAGCCTCTCGCAACCACATTCCCCCTCCCCAATAGTCTTCTTATCCCGCTTATTGTTGTTCTTCACTTGACTCAATACTCTATGTTTCTTGACCGTACTAGTGCAGAGGTCGACTCCGGCATTGACAGGTATGCTGTCTCTCATCACAACAAAGAGACCGTTGGCTTCTGCACTGGGCTCCTCAGCGCCATGGCAGTATCTAGCGCGAGCAATCGGACAGAGTTCTATAAGTATGCGGCTGTTGCGGTCCGCCTCGGACTGCTCGTGGGTATGGCAGTAGATGCTCAAGATGCATCCTCTGGTCGGAGCAAGTCCTTCAGCGCTTGCTGGAATTCGTCTGAGAAACGTGAACAGGCCCAACGCATAATGGAAGGCTTCCCTGAGGTAAGAGGATATTCCCAAGCAGCTGCTACCTGGATGTCCCGGCTTATTCTAGCTAATCGAGCTTACAGGCGTACATCTCTGTCCACTATGATGAGGATCGTGCGACTATCACCGCGCCAGCCTACACCATTATCGATCTACAACAGCGCCTTCGAGCCTCCGAGATCGTGACGGCGGAGGTGGGCCTAAATGGGCGCTTCCACGCTGAAATCTATCAAGATCAAGTGACATCGATTGTTCGTTTCTGCGACTCGCATCTTGACTTCCAGCTTCCGAATGCATCCAAAGCTGTTATTGCCACACGCTCCAATGCCAACGGTAAGTTTGTGCGTGAAGGGCCCCTGCACGAACACGCTTTGCGGTCTATCCTGAGCGAACCCCCGCAGTGGTTCAAGACATTCGCTGCTGTGCGCGACGCCGTCATGAAGGACGAGCAGACAATTATTTTGTCCTTCGGCTCCGAGCGCTGCGTTCCACCATCTCTTCTGCGGAGCCTGAACCAGAGGGTCGTGACCGTGGCAGAGCTTGACATCTTTACAAAGGATCACTACGTTTACTCCGATAATGACATAGCCGTGGTCGGAATGTCATGCAAGGTGGCTGGTGCGGACAACCTCGAGGAGTTCTGGGACTTGTTATGCTCCGGAAAGTCCCAACATAAGGAGGTTCCGAAAGAACGATTCGGGTTCGAAACTGTTTTCCGTAAAGCTGATCCAAAGAGGAAATGGTTTGGTAATTTCATCGACGGGCATGATCAATTCGACCACAAGTTCTTCAAGAAGAGCCCCCGCGAAAGTGCAACGATGGACCCCCAACAGCGCCACTTACTTCAGATCGCCTACCAGGCGGTCGAACAATCTGGATATTTTCATTCTTCCAATCCTGACAAGCAGGTTGGTTGTTACATGGGGGTTTGTGCCTGTGACTATGAAAATAACATTGCCTGTCATGCCCCCAATGCGTTCTCTGCCACTGGAAATCTCCAAGGCTTCATCGCGGGCAAAGTCAGCCATTTCTTTGGATGGACCGGACCCGGCCTCACCATTGACACTGCCTGTTCATCCTCGGCTGTAGCTGTGCATCAAGCGTGCAAGGCGATTATCACTGGAGAGTGCACTGCTGCCTTGGCTGGCGGCACGCACGTCATGACAAACCCTTTGTGGTTCCAGAACCTTGCAGGAGCCTCATTCCTCAGCACTACAGGACAGTGCAAGCCTTTTGATGCAAAGGCAGACGGCTACTGCCGAGGCGAGGGTATTGCGACCGTGTTCCTGAAGAAGCTCTCTGCTGCAGTTGCCGATGGGGACCAGATCCTCGGTGTCATTACAGCCACCGCGGTGCAGCAGAACCAGAACTGCACTCCTATTTTCGTGCCCAATGTGCCGTCTCTCTCGGACCTCTTCCACGTCGTGGTGAAGAAGTCCCGACTCCACCCTACGGACGTCACGGTAGTTGAGGCCCATGGCACTGGAACTGCTGTCGGCGACCCGGCTGAGTATGACAGCATTCGGTCAATGCTCGGTGGCTCGAGTCGACAAAAGACACTAGCCCTCGGCTCTGTCAAGGGCCTGGTCGGCCATATTGAGTGTACTTCCGGTATCGTCTCTTTAATCAAGGTGCTGCTCATGCTGCAGAAACGAATGATCCCTCCCCAGGCTAGCTACACCACCATCAATCCGGCGATAAACGCCACACCTGCGGACAAGATCAACATCCCAACAGCCCTTCAAAACTGGGATTCGGATTTCCGCGCGGCACTTATTAATAATTATGGTGCGTCTGGGTCTAACGCCTCCATGGTTGTCGCCCAACCACCCGCTGTTAGCCTTCAGCGAAGCTCAGAAGTTCCTGGTCTTAGGTATCCGTTCAGGTTCTGCGGTCTCGACGACCAAAGCCTGAGCCGATACTCGAAGATCTTCCGGAAATTTCTTAGTCGAAAGAGCTACTCTATCCAGGATCTGTCGCTGCCGAATATCTCCTTTAACTTGAATCGCCAGAGCAACCGCCAGCTAGACCGGACTCTACTCTTCAGCGTCCAGTCGTTAGATGAACTTGAGCGGAAGCTCATGGGATTTGAGAATGGCGATGACAGTGTGGCATCACTCACACTGCCCAAGTCGAGGCCAGTCGTCCTCTGCTTTGGAGGCCAAGTATCAACCTTCGTTGGTCTGGATCGCACGGTGTACGACCGCGTGGCTGTGTTCAGGAAGCACCTCAATACTGTTGACGCAGTCGCTTGCTCCATTGGGGTTAAGAGCATCTTCCCGGCCATCTTTGAAAGCACACCCATCAGCGACACTGCCCACCTACAGATCATGTTGTTTGCATCCCAATATGCCTGTGCCCGCAGTTGGATTGACTCCGGCATTGAGCCTGTCGCTGTGGTCGGCCATAGTTTCGGTGAACTCACTGGCCTTTGTGTTTCTCAGACATTGTCGCTTGTGGACGCTGTTAAGTTGATCGCAGGCCGTGCAACCCTGATCCGGGACGCATGGGGCCCAGAGAAAGGTTCTATGCTCGCAGTCGAGGCAGATCGGGCCGATGTAGAGAAACTGCTCGTTGAATCTAGCGCGGCATGTCGAGATGTAAAGCCTGCCACGATTGCCTGTTATAATGGACCGCGAAGCTTCACTCTTGCTGGATCAGTTGCCGCCATTGACACAGTGGCCGATACCATTTGCAAGCCTGCCTTCTCATCCATGAAGAATAAGCGGCTGAACGTGACGAATGCCTTCCACTGCGCTCTTCTCGACCCTCTTCTTGATCGCCTTGAGGAGAGTGCCAAGGGACTCACATTCCGTGAGCCTGTGATTGCTGTCGAGAGAGCAACGGAGTCCTATACAGCGGAAAAGCTTACCCCCAGATTTGTTGCTGACCATATCCGTTCTCCGGTGTTCTTCAATCATGCCATCCAGAGGCTGGCTCAGAAATACCCTTCTTGCGTCTTCTTGGAGGCAGGTTCCAATTCGACTGTCACGAACATGGCTGCTCGTGCACTCGGCAATCCAAGTAGCTCCCACTTCCAAGCCGTCAATATCACCAGCCAGAACGGGTGGAATAACCTGGTAGATGCCACTACATGCCTGTGGAAGGCTGGGTTGAGCGTTCATTTCTGGGCCCATCAGTCCACCCAGACAAAGGAGCATGCTCTTCTTTTGTTACCTCCGTATCAATTCGAGGATTCACGTCACTGGACCGAGCTCAAGAGTGCTCCGACACTGTTGGAGGCGCCTGCAGTGGCTGACATCAAGAAAGAAGACTGCAAATTGCCTGACAATCTACTCACCTTCGTCGGTTACCAAGACAGTGGCAAGCATCTGGCCAAATTCCGGGTCAACACCATGATATCCAAGTACGACAAGCTAATCCAAGGACACATCATCGCACAGACAGAGCCCATCTGTCCTGCAACCGTTCAACTCGACCTGGTCATCGAGGCTATCCGGACTATTCGATCGGAACTTGCGGTCGCTGGTCTGGAGCCTCAGATTCACTCTGTCGAAAACTTGGCCCCCATCTGCGTAAACCCGTTGCGCTCTGTCTGGGTTGAAATAACGGCCGACGACGTAGCCCAGGGTACATCTTGGGGGTTTCAGGTCTACAGCGATGATATCCAGAACGGGTTCTCCAAGACGGTCCATACGACAGGCCGAGTCATCTTCCGTTCTCTGAATGATGTGTCTCTGAAGTACGAATTTGCTCGGTTTGAGCGACATTTCAGCCACCAGCGGTGTGTTGACCTCATGGGGAGTGGGGAGGTCGATGAAGTCCTGCAGAACAGGAATATCTACAGGATGTTTGCAGAAATCGTCGATTACGGAGAAGACTACCGTGGACTGCAGAAGCTCGTTAGCAAGGGTAATCAGTCCGCGGGATATGTCGTCAAGAAGTACAATCCCGAGTCCTGGCTTGATGGGCATCTGGCCGACAGCTTCTGCCAGGTTGGAGGTATCTACGTCAATTGCATGACAGATAGGGCTCCTGCCGACATGTTCATCGCCAATGGTATTGAACAGTGGATTCGCTCTCCGAGGCTGCGCCAGCAGGATCCTCGGCCAGAGTCTTACCATGTCCTGGCAACTCACCATCGCCCATCTGAAAAGGCATTCCTGACAGACGTGTTTGCCTTTGACTCAAGCACTGGAGCTCTGGTCGAGGTTATCCTTGGCATTAGTTATGTCAAGATTCCGAAAGCCTCCATGAGCAAGTTACTTTCCCGGCTCACGGTCAGAGATACTTCCCACAGATCCAGTAACGTCCCTGCTCCATTAGAGCCCGCTACTGTAGACCTGTTTGGGATCCCAGAGAGCCTTAGCACTCCACTACTGTCTGTGACTCCACCTCAATTGTCTGTTCCTTCTATCAAGCTGTCAAAGGTTAAGCCGGTGAAAGAGGAGAAATCGAACAAGGCCCAAATCGCGCAAAAAGTGAAGGCAATCCTCGCGGATCTCTCTGGTCTTGAGCTCGCAGAGATCAAAGATGGCAGCGAACTCGCCGACCTCGGTATTGACTCTCTGATGGGTATGGAGATGGCACACGAGATCGAGAAGGCATTCACTATCTCACTTCCAGAGAGCGATCTCATGGAAGTTGTAGACATTCCCAGCTTGCTAAAGTGCGTGCAAAAGGCTGTGGGAGGTGATGGCTGTGAAAGTGCCGAGCAGAGCGCGTACGAGTCGGCAGAGAGTGACGACAAATCCACCGACTACACTACCCCTAGTACTCCGGCTGAAGAACCACTTGACATGGACAAGTCCACACAAGTGTTCTTGGGGCACGATGATGCCAAGTTGGAACTTCCATTCGCGACGGTTATGGAAGCCTTCAATGAGACTAAGAGCCTGACTGATGATAGAATCGCGGAGTATCAGCAGACTCGCTACGTGGAAAGCGTCCTTCCAATGCAGGATGATATGTGCATTGCCCTTGTCCTTGAGGCATTTGACCAACTCGATGTTAAGATTCGAGATGCACCGACTGGGCAAAAGTTCGCACGCATCTCGCATCCAAAGAAGCATACCCGACTGGTTGACTACCTGTACAAAATGCTAGAGGATGCAGGTCTCATCAACATCGATGGAGAGGTCATCACTCGAACCGCCATCCAGGCTCCACGGCCCAGCAAAGAGATCTTTGATGAGCTGGTTTCTGGCTATCCCGACCAGAACGGCGCCGACAAGCTCACCTTCTACACCGGATCTCACCTCGCGGAGGTGCTACGTGGCGAGATAGATGGAATTAAGTTGATCTTCGGTACACAAGATGGACGGGACCTTGTTTCCAACCTATACGGAGACTGGCCCATCAACCGGCTCTTCTACCGTCAAATGGAAGACTTCCTGGAGAGGCTTACTTCTAAGCTGGACATGAGCCAGGGTTCGATCAAGATCCTGGAGATGGGTGCAGGAACTGGAGGAACCACCAAATGGCTTGCTCCACTCCTAGCCCAGCTTAACGTACCTGTTGAATACACGTTTACAGATCTCGCCCCATCCTTCGTGGCTGCTGCCCGCAAGAAGTTCTCCAAGCAGTACCCGTTCATGAAGTTCCGGACTCACGACATTGAGAAGGACCCTGCGGATGATCTTATTGGCACTCAGCACATTATCATCGCGAGTAACGCCGTCCATGCTACGCATAGTCTCACTGAATCCGGAAAGAACATCCGCAAGGCTTTGCGACCCGACGGGTTCCTGATGATCCTTGAAATGACCGAAAGGCTCTACTGGGTGGACATCACCTTCGGACTTTTTGAAGGTTGGTGGTACTTTGACGACGGCCGCACCCACGCAGTGACACACGAATCTCGGTGGGAGAAGGACCTACACTCCGCTGGATACGGCCATGTCGACTGGACTGATGGCGTGCGCCCCGAGAACAAGCTGGAGAGGCTCATCATCGCCTTCGCATCGGGCGCGAGGTATGAACGACTTCACAATTCCCGCCCTCTAGAAAGTCCTTCGGCTGACTGTGCAGCACGAAAAACAGTGGTCGATAGATACGTGCAGGAGATGACGGCCGGATTCGGGACTGCCACAGGGGATATTTCGTCAGTCACTATCCCTAGTCAAGGTTCCGAGGGTCGGTGCGTCCTAGTTACAGGTGCCACTGGTAGTCTGGGATGCCATCTCGTTGCGGAATTCGCCTCCCTCGTCGACGTCTCCAGCGTGGTATGTCTTAACCGTCGCAGTCGCCAACACCCTCTCGAGCGTCAACACCGGTCGCTTCTTCAGAAGGGAATCTTCCTTTGTGAGGAGGCTGCTATCAAGCTCAAAGTGTTAGAGACCGACCTGGCAAAGCCTAGACTTGGTCTCACCGAAGAAGAATACGAAAACCTCCTCAATAGCGTTACCCACATAGTTCATAACGCCTGGCTTATGAATGCCAAATGGCCTCTAAAAAAATTCGAACCTCAGCTTCAGATCATGCGCAACTTACTAAACCTCGCCCACGGTATCTCCCTGCGCCGACCGACAGAGAAAGTGTCCTTCCAATTCATCTCTTCCATCGCCACTGTCGGACACTGGCCCCTTTGGACAGGCAAGCGAAGCGTCCCCGAACAACATATGACAATCGACTCAGTCCTTCCCACAGGTTACGGAGACGCCAAATACATCTGCGAGCGTATGATCTACGAAACTCTCCATCAACATCCAGATCGATTCCGCGCCATGGTGGTACGCCTCGGGCAAGTCGCCGGCTCGAGCATCAGCGGGTACTGGAATCCTATGGAGCATCTTTCCTTCCTCATCAAATCGTCTCAGACTTTGAACGCTCTGCCTGATTTCGACGGTGTCCTCTCATGGACCCCCGTGGATGGGGTTGCGGGCGTACTCGTCGATCTCATCTCCCTACCAGACGACAAATCCCCGTATCCCGTCTACCACATCGACAATCCGGTCCGCCAGCCATGGAAGGAGATGTCGTCTGTGCTTGCGGATACCTTGCATATCCCTAGAGCAAATATCATTCCTTTCGAGGACTGGATGCAACGTGTCAAAGACTATCCACGTCAGGTTGAAGGTCCAGAGGGAGAGAATCCAGCGATTCTGTTGGTCGACTTCCTTGATGCCAATTTTATTCGTATGTCCTGTGGAGGACTTCTTCTGGAAACCAAGAAGTCCCGGGAGCATTCGAGCACTCTGGCCAATATGGGACCGGTCAATGAAGAAACCACGAAGCTGTTCATCAAAAGTTGGAAGGATATGGGATTTTTGAATTCATAAATAGCGTTGCTAGGTTTTTTTTTATATCATACTTTTAGGCGCAATATAAGGTGTTCAATTTTGAATCATTTCTGGAGTCATCAGCAGCCGTATCCGCTATAATCGTGATCGATTTCATAGGTAGTCCAGGGCTTGAAGCATATCAGGTCAGAAAGATCGTATGTTCCTAATATAAAAAGAAGAGAGTGGTATATAGATTACTATTACAAGTTGTACCGCGATATTACGTCGGTCGTCTCAAGTCCCGGTTTGAAGATATGCGGCAAATCATAATAAACCCATGGAACAAAGCCGGATCGATCTTGAGTCGATGGCTGATAAGGTGTCGAAATCGCATGACCAGCTTTCCCACATAATGTCGCCGTATTCTCGCATCAATGATCGCAGAGTCGCGCTCGTCAGCCGGAATCCCCCCGATCGTCACATCAAGCGAGGCCTTTCATGAGCACGTCAATTTGCTAGTGCCAAGGGGTATCAACATCGGAGACCTTAAGCAACTTGTCACTCAAACCGAACTTTAAATAGAGCTGTATGTCAAGAAGCTCCTCTATTGCCTTTTGAAGCGCAGCCACCATCAGGCCCGGAGTAATGTACAAGTAAATATAGGCGCCTCAATAGTCGAACCGTTTGGAGATTGAATGATCCATCGGCTGTCGGATCCGGAAGTTGCTCGCCGTTTGTACTACAGATGAAATGGCATCACGCCGGTATTCATCCACAGGCACAAGGATAGTCTCATCGCAGTGCCTCTGTTCTTCTATTACAGGTTTCATGGCCTCAGCGAGTACGGAAACGCCAAGGTCCCAGACCATGGCGAATGAGACTATGAAAACACATTTACGCATGCTTGTATGTTGCTCGACAGCACCATGGTCCCACCAGGCAGCACCGTATATCTTCCAGGTCTATGGGGAATTAATCTGCTCGGGATATGGATATTTTTCCACCTGGTGGCCAATTTCTAGAAAGCCCGCTGGGAAGCCAAAGATGTCCTGTCCAATGGGACCATAATGCAGGTTATGGACATAGTCATGGACATATCACAATCTTGGATCAACATTATCAGACGATTCGTGAGTTACAGGCCGGCAATCATAAACTCACTAATAAACATCAGTTCCATGAGATTAATGAAGAGACGGTTCATGCAAATCTACCAGCTTTTTGTATGCATCTTACCCAGCGGAGAGGTACTGCTGGACAGCAATAGAGTCTAGATGTGATCCTTCAAGGTGTGTATGCTCCTCGCAGTAAATATCCGGCCAACACATATAGAACTTGATATCCAGACTGGGGAGCTACCCTTCGAGTGGTCCTGTCTAGATCACGTATATCCCGATGGTGATTCCCCAACATTTGCACGACGATCAGCTCTGACATGCGCAGAGACAATCTTTCGCATCAACCCCAGACAAGCCAAATCTGGCTTCAACTTCTCTGTTGCGTGGGATTGTTTTCACATCAACTCTGTAGACAAAGACTCGGATGGTAACTACTTACTCTCCGCTCGTTATGCCTGGCAGTCCACAAAACCAATGGCACTAGGGGAGAGATCATCCGCATTCCATGTCTCGCCCATGTAATTCAGCTAAGTCTTAATCAATTACTGGGTAAAATGAAGGCAGTACCTATCAACAATGAGACTGAGATTGAGTGGTACGATGAGCGTGCATAATCAACACATCCTAAGCGCACAAACAGAGAGATAGTTGATACTCTGAACAAGGTAAGTCTCTCTTCCTCTCTTTTACTACAAAACCACCAAGATCTCACTCTATATTTAGATTCGGAACCTTGCCATCTTTATTAATGCAAGCCCACAGCGCCGTGAAGCCTTTTTACGCCTTCAGACCGAAGAGCCTCATCTACTCTCTATTCAGGATGTCCGTACACGATGGAATTCTACCTTTCTAATGCTCAGCCGTGCAAAGCGACTACAGGAGACCTTCAAACGCTACTGTATAACTCATGGATACCCCAATTCCAACTTGACAGAGAGGAGTGGCGCCAGGTCGACTACCTACTTTGTATCACCCAGCCGTTCTTCAAATTCACTACTACTCTCTCAAAGTCAAAGGTTATCACTATTCATCTCATCTTTAGTATCTACAATAAGCTCTTCAGTCACCTTGGGACCTCTGAAGAGCAGCTTCGCCGGAAGAGGATTCCCTGGAAGAAACTATGCTTCAAGCACTCCAAGCAGCAAGGGAAAAGCTCTCAGAGTACTATAAGATAACTGACCATGAGTGTTACGGTGATATTTACACAATTGCAACGATCCTGGCGCCGCCAAAGAAGCTTCGCTTCTTTAACACTAAGGATTGGCAAGGTGATGTTGACTACGCTGGACGATACCGTGGTCGATTAGAAGAGGAATTCTGGCGTTATAAGAGACGGCTTTCGGATAACAATAGCCCTCGATCACCTGGGGCTTTAGCTGATTTACTTAATACTGTGGATGAGATTGAGATGCTTTGTGACTCTCAGAACACTCTCCAACCGGAGGAGCCCCAAGGGAATAATGATGACGAGCTTGATCGCTATCTTGCCAAAGGTAAGCCTCTACCTCTCTATAAAGAACCTTCGAGTGATTGAAACTAATAAGCTAGGACTGATATCTCAACATTCTCGTATGTTCTGGAAGGAGCATCAAAAAGAGTTTCCAGTCCTTGCAGCCCTTGCACGGGATATCTTGTCCATTCCTGCTAGTGGTGCTGGCGTGGAGCGTCTGTTTAATTGCACGGGCGATATCTGGCATTATCGACGTGGGCAATTAAAACCGGAGACGGTCAAAGCGCTGATGCTTCATATGTGTGCAACAAAATTTGAGATTGAACAAGGGGAGATTGATTTCACGAAAGAGCTTATTTCAGTTGGAGAGGCAGATATTCTTGACCAGGAGAGAGGCTTAATACCACCTCTCCCTTCTCTGGATCCTATCAGTGATAGTGAGGAGGCCGAAGATGAAGATACAGTGGTTGAGATCCCCTCTCAGCTACTACAGCCTCAGGCTCAGAGTGAAAATACCAGACCTAAGAGACCTCGGAGTAGAAGCACCCAATCCCAGGAGAATGAAGTCATACCTGAACCGGCTGACCTGGAGAATACACAACGACCTTGTCGAGTACGGAAGAAGACCAGGATACCAGAAGGATTTGAAATTGGAAACCTTTAAGTGTATAATAGACCAAAGAAGAACACTACTATTTAGCTACTAAAAAATGGATTTTGGTAAGATACTCTATACAGACTGAATACTAGAAAAATACCAAAAAGACTGCATAAAAATAATCTGACTAGAAGGTCACGAGGCTTGGCCTGTTTGCTATGTTTATATAACCATTGGTTAACAAAAACCGCATTGCGGTCTTGAGCAGAAGACCACAACCAAACCGCAAAAATTTGCGGTCTTGATCTGAAAACCAAAACCATTTGGTTTTGGATATGGTTGCGGTTAACAATGGTCTTTGCGGTTAGTGCCGCAGTCTAATAACATGCTACCTAATAATGTATAGAATCATCATCCTCACATCTTGAACGCTTCCGATTTCTCCCTGATACTCGCTGCTGGGTCTCAAGCTGCTCAGGTAATGGAATATCTGTTTCATTATCAGATTGAACACCTTCCTGAGCCTCTATTTCCGCTTCAGATGCCACACTCCTTCGTCTTTTCCCTGCGGCTCGCTCCGAAAGTCCCTGTGTCGTAGGCTGTTCCTGGATGGGCGCCACATCCTCCTCCTCGTTATCACTGATCGGATCTAGATCATCAAGGAACTCCGCAACCTTTTCTTCGTTTGCCGCCTCTTTCTCTTCTTCTGAGAGAAAGGGATCAGACCTTGATGCACATATACACATTATTAGATCCTGAACAGTGGTCGCATTTAGTGACCCTCGACGGTAGTGACAGATGTCTCGGGCAGAGTTAAAAAGCCGTTCAACACCTGCACCAGGTGCTTGAATAGAAAGAATATCCCGCGCGACATTAGCAAGAGCTGGGTATCTACGCTGATTCTTCTTCCAGAATATGCGAGGAGAAATCTCAACAATATCTATAGCTTTACTTAATAAACGGTAAAGACAGATAGGGATATTACGTACCAGCCTCGAGATACTGTGTAAGCTCACCACGCTAGACTAAACGTTGAGCCTTTGCCCCTTTTAGAGACATCTCAATCGCTGATATTGGTAGCTACGACGATTGGGCCTGTGACAACGTCTGTAGGTTGGCAAGACGTTCTTTATATGGCTCCATATAGGCCTCGAAGCTTTGACGATATATCTGGCGCCAGTCGTAATCATCATCGCAGTCCTTCCCTAAAAAGAGCTGTAGCTTATTTTCTGATGCAAGCATTGTACCAATTGCAAAGAGATCGCCATGAGTCTCATCCGTTTTGCCGTAGTAATCTGCAAGGTTGTCTCTTGTTGCGCCTAGTGCCTTTAGCATTAGCTGTTTCCAAGGGGCTTTCTTCCGTTGCAGCAGACTTGGAAGCACAGCAGTTAGGTCCACGCCTGAATGCGTTCCATGAAGCGGCTCAAAGCCAATTAAATCTCCCGGTAGTCCCAGTCATCATCGATAAAGTAACCAGTGACCGCCATAAATGCTTGTTGGAACGGAGATGTCCAGCAGTCAAGAGCAATAGGGGAGCTTTGCACCCGGAAGAAGCCTCCAAATAATATTTTGTTGGCGTTCCTTGACAATACTTCGAAGCCTTCCACTAACTGTCCTCACAGAAGGAAATTCGGGTAGATATGTGATTGAACAAGATACTCGTATAAACTTCTGGAACTGTGGATGCTCCACAATCTGAAACGGAAGCCGTAGAATAGCAATTGTATTAGTTTGCTCTTCTTCCCAGTCTTCTTTGCTGACTGCCCGATTGCTTTTCGAAGGTCGACTAGCCTAGTAATTTATAAGTACAGAGTATCCTACTTAGGGCCTATCGTACCTTATCTTATAGAAGCCGTCGAATACTAAACTGCTGAGCTTGTTGAGCAGCCCTTCAACATTTTTCTCCTTTTAAATGCCTACAAGTCGAGTTTGTTCCCGCTTTAGTATGTCCTGGGTGATCGAGAATCTTACCACATCGTTGACATTTTACCTTTGGAAGACCATCAGTTGCACAAGCATTCTGATCAAAGTGTTTCCACACAGCAGATAGATGCGGAGTTCGACCCCAACTGAATGATTCTGCCACGGGTCTTTTTCCATATGTCGTCTGTAGCCACCAATTGACAAACACCTCCTTATCTATACTGGTGTGTAGGACGAATTCAGTGAGATGATTAGGCTGAATACGCGTGAGAGTTAAGGGAATCGAAAGAGACTGAATAAAGTTAGAATCAGGTGCGGATGTAAATAACTACTGGCTAATATGCGGCTCGGGGGTAAACGGTACAGGGGCGTCAGAATCGATGTAGGACGAAGAAAGAGTCTCAGTAATAGTAGGAAGCGGAGTAAATGTAGCAGTAGGATCATCCCTGTATAGATGAGGATTAGATATCAGACTGTTGAGGCATAACAAGCGTAACTTAACAGTCTCGCGTGAGTGAATAAGGAATCAGGAGACTTACTAAGTCTTCTCTAAGCAAGCAAGCTAAGTATCAAAGGGGCTATCCATCGTAGTCAACCTATATGATAAGATCGATCTATCACAAAATAAACCTATCGCTATATATTCTACACGATCTAATTAGATTATACGGGCGGCCCTGTGCGGCCCGAGGCAGTGCCCTACGTAGACCTAGGCATGGCCCGGCCCATTTGGGTCGGGCCACGATTTGGCCCATTTGGCCCATTTAGCCCCCAGATATGCATAATTATGCAAAGTATCCAAATATCCTCTCCGCAAAGTGCAGATATGGTATGCCCCCCAATATCCTCAATCCTCAATTTTGTGGATATGGTATGTCGCTCAATAACTAAGGGTTTAGCAAAGTTGGGGGTGGCCTTAGCAATTCCCATTCAAGTCAAGAGCCGGTATTCTCATTCAGTGATACTTCATGAAGATGCAGTGACCGGTCGGTTTTCCACTCTGTCGCTCCTTTACATCAATTGAGTACATCACCAATACACACTAGAGAGCAAATCACGCAATCCAGAACACTTCCGGCCGGAGAAACTAAAGAGGGTACTTTCACCAGCATGTTGAGGTCTTTAACTCGGTTCCAAATCTCAAGAAGTTGCTCTTTTTGTCGATTTAACTAATAGAGATTATAAGGTGTTTTCCCCAAGTGAAATAACTAATTACTGCCTGAAGAAGATAGTGGAGTTAGTATTTTTAGCTTGATTTTTAACTTTGATATCACTGCTGCAGAATTAAGAGGAATAAGGCCAGTAGCTTTAAATCCACTTAATATATATTTATTAACGACATTGCTTTTGAGTGAACTGATGAATAAATAGATAGAAAATCTATTTTATTAATAGCTTTAATACCACTGCTCATCATTTCTTGCACTTTTTAGCCATAAAAGCGCTTTAGAGGTGCAAAACAGCTAACATCAAGCGATTAAAGGAGGTGAGATGAATAAGGAGGCATACAAAGTGGAATAATTAAATATTCTATGCAGTATTAATCAAATTCAGCAGTTGCATGGCTCCCGTGGCCATCCAAAATAAGCAATCGATATTGACCAACAGTGCGGGATCTTGTATGCTTGTCGAAGACTTCTTGTAGCCATTCCAATCCCAGATTATTATTGGTCCAGCCATTGTCGCTAAGACTTAATCGATAATCTTTAGGTAGAACAGAATACCACTGAGATTGATGTTTCTTCCCAGAAAAAATAATCTGCGGGGGTAGAACCCAGCCACTTGCTCTAATAGTCACAATCGATGTAATCCATTCTCTATTACCTGGTTGTATAGATCTAGCATCGGATTTGTGTGTTTCCACGCCACAGACAACTTTAGCAGTAGATGTAATTCCTATTTAAAAGCCAGTTTTATCCATATTATAGATATCTTATTCTAAAATACCATATTTTTGTATAGTATTTTAAACTAATTGAAACCAGCCCTAAATAACCTGTGGATCTTCACACTTTGCCCGCTGATAGTCATATCGACAATTATATCTTGACTTAATATTATCGTGGCGTAAAATAAATCGATTAACCTATTTATTACTAACTAGATCTAAGATAGAGGCCTGGGATAACAACAAAGACTTTTGACATGCAGATATTAAAAGTCCAGCAAGATATCGAACTTGGGAGATCCGCGGTGGTAGACCACACTCAGCCATATTAATAATCCATCTTTTTAATGTATCCTTTTTAATATTGGATAGCTTTTGTCCATTTGCGTCTATTTCTTTGCGGGAGGTTATTCCTAAAAATCAACGTTAAAGCTTTCGAATAGGCACATCAAATGTTCTAGCACAGGCAGCTTTTAATGTAAATTGGCTATTATTCCATGCTTTAATAGCCATTTTTATTCTTTCATCCTCTGAAATAGACGTCATTTTAATAATATTGATAAGAAAAGGCTTCAAAATATAAAGATATTGAGCTTCTAAAGGTTGGGGGGAAGAACTTCAAAAGAAGCGGTGAGCGGCGCGACATTCGGTGTCTTGCGACATTCGGTGTCCGATTACGTTACATAACAGATGCTGACTAAGACAGTGCAGACCGGCATGTAATGTACGGCGAGCGAACTACACCTTTTTATATCGCCAGGTCTCGTTCTCGCCATGTTGGAGATTTATCTTCTTTGAATTATTACTACCTGTTTATATTCTGTTTTTTGTTTTACGATATTCCTGTTATAATCTTCAATAAAAATAAAACTTTGTATATATTAATTCTTATCGCAAGACATGGGTAGTGATCAGAGCATTTATTCTCACCGCACCCACTAATAAACACAATTAAAGCACTCCTAATCATTCTCTCCGCAAGCCTGCATCATGATCTAAAACACCATCCGGAGACGTATTATCACCATCCTCTTTCACCATACCCTCCTGCACTTTCTCATTGTTTTTTATCCCCGAAAGCCCATAAACAGTAATAAAACCCATTCCCAGAACTGCCGAGACACACGAGAATGCCAAAGCCACAATTCCCCGGGCGGTAAACCCAGCCGGCAACCAGGGAAGCTGTTTATTCTGTCCCTTCAAGTCCAGCAGATCCTCTGTGTTCCCAGCCGCGTTACCCTTATACGGCACGTCCGCAGCATGACACGCCGCCCAATGATCTTCCGGTATCGACATTCGTTCTTGTATCTGCTGCGGCGCCTCAATCATCAACATCGCGAGACCTTGAGTAAGATGCCAATCAATATGGCAGTGGAAGATCCATACTCCTGGATTATCAGCCACGAATCGGACGACGAAGTACCCTTGGGGCGGTACAACAAATGTATCTCGTCGGGCGGGGTAGGTAGGAAACGCAGAGTGGTTTGATGAGTTGTAGGTGATGGGAGCATCGGCTTCAGCGTAGCTGTAGAATTCCTTACCTGCACCCCATGCAGGATATCGCGTGAGGAGCTGAAAGTTGTGTCCGTGGAGATGGAAAGGGTGAGAGCCGGTGTCGCCGTTGTTGAGGACGATTTCTACCACTTGGTTGTGGGATAGGATCATCGGATGTGTGAACTCACCGTAGACTTCGGGGTTCGTAGCGAGGTCGCCGCTTGAGAGGACTGAGTACAGAGTGGGTACTTTTGGTCTTGTGTAGGAGATGTTGTTGAAGAAGGCATAGCCAGCCCCGTTAGCGAGATTGTCCATCACAACGGTAAGATCAATCACCATGTCCGGGTCAGGGAGGAGAGACTGGTGATCCCAAGGGACGAGGGTGATATCGTCGAAGGGAACGAGATCGGAGGAATCATCGACTGGCATAACGGCCTGTGGATGAGCCGCACTGGCGTTGTACTCGAGCCAGTTCGTGTAGTTTAATTGCAGGTCCGGCGAGATGACATCTAGCAATGATGAATCGGCGATGGTGACAATAGGATAATTTTTTGTCGTGGAGTTCTTGGTTGTCACTAAGATTGCATACCGCTGCGCGACGGAAAGATACAGCATGTCGGCCTCCTTGGGCTCGGTGTATACACCGTCGATTTCGATGATTTTGAAGCTGTGGTCCTCTATATAGAAAAACATGCCGACGAACGCACCCATATTGATCAAATGCATCAAGTAGGTCTTGCCGGGCTGTACGGCAATACTACTATTTTGGGTGTCATTGACAAGGAACGAATCCGGTACGGGCTCCGCACCGGTTGGGTTGGTCACTGTGATGAAGGGGATATCCTCCACCAGCTGATGATACCAGTCGCTCATGGTGAGGGTAAACTCCTCGTCGTACATGTCCTTATAATATGCATCTTTATCATGTACGATCAATGCCTGACGGTATCCGTCCGGATAACAGGCGTCGGTATGGCAATGGTACCAGTAGGTGCCGTTCTGATTGACCGTGAAGTTGTAGGTAAACGACGAGCCCGGCGGAATAGGACACTGGGTTACCATGGACGGGCCATCCATGTTATTTGTGCCATTTTGGAACATGCCGTGGAAATGAATCGACGTGTCCTTGTCCCCTAGACCATTGAAAGCGTTGACCACCAATTGGTCTCCCTTGTCTACTTGTATTATGGGCAGTGGCCAATTGCCATTCACACCGACAATCTTCCGATCATGGAGACCATCTGGGTTTGCAGTAACCCAGGTGATGTTAAAGTCATAGGTGACAGTCTTGGTTTCGCAGCATTGGAAAAGAAGGACGATGGCTACGAGGCGGAACAGCCAGTCGCATAACAGGGTCACCATCCTGAGAGCTGCAACGGTATGTGAGAGTGAAAGCGAGGAAGAACAAGAGATGACTGCCCTGCTATCCCATGGGAAATATTCCTGAGTAATCTCACAGATAGACAAATAAAACTAGCACAGAACCATTCGAATCAGACCGGCCTTCGGCCGGACTAGAGTGGGGTGATAAGATTATCAATCTTCACGTGTCTGGAAATACGAACTTAGAGGGGAAAATTTCATCAGCCACAAAAATTTTCCATGGCATCCCATGGCATGATGCTTGTTTAGTGTATGTTTCACGGGAAGTCCCTGCTTTCCGACTTTTCCCTATCAATGTTGGTGCGCATTCCAAACAAACAGCACTTATTTTGCTCACACTTCCCCCCGTACCTTAGCGAATCTCGTCAAGTATTCCACCTGTTTCATTTACCTTAGCTTTGTGGCGTTGTTTTTATCTGATTACCTCTCTTGCCTCCACTGGACTGACAGAGCCGCTAAGCTTCGCTAAGTCTAGCCAAGCCTGCGCTAAAACCAAACTAGTAAAATTACGCATCCTTGTTGTGCGGTCGTAAATACATTTCAAAACACCATTGCCAACAATCAGTCTAGAATCGCCCTGATTTTGCTGTATATATTCCAAGGTATTCCGCTTCCTTTCCGTCCGAGACATTGCTGCATGCAGGCCCCGTCATCGTGAAGCTTTCCAAAATGGGCGAAAATAAGGTATTCGCTGTAACAGGCAAGCTCTCACCTCTTTAAGCTCTGAGGATCCACTTGACTGATATTTCGGTGATGGCAGTTTTCTTTATCTGCTTCAGAGAATGCCTGGAGACAACTATAGTTGTGTCCGTCCTTCTGGCTTTCTTGAAGCAGTCGTTAGGGAGGCCAGAGGACCAAAAAACGTATAAGAGTCTAGTGAAACAGGTATGTGAAAGACAAAGAAAAAACCAATAAAGAAAACCAAATGTGAAGTTAAAATCGAAAGTAATTTTGTTCATTCTACAAGATTCTAACTTATTTCATACAGGTCTGGATAGGATGTGGTTTAGGTCTGTTTATTTGTCTCGCCGTTGGAGCGGGCATGATTGGCGCCTTTTACGGCCTCGGTACGGATTCATTCGCTAAGACCGAGGATATCTGGGAAGGTGTCCTAGCCATCATCTCCTCGTTGATTATCACTCTCATGGGCGGAGCTCTTCTACGCGTTTCCAAAATGCAGGATAAATGGAGAGTGAAGCTGTCCAAAGCTCTGCAGCACAAAAACTACTCGAACGAGTCTGGAAGGGGTCGCTTGAGGCGGTGGACAGAGAAGTACGCGATGTTTATTTTGCCGTTTGTGACTGTGCTACGTGAAGGCCTCGAGGCTGTTGTCTTTGTCGGTGGTGTCGGATTGGGGCTTCCTGCCACCTCATTTCCTTTGGCTGTCGTGTGTGGTCTTCTGGCAGGCTTTGTGATCGGATACTTGATCTACAGGTATGTTCAAATATACATCAATCAGCCCTAGTCAACTCGAGTAACTAAGTCGACTAACTGATTCAAAGAGGAGGACGAGAAGCATCCATGCAAATCTTCCTGATCATTTCCACTTGTTTCCTCTACCTAGTGGCTGCCGGGCTGCTCTCGCGCGGCGTCTGGTTCCTTGAGAACAACGCATGGAACCTTCAAGTCGGAGGCGATGCGTCAGAAACTGGATCCGGCGCGGGGTCCTACGATATCCGCCAAAGTGTCTGGCACGTCAACTGCTGTAACCCGAACATAGGGGGAGGAGGTGGCTGGGGTATTTTCAACGCCCTGCTTGGATGGACAAACTCAGCAACTTTTGGGTCGATACTCTCGTACAATCTGTACTGGATCTGCGTCATGGTCGGCTTCTCTCTGATGCTCTACCGCGAGAGATGCGGTTCCATTCCTGTTATTGATCCGATACTTACTCGCGTTAAGGGGTATAAGGCAAGAGCTAAGGTATTTATAATTCGTCGGCCTGTGGAACATGACACGCCTCCCTTCGAGCCTGCTAATATTATTGAGCCGACTCTGAAGAATGGCTCTGGTGCTGGGAATTCGACGGTCATGCGGCCCAAAGTGTAGGGCTTAATAAGGGAATATATATATATTTATCCTGATTTGATTTACTGTTGGGATATGTTTATATTCTAAGTAACTGGTACTTGGAGGGTAAATGTAAGTATGCACAATGAATAAGTAGGCAAATTAAAACAGAAGGACTGCATTTATACAATGTGAAACCCTCCCTAGAAGCACGTTCAAGGTTGTGCTACGGGCAGTTCTTGAGTACAGGGTAGTTAATGGGAGAGGGGAAAAAAGGCTCTGCCAATGCCAACTAGTTAACTAGCGAAACTAAATTAGTCTAAGATATTTCACCGATCAGTAAATTTTGCAGATTGGCAAAATCCATCCAAGCACTTATTAGCTATTCTTCATGCCTCTGACACAGTAAAAGGCGCTATATAATAGAGGTTGAGTCCCCTTCTCTTCTTCCAGTACAGTTCTTAGCCCTTACCTTAATAATTATCACCCTCACCTGAACTAATTTCATAATAATTCATGTCATTAGCAGTAATATTGGTGCAGGGGCTGTGTGCTTGAAAGTCCGCTGACACTCCGTGTCCGAGATTACGTTAGGTAAACTAACTAGTTACCTTAATTCGAACGACACTGCACATTCTGTATACTTTGTTTATATCTTCTTTATACGATAAACTTATGTACTGAGTAAAATAGCGGTTAAATATTGTGAAGTTGAGAATAGATTGCCCAATCAACGTGGATAGAACAAATAAGCTATATCATAGAGAGAGGTGAACATTATAAATCAACTGTTTCATGACAAATATACAAAAAAGTTCAATGAAGACTAAGTGAGCTCAGCCCGCTTCAGAATTCAACTAAATCTTGCATGCAGGTAATGCGATATACAGATATCGCATATTTTAGTTGAAGTGGGCCTGTATTTCTTCAATGGAATATTCGATATCCTGTTCTTGTCGTACTTGGATTCCGCAGTTGATAGAAGCGGTAGGGTTACGGTACCCATCTCCTGGGGATACACTCTGTCTCTGGAGCTTTCACTGTCTCAAGTCCAAAGTCTTTCATGAACGCTCTAATTATTCATTGGATGATCTGGACACCCTCAACCGGCCCAACAGCACCAACAACCTGTCGAAATATCTCCCTTTCACTCAAAGTTCTAGACACAACTTCTGCATGCTCCTCATCCCTCGCGAGGAACAAACACGTCGTCCCGGTTCCCGCCATCAAACTCAGAAGTGCACCAGCTTCTCTCCCCGCTTGCAAAGCAACTCCAATATCAGCATCCAATTCCTCTGCCACCTCCTGAAGATTATTACGCAAATCTGGCACCAGAACATAAGCCGGTGTATTGCCCCAATCAACACTTAAACATTTCTCTAGTTGTTCGCGCTGACTAGATAATGTCTCCCCATACTGGACCCTCCTATCCAGGAATTCATCCGACTTCTCGAAAACAAGTTTCGTCGACAGACCCCGCGGCATGATCCCAAGCACCCAGTGCCACGTCCGCATGGATTGGGGATTAACATCCACGGGAATCACCGGGCGATGATACCCAGTACCTATCCCGACCAACCCACGGATAAAAAACGGGACATCTTCTCCGATTTGAGCTCCAATCTCCATTAACTGTTCCTCATCCAATTCAGTCTTCCAGAGATAATTACATCCGATCAATGCGGCCGCGGCGTCCGCACTTCCTCCTCCTAAACCAGCTTCAGTGGGAATGGACTTGACCAGGTCGAAGTGCAGGCTAGGATTTGCGATGCCGCAGTGACCGGCGAGGCGTTTCGCAGCTTTGATTACGAGATTACGCGCATCGGCGGGGATGCGATCGCTATCGATTCCGGTGGCTGTCATTGTGAAATCTATGTGGGGATCCTGGCAGGGGGATATGGTCATGCTGTCGTAGAGGGAAATGGCTTGGTATACCATTGTGATATCGTGGTATCCATCTTTGCGGAGGGCGCCGGCGTGGAGGTAGAGGTTCAGCTTGGCGGGGATTTTTAGTATGATTGGGCCGGAACAGAGGATAGTCATGGTGTGGAGTATATTCCAGTATGAGCTGGAGTTAATCGGGTGAAATAAGGGTACGGACAACACAGGACAGGGCAAGTAGTCACGCGACAGTCCGCTCATTACCGTTACTTAAGCACGAATCACAAATCAGATGCTTGCATGACACCAATGATGGCTGCAAGGTGGCTACACAAGCTGAGCATGAGTGCAATGTGCGGTGAGTGATTCGACCAACCGTATGTACAGTCATTCCATGTCGGCTCTCTAGGAAAAGATGTGCCCAGCAATCTCCGCCGTGATATCTATCGAGATTGCCAGTTCCCGCATATCTCATGCTTGAGTGGAAACAATCTAGGAAATGTACCTGATTCGACAATCGAAATGAAGATGGGGAGGTGGTTGGGGATAGTGGGGTATCCATATCTTATTGGCTCGGAATTGGATGCCTCGCTGGACTGCAAGGTCAATGTATCTCATAACTTGAGAATTTGTCTATGATGGTTTCAAGAAGGGTCAGCGCGTAGAACCTTGCAGAAGAGCAAAGCCTTTTGAGCAAAAGCAGAAGGTAGGCATATCAAGCACAGGTATTATCGATGGTTTGTTTTGTATAATAAAATGCCGGTTTATTCCAGAGCCTTACAAGGTATGATGCTGATCTTTCTATAAAAAGTAAAATGACTTCAATGCAGGCTGAAAATGGTGCCGGTCTTACAGGGGACGTGAAGATAGTCCTTGCAGCGTGGAGTAGGATTTCGCCTTCCGAGTTCGGTAAAGTACTGCGTCTGTCATCTACGAGCAAAATGAAACTAGTATATTAATATAGGATGGAATAGGTACAGAACTTCTCCTAACTTCCTCTTACTTCCCAAGTCAGAATTCACCACTGTATTTGAGCGATAACATATACCGGGAAGAAGATTGTTCAGGAAATCCGAAGAGAGTCGGATCCGATGTCTTCAGCACAACTCACTTTTGGCACTGTTCTCCTGGCGGCAGGGACAAGTACACGAGCAGGAAATAACCTCGGGTCCAAGGTTTACAGAGAAATCGCGGGAGAGACAGTTCTATCCCGCGTTGTCCGAGCTTTCCGGACATGGGATTCCAAACATCCCATTGTAATCGTGCGACACAAAGATGACGCGGCATCCCTTGCGCAAGCCCTTCTGGGGGATGATCCACATATCTATGAGACAGTCGGAGGAGACACGCGACAGTTGTCCACCCTGGAGGGATTGAACTTTCTGGCTTCACTCGAACATCCCCCATCACATGTTCTGGTTCATGATGCTGCTAGACCCTTTATCTCGTGTTCTTTATTAGAGAAAATTCGAGATGCACTGAGCAAGGAGCCGTATATCGGTGCTATTCTTGCGATCCCAGTGTCCGACACACTGAAGTCTGTTGACGGGCAAGGACAGATTACAAGTACGGTACCACGCGAGGGTCTTTATCGCGCACAGACGCCGCAGGCGTTTGCTCTGCGTGAGGCGCTCAGAATTCACAAACAGTTCGCTAGCTTTGGAAAGGCCGAATACACAGATAATGCCTGCCTCTTCGAACAGGCCGGTCTACCCGTTCATATTTTACTAGGCGAGGAGACAAACATGAAACTCACCTACCCGTCCGACTTTGAGCAAGCAGAACGCATCCTTCTAGCAAGATCCCAACCACCGGCATTATCTATTCCCGACGTCCGCGTAGGACACGGTTATGACACTCACCAACTCATCTCAGCCACAGAGATTACCCTCTGCGGAGTCCAGCTCCCTCACACCTCCGGGCTACTTGGTCACTCGGACGCCGATGTAGGCCTGCACGCTCTAGCCAATGCGCTGTTGGGTACTATCGGGGCCGATGACATTGGTAGCCACTTTTCGCCCTCGGATCCACGCTGGAAAGGCGCTTCGTCGGTTCAATTCGTTCGACATGCTAGGAGACTTGTGGTTGAGGCTGGTGGGGTTATTACCCATGCGGACATGACATTGATTTGCGAGAAGCCTGAAATCGGACCACATCGCGACGCGTTGAAGATGTCAGTGGCTCGTATGCTGTCTTTAGATAAGTCACGAGTGTCTATCAAGGCTGGGACGAATGAGAAAATCGGCTTTGTGGGAAGGGAAGAAGGAATTGTCGGATTTGCTACGGTGACAGCCGTGTTTCCCGAAAGCATTGCCTTGAGTCCTAGAGTAGAATATGATGACAGGGACCATGATAGGGACGAGAATCTGACCAATAGTGTCTAAATTTTGTTGTCAGTCGCAAGACAATCTTCCTATTTCATCCTTCAGTTGCCCCGATATTTAACCCCTCCTGCTTGCCTTTCCAACTGGCAATAGTCAGAGGGAAAGGAAATCCGTTGTCTCCATTTTAACGAGCCTACCAATCAAGATAGGTCTAATAATTTGGAATATCTTTTCTGAAAAAGGAAAGCACACTAAAAGTCTGGATTGTGATGTGTCCTGTAAAATGTCAGATTATGACAATGATGCTAGGTACAGAATGATAATTATTCGTGTATTTATTAAGTAATATATAAAGGCCTATTCTTCTTGAAACTGTAAGGCTCTCAATCGCTTCACCTGTACTTGTCTTTAGTAATTTGCCAATATAGCTATTTTTCCTCTCACTTGGAGGGATGTACAAGGTAGATTAAAACAAGGGACACTAGTGGATGGGAATGGTAGCATGAACATTAAGTACCTTTACCGCAGTCTCCCCGTCAGTTCTGCCTGCCGCATGACTATAGTTATAATTCCCGCTTGCCCGGATGACATAAGTAGGGCTATTCACGATCTCGCGATCCTGACGATCCTGGCGATAATTATCACCAGATCGCTGACGGTATCGCGAATCGTCTAGCCTTCCCAATCAATACTAGCTAATTACTCGAGGATCGTTAATTATCTAGAAGTAATTGTAAAGGACTGGAGCCCCTTCACGCATTTGTCGATCGGCGATAGCCCGCGCTGCCTGAGCTTCCTTCTCTGCCAACCGCTAGGGCTTCCGCCGTAGTTGTCTGGATTCCATTAGCACCCCCCGCAATGGCTGCGTCAATTGCTTTAATTTCCCTTCAATAACCAACATATTGCTGTTGACTGAAGGAGTGGACGCTTTGAAAAAGATAGGAAGGAGGATTGGCTAGAAATAGTGACTGAAAATTGAGACAGATCTTGTCGCTAGTTAAACTAGGAGGGAATAAACAGTCGGAGTTTGGCTTTATATATTGACATTGGCGATTCGTCAGACAGTGCAAAAGTAACAGAGATAGCCCCCTCTCCTCCCGATATAACATTAATAACTAATGTCTCAGCTACAATGCAACCAGAGACATGATTCCGTCATGAGTCTAGCCAATTTGGACAATAAACATCATGCCGAGGGATTTAAAAAAATACATCAGCAGTAGCTTACTGCCACTGCATGGTCGAGGCGAACCACTCCCCTCAGTGCGTCGAATGAGTAGCTGTTTCATAAGATCATCGTGTCTTCTCTAGGTCTCAAACGTGACACATTTTCTCTTTCTCTGGATCATGAAACTAACCGGCGACAGACAGTATGGCAACATACATGCATATAAATGTAATGCGTTGATTAATTGATATAGCGGAAGTGGACACTACAGCATATATCCACTAGACTGCACTTCAGCTTCGAGCTGTCAGCTCATAAGCTAAACGTAAACACACCATTCTCCTCGTCAATATATACAGTAGCATAATCATCTAAACATGCGAGTCGCCCCTCGTTTGAAACCTCTTGCGACGGAACTGATAGAGCGATGTCGGCCGTGGCCTTGTCCAGACTGACCTGTACTAGGGTGACAGATTGACATTGGCTCCCGTTCTCTGCACTCTCGAATAAGAGATGTAAAAACTGCTTCCACGTCTTCATGGACTCTGGATGACGATTCAAAAAACTTGCAACCATATTGGTCTGCCAGTGCCTGGCCCTCTGCTAAAGTAATAACCCGCTGGTTGTCTGGTGTGACATAGGTCATATCCGCAACCACGTAGATTAGTTTAGAAGACACAAATGTATTCTCTGCCCAGAAGATCCTGGTTCCCTCCTCATGGAAAAACTTGCAAACCTGCAAGAAATTCATGTTAATACCGCTGAGATGGGGTTTATTGTCCACAATAGGATAGGAAGAAGTCGCACAAACTCGAAGGATTGCAAGCTGTAGCTCCGCCGGTAGACGAGGGAAGCAGGTGAATTTATCAGGTATCTGCTGCTCTGTATGATGCATGGAGGAAGGGCCCTCCCGACCACAAATCCTGGCCTTGAGCTTCCGCAACGCGCTCCGGGAAGTACCTCCTGCAGACGGGCCGGACGCGGCCACTATTGAACTAGGCGCATTATTCTCAGATATATTTTTCTTGTACGTATTCTCCATGAGTAGATCAATGGCTATCGAAACAGATCGAAACTCTTTCCGAGAAGTCACGTCGTAAAGCAAGACAAAGCCATGGGTCTGTTGACAGAGGAATTGCTGAAATGCAGAAAACTCTCCAACAAAACTCGCTATGTTCATCGCGTCCAGGTCCACAAGGCAAGCCTTCCCATCGATTGTACGCATAGCTCGCCAGTCCCAGTACGAGTGAGGGCCGTAACCACTTAGATCAGCCCAAGAGTGCTCTGCAAACTAGCAGCCTTTAGTTGGGCTGTCAGTTCAGCTTGGGGATGTATGTACTTACCTGCATACATATTCCGGTAGTGGAGCAACAAAAGCCTCCCACAACCCTAATCCTTAATACTTCTACAGGATGAGGCATCACAGTGTAAAGCTGAGATGGAATAAGTCTGATGAATGATGGATAATGGATAATAGAAGCTTGGGTGGCTGACGGAGTCGTGGGGTCGTCGTGTTTGACAGTAGCCAGACTAAGAACTAGCCAGAACGAGTTAGTATGATGAGTGGCATGGTAGTAAACTGGAAGACGCTCGCTTCGCAGGCTGATGCCCAAAAACGACGAGAATCAATTGAAAGAGAAACGCCCAGATTTTTAATATGAATTTGTTGAGATATACTCCGCACTGAGACCATGGACTCTGTGGTGTTACAACATGTGTAGCTTTCTCCATTCATAGTAGAAATTTTCATCTTTACCTATATATAAAATTTAAGACAGGACTATCACTCTCAATGTTAAGAGGCCATCTCCCTGCGGATGAACCCTTGACACACAAATGCCTGCTTAATCAACTTCTTGTAAGTCATGTCCTCGTGGCACGGGTGAACCACTTCTGGAGACTATGAGGACTCGGAGGGGATTGTTTTCGATAAACTGTTATGTAGGAGTTGTTGATCTTTTTGTTTTTGACGTGAGGTAATGCGTTCTTCATCAGGCGGTTTAGCGATCACCACAGCTCCTGAGGGTTCTGCCAAAACTTGTTCTGGAGATTGATTATGTTCAGCTTGAACAAGTGCTTGAAGGTGTACGGTTGGTAGCAAATTATCCTTTTCTTTCCAATCTCTGAGGGTGCAAGAAGAGGACCTAGCTTTTGGATGGTCAAGCCTCAGTACTTTATTGTGGAGCTCAACGCATTGTTCCATTAAATCCAAGGCATCTTGAACCTTACCTTGGGCTTTCCAGGTACAGGCCAGGTTCTTCATGCTGCTCAGAGTGTCGGGATGCTCTAGCCCCAGCACCCGTTTCGGATCTCCATCACCTGCATCCCCAGCTTCTCTGCTTCCTTGTATCTTCCATCCTCATGCAGGCACCGCCCAATGTTCCCAATGAAACGGATGTATTTCTCCTGCTCTTTTTGGATGTCACCTTCTCCTATTAGTGAGAGGGCATGCGGTAGATATTCGCCACAGCTTTCGATTGGCGTGTTCGTCATCCAGGAAAGCTTCACTTAATCGGCCCGCTGCTTTCTGTATTTGCTGACTATAGTGTTGATTCTGCCTTAACCAGTTTCGGGTTGCAAGATGGACTAGTCAATGGAGACTCATAGCATGGTCTCTGACTTGTTCATTGACCAAAAAGGAAGCCTTAAGCAAGCCAATTGCATCGATTCTCTTCCTTTTGGGGTGGCTAGGGGAAGCTAAGATAGTGGAATATCACGTGGATTAATGCAGGCCATGAATAATAGATAGTCAGCTGCCACCGGATTTAATAGCTGAATCTGTTGAAATGAGATTAACCATGTGGTAGCAACTGGATTCTGAATATCTTTATATCGCCCTTCATCTCCAAAGTCTTCGCTTAGCAGATCAATCACATCACACTCCTGTTCCTGAGGAGTGTGATGTATTCAGAAGGCTCAATATTGTTTTCATTGATATACGCGGCCGCTTGGTAAATTGCCAGTGGGAGAAAAGCCAGCTGGTTGAGAAGAGTAATGGTTGCGTCACTATCGTTAAGCAGATCTTTTTTAACCAGTGCCTTTTCCAGAATCTTCACGCTGGTCTCTGGATCTGGTTCGGAGACATGAATCACAAACTGAGACACTAGCTTTACAGCCAGCTTTCGATTACGAGTGGTGAAAAGGATACGGCCTTGCTCGCTTTGAGGCAAAAAGTCTGTCAGTAGCTGCGCATCACTGCTGTATTGGACCCTTATGTCTATATTATCAGCATTATCAAAAATCAGAAGCCACCGTCCTGCTTCCTTGTGGCTGAGATAAGCTTTCACTCTGTCTTTTGCCTCTGCTAGCTTCACATCATGGATCCCAACTACCTGTGCCACACTCATATACGCTTGTTCCACACTCTCAAGGCTTGTACATAGTATCCAGAAAATCGAGCATCTGTCTCGCATACAGTATGCTAACTTGAGCTCAATTTGAGTCTTCCCAACCCCGCCTAGTCCACAGGTTGCAATTTTGCCCGGCCCATCTTGTTGCGTAATTAATTTTTCAATTTTGGCAATCTTCTCTTCCCGGCCAACAAATCCCGGGTTGTTCCGAAAGGGAACCATCCAACAAAAATTGCCCTCTAATTGTCTCTCTATGAAACACATGTTTAGTAAAGTAAACTTGACTGTGAAGCTGCAACTAACCTTTTCTTGTAACAGGTCTCCAATACTCTAGGAATGTTTTGGCAGTAGAAGCCCAGTTGCTGCAGCATGTGCCTGCCATGACTTATTTTTGTGCCTGTCTGCGTAGTCACAAACACCCTTAATAATAATGCATGAAACATTATCCCATACTCCTGCTCCCTCCATTTCAAAACCAATCATACAGTCTCTTTTCACAAGATTATCACGGTGTTCTCCGGATTTCATCACTGTATCTGCGGATGCAATTGTCCCAATATGAGTTTTGTCTTGTCGACTTCTGTGTGGTGTAGGCAACGACGGATTTGGTTCTTATCACAGCCCAGACTATTACAAAATGCATCCAATGCTTCTTTGCAAACACTATCTGATGAGTTGTCATCAAAACAAAGACATCTGGAGGAAGAGCATTGCCCATAGTGCTTGTGTTGATAGGACGCTTCGAATAGCACATCATCAATACCATCAGGATAACGCCATTTTGCATCTGATTGCTGCATCGTGTGCAGATGTTCTAACGTCTGCTCTTAAAACTCTTGCCGAGCTCGAGTCGCCTTGAGGTTTGCAAGGAGCGTCCGGATTTCTCGGTTTGGTCTTCCAAGCGTATCCTTCACGTCAGTCTTCCGCTGGAAATCACCCGGGTATTGCCTGCCAAAATCATATTCAACCACTGCATCACTCATAATGACATCACCCAAAAAGACCTGCTTCTCAGTAGATGGATATAGGGCACCTCCACAGATACCAACAATCAGCGCCACTTGGATTCCGGTGTAGCTCACTTTGAGGGTTGAAGCTACGCTGGCGGCGCTTCCTTCCCCATTCCTGGCATGTAGCATAGAACACATTATGCTTCCCGATCCTTCCATTTATATATGCATTGTCGTCTCCGGGTTGTTTCTCATAGACCCTGCCCAATCTGTCATATGTTTAGTCAAAAAGTTCTTCGACAGCGTCGGCCTCCAGGGTCAGCGCGCAGAGAGTCGCAATCGTAAAATCGGTACAGCTCTTCGGCCGCATTTTGAGTTAGTAGTATGGCTTAACGAAGTTCGAGGAGAGATATAAATAGGGTAAGTATTGGACAAGTTTATGATCTTTGAATAATGTAGTACATAGCAAACTTAGATGGCCCGTAGGTGACGTGTTAAGGATTTTGACACTTTGGCGCTGATATTCTGTACAAAAAAGCTACAGCGTTGTCTGGGGGCTGAAAATGGAGGGGTAATGAGCTACGCGTGCTGTAAGGCTGCCTATCCACTCTACAAGCCAATCATACTTTCCAGGTTTATACTCGAGAAAAGCAAAGAAGCCAGAGAGATTGGCTAGGTTAGGAGAAGATAGGTTAACATCGTAAGGCCTAGAGATTATAAAATCTAAGAAGTGACCTACCAACTAATTTCTTATTCTTACAGCATAAAATTCCACCATTCCAGACTCAGGAGTAGCTGTAGCAGCATAGATCACCGCCTGCTTAAAGTTGGGGCCGTGGTGGCATTCAGATGTGCGTACAGGTAAGAAGAGTTGAGTGCGGTTGGTAGACTGGGCAACGAGAAGCAGAAAGGTTTAAAAGATGAGCGGAAACATAAAATAATGAGCAAGCCAATGTCAGTCAAACCAAAAATGGTTAACTGCAGTCAGTGAAACTGCGCGTGGCAATAAGTTTTCTATATAGAATCGCAACCATGTTTAGCGGACGCGCGAGGATCCCTTTCTCTCACTCCGTTCGTTTCAGGGCAAAACATGCAGCTGATAGGGGTAATTTGGCAGGAGCTGTTTGGCGTGCTCTGCTAGTTAACTATCTCGTTGCATACACGGTTCACGGACTCCCAGGTTATAAAGCATCATAAACAGTAAAAAAGATAGTAGTGAGCATATATTGTACATATAAAACATTCTATCTATCTATGAATGTTATAATCTATAATTCTAAACTAGATTTACTTGCCCCACTTCACGAACTCTACCTCAGGATAATTATCCGAACGCCCCTCTAGGAAACCCGGCTTCTGCCCGGTGATAAAATATCTCAAGGCAGCAACCATATACGACACCATAATGTCCGTTACCCTCTGTCCCCTCAGAGACCCAGCATACATTTCGGCAGCCTTCCTTGCGTCTTCTGACAGCTCTACTGAATCTATCCAAAGGGGTAAATCACAAAAAGTCATATGCTTAGACCGTGCCAGCTGAAGCTCCAGCAGAAATCCCTATTGACGGAGCCTCCGCACCGAAGTTGATAAAAGGCTTGTTCAGTCCCGTTTTTACCACCGGACCGTAAAGATTGCCGTCAAAGTTCAGCCCACCAGCGAAGCGCGTATCATTTTGCGTAACCTGAGCTGCAGTAGCGCCGCCAAATGAGTGTCCAATTGCGGCGACGCGGTTGAGATTTAGGTATCTGCGGAATGTGTATGGGATGAAATCCGAATTCGAGTGCATCTGATCAAGGGTGAATATGACATCCTTTACACGGACGTCCAAAGTGAGAGGGACCTCCGAATCTTCAATATCAACGGCATAGATGACCCTGCCGGTTGGAAACTCAACGACCATTGAATCATATGGATGGTCAATGGACACGACGACAAAGCCCTGGCTAGCCACGGCTGTGAGGATTTCCGTGTAGGCGATTCGAGAGGCATGCAATGCAGGGGAGAAGATCACAACGGGATATTTCTTCCTCTGTGATCGACGATGACGCGAGTTTGCAACTTTTGTTCTGAAAGAGCCCAAGGTTCTGTTTGGGAACCCTAGCTCCCCCAGCATTTGCTCCGCCGCTGCGGCCACTACAGGCGAAATGTATGTCGTATAGTAAGAGTCGTCATGCGAGGTATTGCAGCTCACAGGGATGTAGGAAGTCGCCATGATACTGCGTTTGGGAGTGATCGGTACTGAAATGGTCGATCCGTGATTTATCGACGGGTTCGGTCGACGCGAGTCGGACTTTGCATGGAACTGATGGACCAGGCAGGTCGATGAAGCCTCTGACGAGGGTAACAGTCAGGGTCAAGAGAAGAAGAGCGTGCATGATGTGTTGTTAGTGTTGTCGCTTGGATAAAATCATGCCGCCAAAAGCGACTTGAAGTAGAGCTTTGTCGTTTGACGCCAAGGATTCCATGATGGATGCCTGGAGATTGGGGAAATCAGAGAGCTAAAAATAAAACCGTCCTCGTATCCCGTGAGTTATTTGGAGTCCCTCTCTAGATCCTCGGATGTAGTTCGGTGATTGGCCGATGTTCGAAGCTCTGTGTTCCTGAACGCCAGATGCTTTTAGACTGGAAGAAATGGCGAGGACAAGGAAGACATTAGATTTTATATTTGAGGGGAGAGCAGGAATACATGTCGCAGGTTAATAAGCTGTACATGTGAAATTGAGAGTGCTGTAGCTTGAAGATTACTATCCACTACATATACTCTTAAATCTAGATGGCTGCCAGTTTATTAGGTAATATTTATAAATTTATTGAGTAACATAGGACTTTTAACAGCTTCTCTAATGGATACAACATATAATATTCCAGTGCTTGGCAGCCGGCTCAGGACATTCCGGATATATATTACAGTGCTTCCGGATACCAGTGTCACGACTTACTCTTTGATTGTCTCAGCAACCCTATAGTGAAACCAAGCTAAGCCTACTATGGAATGAAAAGGAACAATAGTTTCCCGACCAAGAAAGTGTACTGTAACGACATGTAATGGTACACAAATGACACAAATGACACGCGTGACTCGGTAATCTAGGCATTTCGCCCTTGATATGGAAATACCTGGAGTAACATTGAGTGGCAAACTGTCTATATTCACGGAATTATCTAGACATTACTGGAAAGCTTCTATTTGCAGGAAAGAATCATATATAATTCTCGGCTATCCCTGACCCTCCTTTTGCAAAGAGATTGGAAAATAAGAGACTTAAGTGGAATACAGTTTATGAAACCCTATAATAAGAACACGACCGTTATATAACCCGAGAGCAAGTGTCGCGTCCTTGACAGCATGACAAGCAACTCCGCGATACTCAGAAGGGAGCCACAGTAGATTCTCACTACCTAAGGTGATCCAAGCATCCGATAAAGATACCTGGAAATTGGATTTGGGCTCGTTGAAAACTGCATGGACCGACTCCGAAGCTAAATGGCCCTCCAATGTCTGGCGGTGCGTGCCCGTGGTTGTATCCCAGAGCTTGATGGTGTTATCATCAGAGCCTGACGCCAGAGTAAGCCCATCGGGAGAGAAGGCCACTGAATTAACTAACTCTAAATGGCCCTCCAGTGTCTGGCGGTGCGTGTGCCCGTGGTTGTATCCCAGAGCTTGATAGTCCTATCCCTAGAGCCTGACGCCAGAGTGAGCCCATCGGGGGAGAAGGCCACTGAATAGACCAAATCTAAATGGCCTTCGAGCGTTTGTATGCTTGGGCTCCATGAATCTTCCACGACTGGTAGTCTTTGTATTTGTTTTAATATTTCATTATGATAAGTCTTCTTCACAATGCTTTGTGCAGGTGCAAACACCAGTCCGGAACAGTAGAGTTGGAGTGGAGCAATACTAGCTATGTAGGTGTTCTGAAGAGTAAACCTTCTTGCATCATAGAGAAAGTCTGAAAGCTCCGCACCGATGCTTGTCTATAATATACATCAGCCACTGCTTAACTGTAGAGTTCAAAGAGATTACCCAAGTGCTTGACTTCAGTATATCTATCATCTCCACCGCATCAGATATACTTCCAATTAAAGCCAGTGCCTCTAGCCAGTGAACGAACCGCTCTTTGATAAAAGTAAGAATCTCAGATTCAGAGATACGACCTTCGCTGTGCTTAAGATGATGCACCCAGTACTGACAGGAGTATTGCAGATGAGCCGTAAGATGCTGATTAATAACCAGAGAGTCGACATCCTTGCGCTGAGTTCCGTAACTTGCCAGATCGCAGATATTGTGTTTGAGCTGAGTTTTCATAACCCGGATACAATGTAATGCTATTTTCCTATGTGTCTCTTGCTTATTGACATGAAAACGGGTTTCCGTTATTAGAAGATAATCTCGGAATGACAAGTGCAGAATGCGCACTGGAGACTCTCTGTCACTTGGTATACTAAGGACTGAATGCAAAGGATCTAATAGCTCGCTGATATCGTCTGCCGACATGTGCAGAAGTAAAGCAAGAGATTCAATAGAGAGCGGGGTAGCAAGGAGAATAATAACCCCGACAATATCCTGGAATTCTTCCAAGATCTCCTTTGAGTCATCTGCAAGATCGCCTGTGAGTTGATTTAGAACCGGTAGATATATTTTGTCCATTTGGGTTGCAGTTGTAGTTGCTTGAAATTCAAGATACTTCTGTAGCCGCTTTTTTGGGTGCAGTCCTTCTTTGATAAAGCGACATGCTGTGGCCGCGAAAATGAATAATGGAACAGCCATCCGCACTAGTTCATCAATTACTTGGCTCCGAGTCCAATCAGGTGAAAGTAAGCACCCATCTGGTATTTTTGAAAGCTTGTTTTCCAAGAACAGACGAATATCATGTTCAATTACTGGCTCAGGAAGTTCATGGAGAATCAGGTCCTGATGGTTCTCTTCATCCCTGAAGCCAAGACGAATTGGAGTTTCAGGCCTGCTGGTTAGGAATACTCGCAGATGTACGGATTTTATCTCCTGCAACTTAAACAAGAGTTGTAATATCGCTTGCATTTCCTCATCTTGACCACACTCATCCAAGGCATCAATAACAATCACAATTGTTGTAGATTGCTCTAGCTGTAGCTTCACGAGGGGCTGATAAAGAAGCTTGTCAAACTGTTCACTCAGAAATTTAGACGCGATGTTCGGATCGGTTTTAATAGCGCTCAGGACGTCAGGCACTAGTCGCCGGTGCCCAGTTACTAGCTGTCTTGTGATGGTTGATATTAAAAGTTTTGCGTTATCACGATCAGCTTCGCCTCGCTTGAAAAAGAACGTGGCACCGAGCAGTCCTTGGTTTTCGAAAGATTGAGCGACCGTCCGGGCAATAGTAGACTTCCCAGTACCCGCCATTCCATTCAGCCAAAAAATAAATTTGCCATCTGACTTAGCCCACTCCAAGATTTGGCGCTGAAGGTCCGTTCTTGTGTCCGGGAGGCAAAAGTCCTCGTGTTGATTGACATAAGAGTTATACAATGCTCCTTCCGCGACGCGTAGGTTCACTAGGCTAAACTGTTCAACAAGCAGCTTCATAGATTCGGAAAGTTCATCGATCTTGTGTAGGATATTCTCTGCCTCCTCCTCACGGTGGAGGTATTCACCTAGTTCGACACACCTGCGCAGGCTTTCCCTTTCCTTTTCAACTAAGGCTTTGAGTTCCGTGAGCGGGTGCTCAGTGATGACAGAGACGCAGTCCAGCAGTTTCTTCCCTTTGTTGGCACTTCGGACTTCCTGTACTAGCGCCGTATAGTGAAGGATTGCTCGGTAGAGACGGACCAACGCGTTTTCTAGGCTTTCCTGGTCAACTGACCTGCCGTCACGATAAAACTTCCGTTCAATAAAGGCACATTGTGCAAGAACGTCGGCCAGGTAATCCGACGATTCGAAAAGGGCATCTCGTTGGTCATGATAATTTTTGGTCATCTGCATTTTCAATCCCTCAGTTAGTCGGCTATTTTTATAATCTGCTAGGAGATATAACATACCATCAACCCCAGTGACACTATTGCCCAGGCACTAGCTGCGTGCTGGGTTGGGTCAAAGGCTGCAACAACGGCGATAATATCTTTGAAGGATAGTGCTGCATTGATAATTTTCCTGGAGGATGTTCGAAATTTTCCATTGCCATTTTGCTGAAATTCCTCGTATTGCTCTTTAGTCAAGCGGATGACCTCACTAATCAAAACTTCCGTTCGGGTTCGGCTTTCCTTATCGATAGGGTTCGCAGTTACTCTGACTGTCGACAGAATTCTTCGTTTCTCCTCATCTAGCTGATCATAGGCAGTCTGCCACAAGTCCTGTGGTTTGAAGGGCTCAATCGACTGGGTAGTCTGGATAGTGGATGGGGGTGACGGAGGCGGTGGACTCTTTTCTTTGCTCTCTTTCTGGTCTCCACATAATTTACGTAGTAGTTTTCGGAGCGGCATCTCTAATTATTCACCAGGACTTTAAAGATGCTAGTACTCAAGTGAAGTCGAAAATTAAGATAATAAAAAAACTCAGCTGTTATTATGCTTTCTCTTTCTTATCCTCTTACGATCGATACTCCACCCTTCGATGTGTTGGCGAGGCTGAACAACAGGGATATGGCAATCTGATCGACCAATTACATACAGCCAGTAGAGGGAGAAAATCTTCAGAGTGCATCTTTGCTTCCAACAAAATAGGACAGCACTGGGAGTCTGTCCAGGAGGCCATTCGGTAAAAATATGAGTCCCAGGTATGTGAAGCTGCCTGCGAATTAATTATTCTTCCATAAACTTGCCTCGGCACGTGGCCCCATACGCCAGGACTCGTCGGGTTTAACGTCGGCCCGGGCCGGCGTTTCTGAACCAAGAGTCGGTTGTTGTCAAATAATATGGCCGTTGGTGGACCAGAATCATGTGACTGGATCGGGGTAAAACCCCCGTGGAGCACACAACAAAATAATCAATCAAGAATAACCAAGAAGAATAATCAAGAAGAGCCCAACCAGCTCAATTCATTCAAATAAGACCTTTTCACCAATCGTACTCTATTTCCTCTTCGGGATTAGCCGTATATCTGACAATTAAGAGTCTCATTCGCTCAAAAACTACCTATACAGCGAACCACGGCTTATACAGCTCAGCTATCCACCGGTCGAAACTTTATTTCCTCCGAACGAAATGTCCACGCAGAATACCGTCCTTTTGAAAACCCAAGAGAATTGGAAGGAATGGAACACGCAGTTTGAAGGTTTAGCCAGAGGCAAGAATTTATGGGGAATTATTACTGGCGATGAACAAGAGATTTTAAAGCCAGCACCACCTACCGATGACACTTTGGCACCACCAGCTGGAAGTACACGATCAACAAATCCTACCTCCCTTGCTGATCGACAATTTGCTTGGACTGTTTACAAAAGCCTTCGTGACGACTATATTCTTCAACAAACTGAACTAAGCAAACTGCGGGAGTGGATGCAGAAGACTATTTCTCCACAAGTGTATGAATATTGCTGCGATCCAGAGGATTCGATGAAGGAATGGTACGCCAAACTAAAGCAACGGGTGGGAATTGATGATGCCACAGTCAAGAAACTTGCCCGCGAAGACGTATAAAAAGGCCATTAAACCTGTCACAAGACCTCGGGATGTACTTACCTGGTTAAACAATTGGGAAGAAGCAATGCACAAGGCCGAAAAAGCTAGAATTGCAGTGGCTGCACCACAAGTGACTGGATTGAGGATTTCCTGAATGCTGTACGGCTTTAAACCCGGTATGGGCAACCTCATATGAGATTGCTAAGAATAAGGATATTGAATCAGACAACCTGACATTCAGACTGGTAGCACAAGACTTCCGAAAAGGTTTGGATACCAAAGTGATTCAACAGAGCAGCAATATTGCCAAAGGGTCATTTGGTCCAACCTTTGATGCTGAAGAAGCTAAGACTGAAGGCACGGAATTGAATCACGCACCAAAAGGTCAAAGCTATACCCAGAAGCGCAAGCAAAAGCCTAATAATCTCGAGAGCTGCAATATAGCCAAGAAGACAAAGGTAGCTTGCAAAGCATGTGGGCAAATGCATGAATGGAAGGCCTGTTTCTATCTTTTCCCTCAAGAGGCCCCTAAAGGATTTAAGGAACGTGCTGTAATTAGGAGATTTATTAATCATCTGCTTCAAACAGACAAGGAATTTGCCAAAGAGGTTGAAGAGTGGAAGAGCTTGAGGAATCAAGATTGACTACTTGAACGACAGATTGGAAGAATTCCAGCTTCATTTGCGACATTACCGGATACCTATCCATTAAAGAATTCAGCTATTCTTGACTCCGGATCCACTATCCATATCTTTAATGAAATCACTCGATTCAACGACTTTCAAACCGCACAACCAGGTGACTTTATATGGACTCGTGAGATTCAAAGGTGGAGATCCATGGATATGGCAATGTGATATCAGGTTAGATTAGGTGGAAAGAAGTCAATACTGCACCTCCAAGATGTTGCTTTCTGTCCCAAGATGGCTTGCAATTTAGTGTCTCTACGCCAGTTGCATAAGGCCGGAATATGGTGGGATAATCGACCAGAGCAAAACATCCTCCGACATCAAGATAATCGACCGATTGCGCAGATTGAAGACCAGTTCGACCAGTTTGTGATTGAATACCTTCCCATGAATATAACAAGAGGAAGTCTTTTTAATCGCCGAAACCGCTTTCAATCATCGTTCCATTCTACACCAAGATCTGCACGGGCAGATGCATACCAATGGCACCTTCGACTTGGACATCCTGGACCTCTTACCTTGGAGCATCTAGTCAATTCAACTAAAGGAGCAAGGATTAGAGGTGGACCGACAACAGTGGAATGCGACGCCTGCGGGATTGCAAAGCTAAAGCGTCAGGTTAGCAGAATTCCATCGGATTTTATAGAGGGACCGGGTCAACGCCTAGCCATTGATTTCCATGACTTCGAAGCTGGCTATGGTGGTTGGAAAAGCTTGATGCTAGCAACTGATCGGTGGTCAGGTTTTATCTGGGATTACTACCTAGAGGACCGAACGGCTGACTCAATTATCCACGCTTTGAGGCATTTACTTGGAACACTTGGGCGAATGGATATAAAGGTTCAGGTTATTGAATGTGACAATGAAACTGTGGGCCAAAAGCCTCGCATTGCAGCCTTTCTGCAGTCAGATCCTTATTTTATAAAGATTGAGCCCTCCGCACCTTATACAAGTGCTCAAAACGGTGGTGCAGAGCGCTCAGGGGTGTAATAAAGGATAAGGCTCGAGCAATGCGGGAACATGCTAGATTACCTGCATTTCTATGGCCGGAGATTGTACGTGCATCAGTCTATCTTTCCAATCGAACACCTCAGTACCAAACCAATTGGAAAACGCCTTTCGATCGATTCCATACCTACGTTGCGCACCAAGACGGCATGGTAATCCATGACAGAAAGCCTCAGCAAGCGCATCTAAAAGTATATGGATGCAAAGCCTTCGCCATGACCACAGAAGCACTGAAGAAGTCAAACCGGAAACAGAGATTCAATCCAAGAGCGCATATTGGATATCTAGTTGGATATGATTCCACTAATATCTACCGAATCTGGATTCCACGCCTAAACCGAGTCATCCGTACAAGAGATGTGATATTCAAATGAAGACGAGCAGTTCTCTGGGGATCTGTCCGAACTAGCAATCATGCAGGATCAATTCCGGCAGATATCCATCCAAGATTTCAACCAGATGATCAAGAATATTGAGGTTCCCGAAGAGTCTATGTCGCCACCAAGCCAACAAGAAGAGCAAGTAGTTGGATATTTTGATTCTTTAGACTTTCTGGTGGATATGGCACAATCAGCTATGGATTTGGCGGAAGAAATAGGTCAGAAAGATGCTGAAGACCTAGTCTATCCAACACCACCGGAGACGCCAGAATATCTACAACCAGCTTCGCTATTAGCTATTGGTTCCCCAGCTAGATCTAATCAAGAATCATCGCACTTAGCTGCATGGAAAGCATCGTTTTTGGCTGTACCATTAATTCAACCGAAACGACCCGGAGAGAGAACAACCAAGGCACAATCAGAACGATTACTTCGACAACCTGAAAAGGATTTGCACCACAGAGATTTGCCACCTAAGCCAGTCCACCACAGAGATCTTATTAATCATCCACTTGGCGAACAGTTCAAGCAGGCTGAAAAAGATCATCTTAAGGGACATGAGGATATGTGTACATGGCAAGAAATAAGCCGGCATAATCCTAAATGCAAAGGCAGGCAAATCCTGGATTGCAAATGGGTGTACGCGTACAAGTTTGACCAGAAAGGAACACTACTCGTAAGTGCAAGGCCCGTCTGGTTGTACGCGGCGACCAACAAGAAAGGAAAACAGAAGATCTTTATGCTTCAACACTGGCTATACAATCATTCCGAATCCTAATGGCTACAGCTGCAAGATTTGACTTGGAATTGGTGCAATATGACATTACCAATGCCTTTGTCTATGCAGATATCGATGAGGATGTCTTTATGCAGATGCCACCAGGATACCAAAAGCCAGGTATAATCCTGAAGCTTAAAAGGGCCCTGTTTGGACTGAGGCAATCACCATTGCTATGGCAAAAGCACTTCAAGAAATCCCTTCAAGACCTAGGATTTAATCCTATTCCTCATGAACCATGTTGCATGATTAAAAATGGTATTCTAGTATTCTTCTATGTTGACGACATAATCTTTGCATACCAAAAGGGCTGCAAGAATCAAGAGATACTGGACCAAATTGTTAATCAGCTCCAAAACCAGTACAAGATGACTGGCGGAGATAAACTGCAGTGGTTTCTTGGTATAGAGATAATCCGGGATCGGGAGAAAAGAATTATATGGCTAAGTCAATCCTCTTATATAGAGAAGATTGCTAACCTAGCGGATTCAAGAACCTCAGATACTGTCCCAATAACCAGAGATGAGCTTATTATCTACACCGGACAAGCCACACGCCAAAGTATTCAGAGATATCAGAAGAAGAACGGTTCCTTAATGTACACAGCAGTCACCACACGACCAGACATAGCCTTTGCAGTGTCCAAATTATCCCGCTTTCTTACCAATCCAAGCGACGAACACCATGCTGCGGCTGACCGCGTCCTTTTATACCTTAAACGAACGAAAGACCTAGCGCTGCAACTGGGGGTGGAGATGACTTCATCCTGTACAGCGATGCTTCGTTTGCGGATAACAAGGAGGATCGAAAGAGTTCGCAAGGATATATAATGCAGTTGTTTGGAGGAGTAGTAGGATGGAGGGTCAACAAGCAGGCAACGGTGACTACTTCTACCACTGAGGCAGAGCTTCTAGCGTTGTCCCACGCAGCTGGAGAAGGAATATTCATCAGCAGACTGCTTAAAGAGCTTGGAGTTCAACTGGATAAGAGAAAGAAGGACCAACGGATTCAAATCTTCTGTGACAATCTCCAAACAATCCGGCTTGTGCATAAAGATATAAACCGACTTCAGACAAGGCTTCGACACGTGGATATCCATAATCATTGGCTCAGGCAGGAAGCTCTGGAAGGAAGAATCCAAGTCAGCTACACACCAACAGACAAGATGCTGGCAGATGGACTCACTAAAGCACTGCCACGGCAGAAATTCGAGCCGTTTGTGGATCAGCTAGGACTTCGGGACATCTCTGGAGTCAAAAGGATTGATGGAAACACTGAACGGATATGACTGAATGTCAGATTCGACCCGGAATAGCTTCAAGGTTGCTGAAATTGGAAGGAAAGGTTCGAATCTGAGGGGTGTGTCAAATAATATGGCCGTTGGTGGACCAGAATCATGTGACTGGATCGGGGTAAAACCCCGTGGAGCACACAACAAAATAATCAATCAAGAATAACCAAGAAGAATAATCAAGAAGAGCCCAACCAGCTCAATTCATTCAAATAAGACCTTTTCACCAATCGTACTCTATTTCCTCTTCGGGATTAGCCGTATATCTGACAGTTGTCTGTCTAGAATTAGCAATAGTATAATTTCATTTCAGAGAGTTCCTTTTTTTCCACATAATTACATTTTGATGGTACAATTTTGATTAGTTATACTGAACCATAATAGCATGACAGCCAATAGTCAAGCAGTGACATTTACCCTTTACTTATTTTCGGTTAGTGTAATTCCAAATTTCAAAACAGGCGATTCGATTACATTTCAAGCTGCCAGATTTCACGAAATTTGACTTACCAACCCTAAAGGGAACGTCCCACGCAAACTCGACAAACACGGAAAGCCCGTTCCCGACACCTGTCAAGACCTTCTTCGCCCCTAGACTTTCATCGTTCCCATCTGGTATAATTTATCATTTAAGGTTGAGCAGGATGGGTAGTGCAATCCATATGGCCCTCCTCATTATCATAGTCAGCCTGTTAGCACAGCCGACCCTTGTACAACGACTAACACAAAAGACCCCTCCTTTCCTAGCTAACATGCAAGGATTTTCACTGTTAGGCTCCTCGGCGGCATTTATTGCCTCGAAGACGTGACGTTTAGCCCTCTAAGCAGTGTCGCCTCTTAGCTTCGAGATATTGATCCATGGGAACAAACCC